AAACGGCGAATGCATCTGTCGTTCCGGTTCGTATCGATTACGTGGCGCGTGGGAAATATAATCGGTGTCGGCTGCCGCGGACGCGCGTGCGAAAACGTCCCGTGACAATCCGTTTAGCGTAAAAAAGGGAAAAAGGACACACGAGAACTCGCTAAGCTAGATTGTAAAATTACGCGCGCAACTGGGTCAATCCGTCTCTCTCTCTCTCTCTCTCTCTCTCTCTCTCTGCTCTGTGCGCCTCCCTCCTACCGCACCATGTGTGTTATTACATGTAAGCGGTGTCAGTGTTACGGCGAACAGTACGCGCTGAAAGTGCCGGACCTGTTTCAAGTGATAAAAGTGTAATCAAGGTTGAGCAGCGCGCGCGCGTCGGAGAGGGTCGATCTCTTTGCATAAATCGTGAGACTAACTCGCGCGCTCGCTCGCGCCTGCGCCGCCGAGGCTGCAAAATAATCAAGGCTAACCGTAACTCGGTCCGCGCATTTTCTCAAGACCTAGAATCGGCGAACCTTGCGGCTTCAAATTAACAACCATGCTCGGACACCGACATTGATCAACGCCGATCTCGCCTGACTGGAGAACCTCCTCCGTTTGCGCGAGGCGATTAGTTAGCTAATGCCTATCTCTTTATCAACATTCCGAGTCCGTTAGTCTCTCGGAGAATCGCGAAATTTCCATTAAATCGCAAGCGTCGAACGCACGAATTTTTCAAACAAACGCCGCGCTCTGGCACATTTACGTATCCATGTGTACTCGCGTACTGACCCGAGCGCAAAAGAGGCCTGTATTTCTCGATGATTAAATTTCAACATCGCCGCAGCATCGCCGTGAGCTTTGGGAGAGAACGCACCTGCCGTCCGAATACGGATATACCTGTCTTTCTCTCCTTCTCCCCCCTCCCCTCTTTTGCTACCTTGAAAAGGGAAAACAAATTCAACCTACAAAGAGGCTACAATAAAACGAAACCTTGAACCGTAACGATTCACAAAGAAGAGGCACCGCCACCGCCGGCCCGCCTCCTTCGCCGCCGCCGTCATCGTCGTCGGCGTTGTTTTCCACCCGGTACTTAGCGGAAACAACAAAGTGCGTGTCTCAGGCACGCGTGCTCGCGTGCCGAGCGCGGGCGAGCGAGTGAGCAAGAGAGAATATGAGAGTGAGAGAGAGAGAGAGAGAGAGAGAGAGAGAAACAGGGAGACAAAGAGAGAAAGAGAAAGAGAGAGAGAGAGAGAAACAGGGAGACAAAGAGAGAAAGAGAAAGAGAGAGAGAGAGAGCCGGGGGGGGGGGGAGAAAAAGAGAGAGAAAACGCGCGGCGTGTCGTATGTGCGTGTGAATCCGCACGGCAGCGCGCGTGTGCCGCGGCGACGTTAATGTTTGCAATCACAAGTTGGAAAGTTTTGTGATGGCAACCGCACCGTCGGCCAGTTACCCTGGTAACGCTTTGTTGTGCCATTGTGTCAAGCGGTGGGGCAAGGGACCGACCCGGGGGAGGGGAGGGGAGGGGGCGAGTAGTCGGCAGAAATCCACCCCCGCCGCCGTTCAGGCGAACCACCACCGTCCTCTCCCGCCCTCGCCACCGAGAAATTGGATGAAACGGCTGAGCTATCCCCCTCGCCTGTCCTTCCCGCTGAACCCTTAACCCCTCGATTGCTACTCGGGGACGAACTAACCCGGCTTGACCTAGCCCAAACTAAGCCTTCCCCTCTGCACCCTCCGTCGCGATGATGAATAAGGGGCTCGCGTTTCCTCTGGACCTGCACCGTCGAGTTCTGTTTCCGCTGGCACCTCATTTACGTGATTACCGAATTACGAATACCGCTGTTGAGAGAGGGAGAGGGGAGGCCACCGAATTATGTTGATACTCTTGATTGTATGCGGTATAAATAAATGGCGAGCAAACTACACGCGGCGCTATCACTATCTCTCTCTCTCTCTCCCTTTCTCTCTCTCTCTCTCTCTCTCTCTCTCTCTCTCTCTCTCTCTCTCTCTCTCTCTCTCTCTCTCTCTCTCTCTCACGCTGAAATTAGCGAGTGCTCTTTCCAAACGGTATTTTACTCCAAGGCGCGGCATTTCGTCCATTTTATGCGCGAATGGTATTGCATATCTCGCGCGAATTAATGAGGAATTATCGGGACTTTGGGAAATCCGTCTCGGCATCGGACCCCGATTACACCTGGAGCTTCCAACGATCGCGCGGACACGAACGGTGAGAATCGATCGTCGAAAGTTCGCACGCGGTGGCTCGGCTACGAAATGAGGCCGGGCAAATTTTGTTTTCGAACGAGTCTACGCCGCGTCATCATGACGCGCGCGCGCTAGCTCGGCTCTGGATTAATGCAGCGCAATTATCTATTGCCTGCTCTCGCGAGAGAGCTCGCGATAACCGCGAGATACAAACGAAGAGCGAGCGGCGAAGCAGCGCTCGCTGAGAGGAATCGTCGTGCCTCAACGATTGCTCGCGAGATAAAAATGTCTTCCAGATCGAGTTATTAATAGATTTGTTACTCGCGGGGAATTTCAGTCGTTCACGCGTAATTTAATATCAGCCGGCGCATGACACATACACGCGCATGTAAGGCATCTGTTCTTCAAACGTCCGCACGCGCACAGAGTAATGCGTTACTAATTATAAGCATGTTACCAAGCGTGTTATGTCCCGGGACGAAATGTTCGGATGGTCTCCTCGACCGCCGCCGCCGCAAAACTCCGCGATTTCAAGCTTTACCTTTATTTATTTAATATGAAAGAACTGCCGCGCACATCTCGCGCCTTCTAGAGACGCGACTTTTACGGAACGAATCGTAGAATGCATCTGACGTCGGTTCTATTTCTTTTCCTCCCCGAGTCCGAGGCAATTCCGCCGTATTTCGGAAACTGAAATAATCTCAAAGCATTGATCGCGCGCGGCGCGGCGCGGCGCGGCGGTAGCGGATATACCACGCTCGTAAAAATGTATTCGATACAAGTTTATTGACAGAGCAACACGAACGCCCTGTTTGGACGCACCAGAAAAAGCCACATATTTCTTCATCTGGCCGAAGGTATTGCTCTGGGGAATGAAAGATCGGTATTGAGTCGACGTGCCGGGCGATTCGTTACGCTTGCTCGCATCGGCGAAAATATAAAATCATTCTCGTTAGCGGGGAAAAACGTTAATCCGCGGCACATTAACGACGTAGCCAATTTATATGTGGATATTTTCATCCGTTGCGGGAAAGAGGATTTATCGTCGCTCGAAATGCCCGCCTTCGCGGCGTATCGCTACGCGCGTTTCGCTACGCGCAAAATTATCAAGAATGTCTCAGAATTAATCGCGCCGTGCTTGCGAGAATGTCCGTCATTTATTGTAATTTTTCAATTGTCAACATTGCAATACCGTGAGACTGAGTTTTCACCGAGAATTCTACTCGAACTCGTATTTGATCGGAAATCGGCTAAACATGTAACCTTGTCACTAACCTCATTTAGAAACTCTCCAAAGTTAATCTTCAGTATCACAATATTTTCGTACCAGAAATATCGACTTTCGCACACGTTTCTAAAACGTGTTATCAAACGATTGTACTTTCAGAACATTCACGCGCACGAAACAATAGGTCTGTTCTTTTCCTCTGCACCGCTGCATTAGTGCAATAAGTTCGAGTGAGACAAGTACATATTTGTCTCACTTTAACTTACTGCACCAGTGCAGTGGTGCAGAAAAAAAGAACAGACCAAATATAAGCAGTTACAAATGGTATTAACCTTAAATGTGGCAGTCTCTGTTCAAGAACGCGCGACCGATTCAGAGATTTGTTTGTCTTACACGAAGGTCGCGCACGGTACTTGCTCTCTCTCTCTCTCTCTCTCTCTCTCTCTCTCTCTCTCTCTCTCTCTCTCTCTCTCTCTCTCTCTCGCTCTCACTTACCTCGCGAAATTGGAGAATCGAACGTCAACATGTAGCGCTAAATGTACGACCAGGAATGTACGCTGTCAAACCGACAGCAGGCTTAGAACGTGTCTCATAATCACGAAATGGAACGCGCGTCATACATAGCGCTTATCGCGCTCGCAAGATAACGCCCGTGTAGATATCGAACTCTCCTTCACCTCTTTGCAGCGGGTAAACAATGTGTGTGTGTGTGTCACACTGCGGTGTGTGTCATAACGGCCGCCTGTTCAAACGACGATGCTGCTACGCAAACGTGTATATGTATATACTGACGTATACGCGAAAATGATAAGTTGAATAAAAAGGAATCATGAAGGGAAATTCGTTCGAAAAATATATCGAACATCGACCGTCGTAAAAATATCGCTTACACAATTATTCGGACACATAGCACGAGAGAGTGCGACTCTATCGGCCGTGTCGACGTGTTCGTTCGATTCTGACGTGCACGGTTCGACATTGCCGCGCAGTGTCGCAGCGTGCTCGCCGATTCACCGTGAAACCCGGCAAAAATGCGGACAAAAATGCAGGAGCTCACGATTCGCAGAGATTATTCACCTGCCGTTACCGCTACCGTCGCTGCGCAGGCGGTCAATTCTCGACCATCATCGCGAGCCGAGCTCGTTGCCGTGTACGCCAATGCTCGTGTGGCGGCACCGCGCGCTTCTGGAGCGACGCGTTGTCGCGAGCCTAACCTCCAAAACGCTGGCGCGTTCGTGTCTCGTAGTCGCGTCGTCGATACGCCTAGAGATTCGTCGCGTGGAAAAATCAGAAAAATTCACGAATCGTCGAGTTACCGAGACCGGCAAATGGCCCGACGCCGATCGAACGAGGCCACGCGAGGGAGGGACGGACGCGACGCGCGACGAGGGTAGGACGCTTCGGCGGTCGACGCTCGGCAGAATTAACTCCTCGAAAGAAAAGAAATAAAAATCGAACGCGTCCCTTCGAAGCGACGCGCCTCTCAACGCGTGACGTTTCGTCGCGACGTTCACCACGCGCGGTCGTTCGCGTTCCTCTGTGCGCGCGAACGACGTGCGAGTGTACGATAAAAGATAATTGTCTACTCACTCGTAGCTGGCGATCCGCCGATCCAGAAAATTCGGTGAACCCCGGACAAATTCTCACGCACAAACACGAAACTTCAGCAGGCAATCACGTCGCAATGGCGATCCGCGGGCACCGCGCCGCTGCGTCGCAAGCGCCGATCGACAGCTACCGCCATCTCGCGGTCGTCGTGGCGAAACACGAGCGAACCGCGACGTGTCATTGGCGCAGCTCAGCCAATCGCGAGGTTGACGTTGGTTTACGCGGGAAACGCTTTGCCGCAGCGGCCGCCATATTGTTGGATACGCTTTGAATCGAAACAGTCGCTTTCAAACTAGAGCTGATGATTTGGACCGGGTAATGAATTACTCGGGTGGGTACCCGAGTACTCGCTCACTATCTGAAATATGTTGAAAATACCCGGGTACTCGCTCGTATTACCCGTACTTTTATTTTTCGTGTTTGTTTAAATTATCTGCCTACTTCATGTCAAACTTCTGACAGTCTCGATGACATACGTTAATTTAATATCGTAATCAGATGTAACCTGTATTTAATTACGGCGTTTGCTACTAATTATGTCGCGTCCAAAAAGTTGGGTATGGAAATATGCTGTACCGTCAGAAGATAGAAAATACAGGCGAAATGTAAAGTATGTGGTTACTCACTCTGAATTACGGAGGATTTACATCGATAAACATTTAAAATTGAAACACAAATTAACTTTGCCAACTTCTACCGATGACAGGTGAATAAAAAGATTATATTGATTAAATTATATTAATAAATTAGTAATATATGCTATGCTGTGAAATACTCTTTCGGTCTCGAAAAATGATGAAGATAATAACGATGTTTTAAAATATTCGTAACGTCGATTTCGCGATTGTATCGTTGAATTGTTGAATTTATTTTCTATTATTTTTCGAAAATTTTAATTTAACATTTTGATATTTTTTTTTCCATCAGTGTTGAAGTCGAATCGTGTGATGAAGTTAATGACATGTCAAATAATGTATCACTGGCATCTACATCAAGTCCTTCAACTTCTACATATATAAAATAGAACGGAAGAAGAGACGTATCACGGAAGAAACTACACAATGTTCCGCTGTAAGGAAAGAGCATATATCCGAAGCTCTAGCGCAAATGACAGCTATGTGTCTTTCATTTGCACGTAGCGATGGATTTATAAAATTTATGAAAGTCTTAGAGCCAAATTATGAAATTCCTTATCCACAAGTGATTCGTTCACATCTAGATCTGGCTTATGATAAGATTAAAGAAAAGATCGTGACATATATTAATGCCGCGTCTTCTGCAGTTGCTATCACTACAGATGAATGGTCATCTAGAGCACAAGACTCATATTTACCTACAACAGTTCATTTCATTAATTCCGAGTGGATTTTATACATTTTATACATATTTTACATTGACCACATTAAGTTTAGACGACCGACCTACAGCTGCCAATTTAGCTGCAGCTTTGGAAGTGATACGAGGAGAATGGGAACTGAAATCTGTACATGTTGTAGTTCATGATAAAGCAAGTTCTATTAAAGCTGCTATGCGACTACTGACTGATGTTGAGCATAGCGTCAATTGCTATGCACATATATTGCAGTTATGCGTAAAAGATGTATTAAATAGTATTCCGGAATGTCACACCGTATGCAACAAAGCAAGTAAAATTGTCAGTCACTTTAAACACTCTAATATTGCAACCAATGCTCTGGAAAAGAAGCAGGTTCAACTTGATATAAAACAAGAACGGTTAATTCAAAGTTGCCCTACGCGATGGGATTCAGTATATATGATGTGCGACTCATTATATCAAAACCGCAGTGCTGTGTGTGCAGTATTGGCAGACAGAGCTTACACTACCTCTACTACTGCGATTAATTTAGAAATCCTCGAAAATATCTGGACATTGATGGAAGAAATGATCATTTTATTACAACCCCTGCAAACTGCAACTAAAATCTTTTGTAGCGAAACTAAAGTTATATTATCAGCTGTTCGTACAATCATAAGAAGTCTTGATGAATAATTACTTCTGCAAAGTGGTTAGTGATAGTAATTTTATTGCTGAATTTAAAGAAAATATTACGACGCACTTTAATATGGCAGCTACAGATGACTTTGTTAGTCCAGAACAATTAGCTTCTTTTCTCGATCCAAGATATAAAGATCTTCGATCAGAAATAGATACGGAAGCAAATAAAATTAAAATCTATGTACAACAAAAAATTATCAATGTCTCTTCTAACATTACGCAAACTGAAACACATGAAACCGAAATAGAAACGGATTTAGACTTTATTTTTGCAATTCCAAAAAGATCTACAGATAACCTTTCTCAATATCAAATGTACTTAGCTGAAGCACAAATTTCTCATAATCCATTAGATCCATTAAAATGGTGGAAAGCACATGAAAACTTGTATCCTACGATTGCCGCATTAGCAAAAATTTATTTGGCAATACCAGCATCCTCAGCCAGTTCGGAAAGGGTTTTCTCAACCGCAGGGAACATAGTTACTGCAAAACAAAATTGTTTATCTACCGAAAATGTAAATCTGTTAATATTTCTAAACGAGAATAAATCATTATTTTAATTTTTATTCTGCACAAAATCTTACATTCTATATAAAGTTTAAATATAAAAATCAAATGTATACACACATACGCACATACTACACACATAAATATACATACATACATTTACATACATACATACATACATACATTTATTATTATTACGTTTTCAAAGCTGTCAACACAATTATCTTATAGATAATACGGATATCTTATAGATAACATGGATATTCAAGTAATATAGATGATGCGAGTAATACGGATAATATGAGTAATATGGATAATACGGGTAATACCCAGATACCCGGCTACCCGAGTATTTCCCATGAATTTCGAATAGTGAAAGGGTACCCGGGTATTATCAGCTCTATTTTAAACATGGATCGTGAGGAACTCTATGAGAATCTCGGCGAGTTTGTTGAACGACGAGCGGAAAATAATCGATTTCATGATTCTTTATTGCTGCTCTTTCAAATTTCCTTGTAGAATAAAACAATCGAAGAAACTAATGATTCATACAGCAGCAACATCTAGCAAGAGCGGTACGATGAACTTTGAGAGCATCGATCTCGCTAGCGAATTTAATCGGATGGAGCGAAGCGTTAATTATTACAAGTCAAAATTGAAAAGCTGTCGCGACAAGTCGCGAAAACGTTAAGATGGAGAAGATGCGACAGTAGCAGCAGTATCGGTACAAAGCGCTGTTCGAGTTGAACAACACGCGGAATGGAAGAGCAGATTCTGCGGGAGCGTCTGGAGAAAATGCATTTGAATCATGAGACGTGCGTGGAGAAGACAGGCGGTTGCGAAAATCTCTACGAGAGTATTCACGCGATAGTCAACGATGTTGTGACAATGCAGTTGACAATGCAGAAACATGTTGATGCAGGAACCGATACAATTGGGAAAAAACGTCGACGATAACGACAGAAAACTCGCCTAGGTGAGAGCCATGATCACGGAACAAAAAATAATCCCAACGTTCACATTACTGTATTCGTAATGAGTCATTGACGAGACATCATTTGCGTATAAACCAACTTCTTTCTTATTTAGAAAAAGAACGCAACTTTTCTACAAGAATTGACGAAAAAGCCTGAGGACGTCGCGTTCATCCCGGAAGATGCACGAAAACGAATAAATGTTCTTCTGGAACACATGAAGACAGACGAAAGAATACTATATATAACAATTTGTATTAAAAAAAGAATTTATATCTGAATTAAAGAATTTGTATTTTAATTTATATTTGTAATTCAGCTTGATTTAACTTAACTTATTTAACGTAACTTAATGTAATCCTACATAGCGATATAACGAAATATATAAACAAGCAGATTTCTCCGTATAATTCTTTTCCGTATAAATCTTTTCCGTATAATTATATTCGACAAAAGTGTTTGATTTCAATAAAAATGTTTTTCCATCTATACATTATGTCCTCGAGACCGTGCACGAGGTCATTCGCTATCAATTCCTCTTAAGTAAGTCGCCAATTGCTCGCAAATTTTCTCCAACTGTTGTAAAATAACGGGCGCGTGTTCCAAAACTGTGCGACATTGTTGTTCACCATGCATATCCTCGATCTTCTCTCCGCGATGGCTTTCATCAGCATTTCATTTTTCCTCTCCATCTGGTTCACCCGCTTCTCCAGCTCTTCAGTCGCTTTCTTGATTGTGCATATGTTGAACGATCTCAAGTGCAACGCCACGTTTCCCAGTGGTCGCTTGCAACGGAAAGTCGACTGGGATCAAGGAGACCAAGGAGGTTCGCCCAGATAACGACGATTAACGAGTAACCGTCTTGTAAATTCATCCTTTATATAGAGGGTCACATTTTATACTACCATTTCCTCTATCCATAGATCTCCGTCAGATCTAATCTTGAAGAGTGTGTTTCTTGAAAATGGGGTCAGTTTCCATATTAATGCCATTATCTTCTATTCGTTAGGTGTTAAAAAAGTATCATGAACATGACGAAAGTTGGTGAACAGACATGGTGAAAGTTGGACTCAATCTATACGGACAGCGATCAAATTCGCTTTCATTCTTACAGAGTTCTATAGCAGTGGTTGTTATTATTTCTTTATCACAGAGGTCTAAGAAATTCGGCTTGTACTTCTGACTGCTCTAAATACGCCATCCACTTATTTTTCCTTGCTAAAGGAAAATCATCAAACTTCCAATTTTTTTCCACATATAGGCCACAACACTCCTAGGGGTCACTGTCCCTTTTCGCATGATATATATCAGATTTACATCTGCCTGAAAAACAGTGACAGAGAATATAAAAAACACATCAAAATGTTAAAACAAATATTTAACACGTTCCATGTGGTGACCTGAAGAAACTCCCCCATGCTCTTTGATAGGGCACAACTCACTAGTTTTCTGCAAAATTATGTTGCTCCAGTACCAAAATCAGCAAGAAAATCAGTGAGAAGTTTTGAGTCATGGGTTAATCTAGCTATGTGTTAATGGAAGTATTTGGAAAAGAACCAAGTACTTATCCATGGAACATGTTAAAAATTACGATATTGGAAAAAATTATTAAATTAAAGGTCAGAAAAACTTACAAGTTTCTTTAATAGATTACTGTTCTTATTCTGCGAATTTAATATCTCCAACCTCTTTTCACGCCCTTCTTCCTCCTTTTCATACACCTTTGCTAGCATCTTTTGCTTCATTACTAGCATCTCTTTTTCTACCTCCTCTCCATTACTCCATTACTCGCAACTTCTTGTTGAACACCTGTTCCTATCTCCATTAACTTTTTGATAGTAATATCTGTTTACATATCCATCTTAGATTTTAATATTAATTGTCTAAAAAATATTGAGCCTTTGGAGGTCAAGATTGAGAATACATTTATTGTTATTTGAAAATAACATTATGAAGTTACATATGCACCATTTTGTTCAATGACCTTCTGCCATTTTTTCGGCAACACCATAATCCCGGTGTTATAGTACTGCCTTGATTTTTTGTTAAAAAGTTTTACCACATGATCTTCACAGGCCTCTTTTGAAGGTAACGTAACACCTTTCAAGGAGTACGTCAGAAAACGAAACAGATGATAGTCTGACGGTGCCAAGTCCGGGCTATACGGTGGATGCATTAAAACCTCCCAGCCAAGTTCTCTCAATTTCTGACGGGTCGTTAAAGATGTATGCGATCCGGTGTTGTCAGGCTGCAGGTGGTATACGACACCCTTGCTGTTGACCAGTTCCGGCCGTTTCTTTTGAATTACTAGGTGCAATCGCGCTAATTGTTGACAGTACAGGTCCGAGTTTATCGTTTCGCCTGGCGGCAGCAGCTCGTAATGCACGATGCCCTTACAATCCCACCAAACACACAGCATAATCTTCCTGGGCTTTGTCACAAACCGTGGAGCTTCTCCTTGCTTCGAACGCGATTTTTTTTGCACATAGTCATAGTAGGTTATCCACTTTTCATCACTCGTGATCAACCGGTCCAGAAATGGCTCGATTTCGTTGCGTTTCAGTAGAGATTCGCAGATAGAAATTCGATCGAGTAAATTATTTCTAGTCAGATTATGTGGCACCCAAACATTGAGCTTTTTTTTGTAGCCAGCTTTCTCCAAATTGATTAACACTGTTCGGTGATTGATTTTTAGGGCCTTGCCGATGTCATAACTGCTTATATGCCGGTCTTGCTTCACTTTTGCCAGAATATCATTCGCTTTTTTTGTTCTTGGTCGCCCACTGCGAGGAGCATCTCGGACATTGAAATTTCCCTTACGAAAACGAATGAACCATCTTGTGACTGTTGCTTTTGATATGCAATCCTGCCCATAAACAGCACAAATTTCTGTATGGGCCTCCGTAGGAGTTACGCCTTTGTCGAAATAAAATTGTAAAGTATAACGCAGTTTTGTGGTAATTTTACTCATCTTCACGACGCAATATTTTACATCTGATTATAAGAATTCCAACACTTTTTGTACGTCTACTAGCTTCAACTGTCAGCTGTCAAATGACCTGCTTAGGCCTGACCTGCTGCGACTCATATACCCTGAGATTTGGGACACTAACGCTATTTCGTGCACAAAAGGCTCAATATTTTTTAGACAACCTGATACATTCACTATCAATTTCTGGAAAAAAAAGAATTACCTATCAGTATTTATGTTAAAAGCATTAAAAATGTGAAAATAGTTCAACATTAACTTCGTAGACCTTTGTTATGCTAAGTGACTCTAACGTTCAACCTTCTAACCATAGCAGAGAAGAGGCCAGTTATTTATTTATTTAACTCCAGAAAAGTTCTAGGCATACACAGCCAACTACAAGAACCCCAATAAATAACCTACTTTAGAGTTGAGCTTGTTTCAGGGACGAACACGGCGCGTGTCAGTAGGACGCTCGGCAGAATTAACTCCTCGAAAGAAAAGAAATAAAAACTGAACGTGTCCTTTCGAAGTGACGCGCCTCTCAACGTGTGATGTTTCGTCGCGACATTCACCACGCTCTGTGCGCGCGATCGACGTGCGAGTATACGATAAAAGATAATTGTCTATTCACTCGTAGCTGGCGATCCGCCGATACAGAGAATTTGGTGAATCCCGGACAAATTCTCACGCACAAACACGAAACCTCTTCTTCTTCTTCTTCTTCTTCTAAATTATGACCTGGAGAGTTAACTCCTTTGGCCAAAGTCTCGCACGAAACCTCAACAGTAGACATGGCTACGTTTAGAAAAATAAAGGCTGCGTTCAGAAAACACAACGGTTACACAACGGTTGAGTAATTCGTTAACGTTATTGGTCTGAATGTAAGGATCTAACAGTAAGAACCAATAGTTACTAGCGCTCAGTGAGCGTTTTGTTTTCTGAACGCAACCAAAATGATCAATGAGCGCTTAGTGATTCTCGCTCCTGATTGGTTATATACTTCTGGGTCTACGAAGAATCTAAAAGAATGCTCCAGTCACAGATAATAATCACTCGCTCAAGCGCTCGCTGATCACTTTGGCTGCGTTCCGAAATTCCCTGCCAATACTGAAAATCTATACTATACGTGACACAAACTATGTATTTTCAGTAGTGGCAGTGAATTTCGGAACGCAGCCAATCACGTCGCAATGACGATCCGCGCGAGCAGCACGCCGTTGCGTCGCATGCGCTGATCGACAGCTGCCGCCATCTCGCGGTCGTCGTGGCGAAACAGCAAGGAGCGAGCCGCAACGTGTCATCGGCGCAGCTCAGCCAATCGCGAAGTTGGCGTTGATTTACGCGGGAAACGCTTTGCCGCAGCGGCCGCCATATTGTTGGATGCACTTTGAATCGGAACGGTCGCTTTCAAACATGGATCGTGAGAAACTCTATGAGAATCTCGGCGAGTTTGTTGAACGACGAGCGGAAAATAATCGATTTCATGATTCTTTATTGCTACTCTTTCAAATTTCCTTGTAGAATAAAACAATCGAAGAAACTAATGATTCATACAGCAGCAACATCTAGCAAGAGCGGTACGATGAACTTTGAGAGCATCGATCTCGCTAGCGAATTTAATCGGATGGAGCGAAGCGTTAATTATTACAAGTCAAAATTGAAAAGCTGTCGCGACAAGTCGCGAAAACGTGAAGATGGAGAAGATGCGACGTGCAGCAGTATCGGTACAAAGCGCTGTTCGAGTTTGAACAACACGCGGAATGGAAGAGCAGATTCTGCGGGAGCGTCTGGAGAAAATGCATTTGACTCATGAGTGCGTGGAGAAGACAGGCGGTTGCGAAAATCTCTACGAGAATATTCGCGCGATAGTCAACGATGTTGCGACAATGCAGAGAAACATGTTGATGCAGGAGCCGATACAATTGAGAAAAAACGTCGACGATAACGACAGAAAACTCGCCTAGGTGAAAGCCATGATCACGGAACAAAAAGTAATCCCAACGTTTGCATCATTTGCGTATAAACCAACGTCTTTGTTATTTAGGAAAAGAACGCAACTTTGTTAGAAGAATTGACGAAAAAGTCTGAGGAGTGAGGACGCCGCGTTCATCCCGGAAGACACACGAAAGCGAATAAACACTCTTGAGACACTTGAAGACAGAGGGAAGGAGCAACATAACTACGAACGATATAATACAATAATAAAGAATTTGTATAATTAAACTTAAAGTAACTTAACTTAATACAATTCAACATAGCGATATGTAACGATATAAATGTACAAGCAGAAATCTTTTGCGTGTAATTCTAACCTCGCTAGCGAACTTGATCAGATGGAGCGAAGTGTTAATTATTACAAGTCAAAATTGATAAGCTGTTGCGTGCGACAAGTACGGAAACGTGAAGATGGAGATTTGCCGACGTGCAGCGTCGGTATCGGTACAAAGCGCTGTTCGAGTTGAACAACACGCGAATGGAAGAGCAGATTCTGCGGGAGCGTCTGGAGAAAATACATTTGAGTCATGAGACGCGAGTGACTACTCGACAAAAGTGTCTAATTTCAACAAAAATGTGCGTTTTATCATATATGTACATTATGTCCTCGGGACCGTGCTCGAAGTCATTCGCTATCAATTCTCATTTGCTCTCAAGCAAGTCGTCAATTGCTCATATGTTTTCTCCAACCGTTGTAAAATAACGGGCGCATAATCCAAGATTTTCGCCACGTTGTTGTTCGCCGTGCGTATCCTCAATCTACTGTCCGCGATAGTCTTTATCAGGGTGTCATTTTCCCTCTCCACCTCGTTCAGCCGCTCCTCCAGTTCTTCTGTCGCTTTCTTGATTGTATGTACGTCGAGGGATCTCAAGTGCAACGCCACGTCTCCCGGTGGACGCCTACAACGAAACGTCAACTCGAATCAAAAAGATCAAGGAGATTCACCCAGCGAATGATGATTCTCCGTTAACGAGTGAACGAATCAACTAACCACGCGTTCTCGTCAGCAGACGTCATGCTGTCTTCCGACAGTTTAGCGGCCTTAATGAAAGCATCTTGCAGAGCGCCCTTGTCCAGCATAGCCTCCAGGTCGCCGTTCATGCCGCGGTACAGCTCCTGCACCATGGCTTGGTGCAGCTTCTTTGCGGTCTTGGATTTGAGGGTCGTGAGAGAGAGTATCTCGACGAACTCGTCCTCGCTGGAACGAAAGATACGATCGGGAGAGAACTTATTGTTACGCGAGCGGAATAAATCAGAGCTCCGGCGTCGCTGTGCCGAATTAATGACTTGCTCGAGCTTTATTAGCGTTGCCAACAACGCTTTATTTAACAAACGATACCCCCCTCCCGCCCCCCTGACCGTTTCCTAAAGTTGTAACGCGTATCGCAGCGTGCGCGGGGTATAATATAATACAACAAACTGCTGCGTGCCAGGCGTGGCTCAAATTATCGGCTTTATCTCGTTTCAGAGAATGGAAGCTTATCGACTTAAACAATACGCGCGCGATACCTGCGTGTGCGTGTAAGAATGATACGCGTCCTTACTCCGGCCGGCTCCTACGCACGCCGCGACCGGATGCACATTCCCCCGTGTATGATGCATAGTTGGTGCGTGCGGCCGACTATCGCCGGAGGATCGAATTTTTCTTTGTCCCGGCGCCAGACAAAGAGCCGGCGGCCGGTTCGATCACAAGAGACGGCTCGTTCGAACGGCTCTAATCGACCCCGTTCGTCGCGTTACATTAAGCATACAATGGTAAGATCCGATTTTCTCTCACGAGAGCTTCCAACGTCTATCCTGACACAATATTCGCCCTATCGCTCTCCCCCCCCCTCCGCTATCTCTCTCTCTCTGTGATTGTGATACGAGCGCGCCGCTACTTACTCATTATACCTGCCTGCACTCACCTAAAATCTCTTGGCTCTCCCCGCGAGTCGCGTATCGCGCCAAGCGGAAGTGGTAGTAGGCGTCGTTTCCTGTGTATACTCAATCAGGCCGGGACTGGTGCAATTTGATATCAGTGCTACATATTTGCATTAGTCCAGACCTAACTAAGCATACTTCCGCTTCTGATAGCCCGGCGATTTGTCCCGGTTGCGTGTCCGCGGGGACCGCGCCGATAACTTGCCGCATTTCCGACACGTGCGCAGAATCCAATTAATTCTCTCAAGTGCTGAGACAAACGTTCGTAACGTTTATGAATCGAGTAACAATCGAAGTATCAGATTGATTCTCAGCGTGATCCTCTCTCGCAGGAGACACATCAAAATCTGTCGTGTATCTCCATTCGAAAAGTGCCTCGTGTTCGCATCGACATCTCCTCGGCGTTTGTGGGAAAAAATCTTTCAGAATCAATTCGACGCATTTGAGATGATTCCACTGTGTGGATAAAACTGCGATACTTAATTTCTAACGTCCTCGGCCGAGGACGTGGATCGCCCCAGAGCCCGGCTTTCAACTTCACTTCTCGCACGGAACGCTGACGACGCCGATGAGCATTCTCGATCCTTACCGACGCACGACTGGCGAGAGAATGAACCTTGTGCCGCGGGAACACGCACGCACGCACGCACGCACGCATGCACGCACGCACGCACGATTCACGCGACACGCACCGAGTGACCGACCAGCGCACGGTATGCGTGGATCCTTTGTTTCCTCGAATGCTTCGTGGAATTCTTCGAAGGTCAACCGGTGGTCCGTCGAGGGCTTTCTCGTAGAGGTCTCTCTCTAAGGAGACCTTCTCGGAAGAAGGCAGACCTGTCGCCGCCGAACGGGATCCCGATTAAGCGGCGGATTAACCGCCACCCGGGAGCTCAGATCGAGCGGGGACGATACGTGCGGCCACGTGAGCGAGCCTGAGGGAATTAACATGCGAACCACGGAGGCCAATGACATCGAGTAACACCGAGTTGTGCCGTCGTCGTGCGTCGGGTCATCGACGACACCGGGAGATCCCTTCCTCTTCCCGTTCGGGACCGGCTGCGTTGGCTCGCAGCGTCGATAAACCACGAATCGATAGTCTCCCGTGAAAGAAAGAAGAGGACGATATTAGCCCGGTCGTGTTAGCGGTACGATACACGATGACCCTTCGTGGATCGATTAGCTTAATCTCTAACTGGAGCAACGCGAATACGAGAAATCCGGACAAGTGGCCTAGGGTGATAATATAAATACATAAGTAATGAAAATAATATCTTTTTCGAGTTCAGAGTGATCCCGCAGAGTTTTTCCAAGTCGCAACCGAGGACATACGATCTCGTCTCATCCGTCTTTTATTCTCCAAACTTGTTTACGTCGCGACAAAACTTGGCTTCGATGGATCTTCTCATTTTCGCGGGCATCAGGTCTGCAATGTGCCGGTTGCGTGATACATTCTTGACTTTCGACCTGTCAATTTCCAAATTCGCCGGCGACGGCAAGGAGACCGGGAACAGTTGAAAATCCTGACATCTGCAAAAGCAGATGTCCTTGAAACCCGAGAATACACTCTCGACCGCACGGCATACTTGACACACTTAACAGTCGTATTATTATTATTATTATTAGCCGAGCATGTTTGAGCATGGAAATCGCGTAATTTCGTTGCTCCAGCAGACGCCGAGAGAGTAGAGGGATCTCGAGAACCTGGGGTACGATCAGGAGCGAGAAAAGTGATCTCCGGCGCGGGAGACGAGTTTGACGATAGAGCGAAAGAGAAAGACGGAGAAATGGTGGAGTCGCGCTGACAGGTGAAAGATAAATTATTGCGAGAGACCCCTCTCACTCGGCAACATGCTGGAGGAACGCCTCGAGCGATAATCCGCATAATAGAAACTATAACTTTCCCTTTGTGTTCCGCGCATGATTAACTCACCGCGCGTGAAGTCGTGGCGGCGACCGAGAAAAAGAGAGAGGGCGGCGACGGGAGGGGGGGGGGCGAGCGATGGAGGAAGGGTCCGCGATGATGTGCAAGTCGCGGGATTCCAACATGATTACGGCGCGAGACTAGACAGCCCGAAGAGGTTCCACATTCCTCTTGATACGGTTATCCACTTGATACGGAAGACTCGCAGACTCGCGCACTCGACTTCCCGCGCAGGCTAAGACTACACAACACGCGCCGTGACGAGGAGACGAGTGAGACGAGCGAGAGAGAGAGAGAGAGAGGGAGAGAGAAAGAGGTTAAGCGCGCGCGCGCGAAATCGAAAGGAGCTGTGCGCGCCTTTCCGCCGTTGCTCACCTCACGGACTCGGCGATGCTCCTCAGACTGTGGGAGATTGCGATCCGGAACAGCTGCGCGTTATTCGAACACCCGGCCTGCTCGTCATCCGCCATCGTCCCCGACGATCGCTCGCACAACACGCTCGCACGATGCGTCAACGATGCCGCGCAATATGGCACAGTAACGGTTTTCGCGCGAACGACACCGGCGAACCTACCGTCGGGATCGCTCGACGAGCGGGGATTTGAATCGCACCGAAGCGTGTGGTTGGCTACGCGCGAGTTCCGTGCGCGGCGCATAGATGGCGCTCGGAGCGCGATGCGTCGAGCGCTGCCGCGGAGGACGGAGGCGTTTGGAGGCCTTTGATTTTTGTCTAACCTAACCTGCTCGCAATGAGACGAGCCTAACGAATTCGTTAATTACAATTCGCCGATGAATGGGAATTATCGGGTGGTGTGTGTTTAACACGAGATTGCCAATATTACAAAGAGATCGAGAGAGGAGAATGAAATGATTATTCGCGTGTGTGAAACTGATAAGTAGAATATTTGTATTTCCGATAAGATAGAATATTTGAATACCGCGATGCTGCTCGGTAATTTTGTCGGAGATGCGGAAACGGAAAAAAATATTGCTAACACTCGCTCGCGTCGTTGAATCTTCTTTGCCCTTTGTACTTTTGCTCTCCGGATCGATCGGCGATCGTAACCGGTTTGATCGATCGACGAGGTCCCCGTAACGAACTATTTGCCGATAATTACGGCGAAAGTTTAGCATTACTTGATGGCGGGGTATCGAGTCGAATGGTTAATTAGCCTCCGTGGTTACGGCATCGGTACAATGATAATTGCTGTGTGTCGCTACAGGCGCGCGATTAATCGCGTGACTGCTTCTTTCTACGGTATTATCCGAGGAATTTGTAGCTGTCGTACACGCGTCGCACTTGAAACGCCATTTCTAATCGACGCTTTTGCCTTCTAGGGAAAAGGGTCTCTCACTTCGTCGCATTTTTATCAAGAACCTTTCGCAATCGCGATAATTGCTCGACTAATGGACACAAGGTCACGCCGCGCGAACGGGCGGACAATGCTAAGTGAGAATCAAACGGATTACACCGCACACCGCGATGACTGATATGTACACATCAATTGATAAATCGCATCCGGCAGGTAACGATCTTCCAATCGATTCTGATGTACGCGAATTGCGTCACATCGAGTAAACGCGAACATCGCCGCCGTCGCCGTCGCCGTCGCCGCCGCCGCCGCCGCATCGTTCCTCATGTCGACTTTTACGAGTGTCTCGCCACGGAGAAACTAGAAGCGCCGCTAGTCGCCGTCGCCGAAAGTCAGCGAAAGGTTTCACCCTCCGCGCGGAATTTCGATCGGCTAATCGGCGGATTCTGCTCGCCGATCACGCCAGGCGCTTCCTCTTATATCCTGCGCGATGCTCAAGGCAAGCAAGTCAGCTCCGTCAGCCGTCAGCCGGGTGCGAATCTAAGACTTGGAATCGGATCGTCCTTCACCGACGTCGGCATCCTCGGGACGAGGCGGGCGCGATCGTCGTGATCGAGCTGCTCCTGTTTATAGCGGCGGCGATAATGGCGGCTGCACCCTTCCGAGAAGGAACCGCATAGTGCACTTACATGCGCTTCCCAAAGGTCATCATCGACGACGACGACACGATGACGACGACGATGACGATGAAGAGGAACCGTACCTCGTATATAGTAGTAATCCGAGATACGCGCGATTTCGAGAGCACGTTGCGACGTCGCGACGCGCCTTCGTTATATTATGCAACCGGCAACTCAGCTGGCAGCCTGAACTATATTTTCTTTTGCTCAGCTCACCTCTCGGAAGACTCAAGCTACCGAGCCGGAGCACCCATTCACTCTCGGCTTGTCAGCCGGGGAGAGCATCGTTGGTGTAACCGTGAAGATCGCGATAAAACATCGCGACGGCTATCGCTGATAGACCGTGAGCCAGCCGTCTTCACCCCAATCAACGGAACAACGGAACGATCGCGCAACGCAGAATCCCGCGGTCTGAAATTTCGAGAAGCACCATCGAATTTCGATGCGGAATAAATATGTGTATAATAGAAAAGATATACATATATTAAAAATATGTTTCTCTTCGTTTTAGGAGGCACAGATAGGAAACTACAACAAAATAATATTACTATATTCAGAGTTTATACTCTGGCAAAATAGGAAATCATGCGAGGGCGAAGGAAAGATGTGAGCAGATTCATCAAAATTCGCTTTTCGATCGTAATCTTTTCATCATTTTCTCATCATTTCGACGTTATCATGATTTTCCGTTTTGCCTGGATAGCACATGTCCAGTTCTACGTCTGTTGTAGAATACAACGTCAAACGAAGAATTGAAGCGATATCTGACGAGTCTGAAACAACCTGTACCATTGATTCCCGCGAGAAACATTCATCATGTTACCCATAGAAAGTACATATCGACAGAGATGATCGTGGGAAGATACACTCGCCGGCAATAAAATAATGCTGTTCCATTTTGCAGCAGTCCGAGCGAGGAGAGATATGAAAATGAAGTAACAGACACGGAATGGACAATATCCATTAATGACGGCGGAATGCGGTTCTAGCGCAAGTCGTAACGGAAATCGACGAGCTATTCCAATTATGCGTGCCGCGAAAACAGCACGTCGTGACGTTCAATCGCGATGATGTAACACGGTGGTCTCGTGTATTTTCCGCTTATTCGCAACGCGATCGAAGCGAGCACAAATTGGCGAGTAATTAAGTTTAGCGTCTCATGCACGCGAAGAAATTGATTCTCACCAGGTAATCAGACGCGTACGTGTCCTAAGTTATTAGCGAGTATATTTCTCTCTCTCTCTCTCTCTCTCTCTCTGTCTGTCTCTATCTATCTCTATCTCTCTCTCTTGCTCGATGGCGTTAGAAAATTAGATTAAATCTGAATTTCTCTGCTTAGAAAATAAGCTGTAATGTTAATCGGTATAATGTTAACAGGCGAATCACTCATCGAACGATGACAGCAGCATTTTCGTTCCTTCAGATACGAGGTACAAGCACTCAATCCGAATCCTTCAGTTAACAACGCAATTAAGAGGCACGATCGACTGCGCGGCGATTGTATCGTTACGCCGCCGAAACGGAGCGCAACAAGACAAAAATGATCGCGATCGCCTCTCGCGAGAGCGCCTGCTCCTCTCAACCCCGCGCGAGGCGTAGAAATCTCCGATCCGCTCTTCTTCCTTTCTTCCATTTTTTGCTGCGTCGCCGAGTTGCGTCAAGACCGCGACACGTAAGAGCTGCCGAGAGACCGCAGCTTTTTTTTCCCGCCATCGACCTCCGACGCAGGCTATTCTTTCGAAATAGTGCGATCGCGTGCACGAGGTCGTAAGAAGGAGAGCGGAGGGAGAGGCACACGCTTCTGGTTCTGCACAATCTCTTTATTACATGTCGCTCTTCAATAACGACCCTCGACACACTTCCGCGATACGTTGTCGAAGAGCGATCGAGTTCGCGCGCCGCCGTCGGACGGAGCAGCGATCATGGCTAATTTGCGCAAGCTATTAGCAAAATGAATCGAGGCTGCAAACATATTTTCCTCTTTCAGATTTCGGCAACAGAGATATGAGATAATAATAGTCTGCCGAATCTGGGAATCTGCTCACCTTCAAAGGACGGCGCCACCGATAAGATCTGACTCTGAAATCGTCCGACTGTAAGCGACCGGCGATTAATCGCGAAGGACGCCGGGGCTAGTCGCTCGCCGCCTGCCTTCCAATTATTGCGGGACGCTCATGGAATTCGATACACCTCGGGTCCTCAAGCCCAAACTAGTTCGAGGAGTTCTCGCGCTGGTGAACCTCACCTCTGGCATAACACGAGCAGCCGAGGTAGATGAGCGCGCGGATAGCGTGCTGAAAGGGCTGGGTCTGCCCGAGGAATATCGGTGACTCGATTCTCTTAGAAAGCGCCGACGGAGTGGGGCTTGCGATGTCCCGATACGGTTGCCGTATCCTATTATCGAACTCGTAGCTCACGATCGGCATGATTTTTCCGCAGCCGCACCCCTGCATCCAATCTGACACTTGTGCGGAATATAGCCGTTCAACCTCGGGAATCGGGCCACTGTATGTGCTGACGAACGTTACGTTGGAATTTCTCTCTCTCTCTCTCTCTCTCTCTCTCTCTCTCTCTCTCTCTCTCTCTCTCTCTCTCTCTCCCTCTCCCTCTCCCCCCTCCCTCCCTCTCGCTCTTTCTCAAGGATTTCCAAGTGATTCAATCCGAATCCGTGAAGATCCGAATCGCTTCGAAAACACTCGAGACTCCCTTTTGCGTCTTGAGCCAATCGCTAATTATGCCAAGTGTTTCAGGCTCATCGCGCTTCCCTCCACATACATACGGCGCACCGAATTCGCCGCACCGAAAGTCGCACCGATGTAACAGCAGAACATCATAGATCTTAGATCTCTAAATATGGACCCGAAGATTCGACCGCTCTGATCGAGAATCGAGGCGCGTGTACGTCGCCACCAGGTCTTTCTCTCCGTCCAAGTGAACGCGTTGCCTATTGGGATGCGCGATCATCTCGACGAGGCGTTTACGTGCTGAAGCGCGAGTACGGTGACCCAAAGGTGGATCGTTAACCGAGGCGAGTTACGTGCCGATCGGCAATACCTGACGATACCTCAAGTGCGCCTCGGTGGCCGTGCACTCTTCATGGAACTGCTTATGACGCTAAATTATACGCACAAATCGCAAGCGCTTTGTAAATGTGTAACGCTCTTTCGTCGGGGATCGTAAACGCGAGTCTTGTACTCGTCCTTACGATGAGCGCCAACCTATGATTCCTCTGATTACTCTCTCACAACTTACAGTCTTATGTAACCGTCGGATCCGCGAGTAACCGGATCCAATTCTTAGCCTGGCGCCATTCCCGAACTCCGATCGTATAATTATCCGAATATTATTCAGACGGCTAGCGAGTAAAAATCCGCATGAGCTCTTGACAAGGTAATAGCTCTCGCAGTTAATAACTCTCGTCGTAATCGAGCGAAGATGATAAAGCTTGTTGGTCTTTACAGGCTGTGGAACACGTGGTCAACGGCGGCGGGTTTAGGGCCGCGTTACGTGCGAGAAATTATCCCAGGTGCACCCGCGCTCTCCGACCTAGCGCACGCACACGATCATCGGCATGCACGCGCTTCAAGCAGCTCCGACGCGCTCCGGAGATGCTCAACGCACAACGATTGCACAACGAGCCCGCTCGATTGCGGAGCGCGCGTTGCTCTCCATAAGCCGTCGCCGCCGCCGCCGCCGCCGCCGCCGCCGCCGCCGCCGTCGCGGGCGACAACGACGACGACGGCGATGGTGATGATGATGCTGCGGCGTCCCCGCAGCGAACGGCTATAATTCCCGTCAAAAGAGCCGGTATAATTACAAGGGAGAACGCGCGTCGAGATGCATGCCATCGGCGCGTCATCGGCTCGACTGCTTTTCTGTGCTTTCTCACTGCTTCCCTATCTCTGTTTATTGAGACGCATCGGGAACGGATCGAATGGATCTTTGTAGCGATTTCGAGAACGTGCAAATCTCAATAGTCAAACCATCTGTGTGTGTGTGTGTGTGTGTGTGTGTGTGTGTGTGTGTGAGAACCTGCTTTTGCGTATCTCAGTTTGCAAAGTGATAAATTATTTTGGATCATTGAATATCACAGCGAGAGTCGCTGTATGAAACGGCCGAGAATATAAAATATTGCATGCAATAACCGATACAATAACCGATACAATAACCGTTTACCTTACCTCACTTTTACACTTATTTCGACCCTATCGCTTCACTTTCAGACTGACCCCATTGGCCGACCTTCAGGTCCGTTCGGAGATGCTCACCGATCTGTATCATCTAGAGTTGCGCAAACACCCTTCATCCTATGTTGCTCGATGAGGTTCGTCTTAACGGAGGGACCTCCTTCGCCACCTCCAGCCCCTCGTCGCGGTACGCTTCTTCATCCGACATCGGTATCTCTTTTTCTCTTTCTATTTTTCTCCTATCTATCTATCTATCTTTATTTGTCTCTCCCTCTATCTTACTCTCTGTCTCTCACCGCGGCTCCTTTCGCAGCGAAGAGATGGCGAATCTTCGAGGAACGCACCGGGTGATCTCTAGCCGCGATGCCATCCGCGCGCGCGGTTTCACATTGGCGGGTGGGAGGAAGACGATCCTCCGCGGGATCGGTATATAAGCATGCTGGATACGACCTGGATCCTCACAGACCAATTATCATCGTCGGTTTGGCGATACATACTCGGGTCCCACCGCAGTGCGACGAGCAACACCGCTGGGATTCGCGACCGTCGATCGACGAGCGTACGGGCAGAGCTAGCGAGATGAGACCGGTACGAGTCGCGCGCAACCCGCGGGTTTTCTAACCGTACTTCCGGATTTTCCGTCCCAAACTACCCGAATCAGCGACAGTCGGAGGGGGGTGCCCCCGGGGTTGTGTCGCGCGGACAATTTTTCGCCGGGTACCGTGGGACTTCCGTCTCGTGTGGAAACTCGTGGTGAAACGGGGCCTGAGAAAAATGAAACTTTGTTATGTTTACGCCGCTTGATTGCCCAATCGGAAGATGTTTAACAGACGTTCGCCAGCAATTATCTCATTTCGCGTCTTTTTCATTCTCGTGTCGGGAAAATGGATGCAGAGCGAGCGTCTGTTGGACAACTTTGTTTCGTCGGTACTCTGGTGCGTTTTCTCCTTTCGCTTCGGGATTTGATATATTTTGGAATTATTTCAGCAGCTCGTAATCGCGTTACTGACCATCGTCGGCACGTGCTATGCTGCACGGCTGGACAGCACCTACCTTCCGCCCGGTAGCGCCGGGAGTGCAGGCGGAACAGGATTGATTCCTCCTGCAGGACGTGGACCTCCTGGTGGTCCTGGTAGACATGGTGGTCCGGGTGGCCATCATGGTGGACCTAGTGCGCCTGGTGGTACCTATGGTGTTCCTCCTAGTGGGCCCGGTGGCCATGGTGGATTCGGCCCTGGGGGTGGCGGCGGCGGCGGCAGTTATCCAGGTGGCAAATGGGAACGGAAATGACGAAAAGAGCAAAGCTTCCTACATATATATATATATATTTTTTTTTAATATAAAAGTTCTATTAACGCATTCTACGTTTTATATAATATTTATTATTACACAATTATATTTTCATTTTATTTCTATATTATGTCTAAATCTGATTCTGATATCTGAATGAAATCTTCCTTCACACGCATACTCTATTATTATTTGAGATTGAAATGAGACAGTTTTCTCCCAAATTTTACGTTTATATCGCTCTTATCATTTCATTTTTCATTTCAGGTGGTGGAGCAGGTGGAGCACGAGGAGGAGGGCCCGGTCAGGAGATACCTATCATCTCTTATAGCAACGAGAACGCCGGCGACGGAAACTACCAGTTCAGCTACGAAACCGGAAATGGCATTTCTGTTCAAGAAACGGGCCACCAGCAAGGTGAGAGACTGCAATTTTCAGTTTTCAATTGAGTCACTGCTCATCAATGCATTGGCTTGTGCGCTTTCGTAAACTATGAGTGTTAAAAAAGCAAACAACTGCTAAGCAGAAGAAGCATTCGAGTGTCATGTCGTAACGCCTCGACTCGACAATACGTTGCATCCAAATAAAATGGTGCGTGTCGATTGCAGGCGAGTCCGAGTCGGTGAGCGGATCCTTCTCTTACACGGGGCCCGACGGTATGCAATACTCGATCACGTACACGGCGGACGAGCAGGGCTTCCATCCTCAAGGCGCCCACTTGCCGACACCGCCCCCGATTCCACCGGAAATCCAACGAGGCGTTGAGCTGGCGCTCGCTGCCGAAGCCAGAGGCGAGAATCAAGACGGAGGTTACACGCATGAAGGAGGTGGCTATCCTAGCGGAGGTAATCTATAGACCCTGGACGTAATCGAATATAAATCATTGTTCTTATCGTCACGATTAAGACCGAAGCGTACTTTTATTGATTTTTTACATCGCCTACTATTGATTTCGTTTTTTTCGTTACAGGAGGCGGTCGCGGTGGTCACGGAGGTGGTGGTGTTTATCAGGGACCGAGCTCGTATCAAGCAAGTTCGGCCGGCGGAGGATATCGATACTAGACTGCGAATTCGCGAAAGTCGTCGAAAGTCGTATTGAACACATACCACACACAGACGTTTTATTACGATAATCCCATTTTCGCGGACGAGCTTATGTACATAACAATACGTCATTCAAGTGCAAGTCTCTTAATTTATAGAAAATACGAGTGTATTTTTTATTTATAGAATGCCTATTCCCTCTGTCTCTCTCTCTCTCTCTCTCTCTCTCTCTCTCTCTCTCTCTCTCTCTCTCTCTCTCTCTCTCTCTCTCTCTCTCTCTCTCTCTAATCTTCTTTTTCTTTCCTTCGCGGAGTAAATTTTGTATACCGGTGTAATGCTGCTCGACTTTTTAGAAATGCTGTAACTTCGACTCTAGGATAATTACGAAGACATATATTTGTCAAGTGTACGCGACATGATCTGTGACAATCTAGAACACACGCGCACACTTTGCATAGACATTGATTATACATGTATCAACTACGATATTTTTTTATATATACATATATTTTTGGAATAAAAAGTGTATTAACACTGAGAAATGTACAATACTTCATATCATTTAAATTACACTTTCACTTCATATAGAGAGAACACAAAAATATTTTATTTACATAATATTATATGAAATTAATTTAAAACTTATATTTAAAAATTGTTAAATTGAACGTAATATTATAATGATTAATTACTAACATCAATATGAACAATTAGCTAGCTCCATGCATTTCATGGTACATTAACTATGTTATTTAATATATCTCAGAATACTTAATACTTAAAACTTTACTCAGCTTATACCTGACAGCTTCTTTCTGACTAGCAATACGATCTGAAGATTCTTCAGGCTGCAGCGTTTCTGGTTAGATGTATTTTTTTATATATTAATTCGTATCATTCCTTGTTCAATACATCCCAGCATACTTTGTATATAAGACACATCAACTTATACTGTTTCTTCACGATTGAGAATGCAATTTGTAGATTCTTTAGGTTGCGTTGTTTCAACTCCTCTAGCGAACTGTATAAATAGCTGTTCTAAAGTCGCGGATAAAACGGCGTAATCTTCGATGCAATTGTATCTTTGCTTCATGTCATTCATTGTACTGTACATTTTTTCCCACGTTGTGTCGCAATCGGTTACGTGATAAGCGAGTAAACTCTGCCAAAATACAAGTAAAAATCAATGCAAATGGAGAGAAATAAAACTAAAATATATATACAAAGAATATATATATATATATGTGTTATTACCAAATTTTCGTCGACGATATCACACGTTAAAGTAGATTCGATGACGTTTTTAATACTCTCGGCTTCCTCGTCCGAACGGTCCGGCCTCAGTTTGATGTGGATATTGTAACCAGCTCCAAATCGTTGTTTCAGCTCTTGGCTCGCGCCGATGCAAACCAACTGACCCTTCACCATGATGACTAGTCGATTACAAAGCGCTTCGCATTCCTCCATGCTGTCGAACAATGTGCAATATTAATATTTAATACTCTGGCGAACCTCATCAGATTTCTAACGCGAAACTGAAGTGTATCGAAAAATACTAGGACAATTCCATCAGATTCACCTGTGAGACGTAAGTATAATAGCTTGCCCGGCCGCCTGACAAGACTGCAAAGTGTTCCACAGCGATCTTCTGGCTGCAGGATCGACGCCGGTTGTTGGCTCGTCCAGAAGCACGAGAGTAGGATTACCGATAAGAGCCATCGCGATATTTAAGCGTCTCTTATTACCGCCGCTGTAAGTACTACTTGGTTGTGACATGCAAGCAGTCAAATCTGAAAGAGAAATACGTAGAAGTGTGTCGTTGTACCGTATGCATTGTTCTGTTTCACGCAGGTCCCACTCTCTTTGAAAACTTAAACTTTCTATACATCATTTGTTTTATCTGTTGTCTATTTTTTTTTCTAACATCATAATGCTCACTCACTCAGCCTGTTGATCCACTTGTTGACTTCTAACTCAACGTTTAACTTTGGTATACCGCGCAGCCGAGCAAACAGTCGTAGATGATCGAAAGCGTTCAAGGAAGGAATCAGAGCGTCGGTTTGAGGACAGTAACCCATCTCAGACAGATACTGCGAATAAAAATACCTTTAGTACCGGAAACAATGTTTGAACGCGAAAGATCTCATCGTTACCTGTTTCCTATTCATTTGGATGTTCGCTCTTCTCAAATACATCATGCCGCTGTTAGGCATCTCTTCCCCAGTCAGCATTCTAAAAGTTGTACTTTTCCCAGCACCGTTTACGCCGAGCAATCCGAAGCATTCTTGTGGCTTCACTCGAAAACTGATCTCCTTCACGGCTATCAACTTCCCATAGTATTTACTTAATTCATATACTAAAAAGAGGCTATCACCCTCGCTGATTGGGCTTTGTAAGACTTCGCCATTTCTACTAGTGGCAGTACTAGTTTTAGGTTCTTGTAGTTCAATGTTTGCGTCTGTACATAAAAGCATATCTAAGTCCTTTTTGTACGCGACATTATTATCTAAAAAATATTCAAAATGATATTACTTTTATTAATTTTATTAATTTCTACCGCTACCGCATGTTTCTCTTTCTTCACTTGATCGTCCATCGTGTCGCATTTGTCCCTCAATTGCGGCTTGACAACCTTCGCGAATAGCAACGGGAACAGTTTCTCCTCTAGAAATAGCAATATAGTAAAGTACAAAATAGGTGTTAGACCCAGATACAATATGCACTCTTCGAAACTGATGTCGTCTTCAAACTTCTTAAAGTAAGGTATTTGATTTCTGCAAACTCCATCTGCACAATCCAAGCCTGTAGAAAGAACGATGAGGAAATTGGTTATTATAATAAACGAGATATATCTCGTTAATGTAGCATGTTGAATGTAGCATGAAAATTTATTTTACATATAGATATCGCACAATCTTACCACAGCAGGGATCGCGGACGAAACAAGTTATATCATGAAGTTTATTTGGCAGACGACGACATCTCGCGTTTTGCATGGCTGTATTGAAAAAGGCTATTTGTCCGTGGTATAAACTTACGTAAGGAATTAGTCGTAAGATTCGTTTCTGTATAATATGTAATACTTTAAGACTGTCGAAGCTGTACACTAGTATGTGTAGTAGATACTGTATTATAACTGAAATAGGAATTCCAAGGTTTTCTTTCCTCTTATGACATATATCTGATAATATTTTATATCACATCGTAAGCTTACCAATACCAAGAGGTGCTAGAGCCAAGATAGTTATTATCGTGCTCCTTGACTTCTTTAGAAAACTAAACATATATACTATAAGCAAGGCATTAATACCGAACAATTCCAGAAGCAATATTGTAGACACTGAAAGAGAAAGTGAGCATTGTGTAAGAATGAAACATGTGAATAAAAATGTGAAATATAATACTAGTCTAAAACGAAATTTATGATATAGAGAGACTTACTTATCTCTATTCTGTAGTATAAGCGGATATCGAGAATAACATCCATAATGTAAAATGACAAAGCAATTTGCAGCACGCACACCGTGTATATGAGAAAATCGAAAATAAACATTGTCCCCCAGTATGATATAGATGTAACGCCCGTCATACGTTGAAGTTGTTTAACTTTTGTTGCACTCTCTTGCAAAGGTTGCGCTATAAAGAGCGCCACGGTGGGGAAGAAGAAAGTACAGAATATCAAAGTACGTGGAAGCGATTCCGCTTCTGATATTTGTATTCTAGTCGAGGACAGTGTGTTTGGCAATTGTTGCCTGGACACATGGATCGAGTATTTATCATCAGCGAAGGTCTTGATTAAAGAATTACTCAAGAGATTTACTGTCAACGGCACACTGTGGACTGCTGTGCCAGAATAAAAGCCATTCACCAACGTGTAATTCTCAGTGATATTAAATTTGGCAGATACGATAAAATTGTTACGATACTCCGCAATGTTATCCAAGGAAAGATTGAGGAGTGCTGAAAGAAAAGAAAAGAACGAGATAACGTTTAAATATACTCAACGACAAGTATACTTAGTACGATTATTAGTACGATACTATGTGTTATTATATTTACCATTCGTAACACTCATATCTGAAACAGCGGCTGCAGATCCGCCGAAGTGCGTGACAATGTCTCCGTATATCCGGCCAATTGTATCGTTGTTAGAAGAATATATAGCTTTGGGATATCTATACATGTCAAGTTCTAACGGAACAATATTGGTGGGGTCGCCCGGTAAATTGAAACTTAAGGCCATTAAAAATACCAATAAGATAGGAAGAGTCAACTGGAAAATATCAACGACGGAATATTAGTAGACAATGATGGCAACAACAAACAAGTTTTAATCTCAGAGTGTCACACAATATCAATAATGCATAATATTAGGATGCTATCTGGGTAACATAATCGCACAATAATTATTAAGAAAGAAATGCATACCGTCATTAATAAGTTGGCTAAATTTTTTCTGGTGTATGTAAACTTCTTAGAAAATAAGGCCATTATTGATTGCAAGTATAATTCATTGTCTGTAATTTTATTTAACGGCGCTGTAAACAACTCGTTGAGATGTTTTCCATTATCTTCCTTCGCGATCCTACAATGAATAGCGTGACAGATGAATAAGAGATAAATAGCTATTCTTATAGCATATCTTATCATAAAAGCATACTTTAAAAACACTTGTTCCAGTGTAATTAATGACACGCTTATTCCAGTGACTCCTAGTTTCTTCCTTTGACTTTCTATATCATCCAGCGATAGTGGTAAAGAATCAGTATACGGTACATTTAAAACGATCTTTTCGCTGTCGACACTAAGTTGTTCCGTTCTCGAGTCAAACCTACTGATGATGTTTCCTGGGTCACACCAAGACTTGATGGATAACGTAATTTCTACATGCCCGTGACCTAACATGCAAGATGGAGTTATAATTCAAAGAACAACAGTCCGAATTACAGAACGCGTTCAAATATTAATAAGTGCAAAATGTCGACTACGATGTCTTACCATATTGTTTCTTCAAAAACATTGTTGTGCCAAAACTCTTAAGGCGACCCGAATGTATTATCGCGATTCTGTCGCCAAGGACATCAGCCTCTTCCATATTGTGTGTGCTAATCAATATCGTTTTTTCTCCCCTAAGTTTCTAATGAATGAAAATTAAACATATATAAGATGTCGTAGCAAGTTGACTATTATTGACATAACTCAAAGTTACTCACCAATAACATGTCCCATGTATCTCTTCTAGTTTCAGGATCCATCCCCGATGTCGGTTCATCCAAGATTAAAATCTAGATAACGTATTTTATAGGATCTTTTTATAGCGGCAATGTAATAACAACACACATGTTATGTATTCACATATATATCGACATCAGAACTTACATTAGCGTCGCCAATGAGTGCCATTCCAAGGCATAATCTTCTCTGTTGACCACCGGAAAGTTTGCTAGGGAGAAAATCTCTCTTCTCAGAAAGGTTCAGTTTAGAAAGCAAAACATCGACATCCTGCCTGACTTGATACCTGGTCTTTCTCCCAGCTTTCAGCTACAATAACATTGAAATCATATATGTGTTTAACGAATATGTCTTATATAATTGCTTTTATTCCGTGGGTATTAATTTTATTATTCCTACCAAGCCGATGAATTCTATCTGTTCAAATACGTTCAAATCTGGGAAAACCATATTTTCTTGAGGGCACAAACCCAGATCATCTCTAATAATTTTCAAATGTTCTACTATGTTTTTACCGTTTATAAATACTTTTCCTTCTGTTTGACTGGTCACACCTGCCGAATATAAATCTAATGTATAGCCCCGCCAAAAGTAATAAAATCTTTCAATTTGATGTGTAAAAGTTATTTTGTAACACGGTACCTGTTAATATAGACATTAGTGTAGTTTTGCCTGCCCCGTTGTGTCCTAGTAGGGCAGTAATTTCTCCTTTGTAAAAATCTACGGAAATCCCTCTCAACGCTTGAACTTGCTAAAGTAAAATAATTTAAACAAAAGTTTTAAGAAAATGTAACGTTTATCTACAATATATGAACTTACAGATTTTCGTAGCCAACATGTCGTATAAGTCTTTTTAAGATCACGAATTTGTATTCCAGGTGTAAGTGCACTGCCCAATATTGGTTCAAAATCTTCGGTAGATATTTTGTTGTAATCCAATTCGCCAACTTCCTCATCGAGAGATATTTTATTCTTTTTCATACACTGCAAAATATAAGATTGTACAAATAAATATACATGCACATGGCGTTACGTTCATTTTATTCAGAATATTTTCCTACGTAAACTTACTTACTTACCTTTAAAAAATAAAACGGCTCCTTCCGGACTCCATATTGACCCGGCATCACAGCGCTTATATATACTGCGAGAGTAAAATGTATCAAAATACCTAACAGTGTAAAGAGAAATATAAAACCCGAACTTCCTACCAAACCATATTCTACATTCCCAGGGACGAAAAAGTTCTCCCATTGAATGCCAGTCACTAAAGAGGCAAAAACACTTTATAAAGTTACAGTTTATTAAAATCTATCTAATAAACTAAAATTAATAAAAGACTGGAATTATTACATACATTTACTTTCGTACATGTTTGATTCTTCAAACAATCTATAAAGCAGAATATTTGGGAATATTATACCAAAATATGGTATAATTCCGAAAGCTTCTGCTTTCCATAGGTTCTCATGAAGTGCATATGCCGCTATATAGACAATCGATAGGGCAACGGTTACGAAACGTGCTACAAAGAGAATTATATATATTAAGAAAATATATATAATTTTTGATAAAGTATCAAAAATATTATTCGTTTCATTATTACAAGTTTTTAGTGTTATATCATATTAATAGCAACAATATATCGCTTATTTTATAAGTGATTACACTTACGTTTCGAAAAATATGCTGCAATGTGCATGCCAAAAGATATAAGATGAGCAATATTTGCAATAAATAGAAGCCAAAATATAAAGGCGTTTCCATAGTGCAAGTAGGCTAAGACATCCGCTTTATTAAAAGTATTTTTAAACAATATGATTGTTGGTATTATATATAAATTGCTAACTAACATTCCTGTAAGTAACCAGCTTAATAAGTTGTAGAATTGTTTAACTCCATTCATTGCCATTAAGACCTGTGAACAGTGAAACAAATTAATAATATCTAGATTTGTTGATATTTATTAGAAAAGAAATATATTAAACACAAGCAGAAATTATAAATGATACTAACAATTATACCATTAAACTTCTCCTGAGATGCATAGTTGGCTTCAATACAAAGTGGGATTATAAAAATCATAACTGCAAATACAGCTATCATCTGGCGTAATATAACATCACTATCATCTATGTTAACATGTGGTGGATAAGGCATCCTTTGTATTGACAGCTAAAAGGGTATGAATTTCAAGGTGTTTTAATTTTTTTTATGTAGATTGATATTTGCTGATATTTCTTAGTAGTAAATTATTCATACATATATTTTATATATTTCTTCTAAATATACTTGCACTATATATACCTTTACATTAAACATAGAATCTGGTACGATTTGGTTTATGAGCGTTTCATCTACACACATTTGAACCTGTACAAATGGCATCATAGAGAAATATATAGTAGGTGTTGTGGCTATATTTTCACTTGCTACAGTTCGATATAAAGTATATGGAATTTTCCAAGAATGTCTAATTTTATATTTTATGGTATTCTCCTTGTATTGCTCGAAAACAACTGCCAAAACAGATATTAATGGATCTTGAGCTTGAGATAATGTATAAATATCTTCCATTTCAGTCTCATTTGAGAAACCTTGCATATCTATGTGGAAGGAAAAATATGATAGTTATGTCGAGGTATATTTCAAGAAGGCTAAAATTAAAAAAGACATCTATAATTATGTTCTAAATATATATATATATATATGTAAGAGTATTTTAAACTTACTTTCAGGCAGAAGTTTAAGGCAATGTCTTGCAGACTCCATAACTCTGTCTGTATAATCATTTTGTGGCAGATAATATAGTTTGGTCAAAGCATTATCAATATTCATTAACAAATCATCTTTTGTTTGTACAGGATAGTATGTGTTTTCTGTTACTCTAACTGGCGATTGAACGCTAAAATCTCTCACAGCTTGTAATAGTGAGAATAGTGCAATAGGTACTAATGTTTGTAAGAAAAAAATCATACGCCAGTGTCTCTTGCGTACTATTAAATCCTTATATAGCAATAAGGCCATAACTTTTAGTCCAGAAGCCATATTGACGGTGGCTTTCGCAAAGCTTTTTAACAATGAACACAGTGTTCCAATCTATAAATGCTGTATATAGCTGCTTGCCATTGAGAGTACACGAATGTCTCTGAATAAATTATTAGAAGTGATATATATGTTGGTTGTAACTTCAAGTATATTTTATAAATGAATTATATGTGACCTCATGGACAATTAAAATGTGAAAATTTTCAATTTAACTCAATGGCTTTTACTATATTGTATAAGAGAAGATCCCATTTATATATCCTCTTTGTTAGATGTGGAATATCACTGTTGTCATAGTAAATTTTACCTAAACAAACATGATTCATTACATTACACAGTAATAAAGCTAAATATCTATCAATGTTCAAATGCTCATAAAAATTGTTTCTTTAACAGCTTTAACAAATTTAATATATCACTCAAAGAAAGAAAAAGGAACTGGATAATTAAAATATTTATGGAAATATCTTTAGTAGGATAAGAAACTGAATTATCCAAGAAGCAGATAATTATGATGTGTTTAGGACAACAACAATTTGACAATGACATTTGAAGTCTACACCCCTCAGCAACATATTTATAATATTTAACATATTTATAATATTTAAATATATATCAGGGTTTCACTCTATATTCAGATACAATAGAAATATCTAGATATATGCAAAATAATATGTAATCTGTTAACTATCTCACAATGCAAATGTTATACACTGTCAAACTACAAAAACTCATTCTGTAATTATGTTGAAATAGATAAGACTATTTACTCTTGCTACCAGATACGATATTCAAACTAGAGATAAAGATGTGTATAGAAGTGTATAGAAAACTGCGATTGCTAATATGATAATTAAAATAATAATTATACATTTTACTCACGGAAATTGTCTCCTCACGAAAAACGATTCCCGATGACACATTCAATCGATTTGATAACAAGCTGCCTGCTTTACAATACTTCATCTTATCATATTATCGAAACTGATAAGGAATATCAATTTTCCGTGAAATACAATGCGTATACTGTGCATTAGCATAAAGAATGACGACGTCACTTATATACATCAATAACGTTACGTATAGCAGGCGACGACGGACTACTTCCAAAAGTATGAACGCAACTGTATCGTGTGCTTAAAGACGGCGTAATATATGTATAGTCTCGAGTCATACATACAACCACCCACCACCCGTATCAATGACGCTCGAGAATAAACGCCCCACTTCAATAAAATCGAAGGTCTCTTATGCTGTCAGCAGTTCGTAGAAATTTCAAGCCTCTTTCGTGTATAATTAAAGGTTCACTTCTCCTAACCCCAAAAAGCGAACAACATCCGGCGCATTGTAACTCCGTGAGAATAACAATGAGACGATCGAAAAAGCATTTTACATTTTTTATTTTCCAATTGTATCCTCGAATATAAAATTTATTTAATTCTCATTGCGTCGTATGAATGATATAAATGCAGATTCGTTAAATGTGTTAAAATTCTCAAATTGCGACTTGCCATCGCGTAAACGAGAAGTTACACGTGAATAACACCTGCATCACTTGAAAGCGCAAATTTAATTTGTACATTACGCAAATTACAATCTAATTTTCCTATCGCAGAGTTATTCAACGTTTGACATGAAATAAAAATGCGTTTGACACAACGTTGAGTCGTGTTATCGGAAAGTATACAGATAATCTAATTTGTCGTTGTGTCGTACTACTGCACGCACTTCCTGAATTGAAAACATCAGTCTACATACACTTCAATATGCTTCAAACCAGAGAGAAACCTGAAAGCGGCCAACGCGGCATTTTCTGCGATACCGACTTTCTGCACTGGGAAAGGACGCCATCTGCATTCATTTTGAGAGGGGAACTACGATGCTACATCTACTTTCTATTTATTGCGTTGTTGTATACAAGAGATATTGATCCAGACAGAGACGGATAACGGTTCATGAACGCGGATCTCTAATTCATCATGTTCTCAATCAAACATTCTGAATAATTCCCAACTGTGTGAGTATACCGGTCTTGTATAGAATATTTAACGTCATACCGCTTCTTTTTTGTTTTCAGTCAGCGCTTCTTTCAAATCTGTTTACTCCCGTTACGGGATCTAAATTTAAATGTCCATTCATAAAAGAGTATTTTCGAAAGCACACAACTGTTGTCTCCGCTTCTTGTTGTCATTTTTTTTTCATCAGCTCTTTCAAGAGCTCCAAGTCCTATCTAGACTTTCAATGTCAATGAAGAAAAAAAACCGTAGCGAATATTCTCCACTCATCCCGACCAAAAATTCTTTCTCTACCGCAGCTTACCAACCAAGAACGCGAGTTGAAATTTCCGATTAAATTATATTTCTCCACAGCTGTTGTTTTGTCGCCTAGCCCCGTCTCTTTCGCCCGGGTGCCTCACCAGCTTACTTGTATTTTACTTCGCCTGCGGCTTGTCCTTCTTCCTTCTTCTTCTTCTTCTTCTTCTTCTTCTTGCACGCTGGCAACTGTCGTTAGATCATGTGGGCCGCTCTTGGCTCGAGCAGCTTCGTTGCTTTTTCGATACCATCTCGGCGCGTGCTCATTCATTACATTTCTGTAATTAATAGCTCAGTTGTTGCGTACATCGCAAAATGGTATGAGAATTTTATATTTATATCTTAATCCGTTCTATGCTTCGTGAATTCCTAGGAGCGAGGAATTTGTGAAACACTCTGTACATATGCTTCTGATTGCAATTTTAGTATTATTTCAACTTTGAATTATTAACTTAAGGAATGCCAACGTGTGTATTTATAATATTTATAAAATAAAAATTATTCTAAATTTTCTCACATCTCACTATCCTAAGAGACATACACACACACACACACACACCATACATTCGGCCTGTTTTCTGTATTAATAGTCTTTAATATCTTCAGATACGTACATATATATATTTTGAAACATTTTCTTTGGATATTATATCAAACGGATTTTGCGTGTCACGTAACAGACATTATTATTTTGATCATTTTGATTTCTTTGATATTCATTAAGAATTATCCAGAACGCAACTGCCATGTTGAACGACTCAATTGTCGTGTGAAATGTTTCGATTTTCACAAATTCATATAAAATTTTTCATTTTTCATTAATTCACAGAAGCCTTTCACTTTTTGCTAGTTCACGTTAGGGAAAAAATTCATAATCGCTGCCCTAAGCAGCTGCAACGCTTCTCCAATCATTTATATCGGCGCGCTCCTACTCCTCAGATTTCTGTCATTAATAACTCGATAATTATTGCGAATCTCGCAAAACGGTATGAGACTTTTATGTTTACCTCAACCCAATCTATCCTCACACTTCGGGTTGGCAGCTAATTACCGGACACTTCGTATGATCTTCATGATTTTAATCATACACAATGTCAATTCTTTTTTTTTTGCACATGTTAACATGTTAATTCATGTTATAAACACATAACGATGTGCGAGACCGTGCTTGTCAAGTATGCTATTATGGTTATAAACCATAGCACGGATATAAACCGCCTGAAAATGGATGTAGCACGGATTGCCACTACATGCAGGTTTTACCGCCGAAACCTGAAAGTGGATGTAGTATAGTTCCCTTCTCAAAATGGCTGCAGATGGCGCCCTTTCCCAGTGCGGAAAATCGGTGTCGCCGAAAACGCCGTGTTGGCTGCTCTCATTGGTTCCTCTCTGCTTCAAACATATTGAGCTGTTTGTTTATAGTAAAAACAGAGGGAAGGACAACATATATATTGAATATAGATGCGTTGCGAAACTTAAAAAGGAAAGTATTGCAATTTTTCTGCCATTGACTTTATGTTTTAAGCTGTGTTCCGATATTTCACCTATGTCAACACTAAAAATCTATAGTATACGTGACACAAACTGTACATTTTCAGTACTGGCGGTGTATTTCGGAACGCGGCTAATATGACAGGTTGAGCCGAATATACCCGAAGATGCCACGGAACTAGCCGAAGTGTTACAGTTAATCACAGCTGCCTCTTTATAAAAGAGACCGATGGTGTCGACGTAGTCTCAGTGTAGCTAAAAAGAACGAACGTCTGGGTGGTGACGTAGTGCGTGCGATTCCAGAACAGTACGGTTATCTTGATCTGGAATTTGAAAAACAAATAAGCTTGGCTGCTGTGGCCAGTGCCCATTCTTGAATGGAATGATGATGTTTCTTAAAGGAGACAGATATCTGTAAGAGAAATAGAAGAGAAAACTAGAAAGTTCTCGTGTCTGTTAATATTACTGGAACGTAAGTAAATATCACATGTGTAATCACACATGTATTCGCATGAACATCTGTTCGTAGTCTCGTGTCGGAGCTAACTGCAAGTAATTTAAAGCCAGCCACGTTGTCGAACGATCGAATCATTGAATGATTGTGACCGGATTGGATTATGCTATTATTTTTCAAATCTTCGTCAATATGTTAGGGATAAAAAGACGATTTTTACGTTTTACACTAATTTTTACGTTTTACACTAATTAACTGCACGATAAGGTCGATTAATAATTCACGGTAAAGAGAATATTTAAGATATGGTTCTGTTCGATATAAAATTAATTTATGACGCGGGAGGTTGACGAACTTTGTGCACAATTTATGTGCACGAATGAAGGAGAATTATGAATGCTCCTTCAAGTTAAGTTAGGTTAAATTCAGTTGGCCACGGGTATAACTTCTTTTGCTAGTTATTACTGTCGCTGGCTCGTTGTCAGGTGGCGAACTATTATTAAACTCGACAACTAACGGCTGTTAACGTAAATCTTTCGGCACGAAACTCTGCGAATCTTTACCAATCTTTGTGAAAAGAAATCTGATGACATAAAGTGAAGGTTACATGTAGTGTTATTTAGGGATTACAGTGGAAGTAGTAATATAATATATAATCAAATATGTGATCACGAAATGAGGATGATCTTTGATTTAGTGTCATAAGTATATATATGTGTATATTGTTACATTTATTATCTTACAAAAATATTTTTTTTATTCTGATAATATTTCTTGCTTTTCAGAGGATGCCATGGATTACTGTTTTACTGGTCCAATTTGTGACTCACAAATCACAGGGGCATGTCCTAATGTTTCCAGTCCTGAAATGTTTGATAGTGATGGAGAAAATGAGGTAGATAACAAGAAAGTAACTTCAACAACTGACTCTACATTAGGAACAGTTAGTCCTCAGAAACTTTCTCAAGCTGAATTGGTTGTGAAATCAGATAATTATCTGCTAGCTAGAATTAATAAATATTTAAGTGGTGTTCCACCACCACCAAAACATACAATATGTCAGAGCAACTGTTCTGATTTTTTGCAACGTATACATGAAAACCGTCAATTATTCTGGACTGGTTATCCATTACCAGATAAAAACTCAGAGTCTGAAAGGGATTTGAAACCTACAAAACAAGTTACTTCAGAAATTACTAATAGACAAATTTCTTATCAATGTACAAAGGGTCCTTCGAGGAATTTAACGAATGCTTTTAATGCTTGTGATTTAACAATTAATACAGATAGCACAAAATTAGATGTAAACAGTGATAATGGTGATAGTGATAATTTAAGCCTACAGTACAATCTTCCTGAGCACACAAACTCAGTGAATGTGATGAAACAGACAATGAGAGTCCCATCAATTGAGGATAATTCAAATGAAGTTGAAAAACAATCTCCTCTCTTATATCAGACAATTAGTGAAGTTGAAGTTACAGCTTTAACATGGCCTCAGGCATTCTCTCATAAATTCCACGGCATACAGTATGTTGAAGTTTTTAATTTGTTGCAGCAAATGTAGTATCTTATCCTTCTGATATATTTATTTTTCCATTTCAGCTACAATAGAAGCAGAGCTGTGGAAGAATTTGATAACTTAACGGTCAAATTATGTGAGAGGTACATAGGTGCAGAAATACAATCAACTTGTAATATATGGTTTTCGAAACAGCCAACAGGAAGTCCAAGGAAACGAAGTTCACTGGCCAAGCGTGAGAACGGTCAGAGTCCAGGAAAAAGATTGACATACCTAGCTAGAAGGCGCAAGACTTTTTCTAGTGCTAATTTACAAGGATTGGGCGTCACCGACAAGAGACAGCTAATGTTACAGATTAAGTACGTGGCTCTATAAAATATTGGAGCGTTAAGAAAGAGAAGAAGATTAATAAATGTGTGTATGTATTCTAGGAAACCTATATGCAAAAAAGGAAAGAGTCCCAAAGGTAAAAGTCCAAGAGGCAAAAGTCCTAGAGGTAAAAGCCCCCGAGGGAAGAGTCCGAGAAATTCGGCGTTGAAGAGAGTGACGCGGAGATTAACGCTGGACGGGCCGAGTCCGCGTAAATCCAAACTAGAAACGTCGAAACGAGCGTTATTTCAAAGCCCTCCTGCGGACCACGCGGGTCCTAGTAAGTTGTTAGGTGCAGGCAATACAGATACTCTCAAAATCAAACGCGTTCTGTTTCCGACGACTCATAAGAAAGAGACAGAATCCGACGACACGGAGCAGACACTTTTGAGAGAAAGTAGGAAAAGGAAGTGCGACGAGGAGCTGCAAGGACCGCGAATCAAGTGGGCGAAAAGCTTATCTTTCGACTGCACGCACGAATTGGAAAACAGCTCGAAAGTTATGTGGGACAGACACTCGTCGAGCAATATTCTGTTGAAGAATGATACGTCCTTCAATCAGGAAAGAAACGAATTTAGCGACGTGCACAAAAAAGTGTGTCATCTCTTTCGCTGGTTTCGACAACGCGTTATTATCACGCTCGATAGGTATTTACAATACTAATTCTTTCGTTTACTTTTCAGAAATTACTTTGGGCAGTCGCAGAGGCGTTAAGAAGTAAGGGCATCGGTATGAGCCATCCGAGATTTAAGCAATACGCTGCGAATCTAGCGCGCACAATCAAGAAGTTCATGCCTGATCTCGAAAATAAGAATCTTCCGCGGAAACCTGGTAGTACAAGCGATCGTATGTTAAAATTAGCTAAACATCACGTACTGTTTCTTATCGATACATCTAGATCAGCAACGGATTGACAGTACTTGTCGGTACAAATAGTTAAAAAAATTACAGAAAATTGCATGAAATTTTCTCTCTGGCGAACTGAATGTCAAATGACCAAGTACACGGATGCTTGTATGTTTAGCCGACGTGTGTTTCGCACACTATGATTTTTATTTAATTTAATTTCTATCAAAGGGTAAAATATGTATCATATAGCAACAATGTAAGATCTAAGAACGGGATTTGTATGATGTTACATCCATTTTGGAGAATATTAAATATTTTTTAATCACAATAAAAGTAAACGAAACCGTGTTTTTAATATGCGTAATTTTATTAGCTTTAAAATAGTTATATGTCACAACTTATAAATAATTAATAAAGGACGCTTTTTCGAAGTGAAACGAAATTTGCAATTGATAACTCGACGAATTAACGCATGTATACATACATCAATCACATCTAACATATAATTATATCTAAGTGAGGACGAGTAAAAAAATAAAGACTAATCGCGATACTTCGTTACGATTATTTTCACTCTTGATTTCCGTGGCCGACCCTGGCAATGACCTCATCTAGAATTTTCGCGAGTTCTTTGTTCTCCTTAGTCTTCTGTTCCACAAGCTCTGCGAGCGAATTGCTCTTGAGCTCCGCTTTTCTTATCATCGCGTGTAGTTTCACCGTCTCCGCTTCGTTCTGCTTTCGTATTCCATCCAACTCTAGATTAGCTCTATAATAAAAGCAAAAAAAAAATGCTTACTTATTTTCTCGAAAGATGCAAGAGAACTACGTAAGTCGCAAGACAGATCTTATAGACTTTTTTTCTCTTTTTATAAAAAGCCCCGTCCTTTTTATGGAATGATTGCCTTTATATGCGCCGGAGGTGCGCTTGACAAGTATAAACAAAGCTTTTTATAAAACGAGATTATTCCCGTAAGAATTCTCGGCCGCATACTTCTCTAGCTGAGCCATTGCGTGGTCCTTCAGTTGATCGTATCGCGTTTCCAACGTCTTTATAGTATCTACATTCTCCTGTATACTTTCTTTTAATACAGCTTCGTTATTTTTATACACTGACACAACCCCTTTGAGCCTCTCGTATTTTTGGTGTACATCATTGAACGCTGCCTCCGTATTAGTCAAATGGTGATTCGCAGCTTGCAGTTCCTCTTGCAATTTTGCCTTCTCTTGTTCGAAGTTTGTACGATCCCTCTCCCGCTCAGTAAGTAATCTGCTGATCGACTTCTCGTATTCCTCCACGACGACACTAAGATATAATTAATTTTCACACGTAATTAATTCCAAATTCGCATTTCGTCTTTATTGAAAAAATAGATTGCTTACCTCATTTGAGTTTTCATCTTTACTTCTTGTGCTACTTGTGCTTGCAGCTTATTAATTTTCTCCTGAAAGGTTGCTTTTTGCTTCTCCAAATCCACTTCGTGTTTCTTTTGCTTCTCCAATTCGTCCTCTAATCGCAGTACCGTCGACCTTACAAGTTCAAGTTCCTCGGCTATATTTATATCGGCAATAAGCGGTGCGTCGGACTTAGGCTCTTCTACCGGTTGCTCCTGAAGAAAAATATTCTCTTGTCAATGATTAGGCTCAAAACGATAACAACATCTAACTTGTCGGGAATTAGAAGACTCGAGATTACCAGACGGAACAGATGGACTTTGACTTACATTTTTTTCCTGAGCTTCCTCCAACTTCTGCATCGTTCCACTAGGCAGAGGACTATAAAAGAGCAGCCTGTCTATAGCCGCTATGGCAGGATTACGTTTTGGTGTACCGACGTTGGGAAGGGGCGATTCATTTTTCTCATTCTGCTTTTCGTTAATCGATTGAGCGTTCCCTTGAGGCAACATGCTGGCATTCGATACCAATGGGTCAAATTTAACATACAAAGATTCCTTCCTGAGGCGGTCTACCACCGCATGCCTGGAGTTACTGCGCGCTAGCAAGAAGTCAAACGTCGAGGGGTCTTGGAAAACTGCAAAGCGACAAAGTTCATTTAATCGATAAGTCCCTCAGTCACGCGAATTTGTCTAACTAGTCTTCGAAAAGAGCGCGACTTTTGTGTGTGTGTGTGTGTGTGTGTGTGTGTGTGTGTGTGTGTGTGTGTGTGTGTGTGTGTGTGTGTGTGTGTGTGTGTGTGTGTGTGTGTGTGTGCGTGTGCGCGCACTTACTCGTGGATGTTGCACTGACAAACGTATCTGTTTCCTCCGCGAATTCCAGCGAGGAATTGAGCAGATCATTAGTGACTTTCTCCGCCGTAGATTTGAATTCCTCAAAGTTAGGCTTTTCCTTGGGTAACGTTAACGTGGTGCTCTGTCGTTGGGGTTTGAAATCTAAGTACTGGTCGTCACTTGACGCGGCCGCGAAGTCTAGATCGACCTCTTGCAACGTAAGCGTACGGTCGAGGCTCTCGTTGACGAAGCTCTTCTTCTTTGCAACCGTCGAAGCTGCACTGTCCACGAGATCCTCCTTCCTCTGTATAACTATAGTTTCTGACGGGTCACGATGTTGTTCCACGACCCTGTTCTCGTTCGATATGATGATGTCTTCCTTGGATGCAAAAGTATCGTCCGCGCTACTCCTCGCTGCCGAATCTTGCGTGTCGAGGCTAGTTTGCAGGTTCTCCTTCGAAATTTCTGACGTTCCCGATTCCGTGATACCGGTGGTCTCGCTCAACAACTGGGTGACACTTGCCAGTTTATCCAACTGCAACGAATCTTGTGCTTCCTCACCAACTTCGCTACCTTCTGCTCGAACGTCAGAGCTATTTACAGTTATCGGTGTAAATAATTTCTGATTGGTATCATCCACGGGCGATAACGCCGCCGTTGACTCTGATACGTCTCTCGCGACGACTCCCGATAAGTCGTGCGCGCTGTTATTCTTTCTGTTGTTTTCGGTGTTCTCTAACGGCGACGATATGTCGGATATGTTGGGTATCGAGCACGGATTCTCCGCATATTGTGCCAACAGAACCTCCGAAGTGGACGGAGCGGAGATATGGGTGGCACACGATTCGAAGTCTTCCGACAGTGTCTCGGCACTGTGCTGACTTTCTACGGTCTGTTCGTCATTGACTGTGGCCACACTAGCGAACGAATTATCAGGTGAGAGGGTAGCCGTTGCGTACAATTGATCACCGTCTACATTACTCGCGACCGACGAGTCCTTGATCGTGCTGCTCGTGACCGAGCTGCGCGTCTCAGCTTCACTCGCTATATCATCACTCTCCTGCGACGCAACGAGCTTCTCAGTTGGCTTTTCTTCCGTCTGCGACACGTATTCTTCTTCGATGGCAGCCACGGACTCCTTCTCATCAAGCGGAAGCGTGCTGCTACTGCTGGACTCCGAGGTATGTGTCTGATTCAGCAACACTTCGTGCGTCGTGTTGAGCAACTGAGAAGACTTCGTCTTCTCGATCAGCTGCGTCTCCTCACTGTCAGCGGCCGCAACGTCGATGTTGTCGAACTTCAGCAAGTTCTCGTTGAAGGAAAAGTCATTCGTGTGAAGCTGCGACTCGTCCGTGGCTGACGTGAACGTCTGATCCTGACTGAGGTTGAAATCCTGCACCGAAATGTTGGCGGCGGGTGCGTTCTCAAACACCTCGTCCCTCAGGTGGATATCGGCGCAAGCGAGGATCAGGTCCTCCACACCGGGAATGTTGGAGTTCGTGTAAGAAGCGTCGAACGACGAATCCGGGCATATGCCGCTGCTGCTCTTGGTGCTGAGGGTGCTGCTGAGGCTGTGGAAGCTACTGGCCGACGACAGGCTTTCCGAGACCGAGCAGGTAACGACCGGTCCTACGTCGGCGAATTCGCGGGTGAAGCGAACCTTGACTTCATGCTCCGGTGTCTTCGGCACGGGACTGTCGTTGCCGTTGCCGCCGCCGCCTCCGCCGCCGCCGCCGCCGCTCTGAAAATAGAAGACACGTTAGAACGCACCCCACGGGACTTTGTCGCGCTTCTGCGAGCGCAGTTGAATGAAACGTCCGGCGGACACGTTACACGGCAGACGCGTGAGAATGAGAGTCCTTCTCGAAACACACAACGATGGAAATTCCCCGAGTTCGTCGGCATCGAGAGAGACTCCGCTCGAGACGACCTCCGAACCTTCGCGTGATTGAACGAGCGATCTCGCGGCGAGGTATGCACGACAGGAAACGCCCGCGCGAAGGTGCTACGACGCAATATACCGTCGGCGGTGTGGGCGACGGAGACGCTTTCGAGCTCGCCGTGGAGCGATGCAGAAGTCTGTTGATGTACTCCATGCCGAGGTGACGCAGCTGACGTGCAGCTCGTGCGAGACGTTGGCGTTCACTGCTCTGCTCGGGGACGATCGGCGACGTAGCCGCCGAAGAATCAGCTGACAATGAGTCTGGCAGTTTTCGAGAAACAAATTGCGCAACCACCTCGCGCGTCTCGCTTGGGCTAATTATAAGACACCGATAGATGGAGAGGAAGAGAGAGAGAGCGAGCGAGCGAGAGAGAGAGAGAGAGAGAGACGTTCCGTCGGCGTGGACCGTTCCCGCGTCAGTCCCGCTCGCTTCCGCGGGACGACGAGAGACGGTGAGAGAGAGAGAGAGAGAGAGAAGGTCGCCTTCTCGAGAGAACACATCGCCGTTGCTCAACACGCCGGATATCGCAGACGTCTTCGGCCTGCGGCCCGGATATATAACGGTATCGCCGACGGCGAGAGCTTCGGGGATTCATCGCACGATTAAGTGTGCGATAAGTGCGGAGGAGCACGAGCGCGTTCGTCCGATGGGGATCGAAAGGTCAGACGCGCGGAAGACGCTCGGCCGAAAAGACCGAAATGAACGTTCGACTCCGATCGTCGAATCGACTCGTTCCTCCGGCAGCCGCGCGACTGTTTGCAGTCGACGACTGCGAAGCGTTTGTGTACACATTATGTCCAAGTTGTCTCAAGCAACACGATGAGGGCGACGTTACGGAAGTACAACGACGGCAGGAGGTACAAGGACGTCCTTGTACCTCGCGCAAACGATGCACAACGACGAGACGCGGGTAATTGACTGACACGCGAGTATTTGCCCGTGGAACGCGACGTGGCGGACGTGGAAGATTGGACGCCTCGTTATCGGCAGGCCATCGAAAGGCCATCACCGAGTTACCTTCGGCAGAAGATTCCCCATGATCCTCGCGAGGGCGACCTCCGCTTTCGGCTGTCATCGGCGCGCAACGTGCTCCCATATTTACACGCGGGGTTCACGGAACCCCACGGTGGGACGCTTCCCCTCCTATGCTTTTACCCTTGACACGGATTATCCTTCGCTGTGGAGGCACGCGGCGCAGGAGGCTCGATCTTTAAATCCGCCGACGCCGACGTCGTTCATCGTTGTCCTCGTAGCGCATCCTCCGCTGGGAGACGCGCCGCGGATTTCCCGCTCTCATTCTCGCCGGGCGTGCGCCGATATTGTTATTTGCAACAGTTCAACTTTCTCTCATTCCGCCGCCGGACTACCGCCGAGACCATGACTCATTGCATTCGTCAACGTAACGTCTAACGTAACACGTTGCTGCGGCGATCGTTGTGCTCGAGAAAGAGAGCGAGAGCGAGAGCGAGAGAGAGAGAGAGAGAGCGACTGATTCTCTTGCCAGCGTCGTTCTACCGGGAAGAAGGCAAACGCGGATCGATCGCGCCGCCGTGCGAGGTGTAAAAGCATGGATCCTTTTTTCGCTCTTTCTTTTTTTCCCTCCGAAGAAGGTCAGAGGGGTCAACGAACGAGAGACAATGCGTTGGGGGGAGACACGCGCACGGCCGGCAATCGAGCCTAATTCACGACGAAACGCGCGTCTCTCGCGCTCCTTATTCGGCGCGATCTTGACACATCATCGGGACTGCAGCAACGCGACCACCGCAATGACTCATTCTCGTCTGATCGCGTTGACAGAGCACAGAGAGAGAGAGAGAGAGAGAGAGAGAGAGAGAGAGAGAGAGAGAGAGAGAGCTCCAGCATCGTCTCGGGGTGTGTCTTTCACATCCCTCTTCTAAAACAGGCCAACCCTCTCTCTTTCCCCCATCCCCCCCTTTCTGAAAGTCTCTCTTAAAGCGTGCCACTTAACGCTTAGATGCGAGTGATGATAGTTTTCAGCTACATTAGACGGCACATGCTATTGGTGTGCGATACCTTCGTGTAAGTAGGTGCGTACTATTCTTATCACGGTAATGTTGCGTCATTATATCGCATCGGATGTTGACCCTCGTGAGGAAAACATCGATCGGTGGATGTTACCGAGAGACTCATCGGACAATTGTGACAGAAAGGCCAATTCGACGCCGACGAGACAATGCGCGATTCCCGAACAACCCGACGCAGAGATATATGTGATCGGTATAATTGCCGCAGACCTATAATTAAATGGCACGCTCGACTACATGACTAATGACAAGTGCGCGACGGATGATGACCATGGACAGCAACGATAAGCGATAAAGGAAGGTCAGAGCGGGAGCGGGAGCGGGAGCGGAAGGCACAAGAAAGAGAGAAAGAGCGACGCGATAAGACTGCGCCGCGGCCGAGTGTCAAATCCAGGTCCTTCCCGATCAATTCCAGAACTCGACACTCTACGTCGATGCTCTCCTACGTTCGCATCGCGCCCTGTGAATCACGACGACCGAGACGTGAGCGAGACGTGTCAGTCCGAGACGAGACGATAGAAAACGGTGGGCCTTCCGCGGGCCCAAAATTAAGGCCTGTAACCCAAGCGGGAGGTCAACGGTGGATATCTCTCGTGAAAATTCTAATATTAGCCCGACACGCGCGTCCCCCAGTCGATACTCCAGACGTTCACCACCACGACCACCACTACTATTGCTGCTACTACTACCACTATCGCTGCTGCCGTCGTCGTCGTCGGAACAACATGTTCAGACCAGCACGGCGCACACGTATGTGCATGTGCACGCGCAAGAAGCCGTCGCCGCAGCTACCGCTGAGGAGGAAAAGACCGGAGGTGCAAAGGGAAGGATAAACAGCGATCACACCTCACCTTTCACGAGCCCTTCCGGGGAGATCCTCGGCGCGCGAGAAGCCTCACAGAACGACGACGTTGTCGCGTGTTAATCGAACTTTCGGCAAAGGCTGCACCGCGAGTAGCATCGCCTCCACCACGCCACGGTGATGAGTACTAACATTCCCTGCACCGAGCCGCGGTACCGTCCAGCCGCGCACACGCCGTACGGACATTATGCCGCAAAGATCACCAACTATGGAAGTGGTGGGAACAGGACTATCGGCCAACGGGCCGCGTGCGAGAGCGGCGTAAACGAGCGGCGTGGCGCTATCTGGAGCAGCGCGTGTACACTCGGTGATGAAGCGCCGCGTGATAATGCGAGTGGCTGCGCCAAGTGCGCGATGAGTTGCTCGGCGGCGGAACGGAGGATGCGGTAGAGAGTATCAATGGGACGGCTCTCGACGAAAGTACGTGCTGATAATATCACTTGTATCGTTAATTATTCCTCGAACGGCACGTCTGGGTCATCCATATTTGATCGATTTCTTCTCTCTCTCTCTCTCTCTCTCTCTCTCTCTCTCTCTCTCTCTCTCTCTTTCTCTCTCTCTCTCTCTCTCTCTCTGGTCGTATCGTAAGCTACAATTGTTGAAACAAGAGATTAGAAAGATTCGTAAGAGCTGAGAATTCTCGCAGTTACTTCCTGAAGATTTCAAATCATATAAATTAATTCATAGCTGATTTTTCACACGCGCGAGAAGACTCAGAGAAATTCACGAGAGATCGCTGAACGATTCAACGCCGAATCGCAGCGCCATTCAGACGTTAACATTCACATGATGTGGGCGATAAATCGACGTGGGGAAACAGGCAAATTGCTTTGCGACACCAGCGTGCCTTCACGACGCAGAGGGATGCATGGCGAGATGAAGTATTGTATTGTACTGTGTTATCGCTATAAATATTCTGCTTCGCGATATATAAACGATATATAAACGCGCGAATCTTAACCGAAGATATTTTTCACGTTTGCAATTGGAACCTGGATAGCTCCGATCCAGCATGATGTCATGTGGAAAACAACAGCATACTTTATGCGATTCGCGTACGTCCTGCTAAATTATAAGACGACTCTACATCCGTTCGGCGGACGCATTTGAGTAGAGTATAAAATGACACTTGTAGCACACCTCAAGTGGGGCAAGCATTTTCAACCAAAAAGCATCAAAAAGATCACAGCTAACTTCATAAAATCAAGGAAAAAAGGAGCAAAAATTTAAATTGCTACAAATCTCTTAATTCACTTATTACCCGAAAATCTTAAAATAAAACAATGCCACTCCAAAATCAGTTACATTTTAACAAAAAAACTCAAATTTTCGAAACTTCCAAAATTTCTAGCGCACTTCAAGTGGGGCAAGCTTTCTTGATGTTGTGAGGTTGGGTGTGATTTTTTTAGTGTTCTTTGATTGAAAATGCTTGCCCCACTTGTGCGCTAGAAATTTTGGCAGTTTTGAAAATTTGAGTTAGAAGTGTCATTTTATATTCTACTCTTTTGATTTCGCTTCACGCACGTGACTCACCGCGTGGTCACGCGATAGATAATAGTCGAAATCTTACGGTTACGTCTCTTTACAGTTACACGACGGCTAATCGATTTTCCACCATATTTGAAACGAATTCTAGTAGAATAGCGGCAAGGCGGTAAAATCGCGTGTGCTAAAATCAGTTCGTATCTATCAACAATATTCAGAAGTCGTGCGCGGAGAAAGAAAGCAAAATGAAATTTATTTGAATTACAAATCGCATTGTCTCGCGTTTATTTCTAGCGAAAGCGGTCGCCTACGAATCGCGTTGTGCCTAAATCGCAAACTTTCCTGCGCTATGCGAGGAAAACGTTCGGAGATTCAGGCGCTGCCAAATCCGCGTTCCTTATGCGCGTCAAAGGAATACTCCCCGCATGGCGGGAAGCGAAACTTATTTTTGTTTCAAGGTACTCCTGGAGATACGGAGTTTATTTATAGGGGTACATTCTTCGGCCAGACTGTCAGACGCGAAAACAGAGAAGCACGAGGAAGAATGAAAGGAGAAGGCGCAGGCGATAAGACGAACGGGACGGGCGGTCGGCTACCGTTTTAATTAATCTCGCACAGTCGTACTAATTAATTTCGTCGCAAACAAATGTGAGAAGCATCGCGGCGAAAGTGCGCGTCGTTCTCGCCTTGCAATCCTCGTCGTGTCCGCCGTTCTTTCAGCTGCATACAATACAAGATGAAAGCATACATGACAAATGCTAAGACGATACGGAAAAAAAGATTTGACAATTTCCGGGAGAGTACCTTTCGCCGAAGAAGATGATTCTGTGTCGAATTGTGGAGGGTCGCTGTGATCTCTTTCAGCACGACTCTCGTACCTTCGCGAATAGATCCACCGATGCTTCTCGGGCTCGACATTTCGTTGAAAATTCTCTGCTTCTTTTCGATGAGACGCCGAAAACTCGTGTGCCTCCTCAGTCTCCTAACGCAGGAAATATCGCAGATAATACCGTTTTCTTTTTTTTTTTCTCAACATCGAACAAATCGATTCTATGGGGAATTTTTACAATGCGAATACAACGTGATGTTCAAATATTTCACTTATTATCGCTTACTATCGCGGAAATTTCACGTTTTAGTCGCTGCCTCGAATTCTCTTCGCACTCAAACTCAAATACACATCCGCCCCCTCGCCCCCGTGTCCGTCCCCAAAAATCGCAGCTAAAACAAAGTTCAAGATCGCGCGGCAGAATGATGCTGATGACGACATTCATCAAGTTTCGATTAAATTAATTGACGATTAATCAGTCTGATATTCTTCCGCATAGTTTTATCCCACAATAACCAAAATACTAACAACTCTGTTTACGTTAACAAAATAGAACAATTGACACCTGATTGAAGGTGATCTATCAATCAATACAAGTTATACTGACAGAACAAGAGAATCTTCCTTCTTATCTTGACAACGAATCGTCGATTTGTCGACGGTTTCATCGGTCGAGTTAATCGTTGATTGGATCAATCAGAATCTGACAAAAGTTACTCTGACTCTATGCTCCTGTTGCTATTGTGCCTCCCTCTCCCCCCCCCCACTCCCTACTCTAACCAAAAATTTTTCAGCAAAACCATACGCGTTCGTACGAGAGGAGGAACGAGGAGATGGGACTCGAGTTTACTTACGAGGAGTCCAGACACACTCAAAGACCACCAAGTTCGCACTCGCACTCGTAGGGCACCACACTCGCACTCCTCGTCACCCCGCCTCAACGCGAACAAAGGGGATCCGTGCAGAGGCGTACCTACTACACTCGCACTCGTGTCACTCAGGATGCAGCTACACCAGAGGATCAACGATGACGACGACGACGATGTCCGACAAGCAAACACCGTGGACGAGAGGGTGCCGTTGTGTCTCACTCGCGGGAGTCTCACCACATCCAAAACCTCCGCGATCTGTCGTTCGCGGGAACGAGCAAGAGCCGAAGTTTCGTTGGACGATCCCCGTTCGCGTGCTAACGGTCGGCCGGCCGTTTCATAACTTGAATGCGAACGCAGCGGCGAATCAGAACGCGCCGTTGCGATCGCGGCGCCACTCGAACGTTCTCCGCGCGTCGGTAAGGCAGTTTATATCGAACGGGAGTCGCGCGATACGAATCGATTGTCGTTCAATTTGAAATCCAGACTCGTCGCGTCGCGCGAACGTCCAAACGCGCTCTTCGGTCGCTCAATCTCTGTTATCGCCGGCGTGTACCGTCGATGATAGTACAAAGAGAATGTCGAAGTAGGATCGAAGATGACTGTTCAATTGTTTATACGCGGGAATGTCCGTGTTTTCAGGACAGCTCTGCTCATCCGTCATCCTTTTCTTCGTGTCTTTCACGTCCTGCTTTTTCGGTCGTAACAAATTTCAATATCGCTCGTTACCTTGGCGAAATGAATCCACTTTGTACGGGCTCTCGAGGATGATAATCCTTCTCAGTGTTGTAAGTTTTCAAATATTTATTGTCAAACTCTTCGTACAGATATGTATAAACCGCCGCGTTATTACATACTGGGCAGTGCAATTCACCACAAATTTTATAATGCTTAACTCGTTAAAGATTATTAGTCTTGCTTCTTTATTATTATTATTATTATTATCTTATTTCGCCATTCGCATTCGACCTTTTCACACATCCTTCGACACTCATGCTCGATTTAAGAATAAGAACTTTTTTATTTCTTTTTTAATAGAACTTCACAATATACATGTACATAAAAATACATCCAACACTGCAATGCGCCGTCGCGATACGTTGCATTACAATAAAGCGAGTTATATAAAAAATACTATTCACAATATTTTTATAACTTTTTCCTCTCTCAAAATCAGGTAGAAATAATTTGTTAAGGACACTTCTATTGCAGACACTAACGTTACTTTTCCCTCACACATTTACGCGTCTTGATAAATCTAAGATGATTTCAATTGATGATTGAAGCTAATCATGTGGCCACAGCTTCTACAGTTAATTATTCTGCCTTTACAAATGTACTTTCGACAGTCGAAGCATTATCTCGACCACGTATAAAAATACGTAATGTCATTAATTCTGCATTATCTGCGCATTCAAAAACTATTTAACATTCTATTTTATTACTACTACTAAGCTTCATTTATTTTCAATTAGAAAACGTCGTATAATTTATGATAATACTAACGTTACGGAAATTTTTATATTCGCATATATATATATATATATTTATATATTTATATATATATATATATATACACACATGTATGTATATAGTTTATATATTAATATATTAAGGGCATTCATCGATATTTGCATCTAACAATGCTTCTAAAGTAAACCTGAATCACGCGTAATTGAATTCTCCATAACGTTAATGTTATCGTAAATTATATAACGTTTCCTAAACGCAGGAAAACTAAGCTTAGTAGTAATAAGACCGAACGTTAAATAGTTTTTAAATGCATACAGTAGATAACGCAGAATTGCGATATCACATATTTCATTACAGGTGGTCAAGATAACACTTCGAATGTCGAAACATTACATCTGTAAACTCAAAATAATAAACTTAAACTATACAAGCTACAACTGCATGGTTAGCTTCTGTGATTAAGATCATCTTAGATTTACTACCTCCATGATGCGTAAATGTAAATTTATAATACATTAACGTTACGGAAAATTATACATATATATGTTTATATATTAACGTATCAAGGACATGCACTGCTATTTGCATTTAGCAATGCTTATTATAGAGTAGTCACCTGGTTCATAAGCTCCCATAAGCTTCATTGTGATTACCGAGTTATAATTCACGAATCGGCAGTAAATAACAATTTGTTATATAATATTAAGCGTTTGCAAATATTTAAATTACGTATAAGGGTGCAATTGTGGCGTAGGGCACGGTGACGGGACCGGAGAATTCTTCTGACTACTAGATGGTGGAGTTAAAAGCCCGCTCTCGTTCGGACTTTGTCTACCAGACTCAATGTTCGTCTCCAAGTCGTTCACGCAGGGGGGGGCTTCTACGATTAACCGTTGCTGCGCCTTCTCCAGCATCTTCAGATCGACCACGTGAGTTTGTATACGATGCGACTCGTCCACAACTATATTAGGTACAGTAGCCCTCAATCCGGATCCCGAATGCGATTCCGTAGACGTGATCGTAGACCTCAACAAGGACTCGCCGTCTTCTTCCGCGAGAGTGGTGGCGAACGCTGCGAGCCACTTGACACAAGGTGCGAGTTGTTCCCATGACAGCCGGGATACCCTTAACGCGCACTCCCTTCCTTGAGTGTGATAAATTGCCGCCGCAGCTATATGACTGTAAGGAAACTTCAAACTACTTTCGTCCAACGTCGCCAGGTCTAACAGTTGAGCCGCTTGGCAGTATTGTAATCCACCATACTGCGGATATATGAAGGTATTCGGCCTGGACCAATCGCCCGATTCAATTTGCATATAAATATTGAGCCATCCTGGGGCAGTTATTGGAGACAGGTTCCAGCCGAGGCCTTTCAGGATAACCAACTCCTGTCCCAAGATTTCCTCCTCTGTACAGGCTCCGTCAGTAACGTACGCGAATTCCGCGATTTTGGGCGGATATATTTCCTCAACCTGTAAATAAGATGTTGCATTTTGAAACTGATTTCGTTCGACATAAATGTGCTTTTATATCGCATAATTTAACTAGTGGCAAAATTTGCAAACCTTGGATGCAATAAAAAGGCAAGTTATGCCTATCAATTGCAGCTGATTTTTAGGTACATTGAGATGGATAGACAGAAATCTGTCTATATAGTCCATAGCCAGATAATAAGTTTCCCTATGTAGTTTATACACTTCGCAAACTTCAATCAACCAGTCCAGTAAGATTGCTCTCATCTTTGGCTGCAGTGTTGGATGCCTTTGGAACATTTGTGGATCCCTTTGAACTAGAGTCTTTTGATCCCCAAGACACATGTGAGACCACACTTGAGAGCCATCGGCCCATGGAATGGATGGTAATGGACTAGGTCTACTGGATGAACTGTTGGAGGCTGATGGTGTTAGGAAACAAGTTGCAGTTCTTAATTCTGACCATGTGGCTGGTTCCTGTTGTTCCTTCAGTGGTGATGTTTGGTGTTGAGGAGTACATGCACTATCAACCGACTGTGTATTGTGACAAGATTCCGTATAATGAACATGGGACAATGACGGTACTTTGCTAGGGGGGTATATGTTTTCAGAATCTTCTGACAGTTCTGTTGCACGCCTTTTACGTTTTAAGGACAGTGTTTTCCCTCCTTGTAGATATGTTTGCGAGGATTTCTTCTCCTGTAAACTGAATACACAAGGATTCACTTCGTCGTGCACAACATCCTGAGACTATACAATCGTAGCATTTCGTATAAAGCAGTTAGAGCAAACATTTTGCGCAATAGTAAAGGTCACTTTTCCAATGGATATATGGGGATATAGTGGATATGAAAAATTATTTACGGTTAAAATGCCATTGCCCCATAGATCTACACGCTGAACGATGTCGTCTGAAGAGTCAGGGTACACCGAATTATCATATTACAGAGACAAATCTGCTAATGACCCGGGAAAGAATGCATGCCAATGTAAAAGGTTATAGGCGTAAAGTTCGAGCGTGAACGGGAAAGTAATATTTTTAATCGGTCAACGGATGCGCGTCTAATCGATTTCAGCGTACGGCAAATTGCTCCGAGGCTGGACGAGAGAGATATATCGGAATTTCCATGCCAAATGGAACATCGATCACTCACCTGGACTGTGGCATCTTGCCGCGAAATTGCCAACGTGTACGAAAAATATTTGCCGCTGGAATAATTTTTTTCTATACGTCCCCGACGCCGGAGACTCTTGGAACAGAGGTCCGTGCGTTTTCTTCGATCCGGCTGCGACGATTTTCCCAGGAAAATGCAGAAAAGCGAAGGACCACACGAAGCCTACGCGCACCCGATCGCCATTAACGCACGTCCACTTGGCCGCCTTTGATTCGGTGTTTCGACTCAGAATTTCCAGCGGAGAACGATATTGACCGTCGGGAAATTCATCTGGCTCTTTTACCAGCCGCTCCGCAGTGCAAACGGCCCGGGAATTAACAATATTCCGCCGAAAATAAGGGACGTGGATCTCGAAGCGCGGGAGACTAGCGCGCGAAACGGTGACCAACCCCTGTTCGTATCGCGACGCCCTCTATAAGAAGGTACATAACCTCAAAGAAGGGGGCAGATTTTGGGGATTCTCGTGGTATACGACGCTACTACGGCTCCTCGGTGTCCGGGCGTTCCTCTCGCCCTGTGGAGATCTCGCTTTTTCCACGTGTCTGGACGTGAGCGCAAGGTCGATGTCCTCCGACTGAGCGGCGCGCCGTAGTGGCTCGTCTCAGCGGATTTACCCCGTCAGGAGCAGCGAACAACGTCGTTCGGACCAGGGGACGCGTTCCCCGCGACCAGGAGCAGCCGCCTCCGCCTCCGGGAACTGGCTGGCGGCACGTAGAAAGTAGGAAAGCCCGCCGGAACCGTGCAGTTGCGCGTCACTCACACCTGCATTTCCGCTGGACCGTTCCGCGCTCACACTTTCCCTCGCGACGTAGGAAAGACCAGGCGAGACACTCGCGTACACACTCAGCTGTGCGACGCGTGAGCGACACTCAGCAGGTATCAATCGCGGAGCGCGAAGACGCGGTGCGCGCTGACGGACGATGAACTTTCCCGCGAAGAGCGACTGGCGTCTGCGAGCGCACGGCGTTTCGCGGGAACGTCCAAGCGGCGGCCGCCGTCACGCTCGGCGCTGATTGGTCGACGTACGCGGCACAGCTGGCACTCAGCTGATCCGTCGTACACATACAAACACGCAGCTATGCACACGCTTGCAGCGGCCGAGCGCCGTCACGCGGGAAATGTGCGCGCGTAAATCGCGTCGCGCAGGGCGCTTGGCGCGCGCCAGGCCCCGACCTCTTCCTGCTTCCGTGGCGGCCGATTGTCTCGCAGGTGAGGAATGTCTTGCCACGTATGCGCGGGAGCATCGTCGATGTCTCCCGCCGCTAATTGGGAAATACGGCGACCCCGGCGAGTACGCCGATTTCGCTGAACTCGACCGGATTGCCGGCGAGCGAGCGTCGTTTTTTTCATCGATGCGATACGTTGATCTTTTTTCACTCGCTGGCTCTTCAGCTCGTCCAACTTCCATCCACTCGAAATATTCGTCGTATTATATATGTTACGTCTGACAATTATGCGGAAACGATTATCGTACAGAGACGACGCGACGCGTGAGGAAATTAATGCTTGCGATTGGACGTAAGGATAATTGAAGGTCTGTGACGAATGGTATAGCATGTAACGTTGAAACAACGACGAGCTTCTTCGGCTCACAAAAACAGTCGCAGGATGTGTGAGATTAATTGCAGTTGTTGCTTCGATATTGTCGGCATCGCAGTGCAGTTGTTGTTTGTCTTTTCCTTGGAATTGAAGCTATCCAAGCTCCTGAGCTCTATTATTAATACTTCTCCCTTCACATAAATGAACAGCTCTCAAGCGAGAGAGATGCGTTTATTATTATATTACATCGAGTTCCACTCACAATGGAAATGGATCGATATGATTTTAGACAAACAAAAGAGGGAAGAAAGAATAAGTATTAAAGTGTACTGCAACAATGAGTGGTCTGGATATTTATATTACATATTAATGTGCCACAGAATCTTCCTTTCATCATTTGTCATCTTCCGCCAACCCGAGATACACGAACGATCAATATTCTGCAGAGAAAAAACAAAAATTATCTATTTTCTTAAACTTTAACGCCGTACTATATATAGTACATAGCACAACGTTGAACAGTTCTGTTTTATCTACAGATACGTCGAAGCTTCAAGAGCGACTACGATGTGGCGCGTTCGTTGTCAACTCCCCGTCTGTGCGAACTTCCAGTCATCTAGTTCGCAAATTATCCAAGTTACAGCGCTGCTAATGTGCACAGGTGCATTTACGCGAGTCGCGCGGTAGTGTGCGTGCGACGAAATTGACATGCGAAGGATGAGTGCGAACGGAGCCTCGCTGTCATTTACTTGTCATTCAGGTAACGAAAAGAAGTCATCTTTCTCGACGTACAATTAAATATTTCACCGGGACATTCGGTTATCGATCGGCAGCCGGCAAAAATTAAAGAGCTGCGAAGCTATCTTTCACACCGTAGTAGCTTCACGTAGCTGCTTCTGCTAGAAATTGTTGGGCGAAAAATAAATAATAATAACTAATTTGACCCGAGGAATAATTCCTCGCGTTCTTACGAGACATTCGTGTTGCAGTGACGAGTTTCTGCTGAACGAGCGAATCTCCATCGGCCGCAGCCTCTGAAGTACGGTACTGTCGGAAGAAAAAGAGAAAAGAGACACGGGTACTTAACGCTCGGTTGGCAAGCCTCGGCGACAAAGTGAAAAAGCCGAAGGCGAACGGACGAACACGGTCGCGGTGCGAGAGCGGTGGCGCGGGGTCCCAGTGAGTCGCGCACAGCCCTGGTTTTCTGGAAATCGTCAGCGGTCCGGGGCCATTAAACGCGTTATATGTGTCTTGCAATTTGATCCCGCGGCGCTCGACGCGGTGCGCACCGATCGGAGAGTAATTTACGCGAATTCCTGGGCATCCGGGTCTCCGCGCGGCCGGACGGACCTCCTGGGCTCTTTCTCACGCCCGATGCCACCGTCGTCCCGCCGTTGTCGTTGTCCCGCAGCATCCGACACCTCACTGCACCGAACGTCCTCGACGGACACCAGGAAGATATCACACGGTGTGGCCGCACAGCATCGTCTCGTCGATTCTTCGGTGAGTACGCGTCGCGTCCTTCTCGCTGGCACGAACGACGGCGCGACTCGCTCGGGTCGCGAGCACGAGTGTCAACGATGTGACAGCGGCTGATGCTCGTCGAAATAAAGCTCTGTATTCTTATGGAATATTTCCGCTGTACCTGCCACTCGCGAATCTCGAGCGAGATGCGCATTCTCCCACTGTTTATCTATCGCCAATTGCTACAGCGGATTGACAAATCTTTGCAGATATATTTGTCATTTCGTATGCTGTATAATGTCTCTTTATCATAACGAGGGAACATTCCTCCGCACTGTTAATTTGAAAGGTTGGAGGTAACATGTTAAAAGAATGCATTGTGCGTACTTGCAGAATAAATGAATGCAAGCTTCTGAGGGGTAATGCAGGGCATGATGCCAGTTAAGACAAAGTCTCGTGTTCCTGAAAACATGGGGGTCACAGGTGGACTGGTAGATGCCCGTGCTAAGCAAGTTCTAAGAGAAGCTGTGGACGCAGTTGTCAACAGTTTTGCGAAACATTCGCAAGGCTATGGCAGAGGTATAATGATATTTATTTTATATCTATATTTTGTCAGTCATGCAAGCATTTTGTGTTTTATACAGTTTGTGTGTTTTATAAACAGTGAATGTTGTGGAAGCGCTACAAGAGTTTTGGCAGATGAAACAGAGCAGAGGAGCAGAATTGAGAAATGGGGCATTAGTCATCTATGAGTCTGTTCCTGGTGCTAGTCCACCTTACGTTTGTTATGTAACGCTTCCCGGAGGATCATGCTTTGGAAGCTTTCAAAATTGCCCCACTAAGGCGGAAGCGCGCAGATCGGCAGCAAAAATTGCACTGATGAATTCTGTATTCAACGAACACCCGTCAAGAAAAATTACCGATGATTTCATTGAAAAAGCCGTCGCGGAGGCTAGAGCGAGTTTTGCGAAACCATCGGCGACGTCGAACGGAGTCGGTAGCCAAGCGCAAGTAAATAAAGTATAAGAATTTGTTTACTTTTTTTCCTACTACTGGAATGCGGTGAGATACGACGTTGCTTATATATACGCTTGTGCTTTTAGGGCAGCGGCGACGAGAAGGAAGATCCAAACACAGGAATAGGCGCGTTTCGTTTTATGTTGGAGTGCAATCGCGGAAGAACGATGTTGGAATTCCAAGAGTTGATGACGGTCTTCCAATTACTTCATTGGAATGGCTCTTTAAAGGCTATGAGAGAGAGGCAGTGCAGCAGGCAGGAAGTGGTCGCGCATTACAGCCACCGCGCATTAGACGATGATATGCGTAGCCAAATGGCGTTGGATTGGGTGGCCAGGGAGCACGAGAGTGGCGGCGGAGTCGTGGCGATGGAATTGGCTTTAGCTGAGCGCGAACTCGAGACTGCGCGATTAGCAGGCCGGGAGCTTAGATTTCCAAAGGAGAAGAAAGACATACTAATGCTCGCGCACGCGCAGGTCTGTCCGCAGTAAGATCTAACGTGATTGTCGCAACAAACAACGCATGAGACTGGTTTTTTTGAGGGATGATAATTTTTCAAGGAGACTATTTCCCCTTGAATATCATGAAGATAAATTTTTATGAGCGAATCCACTTAATTCTAGTTAAGGCTCAGCTTTATGACATAATCTATTCCGTCCTTTTATACATACATATATATATATATATATGTATGTATGTATGTATGTATGTATGTGTGTATGAAGCGTTTCTCTTTTATAGAGCTTTTCTTCGTAAAGCAATCCTCTCTGGTGATAATAGATCTTAAATGGGATATTTTGATATATAGGAGAACTAAGTATATATAACTGCCATTATTAGAAGTTATACACACTCGCATTTACATATCAAATTTACTTATATGACGTGTGTATAGATATATATTTTCTTCAGGAAAGTAAGGTTTTTTGTCTTCCACTATCTTTATTTCGTGCGATTTCTATTCTGAAATCTTTAAACTTCAAATGAATTCAATGAAACTACACTCCAATTTAAAAAAGATAAAAAAAGGAATGATATGCAAATTTTACGTGCGTACGCATATTACATTCGCGCTAACCCGTGAATGACAAAGAGAATTTTAAGATAATGGTTATACGAACAGGGTAGGTAAAAGCAATGTAGTACATTGGTTTTTACTGATATGTAGGGATACTAAACTAAATTAGTAAATTTTAAATTTTAAATACGCGTGAAATTTATATATATACAAAGGAGAATATAAGGGGTCAAAACTTCAACAAAGGTTCAACAACCTTAAGCCACATGATACATTTTAGGATGAATACGATAAGTTTTTTTCATATGCTGCAAGTTTTATCCACTTGCCATTAGCAATATACTGTGCTTGCCTCTAGTTCTGAAGATATAACGCGATGAGGGATCAAATGATCATATTATATTGATGTTCATTTATACTGCTGTTACACAAGTTAGTGTATTTTATACATACACCAATTTGAAAGAAAAGGGTAAATATATTATTCCCAAGTGCGCACACGCACACACACACACACACACACACAGTTGAATAGGACATAGTTTATAATTGTTTTATAAATATTTTATTATTATTAAATATTGATAAATATGTTTTTTCTTTTTCTATACATCTTGCCAAGAAATCGGAACTGTATACACCATATCCTATCATGTCCAGCAGCATCAAAGCTGAGTTGGTACAGTGCCTTTTTTTTCTATCTCGGCTTCTGCTGTTTCCTCTTGCATAGGATGTGCCAACACTTTGTCTATTAAACCAAACTCTTTGGCTTGTATTGGGCTCATAAAATTGTCTCTTTCCATACTACTTTCTGTAAGAATACAAAATGTGTGCAGTTATGTGTAAGTAAAAAAATTTTAACAAACACACATATACATATGCAAATATATACCTATCTTTTCTAATTCCTGTCCAGTATGTTTAACATATAATTCATTGATCTGTTTTTTCAACTTGAGGATTTCTAATGCTTGGATTTGAATATCTGTAGCTTGTCCTTGTACTCCTCCTGATGGTTGATGTGTCATGATTCTAGCATTTGGTAAGGAATGCCGCATGCCTTTAGCTCCAGCTGCCAAAAGTAGGCTGGCCATGGAACATGCTTGACCTACACACCACGTGGCTACAGGTGGGAGAACATATTGCATGGTATCATAAATTCCAAGTCCTGCTGTTACACTTCCACCAGGCGAGTTAATATACATATGAATTGGATTTTTACTACTTTCTGATTGAAGAAAAAGAAGTTGAGCAATTACTACGGAGGAAACATTGTCTGTAATCTATAAGAGAAAATACAGGTAAATTACAGTCGTTATAAATTAAAGTTGAGTGTAAAGAGTTATCTTTTACCGGGCCCATAAGGCAAATAATTCGTTCTTTCAGCAAACGTGAATAGATGTCGTATGCTCGTTCGCCACGACCACTTTGCTCCACTACAACTGGCACAAAATTTAAATATCTTTTACTTGTTTTGTGCGCATAAGTCTGCTGAAAGGAAAAAAACATTAATTATAATAAAACTGACGTGTACATCATTGAAAAGAAGAAAAAGAAGTCACGGAAGTAGATCGGTAAGTTTATTTTCGTTCGAGAGTTTCTTCAGCATTATACTCACAGTGATTGACGGTAATAAATTGCACGTCCTTCGCAACATATTCGCGGATGAACAACGTAGCAATTCTCTTTAAAAAAATATATTATTGATAAAAGGGTCACATTGGCATATTACAGTGATTTGTTTTGTATAGGTTATGTTTTACACACAGAAATTGCATATAAGTCTGTTCTTTTCAGTTACGTTAGAACTGCACGGTATTTGATAGCGTTTTCGACTGATTCCGGTCCGCCTCGAGTAAATTATGGTTCGAGTCTCAGCCAAATTCAGCCAATTTTAGCTGAGACTCAATCCATATTACAATCTCGTTTACATGAAGAATATTGACCCGTTATTCTGGCGGACCAATAAAAAGTCTACGATGGCTGCGTTCTGCTGATATTCACTGCCAGTACTGAAAATACATAGTTTGCGTCACGTATACTATAGATTTACACTGCTGCTGACAGTGAATATCGGAACGCAGCCTAAACATGGCATCTAAACGGTAAGTTTTTCCCTATTTGTTTAATATGATTAAAACTTGTTTGTTTTTATAACTTAACTATTTTTTTTTATAGAAAATGTCAGTTTCAATGGTCAAGAAACCAAAGAAATTGGAAATATAGAAAAATTGATTCAAAATGTCTGAAATCTGTTTCTATTGAATCTTATAATTCAATAGTGAAATTGTTTGAATCTAGATCTCTCCTTAGAAAAATGAGTTGTACAAAAGCAAAAATTTCGAAATATCATATCTTAGAAGCTGAAAATAATATCCAAGATATATGCCATAAGATTATAAGGACAAATGTTGGAACAAATGATAAGAATATTAATTTTGATAATATTATCCCTACTATCTCACCTATATTGGATAAATTTAAAGCACTACACATAAGGTTTAAATATTTTGATGAATTAAAATATATAATGGAAAAAGAACGGAAAAAGCCAATAAAAAAGAAGTATAAAGGCCAAGTACATATATGTTTACTAAAGTCTTTTTTTGGCTTTATGTTTTATAAAAATGTTCCATTAGAATTGTTTGGAACATGGCAAAATTTCAAAGCAGTGAAAAAAACTATACATTGTCTTCTAAAAACATGTCCCAAGAAGATAATGATTGAACCATCTTCTAAAAAAAATATAAATAAAATTATAAATAGAAATAAAAATACAACTATTGCCACTAGATCTGGAAAAAAAATTACTGCTATTGGAGGATTATTAAGCATAGAACCATTATTAAAAAAACTCGATGTAAGTTTATTTAAAAATATTACCAATTTGATAATTGGAATATATAATACTTACTACACAGAGCTTGCTCTTACAGATTTCTAAGATTGAGTGGTTATATCCACTAAAAAATATACAAGAAAAATGGATTATGATTCTTAAGTTGTTGCATTGGTTTTTCGCACAATATATTATAAAAATTCTACATAAATACATAGTATTATTATCAATCAAACAACAGTGGGTTTATATTAAAAAAGATGACTGGTGTGAAATGCAGGATATATTTATAAGTGAAAAAATAAGCAAGGGCGATCTTGTATTGATTAAAACGACAAATAAACAGATGAGTAAACAAACAAAAGTACAAACTGAATTACAATATAAATTAAAATGTATTAGGACATATAGATTGGTTGCAAGTTCTTCTGGATTGAGAGTTATAGCAAGGTACATGTGCATATGTAATTCACAAACAACTATAAATATTATTACTTATATGTAAAAGCATCCTAAAAACATTGTATATAATTTTAGGTGTTACGATGAAAAAAAATCTTATGAAATCAGTATCATTTTGAGATTCCTGCAGCAATTATATTGTACGTACTTTAATGAGGAAGGACTTCTAACTGTACAAAGTTGTATTCAGCAAGTTTTTAAGTTTAAAAGGTCGACTAAGGATCATTTGTATTATGTACGTTGTGATATACAAGATGCATTTGGGTCAATAAATCAAGGTATATCATAGATGCAACATCTAAATGAGGAAAGATATTTTTGTCAATTAAGCAAACCATTATAATATAACAAACTATTTCATTTCACAGAAAAATTATTTGATATTATTAAAACATGTTGTATGCGTCACTTGCCTATTTATCTTAGAATGCGTAAATGCACAAAAAAGAATACAAAGAAACAAAGACTCGAAGAGATAATGCAATGTTTAGATTTGAAGGAACTAAAAAACGTCTTAAGTAGCGACGAGAAACCTCAATTGACTAAGTGGATAAAGTTGACTTCTAAGATTAAAAAATTGCTATTAGAGCAACAGGTATAACAGAATTAAGTATTAAGTTAAGATCGTAAATTATGTTAATATTTCACTTTCTTTCTCTTATTCAGATTGAATTATATGGTAAAGTATATTCTATAAAAACTGGTGTACCACAAGGTTTGCGGTTGTCGCCAATTTTCTCTGACATATATTATCAAAATATGTTCAATAACTTATTTGTGCAATTTAAAAATAGCGGAGTCTTGTGCAGATACGTCGACGATATTTTATATGTTACCAAGGAAAAGAATTATGCAGAAGAGTAAGGATTGAGTTACTTTGATCATTTTACAGTTATGTATCATACAGAAATTTTACTTATTTCAATACTTTTTATAGATTTTTGAAAATAGTCAGGAGTGGCATACCCGAGTATAACGTGAAATTCAATCCCAACAAAATACAGACGAATGTAGAATTGCCATTTTATAAAAAAACGAAAGTGAAATATTTGGGAAAGAATATATTTATATAGATTCGACGATAAGATTACACTCGTTGCCGAGGATTCATACTACGGCAAGAACGTTTTACGAGGTAGGCCAATTCATCATTACATCGAACTCAGCATTGTGAAATAGGGCCATGGATGTGGAACAATTTTGAGGATAAAATAAACCGTATTAATGTCGCAATAAATTCAACATCTACATTATTGTCGACATAAAACATCAACATTCAAGCAGGAATATGTGCGAATTTTATTTCATTTGTAATTTATACTGAACATTATATTTTCCTTTTGATTCCTGATGATTCGCTTGTGATTGCTTTCGATATTCGCGGGTAATTGGCGGCTCTTTCCGAACGTCTTCTTTCTTTGAAATTTGAATGAAGTAATGTCGAGAAGGATTCTCAATCAGTCACGGTACGTTTCGTACGTTAGATAAGCAAATACGAAATACACTCGTATTTTACGTTAGAATAATGCAATTTAGAATGTTTTAGCTTCTCGATTTTCCCTCGATTCGGGAATCTTTTCAATTTTGAAAACGGAACACGGAACAGAGAGAGGAGGACGTTCTCTTGTTAATTGCCTTCATCTGTCGGCTGTTAGGTTTCCAGGGCTTTTTTTGGACACGCGCACGCCGCACTTTTACAAATGTCTCGTTCGTTTTAAACGTCATAGCATATCCATTTATATACAATATATATATTTTTACTGAATTTTTTACGCCACAGTACGAGAACGAAGGAGCAGCGAGTTCTGTCGTTATTATGCCGATCTCGCGTATTTGAACCCTTTGAACGTGATTGCGTAATATGCGAAGAGGCTGTGCGCGTTATGACGATGTGAGTGTAGTAGCTGTATAAAAAAGAAAAACGCGAAAAATTTGTGCATCACGTTTGCAAAGAACATGGTCTAACATTTCGCTGCGATCTTTCAAAACGCGAGGAGGGGTACAGGAATGCGGATGGTTTCTTCATCAACCGATCGGACTTTCGTCAATGTCAAATATAGTGCATAGCATCACGTATATTATACGTTAGCTTAAGATAGATTAGTTCTAATTGGAATGATAATTTGATTTGTATTGTTCAACAACAGTGTTGTTCAAATGTTGTTCTACCTCATGTTCGTTACCGAAGTTCCTTAATCGTGTTTGCAGAGGCAACTCGATACCTCTATAACCGCCGAGGACGATTCGTGTTTCTCGTCGGAACTCGACCTTCTAAATCCGAGGTAACGCGCGCTCGACAACTCTGCTTCGCACAATCCAAAGCTGTAAGTCTTGTACTTTTTCAGAGTAACACGGTCTTATCGAAGACCGCGACTCACACGTCCAACATTGAGAAACAAGATTGCGAATGATCGGTTGAATCCTCTCGAACCGCCGTCGAGGTCGTCGCATTGCTGTCAGCGGCGGTCGTTTGTTGGCAGAAAGATTGCAGCGAAATTACGTAAGTGATGTAAGTGTTAAATTGAGAGATTCACCTATCGAGGACACGGTCCCGCTTAGAATAATCTCGGAGAAAGCGTCGGAGCGAACTTATTCGTTTGCAACGATTGCTTCCTCGCACACACGTGTCACCTCGCGGAGACGCGTTTTAGTTACCGAAGAGCCCGACAAGATCGCTCCGTCAGGACACGCCGTCAACATCATCGGCTCTTCCGCGTCCGTTTACGACCGTTTGAGGAAATACGAGGTAAGGTAAAACACTGCGTTAGACACTTCGCGAACACTTCGGACTCAGGCTATTGTTCTCGGTGGCGGCGGATGTTTCACAGTCACAAGTGACTTTCGAAGAGAGGCACTCGGTCGACAGCGACGAGGGGTTCGGGCGTGAACTCAGCGGGAAGCTTTGGTAATTATCCCCGACGCGCGAGTAGCCCTTTTAAGATTTCAAGCTGCGAATCGTCTTATTGTCTCGTTTCAAGGCGCCTAATGTATTGTGGTGACAACAGGAAGGAGAGCAGCACACCGCGGATCGTAAGGGTGATTCGACAGAACAGCAGGAAACGTGAGTAGTTTCAGCCGACAGCTGGGATTTTCCCGGGTCTCGTTGCTTCGTCTACGCCAACCTGAAGAACTGAGGAGAGAAATATTCGACACTCTTTACTCACTCAGTGCACCCTTTCGCGCGATCGATTCGCTCCAGCTTAAGCTTCTTGCAGGCGATCTCAAAGTAGGTCGATCGGCAGCATCCGATCGGCCGCGAGAGGACAATAGCAAGAGCAGCGTCGTCGTGCTCTATCACGGAAGATCCAGCACACCTCCGTCGTCCACCTCGAAACTGCCTTTGCGGCTTTCCAAGTCGGATCAGACGATAGCAGCGGTAAAGTCGGACGTCTTGCAGCCGGAAACCACGAGCTCCGCGTCACCCGACAAGTGAGCGCGCACTTATTTGCGATAGAAAGAGACAAGTTGAACGCGTTAATTGCGCTTAATGATATTATAATGCTTCAGCACACATCGCACGTCGCATCGACCATAAAATAATAATCGCGTAAAATAATGATCACGCAAAATGACGATCCAAGTCAAGTAAGGTTACCTTTAAGCGGGAAATATGTTTAAAAAGGACAAGGCTGGTGGAAACTCCGGAAAGTCAGTCGCCAAGATATCCGCTACCTCGGCGGAAGTTCACCTCTCGACGATACCGTCGTCCGTCGAAGCAGCAGCATTCTCTGCACGTAAACATCTATCACGAGAACCAAGTGGAACGGCTTGTATCGGCGCTACAGCATCCCTGGATTGTGCCTGAGAGACAAATAGGAGAAGGCTTCAAAGAATTGGACTACGCAGCCAAGTCTTTCGGAATTCCTATCAAGCGTGAAGAAAAGACGACTGAAAACGCGCCTGGGAAAAGCAGGAGAAAGCGTATCGAAGAGAAACAAGTTGGGAAGAAACAATGCTCGCCGGTTGATGAAGCTATTGCTTCAAAATCTATGGATTATCGTCCAAGGTAAAAAGATTCGAGGCTTCGTGGTTGATTAGACAGGGTTGCAATTGACAGAGCGATATATTCTGTAAATGTGGCGGATGTGTACTTTCCGTGTAGAATTTCATTCAAAGAAACTCAGGAAATGACAATGTTGCAACAGACAAGCGGAAGCAGACGACGCGAGAGGCCAAAAGCAAGCAGTACCTTGCTCGAACCTGAGCTCCTTGGCACAACGGACGCAAACGCGTCCCAAGGGAGCGAATCCGACGTGTATCAGCGTGAACGAGACTAACGAGGCGAGTCGTGTATTTCCTTTTCGAGCTACACCCAGCGGTAATCTCAAGATTATCCCGAATCAGGTAAAGAAGCTCCCGTGCGTTCAAGCAGGTGCCGTGCCGGGACTCTCCCGGAATCAGGAATGTCGATCACCGAGCAGACGCATAGTCATTCTAGGTGGTGTTCGAGTCGAAGAAATTCAGCGTTCTGGTTGCCGATCCACGACGCACCAGAGTCAACGTCAAGGCGGAGCTCAGTCGATCTGCTGCTATCGACACTGCTGGCACGCTTGTTCCTGACTCTTCGAATCGGCCGAGATACGTCGATCTTCCGCTTGGCGTTACGCCATCCGCGATCGATCAATTGCAGGTGGAATTGAATTAATAATAAATTTATAGTTACTACAGAAACACATAACATGTACAAGCTTTTTAAAAGCCAAACTCGACTTGTTTTATAAATAAGAAGACCAGTACAGATTCTTTGGCTACAGCAGTATCTTGAATATAAGTACTTTGTAACATTAGGCGCAGAAAAAGTTACCCTACATCGAAGCGAATTACAAGTCACGAATTCAGCCGAGTACAAAGTTCACTGCGTCAGAAATGGCAGAGAAGCAGCCGGCTGCTCAACCAATGTCTCACCAAGTACCAGCGATGAATGAAATACCGCTCGCCTCGTTAGTTTTGTTCTCGTTTTTCAGTCATAAATTTGGGGGAGAATTTGCGTAGCAATCATACGAATAACTTTCATCATTATTCTCATTTTCTTTCTTCTTCGGGAACAGATTGGGTTTTACAAACGAGCAACCGATCAATTGGGAAGATATAATCCTGCCGGAGAAGACCGATTTGTATCAGGAATTGGCTAAGCGTATCACAAATTATAAGTAAGAACAGAATTTTGAGCGAAATAATTTTGTAGTTTGTATTAACTGACATATTACACTTTATGCGATATGTCATTTCGCTGGAAACTAAAGTAAGTTTTATTCATTTATTCTGTTCCCCTTGAAGGAATGCCGATTGCATTGTTCGAATCGATCACGACGAGTTTTGCTGTCATTTGCTCGTTTTGCAAAGTTACAGCACGTTTTTTGACGAGAAGAATTGCAAGGATATTGATTTATCTGGCGTAAGATTTCACTCCAACTTAATTGTCAAATAAAAAGAAATGCGTTAGTTTGTCCATTGACCTGATGAAAAACTCGATCAATTGTATTCTAATGTAGAGCAACGTGACTTCCAAGGCCTTCTCTATCATTTACGACTGGATGATCAGTCCAACTAGCGAAAGTTATCAGTTGTTACGAAGAGATAATATCCTGGAGATCTTCATGGCGGCGCAGTACCTTGGCATCAAAGGTACGCATTTCATCTCGTACATAAAATTTGTATTTCGAACGATAGTAGAATCTTCGCGACCTCTCGAAACGGAGGCAAAAGAATTCAATCGAACACCTGAAACGAAATACACGAGAGACATGTTAACGGGATCCTATAAACGGGATAGTCCTATAAAATACACGTACTTTACAAAAAGAACTGGAAGAACAATGCTGGGCATTCATCGACAACGACGAGCTCTTCTCCGAGGATACCGCTTTCCTGCTGTATCTGGAAGCGAAGAAGATCGGGAACACTGCTGTGATGGAGCTAATGGTGCCGAGAATCATGAAGTTTTTCTTGATGCTCGTCAGCACCAAGGACTTTTTAGAACTATCGGTGGATGAACTATGCTTGCTGTTAAAGTCCAATTACATTTGTGTCAACAGGTATCATTGTGCTTGAAAAAATTTTATACCTGAGAAAATCATTTTTAATTGTTAAAAACATCTCATTAGCTAAAGATTCACTTCGAAAGCAAAGAAGTTTTGTATACCAATAATAGCGAGTAATTTTTCCATCAGCGAGATGGAAGTCTTAATGTCCGCCGTGAGGTGGTTGATGCACGATTGGAATGGACGAAAGCAACACATGTTGGAAGTGCTCAGGTGTGTTCGATTCGGGCTTATAGCTCCGTGGCAATTAATAGATGTCAAAAGGAATCCCGAAAATCCAGAATTTATGGAACTAATGTCTTATCCCGAAGTGCAAAAGATGGTGGACGACGGACTAGCGTATGAAAATTTTTGTCCACTTGTAAAATTAAATTATAAATGAACGAGCGTGTGATCGATATGCAATTCTGCAGCTTTGTCATTATAAAGTATTGGTATGGCAATCAAACGGAAGATTATTACCACTGGATCGACGTGCTCGGACTCAACGAACCTACCAATCGCAATTGGGCCGGAGAGGACAAAGTAATTTATGTTTCATTGCTCCAACAAATACATTTTTCATTCAACGCGCTAAGCAGTTCCCACGTAAAGCAGTAAACTATACTTTAACTTTGTCTTTGAAATGATTTTTGTTAGAACACTTTCTGTTTCTCAGAATTATGTTACGTATCGCGAGTTCCTGCTGTACCTCGAAGACTATCAAAAGACAAAGGTTACGGAGTTGAAAACTCGGAAGAAACCCACACCACCGAGTTCTCCTCCCAAAGATTATTCGCCCTTGTCGCCGGGAAGAATGCACACAGATTGCGGCCAAAATCATTGCTGCATAGAGTCGCGTCTCTTAGGTAATTAAATTAACGTGAATAAACTTAAGAGATTTTGGACATCCTTGTCTCCTTAAACGTTTAATAGTGTGGAATTACTTGGTACTGCATTGAGATCAAGTTTTCTTGCATTTATTTTTAGAACGGTATAGCACGACGCAAGGCAGAGGATCGAAAAAGTATATATCGAGGGTCGCTACATCGTCAGGCACATTGATTTCGCCTGAAATCTTGACCGAATGTCTCAGCAATATGGGTAGAAACAATAATGTAAGGGCGGTGAGTAAGCTTCAGGTTGTTAAACTGATCTCTTTCGGAGAAACTGATGATGTGTTAATAATAATAATCACGGTGATTCGCTTGTGGTAAAGTATCTTCAACTATTTGAATAATATTTTTTATGTCTTCTTTCACAGAACAAGGTGCAATGCGATGGGAATAGGAACGGCAACTCTAACGTCCACGAGACAAGATTTCACGGAGCGGGTGAATCACCACGGAGGTCTTTGGACTTTTTCAAGAGACATACGTGCGACAATCATCAGAATTGTGAAAATCAGCAAGGGAGAAAGCAAGTTTCGGATGTCTACAGTCGCAAGCCATGGGAACATAATGCGATGTTTCCTACGAAAAAGCAGCAGAAAGCGGCGAAGAAATCGCGATACTCGGAAAATCGTGATTCGGTCAAGTCCGAAGAAGAGGCTGCTACTATGATACAGGCTACATACAGAGGATATAAAGTTAGAAGAAAGTTTGACGAGGTTAGTAAAACGAGACGAAGACGCTGTAATATTCAATCAAACCGTGATAAAAACAACATTTTTATTTTTTCCTGTCATTACAAGCATATTGCTGTATGATTAATAACAAAGATCATTTAATCTGCATCTCGCAGATTAAGAAGTCATCCTCGGAGGAGAAGCAGAATGCTCAGAAAGTGGCAGAGTTATTGTCTGCGACGACTAGCCGGTGCGGCAGGTTTTTTCAGAAACGCTCTACTAAACCCAGCCAAAGTGTCCAATAACGTCGCGAATTAAAGCAGAAGTACGTATCTGAAGAACACGAGTGTTAATCCCAATATGTAACAGCTGTTTAGTAATAAATATATTTTATAAAAAAGAATTTTTCAGCAAATATGAGTGTATCTCTCTGCGCAAGCACGCTAATGTAATAACTCACTCAAGTGTGACGATATATTCTTTATTTTTCTATGTAAATAACTTATCGAGTAGTAATACAGATGTTGTTTGCCTGCCTCTCGTCGCGAAAGAGTGTGTAATTGCGCGACGGTAATAGCAACTCGTGTGAACAATTCAGAGTACACTTATGCATTCAGCCGAGTATAATACTAGATATAATACCATCAATCGTTTTTTTGCGAAACATCACGTGTTCAACTATGTACATGGACATTTCTCGGATTGAAAGTTCATTTTCCGCATTTCATATCATATCGTACTTGTCTCAGAAGAAAATGCCAATCGCGTATAAATATATATAGCAGAGAAATCTAACGTCTCAACAATCAAAGTCTAAGCTCGATGCGAGCGTTATAAGGCGCGCATGAGCATACTTCCAATATAGGAGCGGTTGTTTTAGCGTTATGAGTACAATGATTAGCATTTAAATAATGACTGATCAACAAGCGGGGTTCGCGATCTCGATAATTACGTTCTTCGCGTCGGGTTCCTTCGCAGACTGCGGCGCGATCGATTCAAATTACAAATTTCTCATTTCTATAAAAGATCTCTACGAGAACATCGCTCTCGTTCCAATGATGAATGAACGCGTATATCTCCCGCCAATGATTCGTCTACAACAATGCAGTTGACGAAAAGAAAAGAAAACTTGCGTTCACTTCGAAGTGTGTGTCGAGGTTGTTGTGTCAATTTGTGTTCAACTACGGATTGTGTGTCGCATCCTTATGCATGATAGCTGAGAATATGTGTGTGTGTGTGTGTGTTCCAACCAGCATAAATATCCAAAATACGCATCAGAGACATCCTGAAGACATCTAAAACAAGCAGGATATCTTCGGGCGACTCTGAGATGTTTTTCAGACATTTATGGCATGTGCACGCGCACGATCTGCATTGTATTCACACACACACACACACACACACACACACACATACACACGTACACGGTGATTGTACTTTAATGAAATACGTTTATTTGTTCCAGAATGCGAAAGCCTTCTGTATTCTCTCGTTGTACGGCTTGCCTGCGACTAAGGCGGCAGGATAAGCACGCTGCGCCGCGGACACCTGCGAATCGTCCGACTTCGATGTTGCGCTCTCCCTCTCGAATATCCTGGCCGTGCGACTCACGTTTCCGGTCGGCAGGAACTTGTCACGGGTACGTTCAATCAGTAACCTTGCGTCCGTATTCTCGTCGGCAACTGTGGACAAGTGCAGAAGTTTGAATGGAGTCATTTTGTCACCCGCGATGCACACGACGGCGCATGATACGGTCGGTATCGTAAATGATAGTTTACCGCAATCGCACACACCTTTTCGATCGAGATTAATTTCACACGAAGCTTTAGTCACACCAGTCTTTGTAGCTACCTTGTCGTCACCCCGGCTACTTCCCATGTCGCAGAAAGGGCTTTCCTTGCTGCGCGCCAAGGTAGTCAGGATACCCGACGTTGAGCTTCGCCGATTTTTCACTGCATCTTCCTTCCTAGATGTCCGTTTGCCCTCTCGGCTTTGGGACTCGTGATCCGCCTCCTCCTTGATAGTAGACACTATTCCTAATTCGTCCACTTGCAACGGGGAGGTCATCTGATTCGAGTTGCAGTCGCCTATACCGGAATCGCGGGAATCCCCTCGAAGGACCCTGCAAAGCGCCTGCGACCTTGGCACGCTGTGTTTTTCTATTTCGACGGATTTCTCGATGAGCTCCTTGCCGTTTTCTTCCTTGTTCTTTTCCGACATGAGCTGCGGATGGTGCGTCGTGGCGTCTCGTAAAATATTTTGCTTTGAAGTCAACTCGACGTCCGGCTCAGACATTTCTCCCTCAATATTAATCTGCTCTGAAGGACAATCCGAGCTGCTTGCTTGTCTCGCCGATGATACTTCAGTCGTGAGCAAATTGATATCTTGGAACTCCTTTTCGTGATCGATCGTCCATATTGAGTCATCTGCACGAGTAGTTTCTCCTTCCAGACTAACTTCGGGGACGAACTTGCGGCGAACGATATTATCGGCCATTATCCCTTGTGTCTTCATATTTCTTCCCGTCATACAGGGGGAGGAGGAGGGAAAGGAATGCATATTTTCCTGAGATTCCGCTCCGACGGGGTTGTCTTGCGTGACATTAATGTCGCTGGGATATGATATCTCGAGGCTGTCGAACTGTTTCTCAAGCGTAGGCGACGATTCTGCTGTCGTTGCAGGGCTGCGTCTGTTATACGCCGAGAGCATCGCCATTCTTCCCAATGCGCGGATGGCGTTTCCTGTTTTCTGTCGAAATAAACAGCGCAACGCATGCACACTCCAAACTTAAACGCATGCTGAGATTATCTCGAGCTATTCCAACGTTTCACAAACGACAAAACATCAGTCACGAAACACTCCATGAAATCATCGATCCGCTGACACTCACCTGCCACTTTCTTCGTACGATGAATTTCTTCAGCTTGTCCGTCGGCAAGACCACCCTGCTCATAGCCGCGTTACGTTGCGCCATCCACGGGTGTTCTAGACATTGTGCGGCCGACATGCGTAATCTACATCGAAAAGATCAATATTCAGCGTGCTCAGGTTCTCATGATATCGCTGATGATAATGCAAGAAAGCAGAGAAGATATGAAAAAAGAAGAAAAACTGATGCGAATGAAACGCGTACTCCTTCCGTTTGATGAGCAGACCGCTGATAAAGTCCTTGGCATCGTTTGAAATGGCATCGAAAGCTTCGTCTTCCAGATCGTAGTCCGCTCGTGTGATGTTGGCGAAAGTTTCGGCGTCGTTGTCTCCCATGAACGGGGACAGGCCGGTCAATCTACGATCCATTGTTCACGATGCCAGATATTTACGATATATATAGTCGAGCACACGCGTGTGAAAGAAATGATCGCCGAAGGTGATTGACACTTACAGAACATAACAGATCACACCGACGCTCCACATGTCTGATTCGGTGCCGATGGGCTCGTAACTGATGATCTCCGGTGGAATAAATTCCGGCGTACCAAAAAGCACCCTGATCGGCGTGTCGGGCTTGAGCGTTTGAGCAAGTCCAAAGTCGATCAGCTTGATCTGATGAGAAGTGCGCGTGCGACACATCACGTTCTCCGGCTGTGAAAACGAGCAAAACGATAGAAACGATAGACGAGAAGAGAATGGTGGAAAAGCAGCCATTCAGCGAAATCCTCTAAACGACGCTAAACGTACTTTCAAGTCCAGATGCACGATTTTGTTCTGATGCATGTATTCGACTCCCTCGCAGATTTGTCTCATAAAGAGGATGCTGTCCCTCTCGGTTAAGGTGAAGTCGTCGGCCACCACCCTCTCGAACAGCTCGCCGCCTGAAATGCTGAAGAAGGGATTCGGGATTAGGCCATCGTCATCGACATCTGATAACCCTGATGACCGGTCCAACGACCGATATCAGGTCAACTCACTATTCCGTGATCATCACGGTTTCACGAGGACTCTCGTAAGCCGCAGCCAGCAGCAGAAGCTTCGGGTGCCTCAACGCGTTCATGATCCTGATCTCCTCGCGCACTTGTTCGCGATCCTTCGCCTTGATCGTCCGGACGAATTTCGCGGCGAAACACATACCGGTCGCACGCTCGGTCACCTTCTTCACTATGCCGTACCGGCCTTTGCCCAGCTCTTCGTGGACGTCGTATCCCTCGTCGAAGAGTCGACCCTCCTTCGGCTCGACCACGCGAGGTTCGAAGCTCGGCTCGAAATTGTCTGAGGAAATAGAACGGTTGTTATTTATATAAGAATTGTCATTATTACCACGTTGATGAGGAGTACGTAAAGAATTCCCTCCTTAATTTCGAGCGAAGATATTCACTCGACGATTCGGGAGACTACAGATTATGTTAATTGTTAGTATTGCATTGTCGTTAGTGTTAGTCACCTTCTTCCTCCTCTTGCAACATCGTCTCTCCTGGCTTCGGGATTCTCACGAGATCGGACTCGACGCCGGGATCGCTGAGCCCGTGGACGTTCTCAGCTCGAACACGGAAACGGTAACTTTCGCCTGGTACGACGAAATCGGTCTGAGCTGTCGGTACCGTTTGACTCAACGAATGACAGGACTCGGCGATCACCATCCACGTGTTTTCATTCACGGCGCGTTTCGCCTCGACGGTATATCCGATGACCGTGCGGCCTCCGTCATAAGCTGGCGATCGCCAGACGATCGTGGCCTGTCCGGCGCTCAGGTTCACACTAACTCTATCCGCAGGTGGTTCCGGTGGACCTGTGAGTGAGGAGGAAATTCTTGTCTTACGAAGAAGAACGAATTATTCGAGCACCACACCCGCACGCATCTCACCTTCGCCGTCTCTCCTTCGCACGGAGAGCCTCGAGAGAGTCTCGTTATCTCGTATGGACCGTGGGATTACTTTGAATTGTACTTTGATAACGTCCCGATCTGACGAGGACAGATTTAATTTGATAAGGCGTATTTGGAGGAAAGGAAGAGAGAGAGGAAGAACAGGAAAGGCCGAACATCGCACGAGACGCGTCGTCGAAGCCGCGCGCCGTGACGCGTGTGTCTCTTCCCACTGAACACGCGCGTCTTCGGCGATGCTTAGAGAGGAGATACACGATGATCTCGAGGAAAGAGGAAGAAGAGGCGGAGCTGATACCACTGCGGAGCAAATGACGGTGGAAGCGCGGGAAGGAGGAATTATTGCGCGGTGTGTCACGTGAGACTGCCGTCTGCCTTGTACTGCGAGAGAAGAGGAACTGGACCGTGTAACGAACGCACGCACGCACGCACGCACGTATTTGCAGACACATGGAACAATGCGATGGGCGTCTCGTTCCCTAAAATCGCACTCACGAAACTCCGCGTCCGAAACATAGCCGTCGATTACGTTATATCATCGAGGGACTCCCCGCGTCTAATTAAGTTCAATTAAGTCAACGCGAAGGCACCAAGTCATGGTATGCAAGTCTCGGACAGCGCAACGTAACAGCGTCTCGTTATGCATACGTCGCATGCACGCACGCACGCACGCACACATGCATGAAAGTTACGAACAACCGGCAGCTCACCTTCCACGGCCAAGCTGAAGAAGCTGCGTTCCTTGCCCGCCGAGTTCTCCACCGAGACCTCGTATTTCCCGGCGTGGTCGTACGTCACGTCGTCTAACGTCAGAAGGGACTCACCATCCCCGCTGACAATGTCGACCTTCTCGCCCGGCAGTAGCTGTCGGTTCTTGAAATTGAAATCGCGATGTTACCACGTGTGTGACCGGCGATCACGCAACAAATACGTCAGCGCGCTCGCGAGCGCGAGCGATAGATCTCCGAGAAATTCCTGCGAGACCGCGTGCGCAGCTGGTCGTTAATTAGCATTATTTGTGTTAACGTTACATACCGCTTTCCGCGCTGTTGGCGTCGAAATCGACGCAACATCGGCAAATAGTGTTGATTGATTGGCAGCTGCGAGCTCGATTGTGTGGCGAACGAGAGAGAGAGAGAGAGAGAGAGAGAGAGAGAGAGAGAGAGAGAGAGAGAGAGAGAGAGAGAGAGAGAGAGAGAGGGAGAGACGGGCGACGACCGGTCCTGTGTGTACCGACACCGATTGATTTGCGTCAATTCGACGAGGCGAGGGATATTTGTCACAGCGAGAAGTTACGAGAACGTTTCCCGCCAGTCACGAGCACGAAGCACAACTCTGTCTGGGCCAGCTAATAACGTTATTTCTATATGCGACAATTTCACTCTCGCGTCCGTTCGTTTGCGCTCATCACATGAGACACGACGGACTGTGTGTTTAGACGATCGCGCTAATTTATGCCGATGCAACTTATGTTTGTTTGGTGGAGAAACTCAAAACCTCATATTGGAATAGCACCTCGGGTCTACGTTAAACGAAACGATTCATTGCTTCGTCACAGAAGAAGAATAATGCCAAAATTGCCTTGTCCTTCAAAAAAGTGACTTATATATACTGGCCATTGTGAATTAAAATATCGTCGTCATAGGATAGAAAGATTCGGCTAAGAGGATGAGATTACGCCACATCTGTAACGAAACAGCAGAGTCATCGGAGCTGTCCTGCTGCTTATCGCGGGCATAAAATTTTTCTAGATGAACTATCCAGGCAGCCAAAGCTGCGCGAACAGATTCTGAGCAGGCTGCTAGAAATGTTTTGCTTACACTCTGCTTACTGGGCAATTATCGCACCAAATAGAAATAAGGGATAAAGATCCAAAGTAGACTTTGAGATCCTGAGTTTGCTGACGCGAATGAGGAAGGGATATGTCACAATGGACCTAAATACATCGCTATGACGTACGGCTCCAGCAGCCTTAAGCCCTCTGTGTAGTAATAGTAATAGTAGTAGCTTATGTTATAATTGCGAAACAGAGAGTGCGTTGCTGCGGAGAACAGCGGGCCCTTTGTTTGACTCGCTTCTTTATTCGATGTGATCGCGTCGACGCACGAAATTTGCTCGCTCGTTTGCTCGTGGAAGATCGCGCAGTAAGCGTTATCAGTTATCAGGTAGTAGTCCCGAGCGAGAATTTAATGAGACTTTAATCGTTCTTCATAGGAACTTAATCGTCGCAGACCGAAACGGACGTTTTTCTCATGAGAACGTAATTCGTGAGAACGCAAGCAGGAAAATCGAACGTACCACTCGAAGCCACTTGACCGTCGGTTCGGGTCGTCCTTGATAAGTGACTCGCAGTACCGCTCTGTTTCCTTTGAATACAGTGACGTCACTTGGCTCTTTTACGATCGCGGCTCTCATCGGCTGCTCCGTTTCCGCATTCTCCTCGCCCCGACAGATCGTCTCCTCTCGGTCGTTCGATTCGTCAGGTTCTCCCGGTGGCTCCGGCTGCGAGTCGGTTGGCCGACTCTTCATGTAGCTTCCGGTACCCTGGTCGTTTTGATGACGGGGCTGCTCCGTTTCCGTCGACGGCGACGATTCCGCAGGATTGTCCACCGCGTCTTCCTCGACGTTTTGCTTCGCGGTTCTTCGCGCCACGACACCGCCGTCGAGTCGTGATTTTCGCGACGTGTTCATCGGTACGTTGTTAGCGGCGCGTCTTCTCGCCGGCAAAGGGGAAGCGTGCTGGGCGCACGACGATACGCTCCGCCGAGGGAACGAGGACGACCTGACGCGCATTGGTGACTCCTCGCATCGTTGTCCACGTTTCAACGTTGATGCAATTCTCTCCGGCGTGCCCGTGAGGCAGGCGGTGTTGCTCGGCGACAGCTTGGTGTATGACTGACTACCTTCGGGTCTTATTGCGGGATCACCGAGATTGTTTGACGAGTGTCGCAACCGTAGCTTCGCGACGCAACCGATGGACGGACCCTTTCCGCCCGCGAACGAGGCTGTGCACCTAATTTCACCTGCCTCGCGTGACGTCACGTCGCGTATTCTCAAAATACTGACGCTGCCGTCTCTTTCGATCTGCGAGCACGCAAATAACGATTGCGGTTTTATGTAAATGCGATGGGAGCGAGGCTCGTAATGTCCACGATGTAGAAGTCTCAAAGTCTCGCGTACCTTGCACTTTGCGTTCTCCCGAGCGTCTCTTCCGTTCACCGACCAGGCGACATCCGTAGCTTTTCCGCATTGTACTCGAGCGCAAAAACAGGCCGTGGAGCCCTTCGCGGCGATAACTGACAGCGGTGTCTTTGTAAACTGGGGGGGTGCCAATTTGGGAAGGTCCTTGTAGTCTGAAGCATCGGACAGAATGAAGCGTAGTCAAAGTTTCCAGTATCAAAAATAGGCGGATGAGAACTCGGTATCCGAAGTGTACCTTGCACAGCGAAAAGACTGCTGCAGGACGCAACGCCGAAATGATTTCGCACCACGCAGGTATATTCGCCGGCATCCTGCGGACGAACCTGCGACAATCTAAGAGCAACGCCACCGTCGCCGTATATGACGTATTTACAGTAATCGTTGTCGGGTAACTCGCGACCATCCCTTGACCAGGTAACCGTGAATGGAGGTGTGCCTGAAACGTGAGAAAGAGTGTGTGAAGAGACAAAGGCGCTCCATTATGAAGGATTTACGATTCTTCTTTCCCTTTCTTCTGGAAGTTGAATACGAGCTGAATACTTTCGAACTTTATCTTTTTCATTTTTACTTTTTTTTGTTTTAATTTGAAAATTGAAGTTCCCGGAGTAAGCGAGACCTCGCTCAGAAGCTCTTTCGAATTTCAATGGCTCGGTCGACGTCACTCGACGTCACGAGCTAAAATTGAGTAGAAATTTGAAGAGATGAAACAGTTGAAAGAAATGAAATAGGAAGGTGAATGAAATAGATTTCCACCTGTGACTCCAGTCTGGAATTCATGAGGGTGATTCTCCATTACGATCGACTCCTCCGGCAAGGGTTGTAGAAATCGCGGCGCGTTCTTATCTGCTGTGGACGAGTCGTGATGGTGTAACACGGTTACCTGCAGATCACACAAGCTCGAAACGTAACACAACCAGGAGATTTTAGGGCGGTCGGTGAGGGTCTGACGAGGGTCAGCCCGTTACTCTGTTGCTCGTCTTACCTGACAACTGTTCCTCGTCGATCCAAGGACGTTGGTCGCCACGCACGTGTATTCACCCGCGTCGCTGGCTTTCACTTTCGATATTTCGATTTTGGCTGTCGCGCCGTCGAAGTATCTCTTTATTCTGCTCGATCGTTCCAACGGCCGTCCGTTCCTAGGTAGAGAAAAAGAGACTGATCGAGATGAAGCTTGGGTTGCGTTAGAGTCGTTGCACCACGCGTTAAAATCTCCGCAGCCTCACCTGTACCACGTCGGCGTGACGCTCGGTGTACCTCTCATGCGGCATTCCAGTTGCAAACGCCCGTTTATCCTGCCGGTGGTCGGCAGGAGGCTCCTGTCGAACGTGGGATATGTCCTGGGCGAGGCGCTCCTGGTCCTGATGGTCCGACTTGTCGATTCGTATCGACCTTTTCCCGATCAATGAATTCGACAGTATAGAACAAAGTCACGTACGCGCAAGATTCGACATTTCTAGTCCTAATTAATCCTAAGCTCACTCTCTAAATTTCGAATCTTTCGTGCTTTATCTTTTGTTCATTTTTACTTTTTTTTTTCTTTTTTTTTTTTTTTATTTGAAAATTAAAGCTCCCGGAGTATAAGCGAGCGAAGACCTCGCTCGGAAGCGCTCTTCGAATTTCAATGGCTCGGCGTCGACGTCACTCGACGTCACGAGCGGAATTTCACTCGAAGATGTCTACAGAGCAAGATAGAACGTACTACCACTCACCAATGCACAATACGTACTTATCACTTCGAGACGAGCGCTGGCCTCGATCCGGCCGAAATCATTCTCCGCCGTAATTCTGTAGAGAGCGGCGTCCTCCCGCATCACGTCGACGATCTCGAGTATCTTCACGTCGTCCCGTTCCTTGATAGAGACTCGTGCGCTCGGTGTCACGATGGTGCCGTTCTTGTCCCATCTCACCCAGGGCGCCGGGTGGCCGACCACCGCGCACTGGAAACGCACGGTCTCGCCCTCCTGGACCAAGCGATTGTGCGGCACCGCGTAAAATTTCGGCGGGCAAACCTTCGGCCGCCTGGACGTGCCCCTTCTTGCTAGCATCTGCGGCGACCTGAATTCGCGTCCATCTGAGAGCAATTGGCACGGTCGGTTATTTTGGCGAAGCCAGTGTCTCGCCGCGTCTCTACACTTGACTCTTCGCGAAGACATTCGCGAGAGAGGACTTTTGATTTGGGCTTTTGATTTGCGATTTTCCACTTACGCGAAACTGCCGGCGACAGGCTCCTGATGGGCGTCGATCGCGGCGTCGATCTCGGCGTCGATCCCGCTGAGAGCAAACCTATCGGCCTCGTCAGTCTTTGGCTAAGGATGTTTTCTTTTCCTTCGGGTACTGCAACACGGGTATGCCATCGCGTCTCACGACGCGGATATATCGATGAGAAAAATAATAAAACACCGCGGACAATTATCCGCGATGTGTGCGAAGGAGATGCATTTGTCACAAATCTGTCTGATCTGTCGCGTGAGCGTTCCAGGAATGCGTTATTTTGCACAAAATTATGATTAACTCGAGCTCATCAGTCACGTCACGACGCAGACTTTGAGAGCGGCCGATAATTAGCATAATAAATGCGAGCGTGACTCAGAGACGTGAAACGAGAACGTCGCGCGTTGATTCGCGTCGCGTCTTCGTCGAAAGGAGCGCTTTCGTCAAGCGGGCTGTGCGAGAGCTGTGCGAAATTACCATCCACGACTAGACAGGCTGACGTGTACGCTTTCCCGAGGTCGTTGTAAGCCACACACGTGTACTCCCCTTCATCCTCGGGATAGACGTGTTGGATGTTCAGTCGCGCCGTCTCGCCGTCGAATTCGCCGTTGAAGTCGCCGACCATCGTTATAATCTGCGACGGGACATATATTTTTTATCGCAGCTACGAGTCATCGCGGCTACGTGACGCATATCGATCAGTTTTTTTCTCACCTTGCCTCCTCGTTCCCAGCGAACCAAAGGCGGCTCCGGCGTGGCGTAAACCTTGCACTCGAGGGAGACGGCGTCGCCGTCGCAACACCTGAGGTCTCGCAGTTCCCTCTTTACGATCGGCAAACTCAGCACTTTCCTGCAAATGTGGATCAATTTTATCAATCAGTGGAAAATACATCAACGTGCGTTTATACATAAATCATCGATGAAGCTTTCCACGTCTGAGAGAAGAAAGCGGGTCTCAGCGGGTTACACGACATCTTTGCACAAGTTGCTCACCCGTGACGAGACTTTTGCGCACGGTCCTCTTTGCCTTGACCTGAAGAAGTCGTCGAATTAGATCTCAGCACGATTCGACAGCAAATCTCGCTCGCTCGCTCGTCTCCGAGGACTTACCTCTGGCATAGATTTGCAAGGAAATTACAGCCTTCGCCTCCCCATGGCAGTTGCGAGCTATCACGGAGTACGTTCCGGTGAAGTCGAGCTTGGCGTAAGGTATCTCCAGCCGATATTGTGGCCCTGCACCCACCAGCCGGAAGTGAGGCGCGTCCCGGTAATAGTCGGGCTGCAAGTCGGAAATCAGATCGCAGGCGTGAGACCACCGTCGAAGCCGAGGAAATCTTAGAATCCTTATCGCGAGTCGCAGGCATCTAGCGGGACTGAAGCTGAATCGCGAGAATGTTTACAACACTTTCTTATCAACGTGCTTCCGCGTTTGCGTTTGTTTCGCGGGTTTGCTCGCTTGCGGGAGAACTCCCGCATTCGTCGCGAATGAGCGTTAAACTATCGAGGAAATGAAGAACGAAGGCTCGTGTCCGCGTGGATGAGCTTCCGCGCCGCTTGGAGCTGCACGACGTCAGACGTCGGCGTTTCCGCGGAGCGCGACGTCATCCACCGGCAGCGTCGAACCTAAACGAAACCATAATAAACACACCGAGAGGATGCGTCGCATCGCACGAAGGCGATGTTGTTTTGCGTCATGCGCCGCTCGGCGTGTCCTCGTTCGCGACTATTGCGCATGATTATGTCCGCTTTAGCGCGTTTCAATCGCCGTGCGCGCTACGTCGACGGATTTTGGACGCGCGTTACGCAACATTCACGCGGGGTTCAAACTCAGCATGCGGTGCCGCCTGAGCGGCACTCGAGAGCACGGAGTGGTCTCGGCGAGAGAGAAGCGAGAAACGAGAGATGTCTTCGTCAGCGGCTCTAGCCCATATAGGGAGCGAAAGTCGAAGGCAGATCGGCTGCAGTTTGATCTGGTTGCGCGTGATACACGAGCGCGCCAACGTGCGTTGCTGAAATCGCTCTGCTCACGCGCGTATTCGCAGCGTGTTCGAATGTCGCGAATCCGCCGATTCCATTTGGATTAATAGCCGTCGTCTAGACGGAGGTGCGTGACATAATGAAGTCGCCGAGATGTATCTATCTGCTGGCTGTCACATCGCGCTTCTGCTCCTCGACTGCGCTCAAATTTATGCGGGATACCTGCCCGTTGCGAAAACCGAGCGCCATAAATCGCCGACTGGCAGCAAGGACTCGTTGACAGCGTTGAGAGATGTCATTTTATGTCAGTGTAACCCGCGGAACCCGCCTGCGCGGAACAAACACGCCTAACCGAACGAAATGATTAAACGCGGACTCGATTGAAGGCGATGTTTCTTCGGCCGTCATGAGAGACGATTTTTCACTCTCGCTTTTCGACCCTGTCGATCGCAACCGCCCACGAAGTCACACACAGCCTGGTCATATTTGGCTGATAAAATCACAGATGAGCGAGCACGCTGCATTTGCATTCACGTCGCGTCTCCGTGAACGAAAGAAGAAGGGATTCTCGCGCGGGCGACCTCACGGCAAATCAAATCACTTGTAACACGAGCGTTTAATAATTCATCAGCTCGGCGCGAGCGATCTTACTCGAGCGTGTCTGATTCAAGCAGCTCTCCTCGTTCAAAGCAGCTTCTCGATTTCGTTCGACCTCAGATGTGTGAGAGCGATTGCTCCTACCCGTCGACAATTAAATCATGAAATCATGACCGGTAATTCGGCAGACACACTTACGCTAATGTATTCCACATCGAGTTGAATCTAATTTTTTTCACTGGACTCTTTCGTCCAGATCGGTCGAGCGAGCGCTCGCTGGTTAGGTTGCTGGTTGCTGGTGAACTATGAGGCGATCACAAGTCTCGGGGAACGGTGGTGTGATAAAAAAATAACAATCCGCACTGCAGCCGCAGAGAGAGAGAGAGAGAGAGAGAGAGAGAGAGAGCACAGCGCGACGCGATGTCGTGCGGCATGGGCGATCAAAAGTCGGAGCGGCTGTTCGTTCGCTAAAGTTACGCGGCGACTGTTTTGCCGCGGGCAACGTAACAGCGATCCATCGGCGATCCATCGGCGAGGAGAGCCGACCTGGCCGACGACAAGTGGGGACACCATTCCGCACGTATATTTTGCGATTAATGCAGTTATTCAGTTGTGACGCGCGGCCGTCGTGAACCTCTCTGTTTCGCCGGTCAACCACTTCCGTTTGCTCCATCTTGGGTCGACATGGGTCGTCCATTGATTGCGCGAATCCCTTGCGGAGACGCGCGACATGTCGCGCCTCGCTCTTTTGTCCGTATTAAAAATGCAAACGTGACGTAACGCCGTCGTTGCCATTCTCGATCAATGTCAATGCCACTCTCTCTCTCTCTCTCTCTCTCTCTCTCTCTCTCTCTCTCTCTCTCTCTCTCTCTCGGTGCATACAATGCTCCGCTCCTCCGCTCGCTCGTTCACAGGTATAATACACTTGGTCAGTCAATTTTTTGCAGTTGACTCAACCTGCGCAACTAATCGAGGCATGTGCTTTGTATACGCGTCGCTTTGCGTAATATCCGTTTTTTCTCCGTCTGCGGTTGTTCGTGATATTTCAGCAGCGCATTATGATTGTTCATAAAGCTGTATGGCTCACCTTGAGGAAGTCGCGCAGCCATATTACTTCTGGCTTGGGATCTCCGACAACCTCGCACAATATGATGACCGTATCGCCCTCCACCGCTTCCGTCGATAATGGTTTCGTGACGAAAAGAGGCTCCTTCGAATATCTAGAAGATCACGCGCTTGTTAGAACTCGGCGGTCGACACGACCGCCGAAATTACGCTGCGACTTACGGTATATCCGCGGGGGTCGCGCTGATAATGTCAGATGATTCATCAACGGAAGACTGATCGTGGCCTGTGGCTGTCACCACAGCCACCCTGGCAGTTGTTTCGGCGTGACCCACCGCGTTAGTCGCGGTACAGCTGTAAATTCCAGCGTCGCGGTCGGTGATGTTAGCCAGAGAGAACTGGATGCTGCCATCGTGACTCAAGGTCATCGTGGCCCTTCTACTGGGTCGCAGGCGGATACCATCACGATGCCTGTGCGAAGCCGAGAAATGACAGGAGAGAAGTCACTCTCGCTCTGAACGGAATCGGAAACAAAAGAAAGCGCGCGAGAGAACAGCCACAGGTTGCTCACCAGACCACGCCAACACTCGGGTAAGCCTCGACTTGTGCGGACATCCGTAGCTCCCTGCCTGGGTGGATCGTGTAAGCGGCGTCGAGGTCGCGCAGGAATTCGGGGGCGATGTAAGCGCGAATCCCCTTGTCCACCACGAGGACGCACCGGCACGACACCGAGCCGTTTATGTTCCTAGCTGTCGCCATGTAGCATCCGGAGTCTTCGAGGGTCGAGTGGATGATCTCCAGCGTGTGGAAGTTCGAGTCGTCGTCCCAGAAGATGTGGCGGTCTAAGGAAGAGGAAACGTTTGCAACGAGAAAGTTTTCACGGATTTCTTCACAAAAATGTTCACGCAATCAACGCAACGATTCGCCAGATGTGGAAAGTCCAGGCTCGACTCCTTAAGTTAAGGAGTCGCTCTCTGACAATGCGTGTGACAACCAAAATTACCATCTTGAGAGATCTCTACTTCGTTCTTGTACCACGTGATCTCTGGAGCGGGCTGTCCGATGACCTGGCAGGTGAGCCTCACCGGATAAGTCGTCTGCACTCGCCTGTCTCGTATCCTCATGGTGAATTGCGGCGGCCGGTCCTCCGGTTCGATGCTGAGACTTCCCATGAAATCGTGCAACGCGTTATCGCTAATCTCCTCGCAGGTTTATGCAGTGCACCCAATTAATTACCTCGTTCTGAGTTTCGCGTCGGCCTCGATGATCCTCGGGTCGGTGACAACGAGAACCCTGGCGAACGACGACACCTTGCCGATTCTGTTGCTCGCTTCGCAAACGTATCTCCCGGAATCGTCCTCCTTGACGTTCGCGATCGTCAGGGAACACTCGGAGGTGTCGTAGTGTATCTTGAATCGTGAGTCGTTGCGTGAATCCAACTCCGTCGTCTCACGGTACCATCGCACTTCCATCTTTGGATCTCCGCGAATCTGAGCGATATCGCGCGGTTATGAGGTCATGTTAAGAAATTGAGCATTGCGAGTGGTGTGTTGTGTCTTCGCCTTCCGCAAGCTTACCGCACACTCCAGCCTCACTGGCGTCCCCTCGAGAGCCTTCAACTGACCCGGTAGGATCTTCGTGAATTCCGGGAGATCGGTACTCTCGCTCACATAAACCGAATTCGCCATGGTGACCGGCTCGCCCCATCCGTAACGATTTCGCGGAGTCACGCGAAATTTGTATTCTCCAGCTGGCCGCAAGTTGAACGCGTCGAACGCATTGATCGGAGTGATGCCCAGCTGAAGTGAAATGAAATAATATACAGGCTCTCTAAAGCGGACGGATTAAATTGAATCGAAAGCAACTGAAGTTGAAAGAAAGTTCGTTCTCTTACTTCTACCCATCGCGCGCCTCCATCGCCGCCCAAGAGCCAAGCCTCGACCTTGTAAGCGATCACTGGCGCTGGCCCTCTTCTCTCTGCTTTACCCCAAGTCAACGAGAGCCAATTCTTGCCACCGTCAACAACGACGGGCTCGCTGCTGATTGGACCTGGCGCATCTGATAAAGAAAAGCGTAAAATTATGCGGCTGCTTTGTGCAATTTGTTATAAATATTTACAATCGCGTCATTCACACATGAATGTCTGTTGTTGAACACATGAATGCACAGGCAATTTGGGTTCTTTGGCTAACCTCGGTGCCCGTACAGGTATTCTAAGAAGTCAATGATCAGACAGTTTTTATTTGTCCACGAACGCCGTAAACGTGAGATAGTGATATCCTCGTTTTCGTCGTCGGCGACGATTCCGTGGTCGTGCGGTTTCATGGAAGAGATTCTCTCGAAGCAGCTTCGCGGTAGAGGAAGAAAACAGACGAAAAAGAATTTGTTCTTCACCGCGCAATACGTATCTCTCTTTCGCACGCGAGCTATTGTAACTTGAGATTTTTTTAAGTAGGGCGCACGAAATGACTCGCGTTCCAACGACGACTGAATTTCAAATTTGTGGAATCTGCGAGGTGTTGGTGGGAGATGAGAAACTAAAATAAACCGGCGTGAGATGTTTCTCCGAAACTGAAAGAACTCTGATATTCCCGCGTGTCGCGGTTTATCTTACGTTACGAGTGCTACCTTATAATAAACCCCGTGAACGGGCTAATTTCGGATCCGATCGAGAGAAGTTACATCTCGCAATAAAACGATGCTATTGGGTTGGCAACTAAGTGATTGCGGATTTTGTCGACAGATGGATTTTACACTTTCTTTTGTTTCGTTAACGTGCTCAAAGTACCTAACCTATATTTTTTTCTTATTGTTTGGACTTCTATCTTTCATTTAGTACAAAAATTATATCGATTAGTTCTTTAGTTTTGTTTTTATCCCAATTAAAAAATGGAAGAGCAAGACTCGCACTTCAGACATATTTTATTGTATTATTTCCGAAAAGGCAAGAACGCATCGCAAGCACACAAGAAGTTATGTGCCGTATATGGGAATGAAGCCTTGAAAGAAAGGCAGTGTCAAAATTGGTTTGCCAGATTTCGTTCTGGTGATTTTTCACAGAAAAATGCTCAACGATCTGGCCGTCCGAGTTGAAGTCGATGAGACCCATATCAAGGCCATTATCGATTCAGATCGTCATAGCACAACACGTGATATTGCAGAGAAGCTCAATGTGTCGCATACATGCATTGAAAAAAATTTAAAAAAGCAAATTTAAAATCTTGAATTTTCATTCTTATTTAAAATCCGCAATCACTTAGTTGCCAACCCAATACATCTCGAGCGCATTCGCGCGTTTTTCGGAGCGTATATTTAGAGACAAATCGGCAACCAATGAGCAGATTCGTTCGGGCGGTTTCCGTTTGTCCCGAAACACATCTAAGAGAGACGTCATTGCGATTCCTTCGCCACCCCCATTAGAAGGCGAGAAGGACACGGAAGTGATATGTCGCATCTTTTTGTCCGACCGATAGATAGATTTCCGTATGTTCAAGGCGATCTTTGATCAGTTTATGCAGTCGGATGAGTAGTCGAGCTAAATATTGACGACGATTTCGTGTTGCTGCTCAGCTCAGGTACCACCTGGCATCCAGCCATAAAGATCCAAGCCAAGCGTGCGTTATTGCACTTGATACGCCGTTCGCCATTCTAATTTTAATAACTCGAGTCAACAAATATCCACGCATACTTGATAATTGTTGGAATGTATTGTTACACGAGTACTTTCAACGAGTCCACTTGAGTTTTCACAAAAATTGCCCACCACAAAACTGCACACCAATTGCATGAAATTCCGAATAGACGACTAGACTTTCCGTCGGCGTATCGCGAGATAATTGCTAAGTCACTTACTTCTCACGTAGGACATGTCGTCTGCTTCTTCCACGTCGCGTTCGGTAACAGAACTCCAATCTGGCGATGGGGTCAACGATCTGGCGCGTTGCTTCACCTATTCGGACATATCAGCGATGACACACATCTTCCTCCTCGCGGCAGCTAGGATGCACACAAATGCTCTCACCTTGATCGAGAAGAAACATCTGTCGCAACCGTATCTATTCTTAACCAGAATGCAATAGGTACCCTCATCGGAAGGTAAGGCTCTCTTCAACGTCAACCTCACGTAATCGTCGATACTCTCCTTGTATGATCTCGGCCCGTCCGTAATGTCGGTTAGTCCCTTCATCCACGTTACTGATATCAGAAGGTACAATTAATTGTTTGCGTTTTGCATTTTGTAACAATTAGGAGGGATCATCTCTTCCGTGAGGAACGAGAAATTGAGTTGGTGGAATAAATTAATATATTCCTCCTTCACGGATTTCCTCAAAAGTCTCTTACCTCGGGGCTTCGGGACCCCGTTAGCCCGGAAGGACACGCTGACGTCTTCGCCGACTATCACGTCGATCGTTTTCCTTGCGGGTCTTGAGACGAACACCGCTGGTTTCCCTCCATCGATCGCACTCGCCGATATCACGTCCACCGTCGCACTTGTATCCACTTGTCCGTAAGCATTGATCGCCCGACAGAAATATGTACCTTTTTCCGACTCCGTTGCTTCGGGCACGATTAAAGTGTGCAGGCCGCGTTCAACAAAGATCCTCGCCTTTGGTATCGCGATCGGCTCCTTCCGATCGCCACGGAACCACCTCACCTCCGGGGCCGGTTCACCTGCGCCAGACGGACGAAGATCAGTGAGGATTTCGATACGTGACATCCAACTGAGTTGCACACCTTTGACTTCTACTTGCAGAGCGATGGTTCCGCCAGTCGGCACATTGTAATCCTTCAACAGATTGGAGAATCGCGGCCGTCGAGGAACTTCCAGGTCAGTTTCGTTGCTCAGGCTGGTTCGATCGCTTCGGCTCGCAGGCTGTCGTTCCCGATCTAGAATCACATTGTTGACTTACATTCGAATACACTTCGATTGATGATACATTGAAATCTCGATTACCCTGGAGATGAATCACGTGAGATATTTCCTCGGTACGTAGCTCGTTCACCGCACGACACGTGTATCGCCCGTTATCCGAGTTTCCAGGACCAGCTATCTCCAGATGATAGACGTCGTTATCCAGGTAGGCCTGTCTGTAACGTGGACCTTGAAGAATCTCCCCATCTTTCAACCAGGAGACCGTAGGAGCTGGATATCCTTGCACACGACACTCCAGGACGAGCTTGTGATCCGAGTACCGATATATATCTGAGAAGCAAAATGATTCTTTATGAATAACATTATAAGTAAATCGTTTGTAGTTAAATCTTACTTAATACAATATGGGTGAGAGACTGCAGTGAAATTCCGTTTAAAAACTTGAGGAAAAAATCGAAGCAATATTGCTCGCGAATTTGCGCACGCACACACCTTTGATCGATCTTACGAACGTCGGAGGCGAATACGTTGGTTTATAGTCGTAGTAAACCTTCAGGGTCGACTCGCTGATCGTGGTGCCGTGTATATTCTCGGCCACGCACATGTACAATCCGGTGTCCTCAGGAAGCACATCATGTAACTCCAGATACGCCATACCGTTTTCGTATCGTGTCTTGCAGCGGCTGGACGACGTGTCCAACTTTTCGCCGTCTTTCGTCCAGTGCACTCGTGGTTCCGGATTACCGAGGACGGTGCAGGTCAGTCTTGTTCTCATGCCAACTCCGACAATTCTGTTCGTCAGTCTCGTGCAAAATGATGGCTTCTTCGGTTTATCCCAGATCGGAGGACTCTGTAATCAGCAATATAATAATTAAATTAGAAGTATGCCGCTGCATTGTTTGAGAATCGTTGGGGTGGGTTCGTGGATTTCCTAGGAATCCTCTCGAGGGGACAGTTGTTGGTTTTGGATTATTTGGAAATTGAGAAATGATCAAATAAAATTGTGTTCGAAAGCTTCGAACACAAGCCGAAACTTTAAATATTGTTTGTAGCTTTGATGCAGACACACTCTATATATTGTGAGACATGTAGAAATTGTTGAATCTTAAGTGATTACCTCATTTTGGCTGAGCCCGACGTAGCTCGAACAGCCGGAATCGTGGCTGTCAAGGCTAATACGTGGCAGAGTTTCCGTCTTCGCACGTCGGGTGAGCCGGATGCGCGTGCTAGGTACAAGGGTCGCGTCGCTGTCGCCGGTGGAGTAATCCTCGTACTTCAACAAACTGGTCGATCTCGCTCGAATCATACGGTTTTCCCTTCTCCTGCGTCTCCTGTATGACGATCCAGTGTCTATGTAATATTTGTTCGCGGAGAAATTGCGTAATTTATAGTCCCAATAATCGTCGATTCTTCGCCGATTTAGCGACGTCAAAGAGTCTCTCCAACTGTATGATCTGGGCATGCTAAAGGACGTCATAGATACTCGAGAATCAAACCGAGAGGTGTGCTCCCATTTGTCCCGGAAATAATCGCCGTCGAGAAACATCGAAGTCGATTTCTCGGGCCTGTATCTAGTTTCTAATAAATCCCTGAGAAAGCGATCGGATTCGCTTTGGCGTTTCTTAGACCATTCGATTTCTCTTATTTGCTCTTCTCTCCTTTGCTTGTTTCTAGATATCTCCTCCTCTCGTCTTCTTCGTAATCGTTGTTCCTCTTCTCGCAATAATCTGGCGTTCTCTTCTTTTCTGAGCCATTTTTCATCGCTCCATCTTTGAGGTCTCTCTTCCTTCGCCCCAGACAGATAATTGGTTTCGTCTTTTTTGAATCGACTCACGTCTCTTTTTCTCTCCGGACGTTCGATTTCTACTTGGTCCAGCCTTTCGTCATCATTTCTTCGTGAACGATCCTTTCTCTCCTTCCATATCCTGGATTCGTCGCTTCTAATGTCTTGAGGCCATCGTCGTTCCTCTTCTTTTCCCGTCTCATTTATTTCTTTATTAATCTTTAAATATAAACTTTTATTTTCTCTTTCCTGTAATTCTGAAATCTTTCCGCTGAATTTCTCTTCTTGCTTTTGTCTCATACGTAATCTCTCGTCTCTTTCCCAATCTTCATTCGATTTCCTATATTGCCGATCATCCTTGCTTGCTTCGTTTTCTTTCATTGCATCATTCACGTGTACACTTTGCGTTTGAGCCGTTTTCTCATCCATTTTGCGAATTTCCTCTTTCCTCTTTTCTATCGGTTCTTCATCTGCTTTCTCTGCCTTTTTACTTTCGCGCTTACTTCTCCTTTGCATGGGTGCTTTCTTATTTTCTTGTGTATCTGTCACTTTTATTTGTTCGTCTGGTATTACCTTTGCTTCTTCAATCGCAGTTGGCTTTAATTTCTCATCTTCTTTTCTCGACTTTTCAGTTTCATCCTTTTTCTCCTGCTCTTCTCTTTTTATTTCCATCTGTGCAGCTTCATCTTTCTTACTAGACTCTTTTTTTATTTTCCCCATTTCTTCCATTACCTCACTTTTTGCTTTTCCTACTTTCTCCTCCTTCGACTTTTCTATTGCTTCGTCTTTCTTTGGTTTTTCACCTTCATCCTTCCCTTTCTCTTCTTCCTCTTCTTTTATTTTCATCTGTGCGGTTTCCTCCTTTTTACCAGTCTTTTCTTTTTCCTTTTCCAGCTCTTTAATTTTCTCGCTCTTTGCTTCCTCATCTTTTTCTTCTTTTGATTTTCCCAATGCTTCATCTTTCTTTGGTTTTTCGGCTTCATCTTTCTTCTTCTGTTCCTTTTCTCTCATTCTCACTTGTGCAGTTTCTTCTTTCTTTTTAGGCTTCTCTTTCTTCTTTTCTAGTTTCTCAGTTTTTTCGTTCTTTGTTTTTTCATCTTTTTCTCCTTTCGATTTTTCTATTGCTTCGTCTTTCTTTGGTTTTTCAGCTTCAACGTTCTTCTGTTCCTCTTCTTTTATTTTCACTTGTACGGCTTCTTCTTTCGTGTCAGATTCTTCTTTTTTCCTTTCCATTTCTTCAATTTTCTCGCTCTTTGTTTTTTCATCTTTTTCTTCTTTCGACTCTTTTATTGCTTCGTCTTTCTTTGGTCTTTCAACCTCGTCCTTTTTCTGTTCTTCTTCTTTCATTTTCGCTTGTGCGGCTTCTTCTTCTTTTTTCTCAGATTCTTCTCTTTTCTTTTCCATCTCTTCACTTTGCTCGCTCTTTGCTTTTTCATCTTTTTCTTCTTTCGACTCTTTCATTGCTTCGTCTTTCTTTTTTGGTTTCTCAACTTCGTCCTTCTTCTGTTCTTCTTTCATTTTCATTTGTGCGGCTTCTTTTTTCTTAGGCTTCTCTTTCTTCTTTTCCAGGTTTTCAATTTTCCCGCTCTTTGCTGTTTCATCTTTTTCTTCTTTTGACTTTTCCATTGCTTCGTTTTCCTTTGGTTTTACAGCTTCGTCCCTTTTCTTCTGTTCTACTTCTTTCGTTTTCGCTTCTGCGGCTTCTTCTTGTTTAATAGAAATCTCTTCCTTTTTCTCTTCTAGTTCTTCAATTTTCTTGCTCTTTGCCTTTTCATCCTTTTCTTCTTTCAACTTTTCCATTGCTTCATCTTTCTTTGTTATTTTACTTTCAGCCTCTTTTTGCTCTTCTTCTTTTACTTTCAATTGAATGACTTCTTCTTTTTTACTAAACTCTTCTCTTTCCCTTTTCAATTCTCCAATTTTCTCGTTCTTTGCTTTCTCATCTTCTTCTTTTGACTTTTTCATTGCTTCGTCTTTCTTTGGTTTTTCAACTTCGTCCATCTTCTGTTCTTCTTTCATTTTCACTTGTGAAGTTTCTTCTTTTCCACCAGGCACTTCTTTTTTCTCTTCCATTCCTTCAATTTTCTCGCTCTTTGCTTCTTCATCTTTTCTTTCCTTCGACTTTTTTATTACATCCTCTTCCTTTAATTTCTCCATTTGTTCCTTCTTCTTCACTTCTTCTTCTCTTACCTTCACTTCCGCATCCGCTTCCTCTTTGATAAATTCCTCCTTTTTCTTCTTCGTAACCTCATCTTTCGATTTTGCTTCTTGATTTTCTTTTTCTATTATATCGTCCTTTTTTATTTTCTCAGCTTCCTCTTCTGTCTTTGGTTTTTCCACTTCTATTTTTATTTGTGCCGTCTCTTCTTTTTTTATAGACTCCATTTCTTCTTTCTCTAGTTCTTTTACCTTCTTCTCCTTTTCGTCTCTTCCTTTCTCACTTTTATTCTCTTCTGCGTCCTCCATTATTTTTTCCTTCTTCTGTTCTATCTCTTTCTTCTTTACTCCTTCCTCGGCTTCTTTCGTATCCTTCGCTTTTACAATCTCTTTCTTTTCTCTTTGCTCATCCTCTTCTTTCTGTACTTTGTCAACTTCTTTTTCTGGCCGATCTGTCTTTTCTGGTTCTTCTACCTTCTGTTCTTCTTTTTCTTCGCTTCTTTCGATTTTACCAATTTTTTGCTGTTCTGATTCTTCTTTCATTGACTTTTCATCTTTTCTCTCCATCTTTTGCTTTTCTTTATCTTCCCCTTTCTCGAATTTCTTCTGCTCTTCTTCACTCGGTTCTTTCTCCTTCTTTGCAATCTTCTTTTTAAGCATTATTTGTTCTTTATCCATCTTCCAAATTATTTCTTCCGCTATAAATTGGTCACGGGTGATGTTTATCAGAGTTTGTAACTTACAAACTGGTTCCTCAAGAATCATTAATCCTTCGAGCGCTGTTTTCTCCTGCCACAGTGTCTTCGTGATCTCTATAGATTCTTGCATCTCAAGCAAACATGGCACTAAATTTTTCGAAAGTCCTATCGCAGCGTAGTGCGTATCTTGCGATTCCGCCAATGGTTTATCAGCCGATTGTTCTCGTATTAAAGATATGGATTTTCCAAAATTCTGGAGAGCATCAATCATTACATTGGCAGTATTAGGTTCCTCCGGTATTTGTGCGATACATTGTTTAATATTTTGCAAGGGTTTCGCCAACATTCCAAGTGCCTCGTATTCGATGGAAACTTCGACGACGACCGGCACTTGTTGCTCCTCCAGCCTGCGTCCAATAGTTCCAATCGAATCGTTGATATCCGAAATGCTGCTTTGCAGTTTCGCCGATAAAATCGAAAGTTTTTCATGTCGTTGCGCCGATACAACTGTCTCGAGCGCGTTTTGCACGAGCTCCAATGGTCTCTCCAGTTTCTTCAGATATTCACTTGGCGACTCCTCCACAGTGACAATGGAACGTTTCAATTCGCTTAATGGTGAACTAAGTGCGGACGATATGGCAATGTCCACTTCCATCGTACCGAGCTGTTCGGGCGATGATTTGTCGGTGATTTTCCTCTCGATGAACGATATGCATTTTTCAAGATTAGAAAGCGACTCAACGATAGCATCTGTGTTGTTCTCGTCTCCAGCTGTGCTCAAATTCGACCTGTTTTTCAATAATATCAAATTCTCCTGCACACTGGCCAATGCTCCCGCCATCGTTTTGATGGCTTCGGTTTTAACAGAGTCGCCTTCTATATGCGACATGACTGATCCAATACTTGTCATTGGCTTCAGCAGTTTTTCGACGATCGACCAGTCTGGCATTAACATTCTTCCTTTCTCCTCTACGAGAATCTTGGCGGCTTCCATCACGGTGCACTGTCGAATATCGGCTAACGATCTTTCTATTTCGTGTAAAGGTGTAGCCAAGCACTCACTGATCCAGTTACTCGTGTCGTCGGGCATCGACTCGACGTCCGGCGACATCACTCGCGCCTCTAAAACCGATATAGCACGTTGGAGGTTAAACAGAGGCTCGGCTAATGCTTTTAGCATGGCGTCTTCTCCCGGCCGATCCGTTGGTGTTTCCACGAGCACTTGATCCTGTATCACCGCGATCGAGTGGCGCAGCTCTTCCAACGGTTCCACTAAAGGATGAAGAGTAAATTCACTCTTGCCCTCGATGGCGAACGAATGTTCGCTCGCTCGCTCGATGGCCGTCTGCTCTTGAATAGCTAGCGTAGCTGCATCCTTCAGCTCCAGCAAAGGCTGTATCATCGTCTTCAGCAAAGAGATATTTTCATTTTCCGTTAAGGAGGATGTGTTCTCGTTCGGTGCGATTACCTTGCGCTCTTCGACGATCAGGGCCAAGCATTCTCGTAATTCGGTCAGAGGCTTCGCTAAGGTCTTCAGCATAGAGGCCTCGTCCTCAGAAATCGAGGCCGCAATCGAGGCCGGAGACTCTACTGTACGCTGATCGATCACCACCGGTCTCGTAACTCTCGAAATAGGTTCCTCGATCACGTCCGCCCACGTGTTCAGCGACGAAACATCCTCTGAGATGGTGTCTGCGGCAGGTTCCATGACTATTTGCTGATGGTTACACATCGCTATGCACTCTGCCAAGTTGTGAAGGGTCTCGGCGAAGATTTCCAGTGTCGAAATGTTCTGCTGTTGGCCGAGCTCATTCAGGGAATCTGGCGCGATCGCGGCCACCTGTTGCACCGATGCGATGGAAGCTCTCAAGTCCACCAAAGGTTGCGCAATTGATCTCAGCAACGCGATGGTCTCCGCTTCCGATGCTTCCACGTGACTACCTGCCTCCAGTATCACGTGTTCTTGAACGGTCGCGATGGACTTTTGCACTTCCTCGAGGATGGGCTGCAGCGCGAACTTCTCCATACTCTCAGAGGACAGTTCGGGTGTCAAACGGTTCGCTTCGTTATGGGCCTCGATCACGTGCTCCTGCACCGTCGCTACGAAGGACTTCTCGAGCTGCTGCAATGGGCCAACCAGGCTGCTCAACACTGTGACCGGTTGTTTCCTCTCCTCCATAACGTAGTCCTCGGACTGCTGCATCTTGGTTTCCTCGATAGTTAAAATCTGCTCTTGCAATATACGCAGAGGTGCAATAATGTTCTCCAGCAGCTGCGTGTCTACCTTGGCCAATTGGCCCGGCTCAGTCGCGATCGTCGCGAAACTCTCGACGATCCTCGGTCGCTCGACTACCACGGAACAGCATTTTCTGAACTCCTCGATGGACTTCGCGAATGCCTGCAACGCGGACGCATTCTCTATCTCTATGATCTGCCGACCAGCGTTCTCTATCGCGTGCAGTTGCTGTAAGACCACCGTGGACGTCCTCAAATCGCCGAGTGACCTCACAAAGTCCTTCAGCACCGCCATGTCGTCTGCGTTCGCCTCCGGGAGTAACTGATCCTGCACGCTCATCACTTGATCTTGAATCACCGCCACGAATCTGCCCAGGTCGTCCAAGGTTGATTTAATCGGCAACTGTTGCAGGAATAAAGCGGTTTCTTCATGAGGCGCTGTTAAGAACGTTCGCTGCAGCTGTTGCAGCGGCTGTAGCATGCGTTCTAAGGCGAGGGCCTCTGTCGGCTTTTCTGTCTCCAGCGTTTGGCACATTCGGTCCTCCAGTCGCAGGATCGCGCTCTGCAGCCCTTCAATAGGGACGGTTAGCGTCTTCAACAAAGGAGACTCTCGAATTTCCTGCTGTGCTTGTATCTGCTGACCGGCCGTCACAGTGATCAGCCGATTCGTTGTTTCCTCCACCGACTTTGCAAACGTCAACAGCCCCGAGATCGTTTCCATCCCGGTAGCTTCATTCAGATGATCGACGATCTCTTCGACACTCGCTAATGGTAATTTCAGGCTTTCGAGAGCATCGTTGATTGCTTTCACGACGAGAACATTCTCTCCAACAGCCGCTTGTTGTTGAACCAGCGTGATTGAGTTCTTCAGTTCTTCCAACACGGGTTTCAGACTCGCGCTTTCCAAGGTAACTCGATTCTCGCCAAGTTCTTGCGCAACGTGCTCCTGCACCACTATAATTCCCTGCATGCTTGCCACTAGCGATTGCTCCAGCTTCTCCAGAGGATGCATCACTGCGTTCAATTGAACAGCCTCTCTTTTCTTTCCCGGAATTTCCGATAACTCGCTCTTGTCTCGGTCTTGAAGATCCTCAATTTGAGAGAGCGTCTCGCGCAAAACGTGAATCGGGTCAACGATCTTGTGCAAGAGTTCCGGGTCCAGCTTTTGGTCCTTTTGCTCGACAATTTGCGACGGCGACACTGATTCTATTTTTAGCTGGCCAATAATAGACATACATCTATCTCCAAATTCCTCCGCCGTTTTGGCAACGGTTTGCAGGACCGTGACGTATTCAGCGCTCGATAATTCCGACTCTTGCTGACAAGTCATCGCCTCCGACTGGATACACGCGATTGACATCTTCAGGTCCTCCAATGGCTGCTCGACAGCTTGCATTAGACGCGCCGTAGGCGTTTCGATCGAACTGCCTTCAGCCAAGGTGCTGAGCTGCACTTGCTCTTGCACCGTGGCGATAGACTTTTGCAGCTCTTCCAGAACCGTCGTGATCGACAACTTGTGCGACGTTATCGAGTCTTGTTCGATTTCTTCGATACCCTCGGACGATATCGACAGTGTTTGCTGTGTCTCCCTGTTTAACGTGAGCTCCAGCTTCAGTAACGGCTCTACGAGAGTCGAGAAAGCGACTGCTCGCTGCTCGGGTAATTCTGGAACTGCCATTTCTTCGATCTCGTCGATTGTTTTGCACACTTCTTGAAGAGGACAGATGATCGCTCGCAAAGTTTCGACTTTTACCTGTCCTATACTGCTATCAGGGGACTGGCTGTTTAACTCCGCTGTTTGCTGAGCAATCAGCGCTGGCAGTTTCAGTTCCTTCACTTCTTCCAGAGACTCCGCCAACGATTTCGGTGTCAAAGCTCTCTCTTCGACGGGTAGTTCCTCGATTTGGCTAGGTGCTGCCGAAGACGCCGATGTCTGCTGCGATGTCTCCGTTGCATCCGTGGTTGCAGACGTTGCAGCAACCTGCGTTACTGAACTATCTGCTTCCCTGACAACTGCCTTACTCGATCTCACTTCCACCTCCATCGAATTTAGATCCTCGATGTCTTTGGATTCGATAGGATCTGTAGATGGCGAGGTGGATTCAAACGGTGAGGTCTTGTCGCCCTTCACCTGTCCCTGAGAATCCATAATGGCTTCTATAAGTTCTTCGAGTGGTCGCGCGGTTGTTACTTCGATATCTTTCGTTTCTCCCTTTGTTTTCGTTTCTGCCTCTTTCTCGCCGGAAATCCCAACGGATTTCTTCAATGTCTGGAGCTCGCTCAGAGCTTTCAGGATATCCTTCAGGCACGATACCAAAGCTTCTGGAATCGCAGTCAAAGGCTCTCCGTCCTTGTCGCTGAATTTGCCTTCATCGATCGTTGCACATACAGACACCAACGCACTTTCCAGAGCACTTAAGGGCTCAACGAAGGACTGTAACGATGCCATTATGTTCTCCTTGAGTTCTGGCCGTACTTCTCCATGAGTCTGGGAAATAACTATGTCGACAGCTCGCTCAAAGTCGACGAAGATTTCTTCCATTCGACGAAATTGGCTGTCTAACGGCGTAATCGACGAAGATGACGAAGCCGCCTTGACGGAAGTGCTCGTCGCTTGCAGATCGTACAAGTTTTGTATCAGTCCCGTCAATTCGCGTACTTTTCGCTTGTCCTCCTCCGTTTTCGAAGCCAGCGATCCTTGCATCGCAGATTTCACAAAGTCCACCAGTCCCCTCAACGGTTGTTGTAGATTCTCGATTGAACAGTTGAACTTCGACATCTGATCTTGATACAGACGCCTCTGTCTCTCATCTTCTTTTTCGCCTTCCTCGCTTCTCCTCGCACCTTCCGCTTGCTCGACGCGGATTAACGACTCTCGATCTTCCGAAGCGGCCGTTTGTGTCGCGGGCAGAGTATCTTGGATCTTCAGTTGAGCTGTTTCCTCGACCACCGCTTCAGCCGGCGGTATCTCTGTGACCGTCATCACACTCTCGATTTCCTTCTGTCCGAACACTTCGACAATTTCATCGGTGACACTCTCCACTTTCGTTATCATCACGCTCGCTTTCCGCTCGGCCTCCGCTATCTCTTCTATCGCCACTATAATATCCTTTACGTGATCCAAGACATCTATCACGGCGGTGAAGGTCTCCACGATTGGCGCACCTTTCGAAGCGCCTTCGCGAACGAGTTCCGTTTTGTGTGCCAGCAAAGAAGAGCTCATCTCCGAAATAGAACCGGCCAATTGCCGAAGCTGATCCGCCAAGTTAGGCCGAGTCGCCGAGACTACCCTCTGCTGCGCGTTTTCCTTGATAACGTTCAACGCCGACAACAGTTGATTAGTCGGGTAAAGGAAGCCCTCTACGATCGCTTCCTCGTCGATCAATTGACTCTCAGTCTGGATAAATTGCGTTTGCGCGAGGGAAATTTGCTTTTGCAACGCTTCCAAGCATTTGGCCACTATTTCGTGCGTGTCTTCGTCGGTGTGCTCTTCCAGAGCTGTTATGGTGCTCGCTAAGCGATTCAACGTGCCGGTCAGTCGATGCTGAAGGGGAATCTTGGTGCTGCTGGAGCGGCGTGAGTAATCGGTCTTGCCGATCTGCTTCTGCACCTGCAGGATCGCGGAATTCAGCAACGTCAGGGTCTCGTCGAACAAAGATGCTCCCGACGTGCTCGCGATCGCCTCGACGGTGTCGCAGACTTGCTTCCGCAAGCCGTCGACCGCTCGCAGAATGACGCTTCTCCTTTCTTCCAACAGAGCAGCCTCGGGAACGAGACTTCGTCGACTGCTTTGCACCATCGAGAGACAAGTGTGGAACTCCAAAAGCGGTTCCACAAGATTGTGCAATTCGAGGACCACCGGTTCTCGTTGTTCCAGCACGTCCGATTCTTGAGCAGCGGTCTTGATAATTCCGAGAAGAAGGGCTGTTGGCTTGCCCAAGATTTTCGCCACGTCCGTTTCGAGGGTATCCTCCGCGGCTTTCTCCAGGTCACTCATGCGCTCCAGAATACTCTCTAAAGGCTTCGTGATGTCCCTCAGGTGCTCTAAAATCTTACGCCTCGACGATATTTTCTGGACCACCACCGGGACTTCCTCCTTGATTTCTCCGAGCACACACAAGAGAGTCTCGAACTCCTTTTCCGTCTCTTCGCCTTTTCCGATAAACTCGGTGGTCTGCCTTATCACATGGTCTTCCATCGTATTCAGCAGCGGGCTCAACCGATTCAGTATCATAAGCTCCAAGACGTCGTGCTCGTGTGTTCTTGAGAGAACTGTTCGTATATTCGTCAGTGGTTGCAGCAGGTTGGTCAGTACCAAAGCAGCCTGGTTGACTTTCTCCTCGAATGATCCAATTTCTTCGCCGTAGACTGTGGTCATCACCCGTATTGTAGACACTGTTCTTCTCAGCTCCTCCAGGGAATTAGCCAGTTTCGACTGAGGAATCGTAGTGGTTCTTGCGGACGACTCCTCGAAATCCTCTAGAACACCAGTCATCTCCAGTTGAAGTTTCTCCAACGTCTCCGACAAGAGCATGATTAATTTGCTCGCATTCTCCTCTCTCTCGTGTCTTTCGTCCTTCGCGATCTGCTGAGCGACGTCGTCGGCTGACTTCTTGGAGCCATCCTCCGTCGCGGTTTGCTCGGTGGGCAATGTGGTGGACGAGGCTTCGAACGGAGTAGATGGGATTTCTGTCAGAGTACCCGGAATAGTCTCCCGAGAGGCAGTGACGACCTCTTCTTCCGTTTCCGCGGCGAATGTCTTGTCGGACTGTCTGAGTTCTTGCTGGTAGAGCGCCTCTTTGATCGAAAACGATATCTGATTTTCAATCTGCTCGACGATATTCACTATCGGCCGCAGCGACTCTTCCTCTTGGTGTTCGCGAAGAACGTCCATAATGATTTGCAGCAGGTGCTTCATAGGCCGGCCCAAGCCTTCCAAAGTCGAAAGATCCTCTGGCTCGTGGTACACGGAGATGGCGGTCTGGAGCCTCGTCAGCGGCTCTCGAAGATCGATCAGCGCTTCTATCAGGCTCTTATCGCTCGGCGGCTCGGAATACGATGTCTGAATGGCGATTTTGCTCACGTCTCGCTTCAATTCTTCGATCGTCGAGCTCAGCGCTGACTCCATCTCATCTTTCGTGCTGTCCTCGGACGTGGTGGATAACCAGTTCTTGATGGGGTCCAAGGAGCGACTGATTTGACCAGCCAGAGCGGACTTGGCGCCTCTTTTCTCCGCGGATCTTTCAGACTTCAAAGCATCTCTCTCCTTCTTCTTGGATATTTCCTTCGCTATGAGAGGAGCGTCCTTCCTTATCTCCTCCAGCAACTCCAGCAACGGCGCTATCGACTCGATCGAAGAGCCACTTTCGATCACACTGTGAAATATTTCTCTTAGCGTGCCAATAGGAGTCATCAAGTTGCATAGAATTGCTTCCTCACCCGGGTCATGCTTGTCCGTCAACAAATTCCTCTGCAGATCCGACAAGGATTTGTTGAGTCTGCTAATCTCCCGCGTTATCTCATCGTCGGTCGGATTCTTTAAGCTGGCGATTGTGACTGCCGAAGAGCCGACAGCCTGACGCAACGTCTCGATACAGTTGATCAAATGAGACGACGCTGTCTGCTTGTCTTGCTTCTCCAAGACCGATGACAATGCGAAATGCACGCCGCTCAGACTCTGGTCGACGTTCAAATTCTTCAGCGCGTGTCCGCGAGCGTCTTTCGCCTCCGACAGTCGCTCCGCTAATTTCGACATCTGTTTGCCGGTGTCGTCTAGAGCTTTCAGGATCGTTCCCACCCGGGAGATCGCCTCAGGGCGCCCGGAGCGTTTCGCTACCGTTGCGATGACGTTCCTCAAGCTCTCGATGGCGACGGTCGTTTCTTTAATCATCGGAAGTTCCCGAGGAGTGTACTCCTCCGAGGCCAGGGCCAACTGAAGATCCAACAGAGGCTCCGCAAACTCCGTTAGACTGTTGAGCGTCTCGTTTTCCTTCAACGTCATCGCGGTGTGCGCTGCGTGAGACACGCATTCTCGAAGTTCTATCAGACACGCTGCGAAGCCCGTTGTGCTCGGTACTTGCTGCGGACTGGCGGCCCCATTCGCCGTGCCGCCGTGCGCCGATTGCTCCATGCGATCCAAGATCATGCTGAACGCCGCTTGGACGTTGATCAGAGGATCCACGATCTCCCTGGATATGTTTCGAGATTCGTCGGAGATCGATCTCGCGGAGGAGGACGATCCCTCCGTGCCATTGGGGATGCTGCAAATGCTGTCGTTGATCTTCCTCAAGACGACCAACGTGGGCTGCAAGGACGACAACTGAAGATTCGCCACAACGTGCGACAACTGAACGACAGAGGGCTCCAGAATGTTGTGAACGATCTCCACGTCCTCCGCCAACTTGATCTCACCAATCGTCTTCAGCAACGCGCGCAGCGGTGCCTCGAGATCGATCAACAGCTCGATGCACGCACTTCTTCCCCGCGGAATCTCCAGTCTGCGATACATGTCCTCGACTCGCTGACGAATGTTTGATAATCGTGGTGGCAAATTGACATCTGATATCTTCTCATACGTCTGCAGGGCTTGGTGCAGCGCCATCCTCGGCTCCAGAAGAATATCTTCTCTGGCTTCCAAGGCCTCTTCCTTGGCACCAATAATCTCCTGCGGACCAACAGGATGTTGATCCGCGAAGACAGAGGCAGCTTTCCTCGCGCTTTTGGAATTGTCCAACAGTCCTTCTTCGGTGGTCGAGCATTTCTTCACCGTCTTTTGTTCGACGCTACTCCCAATGTCCGTTTCTATTTTGTCGAGTGACTCTATAGTTGGATGCTGTCTCTTCGTGTCAACTCCGCCTTCCAATTCGCCTTTCTCTTTCTCCGCCTCGTAGTCGCTGGGGCCTGAATACTCCTCGGAATTGCTCCTGTCGTGTCGTTGCTTCTTCCTGCGTTGCTTCTTCTTCTTCTTCTTCTTCGGTGCGCCGGTCACCGAATCGAAGGAAGAATCGCCGCCGATTCCGTCGTCGAGACTGGAGCCGGCTGTCCTTTCGGCGCTCAGACTGCGTTTCCTGTTATCCGCCGCGCTGTTCTCCATTTGTCTCTGGATCGGACTCTCCGTGACGGAGAGATGTGCGGAGGACAGAGCGTCCGCGAAGGTATCGCTGTCGTCTTGTTTGATAGACGAGAGAGGAGACAAGGGCGGCTCGTCCTTCTGGGCGCTGTGGAAACTCTCGGACTCGAATCGCTGGCTCTTCTCGCTCCTCGATGAGGAAACGCTAGCCGATTTCTTTCGGGGTGGCCTAGTGGGTGCCTTCTCGTCCTCTTCTCCGTTGTATCGAGCTGACGATCTCTTCAGAGAACTCCGGGAATCGCGCTCAGGCGACGAGAGAACGTTCGTCGGGTCGTCCATGATGGAGACATCCTCGAAGTCGGCTTCCGTTCGCAGATCATCGCCGTCTTCTGCGCTGACAAAGTAATCGGGCGACACGTCGATCACCACGGCTTCCATCAGCAGGTTACCCGATGTGGACGTCTCTTTGACAAATCTCATCGGAGGTAGCTCGATCACGTTGTGCTCTAAAACCCGCGACCTTTCTTTTTAACATATGATCGTCGCACACGATGATCAAGTGGACTGACGTTATTATGACACAAAGAGCGACGACTTTCGAAGTTTTTCTTTTTTTTTTTTTTTTGCTTAAACTAGACACTTTTTTGAAAGTGATAAATTCTTTTACTAATCTTCGCGAGAAAGATGTAAACTTTTTACCCGTAACGTGCTCGGACAGCTGATCGGCGTACATCTCGACGATCTGCAGGGCCTCCTCCTCGGTGAGATCGGGCGTCTCGTACAGGCTGACCGATACTTCCTTGCCGTCAAAACTGAAGGATACCTCGCCTCGCTCGTCCAGAGTGACCGAATGATCCGTTTGCGGAGTATCGTATAGCTGCGACGTTCGTTCCTCGTGTATAGTTGACAACGACAGGTTTCTCGCCAGCTCGTGGCCATTCGGTGACTGCACCTCTTTCGTAGTTTTCTTGTCTGGAATTAGAAGGATGAGCTCTTTTGAGGAAGACATGACAGTCGCAGTTTAATTAATGACTATTGTCACAGTCACACAGTTAATCGTTATAACGCTCGAAACCTACGTGAATCATTACCTTCGAATCCTAACAATGACGCGGAGCTGCTGACTGTGCCCATACAATTGGTGGCTTCGCAGGTGTAAGTACCTAAGCAGCAAGTCCCGTCTTGTCCGGAAATGATTCGATGAATGTCACCGGGTTTGAGCTCCACGTTATCCTTGTACCACTTCAAGATCGGCTGCGGCACGCCGATAACTTTGCACTCCAAGTTCACGGCGCCTTCTTCCGATAGGATCGCGCGCAGGCTCTCGAGGAATTTCGGTCTCTTGTAATGTTTAGGGATGATCAGCTTCAAGAAGCAGGAAGTAACGCTGTGGCCGAAATCGTTCGCCGCTACGCATTTCCACTCGGCCTAAAAATACGCAGGATCGTCGTCGACATTCTTAATGTCTCTCGTGTGCAGTAAGCTTGTACTTTACAAGCGATTACGCGCGCTTCTTGCGATGGCGCACTCACCTGATCGATAAATTCGAGCTTTCGCACTTCGAGATGGCATGTGCCAAGGGTCTCCTTCGCTAAATGATACTTGTCGTTTTCATCCACCAGCGCATCGTCTCTGTACCAAGAGAGATTTGGTTCCGGCGCGACGCTCACTGAGAAAAGACATGATCGCGCTTGATGACGGAGATGATGTACTTTAGGGCACAATGTTTATTTGATTTAATTTATAATGTTATAAAAATTGTTCGAAAGAAGAATGCAAGGAGAGAGAAGAAGAAACGAGGAAGGAAACAATATATACCCTGCACTATAAATTGGAAATCTTCGTTTATTCTGGCCTCGCAACTTCTGAGTCCCTTGATGAACTTCGGCGGTTGATTGCTGCTCAAGAGCTGGAAGCGTTCTTCTTCGTTCAACTGGTTCTGAATATCCTCGATAGTCAATTCAGCTGTGCTCTTGGCCTCGCCCATACAGTTCCTCGCGATGCAGCAATAAGAACCTAAATATCGGCGGTGTCAATACGCGCGAAAACGGCGCGGAAGGAAGACAGAGATAGAGAAGTGCATAATCACACTCCAACAGGCGCGCACCTAACGAATTAGTCCCGGTCAGCTGATAGACGTCTCCCGGCTTGAGTTCCTGACCGTCCTTGAACCAGCTTAGCAATGGTGTCGGGAAGCCCACAACTTTGCACTCGAACGAGACTAGACCTTCTTCCGTCAGGACGGCCTTCAGATTCTCCATGAAGCGCGGCTTTCTGTAGTTCCTTGGGACTTGCGGAAAATTGAGCGAACGTTGATACGACGGCCGTACTCTATTCTCCGTTCTCCGTTAGTTTCTTCCTGCCGTAATACTCACTAGACATTGCCACGTAGCAGCTCGTGATCTGCTTCATGTTCTCCTCGCTGGTGGCGACGCACTTCCACTCACCCTCGTCCACGGCTTCCACTTGCTTCACCTCGATCGAATACCCACCGATACCGTCCTCCATCACGTGGTATTTCTCACTGGACTCAACGCGGCCTCCCTTGTTGTACCAAGAGATTGCCCTCGGCCATGGTGGTACTTGAACTGTCAACAGACATCCCCTCATGTACACATGAGACACATTGTTATGTAAACCAAAAAGTAATATCAATCGATCTACTACCTCGGCAAGATAGCACGAGAGTATCTCCAATTCGGCAGCATTCGTCCTGTAGTATCTGCTTGAAAACCGGAAGTGGTCCAGACGGTGTCAGAGCGTCCGCCGGCTTTAGTGAACCCTCTCGACTTCCCCTTCCGACTACGTGAACCTGGGAGAAGAGAATAATAGTCGTGTCGTTCAGTAAAGTTTCCTTATCCGTGTTCCTTTCGATGCAACGAACATATCCACCTTCGAGGAGGAGTAAGCGGTTCCCATGCAATTAACCGCCTCGCAGGTGTAAACCCCGAGAGACGTGGGGTCATCGGGATTGGCGGTTAGGGCGAAGACATCACCAGCCTTGATCTCCTTGTTGTCTTTGAACCACCTCAGCACCGGCGTGGGCACACCGACTACTTTGCATTCCAACGACACGGTGCCGGTCTCGGTGAGGAGCGCGCGAAGTTCCTCGATGAACTCTGGCTTCTTGTAGGCCTTTGGGACTGAAATATTTCACGAAGATCGCGTTTATCATCGCGAGCGAGCATATTGAGATACGCGAGACGTCGAGAAGGCCGAGCGACGAATTACCGACGACGGTGAGAGTAGACGTGCAGGAGGATCTTCCGCTACGGTTCTCCGCCATGCAGGTCCAGCGTCCTTGGTCCTCCACCGTGACGGGGACGACGTCGACGCAGTGAAAATTACCCTCGTGAACGAGGGAGAATCTCGGCCCTTCGTGAATAACCGCGTCATTTTTGTACCACGTTATCTGAAATTAACGGGCCCGGATTTCTCTCATCGTGTTCTCAACGCGGCTCAACCCGTGCGTGCGAGCAAAATTCGCTCCGTTAACGAAATCGATGTCGCGCGATGTTACTCGCGCGCGCGTGACCAGGCGGAAGAGACGGGCGCGACGGAATATCGGAGTATATCGGAGTCCCTGGCACACACACATAGTATGCGGGCATGCGTAATAATAGTATTAATACGACGCACAAGAACGCGTAACGAGCTTCCTTTACTCTTCGCCGTCTTGAGCTCCCGGGTCATGGACCTCCCGGTGCCTACTCTCGCTTCGCTTTTCCCGTTTCGTCTGGGTGCTGGGGCAGAAGAACGGGGGGGGGGGGGGAAATGCGGGACAATAAGTCAACGCTGGTACCATCAGTCCCACCTTCCGGGTTGATCGCGGTTGGCACGATATATTCCCGTCTGTCTGTGGTAAGTACGTTTCTCGCGGCGAACATCACCGGCTAAACGCTTGCCAAATGGCGCTCTCCCGTCTGGTCGATACGCGCGATACTTGATGATAAAATTGATCGCTCCAGGGTTAAACGACTCGCGACACGGCAATTAGCTCGTAGGCTAGGCGGCAAATCGTACCTTCAGTGTCGTCGCGCTTCGGATTTCTACGAGAAATCTCGTTCGGGTGCCGACTTTCACAGCGAGATCGCTCAATCTTCTCAAGAAGATGGGGGGCTCGCCCTCTTCGTAGCTCGTCTCGTCGATACTCATGTGAATCTTCTTCGAAGCTCCTTTATCTTGCCCGAGTCTTGTCGCCACGAGCGAATAGTAGCCCGCGTCGTTCTTTTGCGATTGTTTCAGGGCCAGTTGCACGACATTGCCTCGCATTGACAACCGGTAGCGCTCCGATGAGATTGGCAATCCGTCTCGTATTCTGTAAATTTCGGCAAATCGATCGACTTGGCTCTACTCTGAGCGAAGCTCAGAGCGGAAGACTGGATAAAGAAGCTTACTGGGGGGTAGAGGAGTAGAGGAAGATGAATCAGTGATTTTGCAACGATTTTGCGAAAACGTCACGTATGATAAACAGATTCGGTTCGGTAAATGAAACGGTTGTAAAGCTGCGGATTAGTTGCGAATGCGTACTAATCAGATTTAAACGCCATGACAGTCGCTCGGCAGCAGCGTTGATTTACCGAATGCGCGCCCGTTTGTGTTTCCCTTCGGGGTTATGGCTGCTGTCCAATAGAATCGACCGCTACCCTCGAGTCTATTTACCGTTTGTCTACTAACATTTTGATTCACGTGACTCGGATCGCCCGGAAATCAATGTAAATCACGTCATTTATCTCATTGAAGTTACTTTGAAATTTATATGTGCATGTTTTATTAGCCAGGAGGAACGGAAAAAAAAACAAATAATAATTTATCCGATATTCGCTAATAAAATACGTTTTTGACTTGATACAGCTCTAACTTTTCCGATATTTGACACATATTGTCCGCTCCTTACTCGCCCTTATATTTTCATACACATACACATACGCACTCACACTCTTGCATGCACGCATACACTTGTCATACTCGTTGCATATGTTGAAAACAATTATAAGTCGCACTCTTCTTTCTAGGCGCCGCACAGTGTTGCAGAAATCGCTAAACGTGGCCAAAATAGGAAAAAATAAAAAGCGAAATTTTCGGTTTTCGAAATTCCCGTTTTCAATATATTTTCTAAAAATTTTCCAAATTAATAAGTTGTAGTAACATTTTGATGAAATCCAATTGTATCACGAAGATAAGTGAATTCAAATGTACACGTGATGCGAAGTACAGAATAGCCGGGCTGGGCTATAACCCTCCAAATGATATAACTGATTTTGCGTTGAAACAACTTTTTATTTATGAAAATGATGTTCCCTGTCTAATATCTCATCTGTGTAGTTTTATTCCCAATAAAGAGTATATTAGAAAGTTATAAGTATATACAATAAAAATTAGATTCACAGGATTCACTTTTAATATACAATTAATCACTTATATCGTGATATATAAAAAATGCATCATTTCGCATCATGTTGTAACTTTGTGAAAATAAAGATAAAATATCTATTAATATAATCCTTATGCAAAGATAGAAAGAGCGATATCCAGCGCTTACAAAAATATGATAAATTTTATGAGCAGAGTTTGACATTCAGTGCGCTTCAGTACGGTCAGACGCTGTCTACCGCAAGTAATATTGTTCAACACAAAAATTATATCCTCTATCAAAATTCTTTATTCTAGTTAATTTTGCTAATGTTAACTACAAATATAATAATTAATGGTAATGTTTAAGCTCTAATTAAATAATGTGGTAAACAATAGTAAAAATAAAGACTGTAGAGTTACGAGAGAGTATCGTAGAAGAAAAAACTCGAGAATTGCGACGAATGAAGATTTATTCGTTATTAAAAGACTTCTTTCCTCAGATCCCATCATTTTGTCTTTAAAAAAAGTTTCAGATAAAAAAGCCGATCCCTTCCCTAAAGAAGTTATTGAATTGCTTACAAATCCAGTTGTAGCAAATATAATTTCGGACGATGAATAGTTATATTAAATATTTTGTTTAGTTAATAGTTATATGAAGTAAAAAGCAGAAGATAAAAACTGAAAAAGAAAATAAAAAACAAAAAATAAAAAAACAAAAAAAATGAAAGAACAAAAAAGTAAAAAATAAAACAATAAAATTAGAAAACATGTTATTTTAGTGATAAGGTACTAGTATTTACAATATACTATACTTTTCATTCAACTATAGTACATTATAGCGACAATTGATTTATGACCACTATTTGGAGGTTTCGCAACACTGTGCGCCGCATACTCCTTTGGATGCCGATCGTCCTTTGATATTCTTTTCTGTCTCTCTCTTTCACACACACGCACACACACATACTTTATCGTTCACTATTTGCTTAACAATATCTCACATATGTATGTGTGTGTATGTGTGTGTGTATGCATTAAGAGAAATTGCTAAACAGTTTTAATCTCCCACGCGTGTTACGTGTCGTCGCATGTCGTAAGCCACGAACGGCATCAGGCGCTATAGACAACGTCTGAATGAGAAGTGAAATTTCGCGAAAGGAGGAAACGACCATTACAATTCCGCTTTGTCAACGACGTCACGACGACAATCCGCGATTACCCCGCGATCGCATTTTTGCGTCTACGTAAAAATACGTTAGTTCAGCCTGGCATATTTCGAGCGGCAGAATGATCTAGAGTCTCCCGACGAGTCTTGGCATTGCTCTACTGCCCTATTTTTGTCATCTTTTTCGCAGCGTGTCCGAGGCTCGTTTAGAGGCATGAAAAAAACGTTTGTACGAACGGCGCGATCTGCCGATCTGTCGATCTACTCGCCTCGTCCTCACAAGAGAGACGAATCGTCAATGCTATTCGCGGAAGAAGACAGCGAAAACACGATGGGAACCACATGGAAATGTCGCGAAATATAAATCGATCATGCAACCCGGTGCAATGGCTGACGTAAGGCCGGCAAGAAATATATACCGACGCGACGTGCGGCGTCGCCTTGATGTCGCCTTGTTTCTCTTGCGTGCGTGACAAATAAATTCAAACAGATAAATAATTATTTTTTCGCGATCTACTCTGTCACTATTTGAGTAATTCAACACTGATCGAACGACACCAGTACGGTTGGGTTAGGTGTCAAGTGAAGAGATACGAAGTGTCATGTAGCGTTGAGAATAGATTGCAATAGATTGACGCAGAATTAAGGAGATTTTTGTCTCGACCGTCTTACCGATATTCCGATCCCTCAGACGAGGATCCTGTAATGGCGTTTTTTTTACCATTGGTGCATTTGCAGCAGTCGCTTCCCATGACGTTGGATCGCGCGGAAGAAGACGCGCTCGGTCGCTTTACGGTCAGCATACACTGACGATGAGGTAATTGCCATAAATTGCCCACGCTCTCTCACAAACTAACGTCCCGGCAGATACGAGATCCATCTTTAGACATTCTTTAATGAAATACAATTTCGTACTCCCTGTACTCTTCGCACGTGAGAAACGTTCCAGGAGCATCGACAATCACACGGTACAATACCTATGATCCGCCGTATACTCCAGTCCTCGAGGTACTCATCCGTCGCGCATAATCTTCCCTTGTGACACTGCGAGCATCGCGCGAGCGACAGGATTAGCAAGATGCACACATCGGTCGATCGACAATTCTGGCGGCGCGTTTGCGCTTTGCAAGCTCGTTTCATCGAGGCATCGCGGTATATATATCTTATATTTATCGAAGACATCGACGCGTCTCGGCCCGCCTCCTCGAGTCTGTCACTGTCTGTCTGTCTGTCAAACTTACGAAGGCAGCTTGCCGACGATACGTCTATGGCCTGAGCTTTGGCCTCCCTTTGTGCTTTCACAACACCAAACTAGTCTTTATCACCGAAACCCGTAGCCATGAGCTGTGTTTCGCTCCTCAAAAAATTCTTTATCTAGAAACTGATTCTGCTTTCGCGTTCGCCGATTGCGTATGATGACTCTCAGCCCAAAGGAACCTTCAAAAGGAGGATGACACCTGATCGAGCGACCGAGGGATCGATGCGACTCAGATGCGAGTGAGTTTGTTCCACAGACACGAAAGTGTCTTCAATACGCGCAGGAAAGAGCCGTGAGAAATCGACGCACTTAAAATCGAATAATTCGAACCCTTTCTTAGGGGTTCGTCGATCGTCGCGACGCTCTCTCAGCGTCAGACTGATAGGGAGACGCTAACGTCAGGTCGTCCCCTCCCAATCTTCCACCTCCATCATCAGTTTCGTGTATAGTTGCAAGGAACTGTAAGCAACGGACTATTTCATATAGAAGCTGGCTAGAGCTAACCGAGGAGTAGCTGGACCGGACAGTGCCGTGGGCGCCTCTCTCGTTTTTTCGCGAAAATCTCGCGAGCGCGGTCGGAATTAGCTTACGTAAAGCGTCGTAAGCGTCCGTCTCGCGAGTGGGGACGAGGCACGAGGCGTGGAGATTTTGAAATTTTCGTAATTCACTCGTAACGCCATCGCGCCGTCGTGACGTTGTGTTTGGAGGCTGCCGCGGCGATTGAAATACCTCGGAGCTGCGGCACTTTGACGCATATCTTCGGCACCGACCGAGGTGGAGATGCAATTCAACGCATTACCTCGAAATACGCATCGTCGAGCGTCCGCTCGATGAATAGCTCATTTCGTGCACTGTGTCAAATGTGTGTCGGACCAAGTCTCTTTCTTCTTGATCGCACGGGTGTCGATCTCTCAGTCGTCGAGAGCACGTCGCATCAGAATGCACAAGAAATGTCGATACTTGGACTGTCGATCTTAAGGACTACGATAGGACTTGAGTTTCATCAGCACCGAGATGAAAAGCGTATACGGCGTATATGGCGATGACAATAGTTACAAACGCGTTCAGCTGTCAGTTTCCTTTCTTATTTAAAGCTCGAGCTTGCGTGAGCTCGCACTTCTTCTCGCTGAGGTATCGAGCTTCTCGCTCGAAATAGCTTTCCAAATAGATATTCCGAATGCGGAACGCTGCATCGCTTTTCTGAATCAGAGATCTTCGACGACACATGCAGATCATTTACGATATTGCGTATTGTTCGTTCCCCTCGGAAAGTAATTGCCGGCGCGAGGCTGGTCGTCGAATATGCGCGGACGTGTCGCGCTCGCGTTCCTGGCATTGGCAGAATATGACGATATATGCAAGAATACCGAGCGGAATCGCACGCCGCAAGAGTAATTCGGTTCCCCCCGAAATTAAGTGCGCGACAGCCGAAAATAACTCGCGTTTGATCCTTGGCACGTTCCAAGGTTCCACTTAAAATTAAGGCCAATGTTTGAGAATGAACATTAACGCGAACATTAACGGAAACATTGTTGTCGTGTTAAGGCATCGCGTTGCGAGTGAGACAGATGCACACATGCGAGCAACTGTTAATGTCACGAATCGGTGCAATGAAATGTGGCGATTTATTGTACTAACAGCTCGAATCGCAGGTCATCGTAGTGGTCGGACAGAGTCAGCTTCAACTCGACGATGATGTCCTCGCCTACGTGTCCTTGCACCGACACGATCTGGTCCTCCTCGATCCATTCTGGCGGTCCTTTACTCCTCGACGCATAATCTGCAAATATTTATACGTGTATATATATATATATATATATTGTACTATTAATTAATGATGGATACTTTTCGTATCTTTTTTATGAGAGTAAACGGATCGGATCGGTCATTATCTTCATCAGCGAGGATTTTGCATATCGAAGAAACGGATCCTTTATCGATCCGCGACGTTGGTAGGAAATTTACTGTTGAGCAGCTACCTGCTATTTCGAGACTCACGTGCTCTGCAAAATGGCTACAGGACTGGCGATAGTACATACATGCAAAATTGTAGCGCAGATATAGACGGCTATAAGGAGGAGGGTACGAGGTGAAGCGAGACCACTCAAGAAAAATAAAACACAGCCGATCTTCCACGATCTTTACGATCGTGTCATCTCCTTCGTTGCCTCTACTCTCGTAAATTTCGCGGTGTAAAGTGCGCCCGAAATCCCAATCGGATGCACCCACGCACAGCGATTGCACCATTAACATAAATAAATATTTTCACGTTTACCTAACAAAAATTTTGGCAAACAACACCGTCGGTACCTGATCGCCCGATCGCCACGCCGATTCCTCCAAGAGATCAATTACGAGCTTATTAAGTGTATTTTAAATCACGCCGCCGATTATGCGCCTTGTATCAACCGTAAAATATCGCGCGAGAATTTTTCTCTCTCTCTCTCTCTCTCTCTTTCTCTCTCTCTCTCTCTCTCTCTCTCTCTCTCCTTTCCTTTCCTTCTGAATGCGAGACGAAATTTGTTTTCTCGAATTAACAACTGCGCCTATCAACTTGGCGAGACTTGGCCGGTCGTTATCCGCCAATCATGCGCGCATATATAGATTGCGACGCAAGCTTCTCGTCGCCAATTAAATTTCGACGATAAATTTTCAATGAGCGTCTTGCCATCCACGCCGCGCGACTCTTCGCGACTGTTATATCTTTTTTTATCTGCATTCTCCTCGTTTATAAATTTCCATGCCAAGTCGCTGTTTACCGTTTGCGTTCTAACACGCGCCCACACGCGTACGAAACGAACAGAGAGCGAGAGAAGAGAGAGAGAGAGAGCGAGAGAGAGAGAGAGAGAGAGAGAGAGAGAGAGAGAGAGAGAGAGAGAGAGAGAGAGAGAGAGCACCTTGCATATTGACAAGAGATTTCACGACAGCATTGTATCGATCCACTGCGATACGATCTGTTTGCGCATCGCACGACTATGATTGACAGGCCGTATCTCTCCGCTTCTCCTTTTCTCTTTCTCTTTCCAGCGACGATCACACGACGATGCGATGACGTGGGGTGATCGATGAAATTTCGATCTCGCATGCAGCGTGTCTCATCGCACGCACCGGCACCGGATCCGATCCGGGACAAGAGAGCCCGATTCGTCGGTGTGCCGGTTATACCGGCGTATACACGCTACGACAACTCTTCACTTTACATCTTACCTGTTAAGGTCATCTCGTCAGATGATACGAAGAACGTTCTCACGGTGCATTGACATCACTCGCCGCGCGAATCGACGTGCGTACGCGTGTATTACTCAAGAAGACCTGCACCGTCTTCCGCCACCACCACCGCCAACTTGTTCCTATCCTGACCCTATATTGATACAGCACACCCTAACGCTACGACGTCTGACGGCAGGAGGCCCTGCTCCGTTCTAAAATCGTCCCGACTCTCGGCTTCGTCGTTTTAACGAAAGAAGCACATGCGCCGTTCGGGATCTACGTACCCTCTTTTCCACGTTGTCTCCTCTCCGCTGATGTAACCGCCGCAGCGGCGGCGTTCCTATTTTCACGGTTCTCCTTTTGCCGTTCGGCGCGCGCGAAACTGAAATGTCGCATTTGCAGCCGCGTGCGCGGATATTTGCGGGCAGTGCGGGATTACAGGTGACTCGGACGAATACGTGAGATTCCGCAAAGAGAAAAGGAAGAAAAGGGAGAGAGAGAGAGAGAGAGAGAGAGAGAGAGAGAGAGAGAGAGAGAGAGAGAGAGAGAGAGAGAGAGAGAGAAAGTATCGCCTATTGTTCGACGTTGGGTCTTGGACGCGGCATTAACGTGTGCGGCGATTCGCATCTACCGGCTGCAGGGGAAAAGCTGCAGGGGTAGCGAAGTACACACAGGTGATCGAAATAACGTAATCGCGCAATTTCGGTGGAAACATGTACATGATTTATTCATTGAGGATGGTGAGGACTTATAAATAAAGCAGACAACAATAATTTAAGGTCCGATCGAGTCACACGAGTGTCTGGAGAATGTCATAATACATGCACGGATCAATATATAATATCGTGTTTAAGCGTATAATATACTATTTCGTCCAACGATTGTGTATAATGTGCTTTGATTAAATGAACAGGACGTGGAAGGTACACGCGAAGCGACGGCCATCGGCCGTCTGTCAGGGTTTCCTCGTGGACCACCACCAGCGACGTGCTTTCCAACTGTGCACTTCCTCCTGAATTCTTCGGTACAGAAGGAGTGCGATAAACGGTATCGCCAGGGTTTCCCTTTTGAACAGATACACGTATATTGCTGCCATCAGCAATGTCAGGTCGGTCACGTAGCTCACCGTCGATCTGACCTTCTTCTTAGCTTCCAGAACCAACTGCTGGCCGCCCATTCGTTCAGAAGTTCTGAGCTGCTCCTCATTGACGACTTCCGAATCTTTCCTCACCGCACGGTACTTGGTCTTACTCCCCAGCGCTTTCTGCAGCTTCTCGACCTTCGACTCCACCGGCATCGTCGCTCCGTAGCGTTCTCTAGAATTTGATCTTGACGAGGAACGCGAGGAAGGTCTAGGGGGTACCTTGGACCTGCGAGTGCCTTGTTCCAGCGATAATTTGTCGCCGATAACGTACGACTCGCCGGAGATGTCGTTTCTCGACATGGACCGTCTGCTCCTGTCTCGAGAAGGTGTGCGATTCCGTGTTTTCGAAGACGACCTCGAAGACGAGCCTCTCGCTCGTTCTACCGGCAGGTCCCTTCTCCTCGCAGCTGGGGACTGGTCCCTGGAACTCGGTTTGCTTCCGTGCTTTTCCTTCGTGTCCCTCGCGGGAGTCGTGCCTCTGGAATCGACACTCTCTTTTCGAGAGCCTGAAGCTTGGTTGCTCTTCTTCGCTCTGTCGGTCTCATTTTTGCTCTTGGCGCTGGATTTCGGCACCTCATCCTGATCCTGCTTCTTCGTTGCCTTCGGCGCGAGTTGCTTCTCTTGCATTCGATATTTCTGATCTTGGTCCTCGGAAAGGGAGGATCTTCGGGAGCTAGCGGCGCTGTCGTGACCCCTCGAATGACTCGAGTACTCCCTAACTATTTCGGTGTATTGATTCACAACCGCCATTCTGGCTTCTGCCTCGGCGGCCTCTTCTTCGGACGTCATAGATCGCATTCTCGATAGTATTCTGCGATTTTTTGCTGCTTCAGCCGCTGACACTATGCTGTCTGTGTCGGATTCCGACATTGTCGGTGGCTTTAGGATAGGCTCGGATATCTTTGGTACATCCGAAGGTGTCTCTTGGGTATTCGTATCGACAGCTCCTGCATCTTCTTGTTGACACTGCTGCGGTAATATCTTTCTAATCGGTTTTTCCGGAGGCACCGACTTGTTGGTGACCTCCTGAGTAGTTGACTCCTCCTTGGGTTTCTTTAGGATCGACTTGGGCAGCAGGTTGGTCGGTGAGACAGGAGCGACCACTTTGATGTCTGGAGGAGGTGAAGTCTTCAAGGTTGGTATCCTGTCGTACGGAATTTGCGGTGCTTCCGGCTCGATGTGCGGGATCGGCCTTCCTCGAGGATGATAAGTGTCCTCCTCGTCGATGATCGACCTCGACAGGATCCTCGACTTCAGCGTCTTCAAGTCCTCGCTGTCTGCGCTGCTGATCTCCTCCGAAGTGTCGGACTCCTCGGAAGTGTCCACGCTGTAGGTCTCCTTCTCTGCTCCCTTCGTTTCCGCTTGTGCCGTTGGCGAGGTAGCCGCTCCGTTTATTATAGTAGCGGAGGTCGTGATGGTCGTAGCCGCCTCGTCGTTGCTGGTTGGCTGTATCGATTTTTCCGGCTCCTCCGACAGTGGCAGATTTGATTCGTGCCATCTACGCAGGCGTCCCGCGGGATCCTCCTCGCTGCTCCTCCTCCAGGGACTCACCGCTGTAGTCTCGGATGGGAGATTCGGGTCGGACCTGGCCTCGACATCTGGCAGCAGAGCCGGCGACAGAAGCTTCATCGTCTTGTGACCCGAGTCAGTTTGTCCTTCGCTCGACCTACGGCGATTCTTCTTCGCCTGCCACGAGGCGATCAAATTCTGCGTAGTGACACCGGAATTGGACAGACGTCTTCGCAGTGATGCCATCTGGGCGTTTTCGACGTCCGACTGTGCCGACAATTCGCCAGTCTGTCTTTCGAGCTGCGTCTTCCGTTTGGCGATTTCGGACGCCTCCTCGGCGGCGATCGCGCGATAAAAACGTTCCATGGCTCGTTCGTGAAGCAGCTCGGTGGAGCTGACCGCTTCTCGCATCACCTCCACCACTTGGTGCTGCTCGCTGAATAGCTCCGGAAGAGACAGTGACATCGGTGGCGCTATTAGGTCGTCCTCGTCGTCCATCAACTCGGTGATATCTTGCTTGTCAACTGAAACAACAAAGGCAGGATTGACAGAACCGAAGGGACAAAAAAAATCAGTGAGCTAGAAAGAACTCTTTCACGATATTTTCTTCTTGCGCTTACTTATGTCTCTTCTCATCTGGCTTTCTGCGTCGTTCGTTATGTCGATTGTGTCCTTGTCTTCAGGGTACAGGACTAGCATGAACTCTGAGCTACCGTGCAACGCGTCTTCGTCGTCGTGCTCATGCATCACTCGTATAGACTGCGGGTTACTCGGTAAGGATACCGTGGATTCGTTTGCTTGTCTTTTCAGGCTTGAGTTCGTGGAGGATAAAAGGCGCTGGCTAATCGAGATACGACCTTCCTCCACCGAGTACTCTTGGTTTCTCGGCATCGACTGCGGGGAGAGACTTCTAATTTCTCTCACGCCGACCGCCGAGCGAGACTGAAGATCTTCCTGAACGACTGGAGGAGGAACCGTCGCGGCTGGTTTCGGCGACGTCATCCTTTCTCTCCTTGTGACGACGTCTGCTTGCTTTTAAGAGAACGAAACACTGGTATTTGCAAGTATTTGTTCTTCTTCAATTAGACACAAATTGATGATTTCGTTTGTCCTAACTACGTCTTACTTACTAAATTTGGAAAAAATTTTGGGCTTCACTGTCTTCTTACCTTGCTTTGCGTTTCTGTCGCGGAATTTGACCGACTCGCGTGTGTTCTGGAAGGAACTTCCGGCCTCGTGGAAGCATGATCTCTCGATCTGGCCGGAGGAATTGGTGGTTGCTCCTTCTCCAGTGTATCCGGCGCGAATGTCACCCTGCTGTCGGTTCTGCTCGGTCGATCCGCCGACGTCGGACTGCCGAGTCGTTGCGTGGAGGCTGATCGATCGCCGTATCCAAAACGGTCTTCATCGTCTCGTGTCCTCGCTTCCTCCCTTGTTAAACTTCTGGTTCTTTGCGATGACGCTTTGAAGCTTGCTTCTCGCTTCTCGCCACGGGATCTGCTAATTTCCCGGTGACTCTGCGACTTTTCGCTCAAAGGCGGCGATGTGATGCTGCAAGACGTGAACGCAAGATGTGAGTTCATCGTCGTGCGAACGAAAGCGCGAGGTACGCAAAATGTTCGTCAACGATAAGATACTTTCGTTTGAGGTCTGGAATGAAGATAACGTCGCTCTCTTCGCTGGGGTCACTGACTCCGTAAGGGTTCTCCGCCTTCACGCGAAATTTGTACTCGGAGCCCTCGATCAGTTCCGTTAACGTTGCCGTCGTGCGTCTGCTCGTCATCGCTTTGAGCCAAACCTCCCAACCGATCTGAAGCGCTCGGCGTCGTCAGAAAACTCAGAAAACTCAAGTGCTAATCCAAAAGAATCAGTAACCGATGTTTCCTGATATTACGTACCCTGTAATACTCGACGATGTAAGTCCCGATTTTACAGCCACCGTCATCCTCCGGCTCTTTCCACGACAATGTCACCGATCTACCTAGAGTCATCGCGACCGCGACTTTGCCGGGGGCAGCAGGTCGATCTGTGAGGGTGAAGAGGCTATCGGTAATGCGAGAAACCCTTTAAACTTGAAACTGTCGCGTCAACGCAACATGTCTCTACGACCTGTCACGGTGACCAGGAAGGACGCGGCATCCTCGCCCAGTTTGTTCGTCGCCTTGACCGAGTACTCCCCCCGATCGGCTCGCTTGGCGTCTGGTATCTTCAGAACCGACTCGCCGTCCATCACCTCGAACACATGCCTGGCGTCTTTCGACATCGACTCGCCATCGTGATACCAGGTGACTACGGGCGATGGACGGCCCGCTAAGGACACCTTCAGTCTGATCGTCTCGTCTTGCTCGAAAAGCAGACCGTCTTCGTATTGACGAGGCAATCGTATCCGCGGTGAAGCTAAACGCATGAACCGCACGATCGGTCAGCTGCTACAAGGATCTTGTTTGCTTTATTGGCATGACGACAGTTCTTTCACTGACCTTCGAGGATCAGTCTCGCTTTAGTGGAGATGTGACCAGCTCTGTTGGTGGCGGTGCACTTGATCTCACCCTCGTCGTTGAGCGCGGTCTGGTGGATCAGAAGTACGCTCTTCCCATTGTCTGTGATGATCCTGGTGCGTCTGCTACTGAAGATCTCGAAGCCGTCTTTGAACCATGAGATCTTCGGCAACGGGGTACCGATGAATTGCACTGCAAACTCGGCCTGCGTGAAGAAAGGGCTTCTGAAGATTTCACTTTAAATATTGAAAGATCATCTGTACATCTGTATCCATACATCTGTAACCTGCTTGAGATTTGCTCCTTTTCACCTGATTCTCTTAGCTATTCGTTCGCTCACCGCGCTTACCTGTTCGTTCTCGAGCGCAACCGTGTCCTTAAGTTCCAGATCGAAACGGGGTGCGCAGGCAGCGACACTGGCCCTCTGCAAAGTGACGGTGAGGGGTTCGGAGACTTCGCTCGGTTGCGAGAGTCCGAGGGCGTTTTGCGCCCTTACACGGAATTGGTAACGCCATCCCGGCTCGAGGCCGCTCAGTGTCAGCTCGGGGAAGGCGCAGAGGCCGGAGCTGCTTCGTAACCAGTAAGGAGAGCCGAGTCGTCGATGTTCAACCAAATACCCGACGATCGCCGAGCCACCGTTACTCGGCGATCGGTCCCACCGTATCGCCACGACATCCGGCTGGGCGTCGTCCGTGCCCGAGATCAAGATCGGTTTGCCCGGCGGTGCCGGTAGACCTGAAGGGCGAGATCGAGAGCTTTCAGACAGACGCAGATTCGCGGTTTAATACGTGAATTAATACGTCCGTCACGCGAGACGTCACGCGTGGTGTGTGTGTGTGTGTGAAATTTTCCAACGGCAGAGAAAGGTCGTGTTGTGTTTTGTGATACTCATTAAAATGTTTTACATCGTTCTAAAGCAGGTGACACCTAATGTCAAACAGCGCGCATTCGCTCGAGAGATGCTCGCGCGTGTATATAGAGCAGATGATTTTCAACACCGACGCACATAAGCGGCGCTCCCAAAATAAAAGCGTAGCGTTTGGCGGCACGGTGGTGCGCGTCCGGCTCTCACCGTTCTCACAGGTCTCCGCGCAGGTTGAATATTCGACACACTATTGTTGTTTCGCAGCTACTTTTTCCAGCCCGCTACTCACGGTCGCCGCTATCTCACGAGTGGGATATCAGAATTTCCTTCTCACTCTTCGCTTTCGTGCCCGCGAGATGAAATCATCACGCGATCTAAACGTTCGCTTCCACTAAACAGATTGGTTGTTAGTAGCTGTCTAATTTTAGATGTCATCCCGCTGTGTCGGCACTACCTACTAATCGAACACGGCTCAATAATGACTCGTCCGTTCTTTCTCTATGTTTTTGTTATCGTGCGATGCAATCGAGCGGCCACAGCAGCGACAAACATCGGACGATTATGTTCCAGAAAAAAAAAAAAGAAAAAAAAACAAGTCAAACCAGGCAGTTATCGTTAGTAAACGAAAAGTGAGGAAAAGAGTGAAAATTGTTCGAATAACTTTGGAATTTATTATTGGAATTTATTAGGGCAACGTTTGCGCGAGGGGGCAACGAACTAAGGAGTAAAATACTCGACATTTATGAGATGCATTCGCATATCCTCCCGTTCTCGTTACAAGTAAAATCAATATCGTTATCGAAATCGATCTCGCAGGGTACGAAGAATCGTATGAAAATACGCGGCTCAAATAACAATACGCCGATCTACCTGGACCGTCCCAGCGCGGTTTTCTCGAGCTGGTGCTGACGGTGATGTTCCTCGAGTAATTTTTCGTGCTGGCGTTGCCCATTATCGTGCCTCCTCTTCCTCCTCCTCGTCGAGCCTCGCTCGACGATCACTCCGTCCCTGGCCAGTTTTCCGTTCGTTCCCGCACGTCGAAGTGACAAAAGTCTCACATTGACAGTACTACCTGAAGAATGATCGAAGAACGAAACGATGCTGATGTTCGATGATGAGCAACTCGGATGAAAGGAGGGGGAGCGAGAGGGAAGAAGATACCGGGAAGACAAGAAAGAGAGGAAGAGTGACAAAAGGGGGGAAGAGAGGAAGAGAGACGGAGGGTAAAAAGAGAGAAAGAGACGGCGAGTGTGCTCGATATAGCGCGAGGCTCGGTGCAGCACTGGCAAACTTCTTCGTGGTCGACGACTGTAGCGACGCCAAGTCTCTCTTCAGGTTCTCTCGACGTCTATCTTTGACCCACTGCTGTTTCCTACTCTATAACCTACCTATACCCTCTTCCTCCGGTGTATATTTCCTCGAATATTTCCCAATTGGTATAAATATCGATCGGATAAATCGGCAGAAATAAAAGCTGCAAAAGTATGCCGAACGATCGTCGAATTGGATGGCAGCATGCAGCTTCGCTCGCCGAAGGAGACGTCGCGCCTCGTCCGCTATTCGTAAGATATTCGAATACGTCGTATCGCGATTTGCATTTGAATGTTGCGTATAACTATTGTGCGGGCAAGCGTGCCGATCTCCGCCTTTCGTAACTCGCCTTTCGTGCCGCCGCGCGGCTCAGAATGGAGCCACGTGGTACGATGTACCGATATTCGCAAGCTCGCGCGCAGAAAGCGGTACTGTCAACCGGTCATTCTTCATACTGTAAAACGCAAATACCCGAGGCACGTTCTATCCATCCAGCCAGCTTCGCCGATCACGCTTGTGACGTGCTCGCCTAGATAATCGAGCGACTGGACGTAAAATTGCCACCTGTCAGCCACGGACACCGCTACGGACTTTTCTTATCGAGGACGATCGAAGTACTTTCACGAAAATGCGCGACGTAACGCCGCGAAATTATTTCGCGACCGCAATTTTTCGCGGACGCGCGTTTCCTTGCGGTTTAACGCGAGGCAAATCTCGGCAAGTCGCGTCGTTTTCGCTTGCCTTCACGGCGAGCAGAAAGTCATTTGTTCCCTCGATGTTCTTCGCGATTTAGTACATCACAGTGCACGCAAAGTATCTCAGTGGGATAACCATCGATAGTCGTAGTCCTCGATTTTCTCGACAGGAATATTGCTTCCCAACTGCGGTTCTCGATTGGTTTTCGATATTTCTCGCGATTGAAAGTCCAATAAGGAGCTTCCAAAAATCTCGACGATCTTGCGATTCTTTAATTTGCATAAATTAAATTAAATTAAATTTTTGCGCGAAATATTAAATAGAATTGAATTTACATAAAAATTCCAGCTCTCTCCGTTCCTGCCATCCGCGTATCGTTCGTACAACCATGACTGATATCACACGAGATATCTTTGTGCCTTCCTTTGGGCGTAATCTCCGATTAGTGTCACTCCCTGGCTGAAATATTTCCGCACACCTCTCTCGGCTTCGTAAGATAAGGAGTAGAAAAAAATGCGGTTCTCCAAAGAGATTGAGAGAGAGAGAGAGAGAGAGAGAGAGAGAGAGAGAGAGAGAGAGAGAGAGAGAGAGAGAGAGAGGGGGAGAGGAAGAGAGAGAGAGAGAGAGAGAGAGAGGATGGGAGGGAGGAAGAGGAAGAGAGAGAGAGAGAGAGAGAGAGAGAGAGAGAGAGAGAGAGAGAGAGAGAAACGGGAGGAAAGGAGGAGACGTGCGTAAGGAGGGGGAACACACGGTTAATCGGTGCCAAAGTACCGTTGTATCTGAATGGACCAGAGATGGCTTTCGGTTTTCCTGCAGCCTCCGTCGTAGCTGCAGGCAGCCTCGCCGCGCTGCACCTATCGCGAGTTCCGCTCGTGCAGGTTGCACATAAATACACGTGCACGCGCCTACTAGCACGTGACAATTTCGCCTTCTCTCTCTCTCTCTCTCTCTCTCTCTCTCTCGCTCTCTCGCTCTCTCTCGCTCTGCTAACCGCGAGCGCACACGTGCGACGGGTTCCAGTTGAACGCAACGCAACGCGACAGTTCGCGGCCGCCGCTGCTGCTCACGTGGATACGTGGGTGTAACTTCTGGAGTTGAAACAGCTGCTCCCTGGAATTCCACGTTTCCGCGATACCTTCGAGCCGCATATTATACCGTGCGCTGCACCCATGTGATGTTTCGCTGTGACACTTCGCGAATGCTCCGGAGTTGCGGAGGTGCGGCTCGACGTTGCTGACCCGCGGGGATCCTTATCCTTCGATCGGTGAGTGCCATTAGCGTACAGATTGCGACAACGCAATTAAAATTACCATGTCCAACAACCTCGGAGATCAAATATATTCATGAGCGTATTCTCCCGCGGGATTGCGCGGGATAGCTTGAGCGCACTATTATTCAAGTGCAGCTCGGATCGTTTGCCTCTCGTTGCATCTCAGTGCAATCTTCAATTGTCTACGTTCCGTAAATACTCATTGTTCAAGTGCTAATCGCTAATAATTATTTGTTTAACAGGACAATTGCAAAATCTCCGACATTGTCGTTAAAACGCGATCCCTTTTCAGATCGGCCGCGGACGCTTGTGGAGGACCTGTCTGAAATGAGACATATTTTTACAAACAATCGCGGAGATGCCTACGAAACATTTGAAAGCGGTAGATATCCTGGAGGCTCTAGAATCGAGGCTCGCGTATGTTCCAGGTGGTCGCGATCGTGACGGGCGACCTTTGGTCGTAATTAGCGTTCCGCCGGAACTCGATCCAACGACGAAACCAAAACTGGAGTCCCTCATTTTGTATTACTTGTCGATTTTCAGGTACGAATACCTCAGTGATGTCTCGTTCGCGTTTGCACAATTTACGAGTCGAGTGAATCAAATGTTTCTCGTTGTTTGACCGTTTAGCGAGGATACGAAGGAGAACGGTTTGGTTTTAATCGTGGACGCGCGTCGCGGAGCATGGCGCGTGGCTAGATCCTGCATCAGGCTGTCCACGAGTCTGATGGAATCCAAAGTGGTCTCTGTAATCGTGGTGCGACCCGATGGCTTTTGGGACAAACGCGTCGACAGCTGCACCAAGTCTCACAAGGAAGGCGAAGTTAGTGAATCCAGTTTGACGGACATTTCGCATTGTGGCTTTGCGCGCGCGCGCGCGCGCCCGATTTTCCAGCGCGCTGATTACGTTGAAATGATTGATTCGAAGATCTTTATTAACGTTTTTGATTCGATTTGGTGTTGGCGAGTTTGCGAAGTTTCAAATCGTCTTTCAATAATACCTTGTCGGTGAGATATATAAGGTTTTATTGTATTCCCATCGATCGTTGTTTCAGCCGACTTACGTTACGCTGACGAGACTCCATGTTTGTGTCGACTTTTCCCAGCTGCCGTATGAGCTGGCGGGCAACAAGGCGTATAATCACGTCGAATGGATCAAGAAGCGTATGGTAAATTAGACATTTTCGACGATAGGCGAAAATAAAGAAGACACACATTGATACCTCTGAATAAATCGATTTACTAACTCATAGAAAATAGAAGATTACTCGAGAGACGCTCTGGAGCTTGTATCGAAGATGACGAACCTGCATCAAAGGTTGAACACCCTCGACGGTATTCGCATGACGCAGTCGGATGATGACGTAGAGTCTTATTGGGAGATTGGCACAGAATTGTTGTCAACGGCGCGTCATATACTCCAATCAGGTACAGTCTGTAAAGTAAGAGCGTGTACGGGTTAATGTGTAGAAAAGTTTACTTTTAATGAATTTTAAGTACATGGATTTGTTGTACTCCATGAGAAGAAAAACGCTATACCATTAATAACGAGTCCAGTCACCACCGGCATTGATAATTGCCTGGCATCTCCGAGGCTACTTTCCACTACAGTCTGTAAAGTAAGAGCGTGTACGGGTTAATGTGTAGAAAAGTTTACTTTTAATGATTTTTAAGTACATGGATTTGTTGTACTCCGTGAGAAGAAAAACGCTATATCATTAATAATGAGTCCAGTCACCACCGGCATTGATAATTGCCTGGCAGCTCCGAGGCATACTTTCCACTAAGTTGACTGCGTATTCGTTCGGTAAAGACCTCCAAATGACGACGAATTTGTCGTGTCAGCTGCTTCAAAGTGCACACTCTTTTTCCTCGGAGCTTGTGCTTGAGATATGCCTCACAATACGGCTAAGAAAAAAACTAGGACGATATTTGAAGCCAACTGCCATTTATGCCGTACACGCTCTTACTTTACAGACTGTATGTACATCAATTTTCTTCATCCGTCGCGAATTACGCGACGGAGCAAGTAACTTGTACTCGTTCATTAGGTAGGAATCTAGTGAGTGCCATGAGCAGAGAATCCTCCAAGGATACCTTGGATACTGTAAAAGAAATTCACAAGCTGCTTGACTCGATCGAGCTGAAGCAGGTACTCTCTCTAGAAAATTTCGGTTGACATTCGACATTCGATACTCGGTTAATTTAACATTGTCTCCTTTCTCAGATGGACATTGAAAATTCGTGGACAGAGATGGAACGGAATCTGGACACCGCCAGAGTGATCGAGAATCTCGAGCAGGGTGTGTCGAGCGTTACCGATTGGATCTTGGGTCCGGCCGACACGATGCTGAATTCCTGTTGGCAGGTCGGCTTCGACGTCTCTTCATCCGAAGAGCTCCGAAGGCAACACGAAAAACTGGAGCTTCAATGCCGCGTAAATATACGACTGCACTTGCTGCTTTTACTTTCTCGCCCGAAGAAGCAGGAACTTTTGTAGACAGATCAAGTCTAAATTCGCAGGAAACCTACGGCCGCTACGCAGAGCTGCTCCACAGGATCGATAGTCTTCCTAAAAGCCGACTGCCCGAAGACCTGAAGTCTCAGAGAGACTTCATGGATTTCGTTTGCCGCAGCTTTGCCTCGCGGCTCGAACGACGCAGGAACGTATTGATCACTTCGCAGAGATTCTTCAGGCTCGTCTCCGAGGTAAAACGTTCGATCGATCGCTCGCACAGTGCTTTTCAGGGACGTTAGGTTCAACGTCCCTTCTACGTCTATATATATTGTTGTTTACAGTACTTCGACAGGACGAGCGAAGTGTTCGATCAGTTAGTTATGGGCAGCAGGAGTTACAATTTTTCTCAGGCTAGCGTCAAGCTCCTGACATTGGAGAAGAGCCAAACGGTTTTAGGTAAAAGCGAAGGGAGATACTCGTTAGAGGTCGATTCTCGTTACGTCGAGATATCCTACGACCGAATTTAATTTTGCAGACGGCTTAGAGCGCGAGCTCGTGAAGGAAGGGGAGAAACTGTCGGACATCCTCTCCATGCCCGTAAAGGACGCGCTTGGCCGAGAAGTTTGCGTGAATTACGACGAAGACATCGTCAACGTCAAGGACATACTCGACGCAACGAACGCCCGGAAGAACATCTTCAACGACAGCGTGGAGTTGCAGAAGCTGTCGTTGAAGCAGGTAGCTCTGATACATATGTACGAGAGCGACGCCGAGCAGGTGAGCTGGAAGCTCGAATGCGATCGTCAAACATGTAGACGCGCGGTTTACGGACAGTTGCATTTTCCAGGCTGTCAAGTGGTTGAACGATTTATTCAACGTTCTGCTGCGAAATCACTTGGAGGTCGGCTGCAACGCGAAGGAAATACAGTCGCAGAAGGAGGATCATCAATCATTTCAGGAAACCGCGAAGGTGAAACGATGCGCGATCGAGCGATTGAGCGATCGAGAGCGAGGAAGTGACGCAAATGTCGCTCTTCACTGGAACTGTTCGGCCAATGTAATGTAACGGCCAATATTTACAGGGGACTTACGAGTATGGCGGCCAACTGGTGAACGGCGCCCGGGTGCTGAGACTATCCTGCAGAATATCGTTAGAGAGCAATGCTAGTCTCTTTTCAAGATTGCGCCAAGCTTGGCGGCAGCTTCGCTCCGTCAGCCAGGAGCAGCTAACCAGGCTAAGAGTGTGTGCGGTTTTTCACAGGAACGTCGAAGATGTATGAATATAAATTTCTTACATGTTCATGGCTTAGCCTAACTTATTATTATCGGAGGAGAAACCGCGCCTGTACTGTATAAAATGTTTGAGACGAATCACTTTTCACCGATTTGTCCGAAGCACTGTGCCAGACTGAGGAACCTGGTGGAAACGGTGACGATTCTGCATCGCGCTCCAAAAGACGAAGAAGACGTCACGGCCGAGGCTCGTGTCAGGTCAGGCATGAGAGACATCCTTGACAATCGAGAGAAACTCCTGCTGGAGGTCGGGCGAATGGTGAGACTGGGTCGTCTCCTTAAGACCAGGCTGAAGGAGCCGCTTTATCATCAACGGTAGGTGCGATGACGAGGTCGCCGTGAGATCTCGCATTAAAACTATTAAACGACGTTAATACATTTCTGCTTCCAATCTAAAGAAGAAGAGGAATTGGGTCATGGTGGCGGTTTGAGTTTACATTTCGTAGAGGATAAGCCGCAGACCAGTCGAAATAACAAATACCGCGCGCGATCAGCTGCGACATGTAAGCCAGGCTGAGAATCCTTCAAAATTGCGCTTGTCTCTTTTTTCATTGCAAACTACAGCTAGAGGAAAGGCGCAAGTAGGATATAGCGACTAGTGAGAGCGGTAATACGCCTGGTTTCGTACGCCTACGTGTCCAACAGGGACGGTGTGTCAGTCCATGGCCGACTGTCGCCGAGATAGCTCCTATAGTCTAAAACCGGTGCATGTAAGTTCGTCACACAGTGAAATAATGCGTGTCTCGCGACGTTTTCGCCCGATCATGCTCATCGTGCGATCATCATGCTTGCTTGGCGTTTCTTCATTTTCACGATTGACCTTACGCCGTTGTTTTCACTTTCATTTCGTCAGCTTTGCGTTTAGTTTAGCTCGCAGTCGTAGTGGCCTGGATCGACAGTCGTAATAACGCGGCAGATGCGACACACCTGCGTCTGGTAAACAAACGTAGGTCCACAGATGCTTCTGCTTCATAAAAAGAGATAAAGCTTGCCCGCTTTGTAGCTGTATGTAGAAATCGTATGACCAACACGTGCCCGATTCCTAATTCCTGTAACACTCAACAGAGATATCATCGAAGGCTGCTGCAATGTCCATAGATAAGAGAATGCGTTCTACAAATCGCTGGCGCCGTTCCACGTTTCTGGTCGTAACTTAAAACTCGACTGGTAAAACGCGAATCTAGCCGCGACAATATCTTGGCGGACTTGTTTGCTACCTGAAGAACTGCCTATCGTGTTACGTCACGCGAATTATTTCTGACCATGTCCGTTGGAATGATAATGCGAACGCAAAACGCAGCAATATGGCGCAATATCTTTCGAAATACCCGAAGGAAAAAGGCTTTACCCGGAAAGCCCTCGGTTACCGTAGATTGAAGTTGATGCACGATCGCGACTCTCGTTGAAGCGAGAGCGTCTCATCGAGAGTCTCATCGAGATTAGAGCCTTGCCCCAAATTTCGGAGGCATGTGGCCCGTCTGCGCGGTCGCGTACTGTCAACCGCACTGTCAACCGTCGATTGCGTAATCCACGTGGGAGTCTGACGTTTTCTGCGGCGACGCTAGCCGCAGTTCTAATTCCGTTCGATCATCTCCTGAGCCGCCTAGAATTGCGTTCAACTGCAACAGGGAAACGGAGGGAACAGAGCGAATACCGCGAGAGAAACCGCACGAGAAAATAGAAAAGATAAAGCGAAATATATCGAAGGAGACGAACAGGTGTGATTAGTCGAGGCGGCCGGGCCGGCGCGTAGCCACTTAATATTCCTCATTGAAAATTGTTGCTTCGCGCGAAGCTTGCGCGAAGCTGCGACGAATTCGTCGTCGTCGTCGTCGTCGTCGTCGTCGTCGTCGTTGTCATCGATAAACAACGCGCGCGAAGCTCGCGAAACTCACCGAGATTCTGGTCGCCGTACGGCGCTTCAAGGTTTCTGCTCCAGAAAGCTTAAGTCTATTAATAGCATATCAATATACGTTTGATGAATTCGCCTCCCTCGGTAGAATGTCGGAAGTCGAGGATGCCTCGATCCTCGGCAGTAACCTGACAGCGGTGGAGGCTATCTCGGCGAAATTGGCGGAGGTGACGCGTCTCGCGGAGAAACTGGACGCGAGGCTGTGCGAGGCTGGAGCGAGAACTCGGCCGATGTCTATTCCTACCACCATGACGTCCTCCGCGTCGTCCTTGCTCTCGATATCGGCCATCTCGTCGCCAGTCGCGCCCAGCCACACGACTTCCACCGCGATCGCACCGGCGTCGACGTCGGCCGATGCGACTCCAGCGACGACCTCAGCATCTGTCACGACTCCAGCTCACTCGACGTCCTCGGCAACCGCGTCCGCGTCCGCGATCGTCGTGTCTTCGTCATTACCTGCATCGCCTGCGAAGCATCACGCGGCTTCCGCTTCCATCATGTCCAATGATGCGACCAAGCCTGCTGCTTCTTCTTCAACGGAGAAGCCTGACGAGAGCTCGCCTCGTGTCACCTCACATTCCACGGAGGATTTTCAAACGCCGAGCAAAGATTTCAAGGTACAACTAGAATTGAGGAGGGACTCGATATTGAGCTCTGTCTCTTGAAGATATTTTGCCTTGAGGTATTTTCATCTCCATGTTGGTAGGAACTTGCCGAGCACCCTCGCAGCGAAAGTGCAGCGGACGAATACAACGTGGAGAGCTATGCGACAGCGACTGAGTGCTCGACTCCGAATGTCTGCTCCAGGAGCGAATCTTTCGTCACGTCGCCGGAATGCGACCAGGATCTCCCTGTCACGGCATCCGCGACGCCATCGTGTTCTGGTTTCGCTTGGTGAGTACGCGAGAGTACCGTTTCTCGAATTCACGAGATCGAATGAGTCATCATCGAGTATTTGCGCTTCAACGGCCGCATTTTTTGGTCGATTTTCAACATCCTGACGTTCCACAGGTGGACCACCGAAGCGCCCAAACTGGTGACTACAACCGCACCCGTTACTTCCGCCGCGAGCAACGAAAAGCAGACGCTGAGAGTAGCGGAAACGGTGTCGAGCGTTTCCAGCGTCAACGGAATCAAGCCAACGATGCGGATCGAAACGATGGACAAGATCACTGACGTACGTCAACGTCCGTCAGAAAATTCACTTTTGGAAATTATTTTGGAATTTCGCTTCATCCTCCTTTCGAGGTCGCACGCATTTCACGCAGTTGCGTGAAATTTCCAAGTGATAGTCCTTTCGAAGTGTAATATATTTGTCACATCTTGATTAATGTAATGTTCATTTTGACAAGTTACGCGACTTTTCGAGCAGGAGAAGACCGGCAGGATCGTAAAGGAGGTCACCGAGACGACTGTTTTGCGCGTGTCGCACGATATTCGATTAGGCGTAGCCTCGTACAAGCTGACATCGAACACCGTGCAGGACCATCGGCAGCACGTCGACGCGAGGGCTATTCAGAATGTAGAACGTGTGCTACCAGTGGAATCTGTCGAAAAAATGAACGGCACTCACGACTCGGAGCTCAGTCCGTCATTGATCAGTCAGTACAACATCTGCATGATTCTTCGCGCATATACCATGGTGACAGAAATTTATTATTACATTCGCCACTTTGCGTGGCATTGCGATTTCTCCACAGGAGACCCCGAAAAATATATCGAGAAGTACCCGAGGAAGGTGCAATCGGATCAGAATATCTCAACAAAATTCGCAAAGGCCCGGGAACATGCTCTAAGCGAGAGCTCGCGTTCAGCTTCGGGTTTAAGGGAATGCGAGGAGGACGCAGCGTTGTCCACGCAGGACCTCCTGCGACACCACGAGGACAGCGGAATCGAGATGTCGCCGATGAAGAAGGACGACAATTCGGACGGCGAGGAGTTCCTCGAGAGAGCAAGGAAGGTGAGTGTGCGATCGGGCCAATCGAGTTTTTCGATGCTTCGACGGAGAAAGTTCGTCGGCCGCAGTCACGAGTGCAGTCGCGGTCACGAAGCTGCGTACCTGACCGGATTCTTCCGTTTCGCGCGCTTCACTGTCTTGTCATCATCAGTCGACCGAACCAACTCATCGTTCGCTACCTCTTAACACCAGCTCGCGGTGTGATTTGCATTTGTCTTAACGCTTCTGAGCTCAATATTTCAGGCCTCGATCGATCGGTAGTCTTCACTTGAAATTTGCTTCAAGTCGGAGTTGTCTCCGATTTTCTCGGCCAGCTGAAAGCAGTGGCAACTGCTTGAAGGAATGTCAAGCTTTCGCTTGAGACTGGTCTCAAGAAGCGACTATGACAATGCGGCTCTCACTGTATCGCGATCAAACACGCAACCGTGACTACCTGACAATGACCTGAGTCTGACGTTATTTGCAGCTTTGAAGACGAACCGATGATGTAAAGAATGACACGAGTGTGTTATACTAACGTAGAACTAACGACCCTGCACCTGACCGCCGAGGAAAAGACCGCGGCACCAGGCACCAGGCTCCCAAGGATTAAGGAAGAATAACATTGTTAACCGCACATTTGTTGTCGCGCTTCGCTCTATCGCGTGTATCCTGTATCGCAAAGCCGAGTTTTTACGCAACTTTACCACACGCTCCTGCGTGTGGGATCTTTTCCGCTGTGTGTATTGCATGACTTGTTTGTTATTTTTATAAATAAACGATGTCCGCCGAGAGAAGAGGAATCGGCGCATTACCCAATGAGAATGAGAGAGAGAGAGAGAGAGAGAGAGAGAGAGAGAGAGAGACCGAGACCCATTCGCCCAGTATACCGGGTGACCGTTTCTCAGCAAGTACCAAGCGCCTCCACGGGCTCGCTCCACTTTCGTTCGGCGCTGCTGCGCCGCGGCGACTTCGCTTCGGTAGATCGTGCTCGACGAGCGCGACGAAGGTGAGCGGGAGGCTGCCGCCAGCCGGAGGCCAGCCGGAGGCCGGAGGCCGTGCCGCGCCATGCCGGTTCAGTCTTGGTTCGGCTGGTTACTGCGACCGATCGGCTGGTGACGTGACACACACTCGTGACATGTGTCACGCGAGTGTTTCTGCCGGTGTTGTCGTCATTAACGTCGCTATTAACGTCGCCTGAACGCGAGTCGATTTAGGTGATTGCCGTGCCGGTGCCATTAGAAATCACACAGAGGGGCGAGAGAAGCGGGGGGATTCTCGTATACCTGGGATCCTTGTATACCCCGTTCTTGTAACTCGGTGCACCGCGAGGTTAGATCTCTCTCGTCGAGGAGCAGCGACACTTATGAATTCGCGACATGCTGAGGGAAACGGGCTGAGGGCGATTTCACGTTGTTTCGGGTTTCTTCACTTAAACCGCGCGACCGAGAGGACGAGCACCCGGCGAACATGTTCGTCGGTTTAACCCGCGAATGGATAATTCTGATCTATGCAATAAATAACGTAGTAATGTCGTCGAAATCGTCATAATTTTCTCCATTGATTCAGTCCTCCGATGTAACAACAGGGAGAACGGGCGAAGAGTTCACTCCGTAATTGGGAGACTCTTCTTCAGGGAATACATTTCTTCGCGACACGTTCAGCGACGATGTTTGGCGGCGACTGAACTTTTTACCGGTTACACCTTCGGCTTCGTGCTTTTCGCCGTGATGTGCTCTTCTCGTTGAGAGAACGCTACCAGTTAGTCCGGTTTTATTCTACCGTTTGGTCGTCTCCGATGATGTCACCGTATAAAGATATCTATAGATATGTGTAGTGCGTATACATATCGATGTTGAATCGAAAAGGAAACGCGGATGTTCCCGCGCGCGCGTGCGCGCGAGCGCGCGACCGTGCTTATTTTTAATCGATCGCCACCGTGAATTAATAAATCACTCGGAGACGTTTCTCTTTTCGTTTTTTCTTCTTTTTTTTTTCTTCTTTATTTTATACGTCCGCGCCTACGAGAATATAAATCGCTCGTCTGCATCGCTTCATTTGCGTCGACACCTTGCACGGTGAGGAAGATCGTTGGGATAAATTGCGCGGAATCAACGGATCATGAGAATCTGTCATTATCGTGATTATTAAGGAGGAAAATTTTGCAAAACAGCTCGCGAGTAGTCGTGCGGTAGACGCGATAGCTCCTCCGTCGTGTATTCACGGAATTTTCGCAGCAGACGCGCCTTTTGGCGAGACGCCAAAAATAACGTCAATCACAGGCAAGGCGACCGCGCGCGCTCGCGCGCGCGCGCTGCGACTGGAGAAGACGATTTTTCATCGGTAAAATCGGCAAGAAGATCGACGAGAGAGCAAAGTCTTTGAGAAAAATATCGCATAGATATTTACTTGGTCTCGCGTTTTAGATCGCGGTAGCATACGTCACCGCGGTATATTTAGCGCCAGGCATTAAAGTCACCGCTCCGGCAAAACGTGCGACACTGTCTCGGCTCGTTGGCAGCTCGTCTGATCGATCGTACGCGCTCGACTCGCGGAGAGCAGATCAGCATCAGCGCAGCCACCAGATGAGCAGACATACACAATTTCGCGGTTCCGCTCGGTTGTCCCGCCCTCTCTATCTCTCTTGCTTTCGTTGCGAATCGGATGTAGTCGAAGGTAATCGGCAATCGCCCAATCGATCGACGATTCAGGCCTGATCGGATACATTGATCGGTGATCGCGCGAAAGACGAAAAGTAAATGATGATGGTGGACGGCCCCGACGCGATGGAGGCACACGCGCACTCCGAAGGACCCGGCGAGATGAATTCAGAAACGGCGATGATGCAAAGGGACGAGGACCCGCCGCAGCAAATCACCTCCTCTCCGACTACCACCATAAGCACCATAGCGATGCAGAGCGGGGAGACGCGTGTAGTAATCGCTCTGCTTCAAGTAAGGAACACAACGTGCCGCTACTTTAATCGACAAAGCCATTTACATTCATACGTTCTCTCGTTACGTCGCCGTGATCCTTCGTCCTTTAAGCCCCGCCGCCGCCGCCGCCGCCGCCGTCGCTGAGCGATCGTTCGATCTAACGAGCGGCAAGGATCGACAGATTATTCGGCGATTTTCTTCCCCTCCCCCTCCCCCTCCCCCGGCCCCCCGAGGAGGAGAGCATGAGGAGAGACTCAGAGCTGTGCTCTTCTTGCTCTTCGTCTCGAGATAGTTCTCTCGGTAAAGGATAACCTTCCGCCGCGCGCTCGCTCGCGCGATCCCCGTGTACAACACTATGGTGTAGATATTTCGGGATTCGGTTGCTTCGGTCTATAGCTATTTCCGAGTCCTCTCGAAACCGTGAGCGTTTTAGGTATCCGCCGAGCAAAACGAAACTCTCTCTCGAAACTCCGCGAAGGATAAATTTAACCGCTAGGTACAGTACCTCCCATTACACGCATCACCATGATCGGAGCCTAACACCCATCTTACATACGTTACGTCGGATCTTGAAGCGCTTAGGATCACGACCGCGAGCGCGATCCGCGCGAGTTATATTTCGAGCGTCCCTGCTCGCCGCTTGTACACTTAAGCGTCTATACCGCGTTTCGCGTGTCTTTCGGACTCCAGGGAGAAAGGTGTCGGAGAATGCGAAGCGCTAATTTCATTGAAAAGAGGAGCAACTCAAACGAAAAGAGCCAGAGTTACGTGCGCTTTGTTGTTGCGCGAACTACGACCGCCGAACGAAACCGCCGAGGAATCGAGTCAGATCATCCGCCGACTCTGATTCGATCGGTCTCTTTTCTTCTTCCTCGTGTCTATGGCCCATATTCTGAACTCTCTTTCATCAGCGAAAGTGACTATAAAAGTGGCTTATAAGCCTCCTGATGGGCCGTAAGCCATTTTTAGAGTAAGCCACTTTAAGGTCACTTTTAGTGATGAAAGAGAGTTCAGAATACGAGCCGATGTCTCGCAATCGTAGAGCTGCTTGTTGAATTTTACCTTGCCTGCTTGTTGAAAGTTCGCCACGAGATCTCTTCAACTTTGAACGCGCCATCGTCTACGTGCGGATCTTCTCTCTCTCTCTCTCTCTCTCTCTCTCTCTCTCTCTCTCTCTCTCTTCCCAACGCGTAAGTCAAATTACATGAAACTGCTGATCCCGCGGGATAAGTCGATAAATAGACTAAATGATCGGCGCGCCCGAATCAAGAGAGAGAGAGAGAGAGAGAGAGAAAGAGAGAGATCTTTCTCTTTCTTTCTCTCTCTTTCTCCCGTGGTCCGCGCACTCACGTATAATCTAACAAACCGGTATTATGTGAGACGGCTCGGGGCGGCCCGGACCCAACCCGGCCCGGCTCAGTGTCGGACGAGCATCGTGATTCTTCCTTTTACCGCACCTTTGCCTATATCATACCTCCGATCTAACGACACTGACTCTTACCTCCGGTAAAAAAGAGAGAAAAGAGAGAACGACCGAAGAGCGAAGGCCTAGGCACACATATTGGATTCCTACCTACCTACCTGCTAAGTAGCCGGAGATTTAGCCCCGCGTTGTCTCCGTGTTATCTCGCTTTGCGTTTTTAACGCGGCCGAAATGAGGCCGATCCTCAGGTCCGAATAATATCGTATGGGACTTGTTTGTTCAGACAAAACGAGCAAAGTACCTTGGAATCGGTCGGCCTCATCTGAAATTAAACGATCGGGATATATATTCTTATTGTTTCCGCGCCGTTTCACTTGTAAGTTGCGCATGCCTTTACTTCGCGATAACATGTTCCGGCCACGTTATTCCGGCTTGTTTTTGCTGCTCACTGTGTCGTTGCATCCACTCGCTGTGAATGCACGTGTTTTTGTGCCCAATGTCAACCCCGGGGTTGAATCGTGCAAAACATCATACGTTGACCTCAGTTGCATGTATTGTCTACAGATGACAATTGTATATTATTATCGATAGAAGACGATCTGGTATTTATTGTCCATTGGCAATAAATGCGAATTTCTTTCCATATTACATCAAATCTCGGCGAAATCTCTCAAATCTATTTCGTTTGCTTTTGCTCTTCTTCCTTACGACCATCTATGAGAATTTTCACACTGCTTTCACACTGAGTTAACACAGCATTCTACGTTTCTCTCTTTCTTCGTTTTAAGAATTTTCTGCGAGCAATATTCGAGAAAAGAAATCAGGTAGTTTAACCGGTCGATCGAATTGACTCTCGTTAACTTCCATCTATTTGAGATTCCGTCGAGTCTCCGTCGTTTACCTGGTTGAGCTGCCTGGCCCAATTTCAAGCGTGTCCGAACGTGGCCATGTTTGGTCACACCGGTTGTTTTACTACTCGCGAAGTTCTTGCGTACGACTCGCGCATACACGTGACTTTACGGAATTACGTTCAATTTGAGCCGGCGTAAAATTCACTTTCACTCGTAACCCTGACTTTTGAGAGATCCGAACCGTCCTCGTGCGCGAATTGCATTTTCTCTCCATGTTTAACGTTGCGCGTAACACACACACACACACGCACACACGTGCGCGCACATTGTGGGTCTTTTTCCGCCAATTGCATTCTCCTCGCCTTGGTCGTTCATCCTTATACCTTTGAGAAAAATTGTCACTGAAACGTGATACCTCTTTGTACGGCATATGATAAAAGAAACGATTTGATCGTTCACATATGGCGATACAAAGAAAGAGAAAGAAAGGGGGGAGGAATAGAGAGACAGAGAGAAAGACAGAGATAGACAGAGAAAGGGAGGCAGAGAAAGACGGAAAGAGACAGACAGAGACAGAAGAAGCCGGAGAGAGACGGAAAAAGACAGAGAGAGACAGGGAGAGATGAAGAAAGACAAACAGACAGAAAGAGACAGAGAGAGACAGAGAGAGAGAGAAGAGAGAGACAGAGAGAGAGAGAGAGAGAGAGAGAGAGAGAGAGAGAGAGAGAGAGAGAGGATATGGTCAATCCAAACGTGGATATTCGGCAGTCTGCCAAAGATGAAAATGGAAACATATCTGGCCTTTCTGTGGCCCAACTACACGAGGTCAACGAACCTGAGGCCGATCTCCCTAGTTGCTGCCTCTTGCCGTTTCTTTTCTCGCTTCCTTTTTCTCCATATTTCTTCTTCGACAATGTTGGAAAGAAACGTACACCGCGAGCTGCGGAATTTGATTTACGGGGTCGTATATATGCGCGCAGCCGGATGATTTGGCAATTTATTTCGGGTAGAGCGATTTTTCTCTCTCATACGGAGCAGCACGTATGGTTACGTAGCGTAGCGTTTTTTTTCAGACTTTCGTCATCGTCGACTTTTGTCACGTTACGCAACCAAATGTGAATATCGATCGCGACTAGACTTCGTCGCGACCGCTACGAAAATAACAATTTTGCTACATGACATAATCTTTCAAAAGATGAAAAACCATTGCTCTCCCCTCTCTCCCTTTCTCTCTCTCTCTCTCTCTCTCTCTCTCTCTCTCTCGTGTCTCCCCTTATTAAACTATTTGCACCGCATTATAATTGCCACGCGCTTCTCTAATTACATACTTTGCGATACGCCGGGATGCGCTGAAGCGCGCCTGCAAACGCCTTTACTACACCAAACGTTAATCACCGAACAACCGGTTGTGCCGATAAATAATAACGTATAGGCGCTAAATGAAAGTAAATGTGCTCTATAAATCTACGTGTCACGAACCTGATCATCTGTAGTTAGGGACTCTTCCTCACCCAATTGCTCACGACGAAAGCTGCCGAATGCTGCCGTCGAATACACTCCTGCGAACGATTATGCGTTGTGCTTTACGAGCTTCCGGTTTCGTTACTACATCGTTTCACTACCGTTTGTTCAGAGCGGCGAATGGCTGAAGCTGAAAATACTCGAGGTGCAGCCAGAACTGACGAAGCTCGGTGCTTCCGTGAAGGAAGCCACGGAGCTGTCGAACGCGCACGACCAAGTACTACTCCGACTGCAGGTGAACTTAAACCTAAGCGAATTCCTTCGAATCGCGTCGCGTTAAGTAAATTCCTCGGAGCCGCTCTTTAATGAAAACTTCGCCGTTCACGCAGAACAAGCAAAGTCCGGTGGAGGAATTGCTGCGGCAGGCGGACCAATTGATTTCGACCCAGCGCCCGAGAGCAGAGGTGTACACGGCCATGGCGGAGACTCTGGGTCAAGCGTGGCGTGATGTGAACCAACTTTTGGAACGTCGCAAGGAGATACTCGAGCGAAACGTGTTATTTCAATGGTACGTGGTGGTGGTGGTGGTGGCGAGACGTAACTGGTTTTTCGCGATTGCCTCGCGATCATCTGACAAAATCAACAAACCTTCTTCGTAGCCGAGCGGCAGAGTGCAGGGAGACCATGGATGCGTTGGAAATGGCATGCAACGACACCCTGTTGCCGATCGAGATCGAAGCGGTGAAGAATTTCCTGTCGAAGATTCAGGATCTCCGCAAGGATATGCTGGAAGCGTTGATGGGCGCGTTACGGGAGGGCAAGATGCTGTTAGACGGGCTGAAGGAGTTGGCGAACGAGGGTACTTTGGACTCCAGACCCGACAGGATCAAGGACGAAGCGGAACATGGTATTATATCGGATGATGAACCGGCGAATCGCACACACATGTAGAGTAGACTTTTTTATTCTATACGAGTATATTTTCCAACCGTTCCATTCGAACGAGGTTGTCCCGATAACGGTGGTGCCACTTTGCTTCTCGAGCCGGAATACCGTTGGGAGAAACTTAGAATGTGCGTCTGTGTTTACACAGTAATATTTATTTCTGTTCCATTAGCTGTGCTGCGAGTCGAGAGGTGGCTGGAAGAGCTCCACGACAGAAGACGGCTGATCGAAGCGTCTTTCCGCAGCAGAAAGACCCAGTTGGAGCAATGTCTCGCTCTCGCATTGCTCGCGACCGATCTCCGCGACCTCGAGGAGGTTCTCAACGACCGAATCGCCGCTCTGGCTGGCAGTTGCGATCAACTGGGAGATTCCACGTCCAGTGCGGAGTTGCTCCTCTTCGAATTGAAGAAGCTGCAAGCCGAGGCGAAGGTAGAAAAATCGATCCGGCCGATGACGATCGGATCGCGGCGGATCCTCATCGCTCTTAATGTTTCACAGGAATTCCAAGACCGGTCCATCAAGATAACCAAGTCGACCGAACGATTAGTGTCATCGGGACACTTTGCTGGCGAACAAGCGACCGAACAGGCGTACGCGATTCTTGGCGCCGCCGCCGATTACGTCAACGACTTGGATCAGTACAACACGTTACTGAACAAGGCAATGACGTTTTTCGATTCTGCACGATCGGTGAGCGTCTTCAAGTTCTTTCCCAGTCGTTTGCGGAATCAACTAGAGTCGCGTTTATCAGCACAGCTTGTATCCCAACGTCGTGCGATATGCGTAGGCTCTCACAAAACTGGATCAACTGGAGATCCAACTGATGACGACGGAGCATCCTCCTTATTCCACGCAACTCGCGCGTTTTCACGCGCAGACAGTGGCTACGATAGAGGATGTGACCTCGAAGCCTTTGTCGGAAGGATACGCGCTGCTGGACATCACGGGAAGAGGAGCGCCCGGTGCCGAGGTCAGATGAATCGATTATTATTGTGATAACAATCGTCGTACGTGTTACTTTTCGCGTGTTGTTCAGGCAAGTTGTCAATAAGAGATTCGTCTCTGCTGCGTTCAGGGTGTGAAGAACACCGTGGAGGAGCTGGAGAGTCGCAAGGTCCGCTTGGTAGAACGGTGCACGGCTCACAAGGAGGAGAATCTGGAGATTTCGAGGATGCTCACGGTGTTTTTGGACAAACATGAAGCGCTACGGTCTTGGCTGAACAGTATCGCCAAGGCGTTCTTGCAGGGACACCAGGACATGGGCAGCGATCTAGCGATGGCGTGCGATTTCCGTCGGGTTCACTGTCAGCTGCTAACCGATCTGGAGAACAAGAGCGAGGAGGTGGATCACTTAGAACTGGAGATCCTCCCGATCATAGAGCGCCTGCAGGAGCCGCAGAAATACGAAGTGCGAGCGAAAATCAAAGATCTCGAGGATGCGTGGACGAAGACGAAGATCGCAGTGGCGAAGAGAATCGAATTGGGCACGACTTACATACAGTTTCACGAGATCGCCGAAGAACTCTCCAGTGAAATGGATTCTATCAACCACGAGTTGAAAACACGCGAAGACACGTTGAACGAAGGGAGAATCGACCAGCTGGAGAAAAGATGGGCGGCTCTGGAATCTCTCTACAAGAAACTGAACAATCGTGCCAAAGCGTTTCACGACGAAGCAGACAACGTAAGTTGCTCACGGTGTATTCTCGAATTTCAAGAACCTGATGTTATGTTACTTGGTTTGATTGGAAAAAAGAAATATATAACAAATACTTGCGCTTCGCTTTCGCTAGGTTGATGACTCTTACCTCGACACACCGAGAGCTTGCCTGTGCGTTCAGACCATTCTGGAGAAGTTCGCTAATCGTCAGTTAGTCGTGACAGAATCGTGGGAAAAGTGGCAAACCACCATCGAAATTGCAAGGCAGAGGCGAGTCGAGCACGAACGAAAAGTCGAGGAAAGCATAAAGGTGCGTTCTGTTCGTTTTTTCTCCCCTTGTATCGTCAACTTTTGTCATCTATCGCTTTGTTGTAGACATTAGCGTGGGTGTCCAAGTTCGAGACGAAGTTGTATCCAGTAATAACGTCACCATCCTCTAGAATAGCAGATATTCTGGAAAGTTTTAAGGGTGCAAGACTACAAGTCCTGCCTGAATTGAACAAAGCAGTTCACGAATTAGACGCTAGAATCAAAAGCATTCGGGCATTCGCCGATAGAGGTAATTCAAACATCTTTATTTATTACGTACGTCGCATATCTTAAGAGACCTGTGTATTCATTCACAAAAGTAATCAAATCAGGAGAAGCTAAGACAGCCGAGAAGATCTTAGGAAGACTCGTGCAGATGTACGATAAGATGAACGACGCTGCCAAAGATTACGAGATGCTGCTCGAGTCTCTCATCTCCATCTTCAAGAATCTCGAAGAAGTGAGGGATCTCCGAATGTTCTAAATATTATAAAAAAACTTACCCAACTTTGACACATTACTCGCTCGAAACCTACAAATCGTGCCTTGTTGTTCGTCGCATTTTCAGATCGATCACAAGATCGACCGAGCGAGGCGAGAAAACGAACGCGTGTCGAGCTTTACGAAGCTGATCGACGTGGACAGTGCATTGAACGAGCTCGACGCATCGAAAACATCAATCACGGAATCTCTGCTACGAGTGCGCACCAAATCCGAGGAGGTAATCGGTAACATCAGGCTGCAGGAGCCGGTGGAGTCAGCGGCGCAGGATATCGAGAAGCTGAGACACGCGATGAACTCCGTAACGCTCGAGCTTGAGTCGCTTCAAACGGAGATCTCAAGCCACCTCGAGATACACCGACGACTGTGCATCTTCAAAGAGGATATCGAGAGGATCGACTCGGATCTGCGTGATTTAAGCGGGCAACTAAAGACTATAGACGGAAGAATCGGCGAGAACTTGTCGGCGTCGAGAGCAACATTGGCTGCTTTCGAGCAGTTCGAGCAAACTATAACGGTAAGGTGATTTCGCGAAGACCTCGAGAAGGTTTCCTTGTTAACTGTTTGCGTTTTTGTGACAGATTTTGGAAGAGAGGATCGAAACGTTCGTGAAAAGAACGGAAGAGACGATCGTTCTTTTGACGCCGCAAGTGACGGACGACATCTCGTCGCTGCGAAGCAGGTGGGATCTCCTGAGGAAACGCGTCAGAGACACCAAGAAGCGGATCAATCTAAGTATCGATTATTTCCTGCTCTTGGAGGAAGCCAAACAGTGGTTCAGAGAGGGCAGTAAACTCCTGGTGATCGTCGCACGTAAGGCTACGACTGTGAAGATGCCCGAAGAAGCCGCCGACTTGCTGCGAGAAATTGACGCTTACATCAAGCCGGGCGAGGAGCAGCAGGAAAAGCGGATCGAGAAGCTGAAAGAATTGTCCACGTCAGTCTTTGGTAAGTCTTTGGACTTTATTCCTTTGAAAAGAGAGATGCCTGTTGAAGGGAAATAATCAAGTACTCGCGAAATTTCTTCGAGTGAATTTTACTTGGACTAAACGGAATGACAGTCGAGTCATTTAAATTTCGGCTTTCACTTTTCGCTCATACGGAGTCGCATCGCTTCACGTTTCAGGCACCGACAGACTTCCGCAATTCAACGAGGTGATAGTAGAGAATCGGCAGATGCTGGATTCCTTCGCAGTAGTCTCTTCCGAGCTGCGCACTCTGAGCCAGAATCTGCAGAACGCCGAAGACCTTCGAGAGAGGCTAAGGATCGAGAAACTGGAGGCCGACAAGAAGCTGCAAGCTGCCAAGATCGAGATGGCCGCAGCGGAAGCGGCCAAAGCGGAGGCGGAAAACGCGAGGAGACTCGCGGAGCAGCTGGCGGCCGAAACCCTGAACAAAGCGGCGATAGAGGCGAAGAGATTGAAGGAACAAGAACTGGAAGCGTTGAAGATCGTCACCCCTGTCTCCCACTCGGTCTCCGCTCAAACCGACGAGACTGTAGTTGAGGAAACCGTCACTTCCGCCGTGACAACGAAGGAGATTCACATACTTCAGAAGGTAGTAGACTGATCTCCAAATTTCTTTCACTTGCCGAGTTTCACTTGACTTGACTGCTCGTGTGGTTTTCTAATCGATGTTCACAGATGGAGATCGAGAAGAGCGATCCGGTTGTTCAGAAGGAAGCCAGCCCACCGAGGAAGCTTGTGTTGGCAGACGTTGAATCGTCTCTCGATGATACCAAGCACGTGAAAATGGAGGAAAGCTCGTTGGCTCCGGAATTCGCGGTTCCCCTGAGCGACGCGACGGTTCAAGAAGGCAAGGAGTTCAATTTCGAGTGTCACTTGGTCGGCCATCCCGTACCGGAGATAGTCTGGTACAAGGATGGAATTTCGATACTGAATAATCCAGACTACTTGACGACCTACATCCACGGAGTATGCACGTTGAAGATAGAGGAAACGTTTGCCGAGGATTCCGCCAAGTACACTTGCCGTGCGTTCAACATTCTCGGTTCGGCCGAAACGTCGGCCACTCTCACCGTGAAAGGTACCTCGTGAAAGGTCGATCGTCGTCATTGGGTGTGATAATCGAATTTCTAATTTGTTATCATAAATGTTCTTCAGAGACTGTCGCAGAGGAGCAGCCGAGAGCTCCCGTTTTCGTGAAGGAACTGCAACCCTCTACCGCGAGAGAAGGATCCTCCCATAGTTTAGAGTGCACCGTCGAGGGGAATCCTCTTCCAACGGTGCAGTGGTACAAGAACGACGTCAACATCGACAACTCGCCGGACTACGCCATCACTTTTAATAACGGCGAGGCTATTCTGAAGTTTGACGAAATTTTCTTGGAGGACAAGGCTCTCTACACCTGCAGAGCGACCAATCAATTGGGACAATCGTCCACTACCGCTTCCCTCGACGTGCAACGTAAGAGCGACGTTTTATAAAGTTGAATAAAGTGTGTGGACGCACAACGCGCGTTTCTCATTGTTTGCACGAATTTTCATTTCAGCGGCACAGATCATCACGAAGAAACCGTATTTTGTGGTGCCGCTGTCAAACGCCATGGCTAGGACGGGCCAGAGGGTGAAACTGGAGTGCGAAGTCGGTGGGAACCCGATGCCTGAATTAAACTGGACTCAGGATGAGAGGCCGATCGAAGAGACCAGATATCACAAAGTACAAAAGCCGAAATTGTTCCGCGTAGCAACAATTTTTACACAATTGCTTCGAATCGAATTTTTACTTACGTTTTAAATGAGATTTTATTTGATTTCTTCATTTCAAAGGAAGAATTTTTGATTTATTTAACGTATCACTTAACCGCAATTTTTCAAGATTCAAACAGAGGGAGCTCGTACGAGCTTGACCATCACGGAGGCATTCCCGAAGGATGCCGGATGTTACACGGTGACCGCCAGGAACGACGCTGGAGAGGCCTCTGTGTCCTGCACCGTTTCTGTGAAGGGACGATTGCCTCACGAAACCGGCGACTCCGAGTTGGTTTGCAGTGACATGGAACCGATAGTACCAAAGTTTCAATTACCTTTGCGCGATCTGAAGATCCAAGAAGGACGCTCAGCCAGATTGGACTGCGTGATCGTGGGTCAGCCTGAACCGGAGGTAAATGTCAGTTGCAGAAGCTTCGCTGAGCTTTTCAACCAGCAGCTCCTTTTGCACGACCAATGTTGCAATTTCGCAGGTGATCTGGTATCACGACGAGCAACCGGTGAAGGAATCGTCGGACTTTCAGTTGCTCTTTCAAGGCGACAGATGCTCCTTGGTCATTCACGAGGCTTTCCTGGACGACGCCGGCACATACAAAGTAGTCGCCATTAATTCTGGCGGCGAAGCTTCTAGTCAGTGCACATTAACAGTCACACGTACGTTCAACCTACTTTCTCGAGATAGACGAGACAGTGGAAAATTAGTAAACTTCATACTTTATATTTACATGATTGTCTCTTCGTTGCTCACAGCGGTATCTCATCCGGACGTAACCGATCGAGCACAGGAAGGAGAAGAGACTCTCATAAGTGGTGCCGCCCCGAAGTTTGTCAGACTTCCGACGGATTTGCTGGTCGCTGAGGGCGAGGACGCGGTTTTCGAGTGTGCCGTGACCGGAGAACCCAAACCCGATTTGAGGTGGTACTCGACGGACGATGGCGAAGTCATTCACGACGGGAGGATAATGGTGAGTATATTATTTGACATAAAATACACTTCACCCCATGTTGAAACGATTGAAACAAGTGACTTAATACCTTACTTAATTGCTGCAGATCAAGGAGAAGGATGATGGAACGAGGATCTTGAAAATTTCGTCAACGAAGCCGGAAGATAAGGGCAATTACGTGGCAAAGGCCATGAATATCCACGGCGAGGCGAAAGCTTTCGCCAGATTGGTCGTGAGGTCGCTTGGTGATTTTAAGAGGAACGAAGAGTTCGTCCAAATGGAGGAAAAGCTGATTCGACCAACGTTCAAGGAAGTGTTCGGAGACAGGAGAGTGCCCGAGGGGGTTTCTACGAAATTCGAGTGCATCGTCAGTGGAAAACCTTCCCCTAAGGTGAATCATACGTAAAAGAAGAAATTGCCAAAAATCGTACCGCTCATTAAGCCGTGATATATATATGTAAGGTCTTGTTGACCCAAAAGCTACGAATTTTGCTCATCTGCGAATTTTCAGCGCTCTTGTTGCAATGATCGTCGCGATAAAAAGAACTAATAAACGCGCGTCTCTTGAGGATCCGCGAGCGGGATCGTCATTCGAGTAGACCTCATAAACGTCGCGAAACGTAACGCTTGGAAAATTTGCGTGGGCCACGTAAACAACGTCTAGATGAGAGGTTGGCCGGCCTGACAGGAGGTAACGGGGCAAGAGTAATTTCGTGCCCGACGAGTTATATTTAAACGCGAACAATATACCTCATGTGAAAAGCCGCGATTGCAGTCGCGTCGCGTAGCATAAAGTGAAACTGTCGGCGCGCTGCGAATCGGCGCCTGATCGCACAGGTATTCGCGTAGCGCATTGTCGTTTCGCGAAATTCGCAATTTCGGCGAGGTCAAAATCGACACGCGTTTCGACGGGCGTTTGTACTCGCGCGCATGTGTGTCCCTCTCTCGATCCGATCGCGTCGACGGCGAATTTCATTAGCGAAGTTTTTCCCTTGCAGATCCAGTGGCTGTTTAATGATCGGCCGGTACATGGGAAGGACTTCCTCGTGTCCGTCAGCGGAGATCGACAGGTTCTGACGATTCCCGAGGTCGGCGATGCGCACATCGGCACGATCACCTGCATAGCGGAGAACGCGGCTGGCAGAGCGGTTTGCAGCGCTCGAGTGGAAATTGGTGAGTCTCGCCTCGCCTCGCCTCGCCTCGCCTCGCCTCGCCTCGCGTTTCATTCGTTGCGCTTCTGCAAATTCTGTATGAATTCTCTGTGAATTGAGAATTCATTAATTAACGCTCTCAGGTTGCTGTTCCTTCTGTGCTTCTGTGCATGGTCCCTTTGCGTGATCCATTGATCGTCGCGATTACGATGGGGAATAATATCGGAGAGAGAATAACGTTGGCCCGAGTTATTAATACTCGCATTAGCCAATCGAACGCGGCTCATTCGAGATTCCCGGTCGTACGAGCGACAGATAAAATTAACCGTTTAATGAGCGAAAAGACAGCCTCGTAGGTAGATAAAAGACGTCGCATTGACGGCCGTGTCGCACGTCCTGTGAAATCCGATAGCACCATTTTTACCTCGAACGTGAGGCACCCCGGTACAGGCTCGAATATTTTCGCTCTGATATTATTATTATGCATAGTTGCCGACCACCGCTTTCGCGTATTGCGTTTAGAGGGTGACCTAAATATATGGATTTACAGCGCCAAGCTCGATCGCGAGCTCCATCGTGCGACATATGTACGCGAATCGCGGAATATGAGAGCTGGAGTCACATTTCGCGAAGGCAGAGATTTAAGAATACTTCAAAGACCTCGCGAGTCATTCTTCTCTTTACTTATCTCTCTTTCCCTCATCGCATACACGCGAGAAACCATGTTATTTTTGTCAGTACGGATACTCGGTCGCACAGTCGCTTGGTCCGGAGTCGCTAACTCGGCGAATACGAGTGCGTTCTCGTCAAGACGACGTCGCTTCTGCCGATATCCGCTCCAGCGAGTATAATTTTCGACACATATTATCTCGTCTCGATAATTCGCTAAATCGCCAGTGAAGTGAATTCAGCTGTTAGACACGCTAGGAGATTCATTCGATTCATTGACACAGAATCAAATTATTTTACATTCGATCGACTGTTTTTTTTTTATTTATAGGTCTCTAGAAATTTCTCGAACGATCACGATGTGGCTCGATTTTTATTCAATTATTTCGTCCTCTGGATTAATCAATTTTTCTCTAATTAAAAAATGACACGGATGACAAAAGAGCAGGTCCGTGAGAAAGTTATAAAGCGCTACCATTGCTACCATCATACACCATGCGTGCAATGTGCACTTATCGTTGAAGAGTACGAAATGACAACGATAAATTGGGACGATGGGACTTGGGTTATATATTGCAGCCGAGTGCTCGATTCACCTATTACTAGGTGAACGTTACTATTTCTGTCGCGGATCGTAGGCAAAGTATTTCGATACTTCGCTGGGAGCATCTCGACTGTACGCTTGGTACACTCCAGAATTCTTTCTATTCGATCAGAAATTAATCAAGCTCGCGTTATTACGTTTGACTGAGATAAAATCTGACTCTGCGCAATCACGTGAAAATAATTCGGTCCGGTAATAATATCGCAGCAATAATATAACGTTAACAAGAGACACGTGCAGATTACGATTATAATTAGAATAATAATGCTGGTGTTTTCTCAACGAATGTAACGTAAACGTGTCGCTTTCGTAAATTGTGGAATTGCACATTCGTCAAAAAGTTACACGTGTTTCTTCTTAGCTGCGCGAAACCGAGAAACGTGATCGCTCCGTCGTCGTCGTCGTCGTCGTCGTCGTCGTCAAGTTTTATTCGGAGCTGGATGAACTTTTAGATTCCGAGTCGGTGAAACAAGGTGCGCACGAAGTCGAGAGATTGCTCGAGCTGGTTCCAAGTCCTCCCGCGGAAATCATGCATCCCGCGAGCAGCAGCGAGAAACACTTCTCGAGCGAGAAGACGTATCACGAGGGCGGCACCGAGAGTCAAGTGCAGACCAAGATGTCATCGAGTGTCACGCATTCCTCGACGACATCCACGAAGAAGGAATTCGTGTCGTCCAGCATGACCTCCAGCTTATCGCAATCTGGACAGGAACCGAGCAGCGTTTGCACGAAAACAACTGTACAAAGTTCGGAGCGATCGGTCTCGGAAAATGGTGCACCACCTGTCGTGCAGGTAAGTACACGAAATACGTCTGTATTATCGCCTCGCGAAGGTAGCGATTCTCTCTTATCGCGTTCATTGTAATGAAAATATTCGCGACACGCGTGCATCAACACAGCATGGGACGTTCGCTCGTCAATTAAAAAAATATCCTTTGTCAGTCTCACAAGATCGAGGAGTATGAGAAAATCGTGCAGGAGCAGCCCGGCGAGATGCGGCAGGAGAAAACTGTTGTCGTGTCGGAGGAAACGGGTGGCATCAAGTCCGACGTAAAGATGAGCCAAGTGCAGAAACCATCCAGGAAGCCGATAGCACCCAGATTCGTCTCGCCGATCACGGGGATGATCGTCGATCAAGGAACGGATGTGGTTCTTGAGGGCATCATCGACGGTGAGCGACGGTCTTTATTTTGTCAGCTTGACTGACAAAATTCCAGTTTCTCCAAAACGATGTTTTCTCTCTCTCGTTTCTTCTTCGCAACGTTGTCGATGCGTGTTGCAAACGAGCGGTCTGCTTCAGGTTTCCCGCAACCGTCGATCTCGTGGTCGAAGAATGGCCAAGAGCTGACGTCGAAGGACGGCGCGACGATCAGTTACGCTCACAATCATGTGAGATTGGAGCTAAGGAATGTCAACGTGAAGGATGCGGGACGTTACACCTGCACGGTGAGCAACGACATCGGGAGCGCCAGCAGCACGGCCGACCTCGTCGTCAAGAGTGAGTGCAGACACACGCGTGCAGAAAGTCAAATGCGGGATTTGCGACACGCGACACTGCTGATCGTTGGCGCTTGTAATTTTAGAAACGATATTCCCGCCGGTCTTCGGCAAGCGGCTCAAAGCACAAGTGGTGAAGAAGGGAGATCGCGTTATAATGGAAGTAGAAATCACCGGTATACCTGAGCCGACGGTCACCTGGTACAAGAACGACATGCCGATCAATAAACGACCACCGGAACTGAGGATCACGCAACAAGGAAACTGCTACACGTTGCTCATAGACAAAGGTATGGCTATCGCGTGGTTAAGTAGCTTCGAACATTCTTATCCGCTAATCTCCCTGTTTTTTCTTCGCTGATAACAGTTTTTAATATTTTGCTAATTTTCCCACTTCACACACTTCACACACACACACACACACACACACACACACACACACACACAGTTTGTGAAGAAGATGCCGGCAAATACATGGTACGAGCAACCAACGCCGGTGGCGAGGCGCAGAGCATCGCTGACGTCGCGGTTTTCGAGCCAAAGCCCGATACTATGGTCGAGGTGCATAAGACTGTCATCTACGAAAATGTCCAGGATAAAAGCGTCGTTCAGGTAAGTAATTTTCTCTCCTCACGATTTCTCTCAAATGGGAAAGTATACCGAATCCGTTGTTCAGGAGGATTTTTCATTTATTCTCCTCGAGATCAATTTATAATATTATTTGTAGCGTAAAGAGATACGATGGTGACATGTTTAGATACGATCAATTCTTTTAAAATTATGTATGCGCACTTGCGCTTAGTCCGAGGGGAAGAGAGACGAGATATTATCGGGCACTTTGACGAGCGAACGGACACCGACGATGATGATCCAGCCGAGCACGTTATTCAAGCCAACTTACGATGCAACGTCAGCAATAACTGCTATCGACATCGTGCAGAAGATCGATAAGCCGGAGATGAAGAGCAGCAAGTCGGAGACGATTTCCTCCATAATCGAGTCCCACGAATCTGAGACCAAATCGGAGCAGAAGTTCCACATGAAACTGGAACACAAAATTCCACCAATCGTGGAATCCAAGATTCAAACCGAGCAAATGATCACGATGAAAGAGATCGGCCATGACATAAGAGACATCGCGGAGCCGTTGATGAAACTGGATGACAAGTCAATGATCGAGAATGAAAATATCGAGACCTCCACAATCGCGAAGAAAGACGCACTGAGCTACTTCGAGTCCATTACTAAGGAAAGCGACGTGACGCCAAAAGGACCGAAGGGGATGATCAAGCTGACGGAAGATGGCCAGGTTCAAGAAGCGAAAGTCGGGGAACTGATGAAAAGTTACGAGCGGGCAGCGACTTCTTACGAAGTGAAGAAGCCGGAGCCGAAGCCGTCGGACTTCCAAACCACGAAGAAGGCAGTCCAGGACATGTTTACGAGGTTGGAGCAAGGCCCGTCGCCTCGCGGCGTGGACAACAAGTTGTTCGACTTCCCGTATGAGACTCCAAAGCTACCGGCACCGGTGGAGATAAAGAAGACGATTATGGAGGACACGATGGAGGTAACTCGCGACTCCATGTCGCAGCTGCAGATTCAGACGGAGAGCTCCGGGACGATGATGAAGAGTTTCAACTTGGTGCCGGAACCGCCTCCCGAGATCTGTTACATGCCGAAGGCAGATGAGCCTAAAAAAAAACGACCCGAGGTGTTCGTCAAGGCGAGGCAGCTTCAGGAGTCTTTTGACAAGACCCTGTCGCCGGTAGAGGCTCCGATCGGTGGTGTGAAGATATTCCCTACTCCCCCAACTCCCAAAGCACCAGAACCCGCCAAAGTAATCACTACCCCCGCATTTACGATACCTCCCCCGTTTGAGCTGGAGAAGAAAGAAACGTTCGAGGAGACGTGCATGAAAAAGGACACGTACGAGAAGAAGGAGAGCAAATCGTTCAAGGAAGAGAAAATGGAACCGTGGAGATACGCGTCGACGTCCGTCTTGAGTACTTCTCCCATCAGACCGTGGTCTTCGTCGTCGGACGTGGAGACCAAGTCGCACGTTTCCACGGACCTGTCGGAATACAGATGTCATTCGGCCGCCTCGAGCCACCAGGAGACGGTGAGGTCGACCTCGCCGAAGCCGTCCGCGGACGGTCTGGCTATGGAGAAGTCGTGGGCAAAGAAGCACGCAGATTCAAACAGGAAGTCGTGGCCACCTCAGGTCGAAAGCGCGCCAAAGCGCGAGTGGAATATTCCCGTGGACGAGTACAAGAGCAGCACGAGAGAGTTCAAGCAGGAGGTCGAAGAGACGCCGCATGGTGGAATGAAGAAGACCAGCACGGAGTCGTCGGCCAGTGTGGAGAAGCGCTCGTGGAGCAGCAAGGAAGAGTTCACGGAGAAGATGTCTGAAGCACCTCCGCCCGTGTCCAAGCTCGGTCCGATTATCTATAACGCCGAGACCATCAAGGTCGACCATACGGTGAACACCATGCAAGAGAAGTCTTTCTTCGAGAAACGCATCAGCGAGTGCAACTTGGAGAAGGCGGAGACGACGCGCAAGTCCGAGGAGCTGAGTACGCGACGTTGGACACACAGCGAGGACCTCAAGGCACCCAGCTTGGTGAAGAAAATCGAACCGGTTGTGAAGCCGCTCACGACATCACGCTACCTTACAGAGTCGGGAACAGCGTCGCTCATCCTCGAGCCAGGATCACCGCCGGAGATTGGGTACATCCCGCCGCCCGTCGCGAAAGAGCAGGTCGTATCGGAGCGTGTCGTGGAGACGAAGAGAGAGGCAGCACCGGTGCTGCCGCCGAAAGATGTGCGCATTACACCACCTCCCTTACCGTCTAAGAAGCCCACCCCCAGGGTCTCGACGCCAACCCCAACGAAATTTATCAAAGCTTCCTTCAGCCACGAGAGCGATTATGAGTCTGATCTTGACGGTCATCCGAAGGCGAAGTGGAGACCCTACGAGAGCGATAACGAGGAGCCGCATTATCGAAAAGTCAAGGCGCCCGTTCCGAAACAACCGAGGCCAAGGTCCACCGAGCCCGAGCCACTCCCACCATCGAGGTTCGAGACGCCGGTGACGCAATTTGCCGGGCCATCCAGGCCGCTCGTGGTTGCTGACTCTGTCGAGAAGACGACGAAGAAAACGACATTCAAGCGATACGAGAAGGAATCCAAACAGCAACAGCAACAACAACTGCAGACTCCAATAGCCATAAAACCTGGCTCTCCGCCGATTTACGTGCAACCGGTGCGAGTCAAGAGTCCCGCACCGAAATCACCTCCTGCGAAGAAGCCGGACTCACCGAAGTTCAAGACAAAGATCTTCCAACAAGAGAGCGGCTACATGGCGGACACTGACGAGCCGTTCCAGCAGAAGGTCTCCAGCATGGTGACGCAGAAGAGCTTCGGCAAGCGCGACAGTTCCTCGATGACGGTTCACACGGAGAGCCGTACCTCCAGCACGGACAGTAGAACAAAGTTCTTTGAGAGCCACAGTTACAAGAGCGATCTGCGAAAAGAGGAACCTGCCGTCGTGTTGTCGCCGCCGACGATTTGTAGCGCCCCGGCGGCTCCCATGGTCGTTCAGCAGCAACGCAGCTCGCTCGAGAGAAGCTACGCCTCGTCGACCAGCACCGGTCTGCGTAGATTCGAGTCCGTGAAGGTTCGAGGCTTGCTGCGTGTTCCCGTGTGTCGCTTCGAGTGTTCCGACTTCCTCGTTTCCCCCTTTTCCCTCTTCTTCGTCACGCTTGCTCACACGAAATTAATCAATGCGCTGTACACCGACAAAGCGATGTAGACCGTAGATCTTAGTAGGAGTGCGTTAACAAGGGGGGGGGAGATATAGACTTAGAGAACTTTGTATGCCGCACACTTGTGTGTCTCTCTTATGGTGTCTCATGAACGGAAATTTTACCGAGAGTCCTTGCTTGCAGGAAACAGGGCAGTTGCACAGAAAACTAGAGCCAACGGAGAAGATTCTGTCAATCTCTCCGAGTCCTTCGAGGTTTGTGAAGGGTGATTTCCGTGAGAGCGACTACGAGAGCGACTATGACGGCAGATCTGCAGCGTCGCTCACGAGAACGTTGCAGACTGGTTCAGGTATCGTGCTACTTCCTTGGATTTATACTTTTACTCGGATTTATACTTTTTACAGCTACCGTGTTCTTGTAAATATGTAAATAATATGCGAAATAGCGATTGACAAGCGCTAACGCGTATATGCGTACGATACGATTGCCGCGCAATCGCTACGTCATAAATCGATCAGTCCCATTGTTAATTTCACGAAAGGAGAAGAAACCCATCTCATCACGGAGAGTGACTCTCAAAAGATTGGACTCTCAATTCGATTTCGCTTCCAATTGTACTTTTAAGCGCATGTTGTCCTCCTGGCAAGTCTCACACTTAATACGAGTTCTCCTACACTTTCGCTTTGAGTGCTTCCTCTTCTTTCTGCAGTCACATCCTCAGGATAATTGTCGAGCTTCGTTCATTAGCTTCGTTCCTCTTTCAATGTACACACGTTTACTCCTGCACGACATACGGATGCGCTTTCTACGTGGTATGTCTTCTCGCGTTGTGAATATCGGGGTGTCATCGTCCCTTCTCTGAGACGCCATCTTCGCGTTCAGCTCTTTCCTCGAGTTGGCGGGATCGCTTTGGCTCGACTAGATCACCCGAACAAACGTTTTCTACGTAGGCAAACCGACGGAGCCGAGCGCGCCGGCTCCGCTGCACGAGAAGACTCACGATCGGGAGATTAAAACTTCCGTGAAACGAGACTCGCATCGCGAACAGCACACGGCGGTTACACCGACCAAGCCGAAGACGGTCCTTCTGCCCGGCTCTCCGCCGGAGCTCGCGTACGCGCCACCTCAGCTGCACCAGCAGCAATATTACGAGACGCACACTAGCGCGCCGTACACCAAAGCGATCGGCACCGAGACGAAGAAGACGGTGAGGATGGACGAGTCGACCGAGAACGCCAGGAGAATCGTCACCGTCGAGCAAACCAGCCGGGTCATCAAGTTCGGCGACACCGGCTTCGACGCGCACGTCGCAGCGGAAGCGGCTTGTCAGAAGCCGCAGGCGCATTATCGCGTGCCAACGCCGAGGAAATTCGTGCAGGGTCAATTCCGCGAGTCCGACTACGAGAGCGACGTGGACTCCAACAGGATCCGGCCAAAGTGGGCGCCGGCCGACAGCGACACGGAAGACCCGTGTTACCGAAGAGTGCAGCCACCGACGGCGAAGAGGTCATCGAGCGCGCCGGCCAGACGTGTGCACGTCGCGTCGCCGATGGAGTTTGACGTCGGACCTGTGACGACGCAACTGCGCCGGGAAGAGATGGACAAGAAGATCGACCCGCAACAACGTACGACCTTCAGCAAGTCTGATGGCATCTTACAGCCCGGCTTGCCGCCCGAGTACGGATTCGTCTCGAGGAGCGACGTGAAGAAGGCAGCGGACCGTAAGAACAACACCCATGTCTCGTGATGCTTTGCGGAATGCATTAACGACGGTAGAAACTGCATGGTGCGGACGTACTTTCGCTCGCGACGGACAGCGACGACAGCGGACGACGGTAGACGACAGTGGACGACAGCGGACGAATAACTATCGCTTCTGCGGATTTTGCTCGATCGGTTTGGACTCGCGCGTGTAGATCGGCGATCGGACTAGTAGTGCGCTGTTCCGCTAATGCAGCTTGCTCGCTACGTTGCGATAGGTGGATTGACGCTTGTTCCAGAATGTTCATCGCGCCGGCGATAATTGAGCTGCTGAAATCATTCTCATTCTTAGAGAATTTCTCCGTTTCTTTGTAGAGAAGTAGAACCAAGCTTTGGATCAGGCAAGGTTTCCGTCGCATTGTGGAATTACGCTGAATCACACTCGCCGCAAATTTTCGCTTTGTATTTCCACCTGATCGAACGCTGCGATCATCACCCGATCGGCAATCGTTTCTAAATTCCTCCGACATTTTTCGTTTCGCAAGCTGCTCGCTTCAACTCTTTTTCTCGAGTCCGTAGCTTCTTTGTGTTCGTTTGGGGTGGAGGTGACCGGACTGTCGTCCCGCGTAATGCAAAGATCTGAAACACCCGCAGACATCGCATCGCGTCACATGAGCGACATGACGAGCAGCTTCAAATCGAAAACCGAGAAATTCGTCAGCGATATCCAGTCAGACTTGAGGCAGGGTAAGCCGATACTGAAGCAACCCGCCGACACGAGAGTGACGACCGACAGCGACGAGCCGAGAACTTACAGAGAAGAGTCGCGAGTCTCCGAGCACGGTAACCAGCAACATACCTATTACCTTATCTTCCTGCCTGTCTAAACGTAAGAAAGTCACACATGAGAATAAAAGCATAGGTAAATTGGCGCGAGATAAGTAACGCATGTAACGCTCATTGGCGTAAACAGGAACGAAACATATCGATCCGGACACTGGACTGATATACTTCAAGTACGACTTCGGCTATGAATTCGGCATCGTTTTGCCCGGCGAGGGCAAGAGGACGGTCGAGAGCAGCAAGAAAAGCATCCAAGGCCAGAGACGCGCCAGCGACATAGAAGTACCCATAGTCCACGAGTTCACCGAGCGAAAAGCGAACGGTTTCGCGAAGAAGGGCGCGTTCCCGAGCCGCCAGAGCAAGCCCGCGAGCAAATTCGGGAACTCGAAGAGCGTCAAGTGGGAGCCGACTTCGGAGAGCGAGTTCTCCGAGGCCGAAGACGCGAGGAACTTGAAGAAGAAGCAAACGGCCGGCGAGAGCGTCGTGGATAGCTCGATGACTCCTCCGAGCCTCGTCATACCTTGCTCACCCTCCAAGTGGGATCGCATAACGCCCAGCCCGCTTTCTCTCAGTCCGAGCTTGCCGAGCCTCTCTCCGAGATACAGTAGCGCCACTGGACCACCCAGCAACGTAGACTCCGCAGGTACACGCACCTGCCGACGCTGAGAACGTGCTTTACCCTCGAGCAGTTTTACTTCGATTATCCTCGAGCTCTTGTATGCTCGCTTGGCTACGGTCGCACTGACCGCTCGTTCCTGTTTACTCTACTCTGTTGTTATTTTCTCTCGCTGATCTCGAATAGATAGTCACTTACACCGTACTGAGACTGTATTCTCTTTTCTCCCTCCCCGCTCGGATTCTTCTCGAGGTGTGCTGTCTCGATGGCCCACACGCTTATCATTCTTCTTCGCCTACTAACATGTATTTCTTCAGCCCCTTAACAATTCATTACTTGCGGACTACTTGTGCACGAGTATCGTCCTTCCGCGCTCGTATCATCCGCGTAACAGCCGCGCAATATCAGCTACCTTATCGAACATCGTAGGTTCACCATGGCCGACGAGCAACGGCGTGCCATCGAGCAAGGAGGTGATTCAGCCGTACCTCGAAATTTTGCCAAAAAAGGCTCCCACCTTCATCACGGTAATGTCGAGAACTTTTCAATAGTATTTGTTGTTGTGGAGTCAATGACACACACCAGCGAATTCACTGTGGCGATTGTGAACTCTAGCCTCTGAAAGATATCGCGGTAGTAAGCGGGCAACCGGCTAGATTCGAGTGCATCGTACAGGCTGAACCGCAGCCCAATATCCTCTGGTCGAAGGACCACAGGATCGTCGAGAATTCTGCGAGCCACGACATCCAGTACAGGAATGGCGTTTGTCGTCTCACCATACTGAGAGCTTTCCCAGGTATGACTGTGCTTGTTTTCCTCCTCATTTAACAGCTACTACAAGCTTTGATAATTGCCTCATTGCACATCGAGTCATTTTTGCATGTCTACATGCAATTCATTTCTTCGCGCAGATGACGCCGGGACCTACGCGTGCACGGCAACGAATAGTCTGGGTTCCACCGTAACTTCGGCCAACTTGGAGGTTCCAGGTAACAGACGATCTATATACGCTCCTATTTCGTAAAGATCGAGCGAGATGAAAGAAGAAATCGATCGAGCGGTCGATAAACGCGAAGGTGGTGGAGAATTCGATTGTTAACCTCGATCTGTCGGTGTGCCGCGTCGTTTCGTATCGCTTGAGTTTAATTTAAGTCAGCCGCAAATTAATCAGAAGTGAAGGTAATAACGACGCCCAAGACGTGTTCCGTGCAGCAAGAAAGTGTTTTGGCAAACACACTTGACAACGACGACGACGACGACGACGACGACGACGACGACGAACGAACATGACTCGATGGTAAGAGGTTTCCTCTAGTTTGCTTCTGGTTGGGGATGGTCGGCAATGTATCGCTATATGAAGGGACGAAAATCGGTAGAGCTACTAATCGACAGAGCGACAGCAGACTAGCTCTGTCCAAATATGCACAATCGTTTCTCTTGCATTTCGCATGAATGTACGAAGCAATGTTGCGGTGGACAGAGCGGTGGACCGAGCTAGTCGACGGTGAGCTGGTGGCTGGTGGCCAACGGAAAAGCAAAGTGCGACAGCTAAGAGAGAACGCTTCATTGAACAGCATATAGAATATCTCGATCGTGTTGGAGGAGTTTTAAGAGAAGCTTCTGATTCTACGCGCATACTATACTCTTCATCTCTCGTCTATGCCTACGTCTTTCTCTCTCTCTCTCTCTCTCTCTCTCTCTCTCTCTCTCTCTCTCTCTCTCTCTCTCTCTCGCTCGCTCGCTCGCCTTGTTCCAACTTTCTATTCTTCTCTGTCTTCGCTAAAATATATTCAAGACTTCCCCCTAAATATATATCAAACGTTCCTTGCCGGAATTGCCGGAAGCAAGAGTTGCAGTACTCCCCTTTTTTTCTTTTTTTTTTTGAATCTCTATTGAGGTTGACTATGACTGAAAGTGAAACATCCGGTAGAATAGGAGATGATGAAAGAAACCTTTTTCCTATATATATCTTGAACCAAAGATGGATATTACTTTACATCGCTTTACTTTTACAAGTCGTGACGTATCGGTGGAACGTAGTTATATTATTTAAAAACGAGCTATAAGATTATTATTTATTAACAAATATCGAATAGAGGTATGCAATAGAGGTATACCCGATCGCCCCGGATGCGGCTGCGCTTTTCACTCGGTAGCTTGATAAATTTCCACGTTAATTCGTCTTCGCTTAGAACACGAGGGATCGATGTTTTATAGCTGTAAACGGAATGTGGGACTTTATCACATGGGGGCATGTATCGCTTCGCAACAAATTGTCGTGCCATTAACTCCTTGTGTCTGATAGCCGACGGAGACAAATCGCGCATTCGGAAGTACGAAAAAGGTGGCACAGCCACAGAAAATAAGCACTTTTCAAGCAATTTCGTAAGAAGGTACCACGCGCAAATTCTACAAGTTGCAGTCGAATAATCTTCAATATCAAGATAAAAAAGAAAAATAGAAACAAAGATCGAGAGGTATCGCTTTCGTAGTAGAATTTCGTAGCAAAACGTGTGTATTTCAAGTCGCAAGGAGTTAACTGCAATTCATCAATGTCGCTGTTTACGTATGGTCAGCAATACTTATATACTATGTAAATAAATGTGTGCTTCCTCTACAATATAAACATGGGCAATGGTGTAACAAATTATTTCATGTTCTCTCGCCTGTACTCCATCTCCCCTTTCTCTATTCTGCCTCTCGTAACTGGCTTTTGGCGTTGACAGGGCGATACGGCAGCATCGTCGATATCTCGGATAGGCATGTAACGTAACTCGCAATGTAACCAACGTCAGCAGCGCGAAAGTGTGCAAAAACGTGTTACATTTTGTATAAATTTCTTTCGTGCGAGGATTGATGAATTTTCCCGTGTGTTAAAATTAAACAGACAACAACGTAGCGATCAAAATGTTAACTCGATATCCGAAAAATACAAAAGCACATGAGTTTTGTGTCGTAAGAATTCAACGGCTCTTAGAAATGATCAGACTCGACTCGTCTCTTGCATGAGGAACGGATGATCCGGTATGAAAATAGATAGTAAAGTAATCTCGCGGAATGCGGAGGAAAATGTGAGTCGACGATCCAAAAATACACGGAAGAAAAACAAGCGACCGTATTTGCAGGAGAGCTCTATAATCTATAATTTTCTCCGCGATCCAATCGCGCGCGGATAATAACGTGCGGAGTAGGCGCTGATTGTCACGTTACATTCACCAAACAGTATCGCTGTCATTACCGTTTAATTACAGAGGTCGCACCATCACAGGCGCATGGCGATCAGCGCGATAAGCAGGAGAGCGCGGCCGAATGGTTTCCGGAGGATTCGCCAAAATACGTAGCGTTAAGAGACTTATTTCTGTCGCAAGACAAGGACGTTAAACCCGCTCGGACAAATTGCGAGCAACCGCATGAGTCCTTTTATGATTTCGGATTGACCGTAGAAGATGACAGGTAGTTGTGCCTTCATGTAATTCGTTCACGAGAACTCAATGAGCGATCTCTGTTGTCGTCATCTCATCAAACTATCATCGAATTACACGACAGTTTCATAGAGAGGGGCAACGGCGAGAGAACGACGAGCGAGCTCGACACGATGAAGGAGACAAATTTCGTTGGGCGTGAATTAGGTAGCGTCGGCACGAGAAACGGAGCCTCTCGCAACGACGACGGTGATTTACGTTTGGACGTGAAACCGCCATCGCGCAGTCATGATGTGCCGCGTAACGAGGAAATCGGTGGGTATCAGAGATCATTTTCTTCTTTGCGTCAACCGCGAATGAAAAGTGTGTAGCTCTGAAAAGAAATACACGAAACTTTATAGGCGAGGCATACGTGCGCTCCTCGGCTGTGTCTAGAGTTCTTAATGACGATAATTGCTCATTGTAGTCACTCGAAATAGAATTTTTGGCGATCGAGTGTGCGAGACTTCTCATCGCTCTCGGCGACACGTACAAAACACTCACTTCGTTATTTGAATCATAGAGAGGAACAGAAAGGAGGGGAGGGGGGTGCGAAGGCCCCTCGTCATCTCACCCGAAATTATTTCTCGGGGAATCTGAAAATAGATGAGTCGCTATGCGGCATCTTGGACGAAACGCGGTGATTCACGCGTGACCCACCTTCTTCCTCGCGATGATCTTACCGATGTTCTCAGCGCGAACACGAACCGAGGGAGGTCTGCCTCCTTCCCTTTGCGCTCTCATCGTCATCGTTTTACGCTCGCAGACACTTTGCATCGGCACCGACGATTCGTGACGAGGATGCGTATACGCGCGGCGCATACGCATATCACACACACACACACACACACACACAATGTACACAACTGATTCATATCAATTAATTGCGATCTCAGGTGTACATTACGACTGAAGACGCGTTTCGTTTGTGTGCGCACACCTTGCTCGAGCAGCATACAAGTCTCACGATTGATGCGTGTTTCGCTCCGATTCGTCGGTGTATAAAATGCTAACGGTTAGATAGGATCGTTTCCATTGGATTCTGCATGCGCAGAACCAACCCGCGCTTGATCTGGGAGTATGCTTCGAGTGCTTTCGAGAGATCCGCGAAAGTACTCGCGTTCGCGTGGAAGCTGAAACGGATCAGTCCCGATCGGGATCCCACAAGAGGGCTTTCCGCTTCACAATGTGCGCCAAATGCTATTGAGAGAGCCTCTCGAAGAGAGAGAGAGAGAGAGAGAGAGTGCAAGTCGTCAGTTATTATAAGATGATCCCCCGCGTTGTTGTTAGCCGCACTGATAGGAGTGCATATACGCTTTTAGAATATGGTGCGCAACGGCTGGGCGGCTCAAATTTATGAACGCGGTGCGCTCTCGGAGTCGCAAGGGTTGCTCCCGCGGCTAAACTTGGCCGAGCCCACGCACGTATGCAACAACGGTGTTTTTTTCTCTTTTACCGCCAAACTGCTCGGAGAAAGAGAGAATAAACGTGAGAAACGAATCGAATGGAGCGAGTCCGGCCGTGAAACTAAAGACCGAGGTAAAGGGAGAGACGGAGGATGACAGAGAGAGAGAGAGAGAGAAAGAGAGGAGAGGAAGATTAAGAAAATAGGAGGGCGGCTCGCTCTGCGCCGAAATAAACACACGAAACCGTGCTCGCGCACATTGCAAAAAGAAGGGAAAAACGAGAGGAAAATCTGGAGGTTTATGGATATATTCGACGAAGAGTAGAAACGGCCGAGAGGCGCGAGGAAGGTAAAGAAAAGAGAAAGGCAGAGAAATGTACCCACCGTGTGCATCCAGGCTTAAGAGAGTGCTCGGAACGGGAACGACGAAAGAGAGACGGAGAGCGAGCACAGGAGGGGGTAATAATGTGGAGATGCGTGGGCGGCTGTCAGTGAGCGCAAGAACGCTGCGTGAGACTTTTACCGCTCTGCATCCGGCGATGCACAAACCGCGGGTTCTTCTGTCGAATTATCTTGTACAGCGGCTAGGGCGAATTGTTGTTGTCGTCACCCCGTGATGTTCGTCTGGTGCGAGAATCGCCGAGTTTCTCCTTTTTTCTAGACCGATCGTCAAGCCGGAAAAATTCAAGAACGGGCGCGCTCGCGACTCCTGAAGTTCAAGTCGCAGCGAGCGGACGCGCGATTGACGTCGTAGACGCAATATTTCGCCGGTATATTCCATGTTTAATACCGACGTTCCCGAGCACTCTCATCTCCGAGCGTCGTACATGTCGCAGCTGTGACAAGCTGTGTGCGTGTGTACACGCTATATTATTCTTCATCTTCCTCCTCGGCGTCCGCGGACGTCGGGCATCTCAATGCCCGACGTCCCCACCCCAGACCATGTCAGCCACCCTCTCCATCTCCTTGCGCTTTAGCGAGGGCTCGTGGAGCTCGGTTCTCCTCAAGTCGTAAGCCATCCGATTCGCATTCGACCGACGTCTTGGTTTAAAGAATCTCGGGGACAAGACCTTTGATGATGACTTGACTTCTGCCGACTGACTGGACTGAGCCGCGGCTACCAGCAGGGTACACGAAACGATATCACCGGGCGAAGCGGGATAAACGTGAGTGATTTGCTCCGGTTTGTCGTTGTGCATCGGGAGTTGCTTGACAATCCCAGGTGACAAAACGTCGAAGAAGAGAGAGAACAGGGGAGGAGAGACGCAAAACGGACATCCCCTTAGATTAGTTTATCCGAACAAGCCACAAAGTTCGCGACAGTTCGAAGGAGCCGCCAAGTTATCGGATTCCTCGACTTGAGATGAAGCGACAACAGTCCCAGGAACAACAGAGGCAGCTGCAGCAGCAGCAGCAGCAGCAGCAGCGGCAACAGACCGTCATGCAGGAACAACAGCAACAACAGTACATGCAGCAACGGACGGAAAGACAAGTTACGCGGCAACAGATCACCAGTCAGCAGAGAGGTCAGTTGCGACGATGTGTTTGAGAGACGAAGAGTAGACGGTATTCTCGACGAGCGACAGCTCGCACCAAGAGCGGGCAGGAAACTTTACTTCTACGAAAAATCTGGACTCGTAATCCGTCGCGCTACCGTTCGACCGTATTTTGTGAAATTTACGCGCAATTACGAAATCGCGAATTTTCAGGCTCGCACCGGAGCCGGCCTGATATTCGCTCGGGGAATACGAGTGGTGTATTGTCTCTTGACGATTGATTCCTCTCGTTTCTCGTTGTCGCGACAGAGTTAAACGAGAGAATACCAATCAGGACTCGGGTGTATTTCTTTTGGCGAATATTCCGTCAACGAACACTTACCATACCCGCGTTCTATTTTCGTGCGAGGAGCACGGTCCCTGCGAGAGCTCTAAAGATAGTTCTCCGCGCTCTTCGGCGTGACCGTTTCAAAAATTCTTTCACGCGCCCTCGGCGCGAGGAGGGTGGCGTCGCATTACGCGACCTCCATTTCGATCCAAACTACGTTATTGTTTTACACAGTATCGAAACAATCGGGCTTTTTCTATATTTAGTTCGATGTGTCATGTCGCCAAGGTCAGAGCCGTAAACTCCAACTTGACCTATCGATTATTCGCGAGGAAGTATAATATCGTCTCGCGTATCGGCGTTTCGTGTAAAATCAAATAGATAATTCGTCGCAGCACGGAGAGAAATTATGTAAAATTGTGGAGAAAGTAGGCGAACGTGTTTGCTCCGGTTCAAATATCCGCCATTGTGCAACGTGCAATTTCTTATATCGCGCTATGCTTTGACAAGTGTAATATTGGAAAATCTCCAAAACTGCTCGCAAACTTCAAAGTTTCGAAAAGACGTCCATTACGATCTCGTTGGCATTCGTCTGATTCGCCGCGATTATGTTTCTCGCAGCTCTCAGGCCCGGGATATAAATCCTTTTTTTCTAATTATCTACTAGTCGCACACACAAGATGAAATTGGAGAAATGGAGTCGAGTATATGATCCTCATTAGCACACTTTTCTCCGTGCTTATTTCCCCCAATACCGACGGCCGCTAACTTCTCAGACTTTTACGACGAATCCAACAACAGAATCTGCGCAAGTGCGCGAATCTAGCGTGAAACTTGGACCGGTGTTTCCAAGACAGGCTTGGTGGAAGCTGAAGCGAGTCCAAAGGATGACGCGGTACTCGTATGATGCTCGTGCCTTAATATTCCGCCATCACCACGACACGATACGACACGTCGCGCGCGCGTAAATTTTTGATAGATACAGCAACGATTGCAGATTTAGATCTTCATTGTCGAAGATAGTTCCGCTAGAGCATCTTGCCAACTGCGCGACACGTTAAGGAGAAACGGTGAAAACGAACATACAACACCGCGACTGCCAAATGACACAAGTGCTGACAAGTTTATGAATCTTAGCACCATCGACGCGCATCGAAACGTGTTGGATTATATTTCAAGGCGCGTAAAACTAAAAGACAATGAAATACAATAAGCAGTGCAGTTACGCTGGCAGCTACGGAGTTAAGCTCCCGCTCTTCTTCTGCGAGGGATCGAATGTTTACAGCGAGAAATCCTGACTGAAAGTATCCGCAGTCCGTCATGGATTATTTCGCGCTCTGACTAATGTCATTAATCATCAAATATCGCGTGTCATTGCCGCAGAAAATTCAGGCTGAACAAATCTGTATTTTTTTCGGAGACGCGTTGGAAATCTGAAACAGCTGATCGCGCAATGAGCGCGCTTTGGCGTCATCGGTACGAAATGCGACTGATGACGAAGGCTGATGATCGATGAGAAAAAGGGTGCCAGGAGAATAGAAAAGAGAGGGAGGGAACGGCAGAGAACGAACAGAGAGGGAGAAAAGCCGAGAGGAGCGGCACACGGAGGAGAAAAAATACAAATTTGCAAATCGAAGAGCGCGCGAGGATGTACAGTACGTGAATCCCGTGCGAAAATGTATGCACACGCGAGGAGAGAGAAAGAGAGAGAGAGAGAGGGAGGAAGAGAGAGAGAGAGAGAGAGAGGGAGGAAGAGGGAGAGAGAGAGAGGAAGAGAGAGAGAGAGAGGGGGGGAGAGGGGGAGAGAGGGAGGGAGAGGGAGGGAGGGAGAGGAAGAGAGAGAGAGAGAGAGAGAGAGAGAGAGAGAGAGAGAGAGAGAGAGAGAGAGAGAGAGAGAGAGAGAGAGAGAGAGAGAGAGAGAGAGAGAGAGAGAGAGAGAGAGAGAGAGAGAGAGAGAGAGAGAGAGAGAGAGAGAGAGAGAGAGGAGCGTTAGAGCCGATTTTATTTTGGTCAGTGACTGCCTTTGCGTAACGGGAAACGCGATTGGTCCGGGCACGGCGTAGACGCGTCGCGACGCGCAGCGCCGGGCAAAGATAGTTGCGCCTAAAATGGATCACGGTAACGTGATCCTCATCCGAATGCAAAAATACAATCCCGTGCTTGTAGCAGCGCGTTACGTCCTTCGCCCCCTTCGCGGCTCCGTGATTCCGCGGTTCGCGGATGGCGGCTCGCGAATGCGTTGCGGCGCACACTCGGCCGACGCAAAATGTGGGGAAAACGATGAATTTTATTACAGGGAAATTATACTCAGATTCACTGCAGGGAAATTATTACTCATCAGGCTTAATATGTATCAACTGAACGATGTAAATTTAAAAGCAGGACAGTGATACACTTAGAAAACGACGAGCTACGTCGAATCGCATTTGCGCGGAAAACGTAGGTCTCTTCATATTTAATTTTCTCTCAAAATATATTTAATTTTCTCCGTACGTACAATATCAAATTAATTTCTTGCCTTGGGATTGTAATTAATCGTCCGGGAGAGCCAATTAGCTGTTACTTATCCGCCCGGAGGATTCGCCTGCTGATTAGACAAAGCTGCGAATTATCATCATATATAAATCATTCCGTGCATTTGTTTGTCCTCATGAGTATACACGTGTTGCTTCTTCGTATTACTTCTGTCGTACTTCCCAACTGGGCTAGAACGAATCGAGGAAGCGAACCGTTGACGCCGTTTTTTCCCTGTCGCCGTTACGCGCGATGGCGATACCGCATTTTTTCATCAAGTTATGTCTACGCCGGGACGCGCCGTAATTTAAACCAATTTACTCGTTAACCCGAGAGAACTGACCATTGCGAAAATGAAGATTCGCGATCCGCCTCTCGCCGGATCGAATTTACAAAGTTCTGAACGGAGTAAATAAATTTAGGCGACACTTTCCGCGCGGGAGTCGCCAGAACGATATATGTTCACGTTCAATCGTTATCGTTATTAATCTTACGTCAAATAGTTAAACCAACTTTAATTTTTTTTTTTGCTTTTGCAGTTCAAGGGGAGATCGTGATGCAAACGTCACCAATGGTACCAGTGTAAGTAACGCTGCCTTTATCTATCGTAATTTTTGCGAGGAAAAAAATAAATGTTGCTCTAGCGATATTTCCAATAAAATCTTCTCGATATAGATTCACCGGTAAACCCGGCGATCCCTCGCCGCCCATTTTCGAACGAATCTTCAAAAATGCGCGATTCGCGCAGGGCGGCAATGCGATTTTCGAAGGCTGCGTGCGGGGCAATCCCAAGCCGACGGTCTCTTGGACGCACAAGAATACGCCGTTATTGGAGTCACGAAAAATTCGAATGTCGTATGACGACAATACTGGAGTCGTCACCCTCCAAATTAATCAGATCGGTCCAGGAGACGAGGGCGAGTACACGTGCAGCGCGAAGAACCAATATGGTGAGGACCAGCTATTATCAGAGGGGAAATTTGGCGAATTTGTAAATCTCAGCAGGACAACACGATGGAGAAATGGCTAACCATCATCTTACTTCCCAGGCGAAGCGATCTGCTCCGTTTACATACAACCCGAGGGATTCGGTCTTCCGGCGCAACAGTTGGCAGACAGTTACAAGAAGGAGTTTACGCAAAGCTTCCAGTCGACCGAACAGAAGATGCAGACCGGAGGTCAAGTCTTCCAGCAACGAAGCTACCAGCAAACGGTAGATAAAAGAAGCTACATGAATGGTACATCGATGAGCATCGAAGACTTTAAGGTATCGTAATTCGGCCGTCCTGCCGACTGTCCGTCAGAACCTCCGACAGAACCTCAGCACCTCAACCTCAACACTTCGCTCTTGGAATGTGCAGGTCGACACCTTCGAATACAGACTGTTGCGCGAAACGGAGTTCCGCGAGTCGATCACTCGCCGCTTCGTCGGCGAGTCCGACTTGCAAATTTCCACGACAGTCGAACGCGCCCTAGGTCCGGTAGCACCTCCGCAGATCACGCAGAAACCCAGAAACTCGAAACTCGTCGAAGGATCGGACGCTGTGTTCACCGCGAAGATAACCGGCAATCCTAAACCGAGGGTGAGTTCAAGTCGTATCGGACTGTATCGGTTATTGCGCTAGCTATCCCCTTGTTATCTCAATCTAATCTTGCTCCTGGTGTCGCAGTTAACGTGGTTCAAGAACGGCCAGCGGATCAAAGACTCTCAACGTGTGGAGACGAGCTATTCGAATCAGCAGGCTACCTTGCGAATCCGAGGGGCTCTGTCGGAAGACAGCGGCCATTACACCTTATTGTCCGAGAACCCTCAAGGCTGCACTGTCAGCTCCGCTTACCTAGCGATTGAGCCGAGCGATCAGGTGGATCAAGTCCCGTATCAAGCGCATCAGAGGGAATTCATTCAGACTCAACAAGTAGAATCGACCACCGAGTCCACCGACTCTGGAAAAGCATTGCCGCCAAATTTCGTTCGCACCTGTACGGATAGGGAAGCTACCGAGGGCAAGATGACCAGGTGATCTCCCCCCCCGACTTTTCCTTTCCCGCATCTTAGTTTCCACGATCTCAAATAATCTTCACTGGTATCAACCGAAGAGACGATCTGACGATCAATTATTTCCAGATTCGACTGTCGCGTAACCGGCCGCCCGTATCCCGAGGTGACTTGGTACATAAACGGCCAACAAGTCGCCAACGACATGACACACAAGATCCTCGTGAACGAGTCCGGCAACAACTCGCTGATGATCACAAACGTGAGTCGCGTCGATGCCGGTGTCGTGACGTGCATCGCTCGCAACAAGGCCGGTGAAACCTCATGTCAATGTAACCTGAGCGTCCTCGAGAAGGAGCAAGTGGTCGCGCCGAAATTCGTCGAGCGCTTCGTCACCACGAGCGTGAAGGAAGGAGAACCCGTGGTCTTCACGGCGCGCGCAGTCGGCACGCCGATTCCGCGTATCACATGGCAAAAGGTAAGATTCGCCGAATTTTACTCGTTGCATCGATCTTCCGACTTTTCACACTTCCAACTTGCCCGCGTGCAACAGGACGGCGTGCCGATAACCCCCGGCCCTGACGTACGCATATCGAGCGACGGTAGCGGAGCTGCGACTTTGGATATCCCTCGCGCCAAATTCTCTGATGCAGCCTGGTACCAGTGCACCGCGCAAAACGTAGCCGGCTCCACCGCGACCCGAGCGCGGCTCTTTATCGAGACACCGAAAGGCACGGCCCCGGAACCAAGACGCCTGAATTTACCCCGACCGACGAAAATCATCGAACCAGAGTGAGTCTCGACGAGAAAGAAGCAATCAAATATTTCCCTAAAATCATCAAATCAATTATCGAGTCTTGTTGTTGTTGTTGTTCTGTCTCTCGGTGAGTTTAGTCGAGATATAACGGTGATTATTCATGCTTGATGAACGTTCGCAGACCAGCGCCTGGCCCCGAAGTGATTTACTTGAGACACGTGGAGCGCGCGAAACCCTACTTGCCGCCATCCGAGGAAGATAAGATTTACCCGCCGCCACGTTTCATCATACCGCTAAGGGACGTCCATCAGATCGAAGGTGGACGAATTCACTTCGAGGCCAGAATCGAACCGGTGGGCGACCCTACCATGAGGGTGGAGTGGTACGTCAACGGCAGAGCACTCGACGCGAGTGAGTAATGCTTGTTGTGCAACACTGATCGTATACGACCGCGAAGCACCCTCGAATCGATGACTGATTCGCACACACCCACGGGTGTGTCTTTTGCAGGTTCCCGAGCAACATCCATCTTTCGCTTTGGCTTTATCTCGCTCGATCTCATTAGTATCGTTCTTCAAGATAGCGGCGAATACTTGTGCCGCGTCGTAAGCTCGACCGGAGTCGCCGAGTCTCGCGCCACCCTCAGCGTGACCCGTGAGTCGAAGTTTTACGAAGTTTTACGAAATTTTCCTATGTGTTTTCACGCGAAAGCAAGCTAAATTTTGCGTCTTGCAGCACGCGCTACGATTGAACAAGCGAGCCAACACCCCGACAGTCTCCAGTATATTCAACAGCTCGAGGATTACAGCAAGTACCAAAGGCAGGAGAGCGTGGAGGAGACCTCTTCACAGCGGCCGGTTTTCATCCGCCCGCTCCAGGATCTTGGTGAGCTACAGGAAGGTCGAAACGCCCACTTCGAGGCGCAATTGACCCCTGTTAGCGACCCCACCATGAAAGTGGAGTGGTACAAGGATGGAAAACCAATCACAGCCAGTAAGTCTTTAACGTCTGGCGATTAATGGCGATTAACGGCGATTAATTTTTAAGGATATCCCAATCACCGAATCATCTTCTAGGCTCAAGAATCACTAGCATCTTCAACTTCGGATACGTCTCGCTCAATATAATGCACCTACGGGCTGAAGATGCAGGTTCTTACACAGCAAGGGCTGTGAACCGCTTGGGAGAGGCCATCAGCTCCGCGACTCTCCGTGTCTTCGGTGAGTCTCTGATGTTCACGCAATAAACCTTGAACTTTGAGCAATTGCTCGATGTATTCCGCTCAACTCAATTGATTTTCACTCATTTTCTTTTTTCGCTTTTGCGCAGCGCGAACAAGCGTAACTACAGACTTGGGTATCCCCGAGCAACTGAGATACATCGAGGCTGCCGAGGAGTTGGAAGCGTATCAACAGGCCATGCACCAGAAGTACGTGTATGAGCAACCTGAACCGAGTAGCCCACCGGAATTTAAATCGCCTATTAAGGATCAGAGCAGCATACGAGAGGGCGGCTTTGCTCATTTCGAGGCGCGCCTCGAACCAGTCGGTGATGCCGACCTCCGTGTCGAATGGCTCAAGGATGGACGACCTGTAGAAGCTAGTGAGTGATAAAGCCTATTTTTAGCGTTAACGCTGTCTGACACTGGCTGTCTCAGACAGCCAGTCTCTGTGTCGCTGTGTCGCAAGGCAGGCTGTGTCTCATTGTCTTCATGTTCTCGGATCAGGTTCCCGGATTACAACCTTCTTTAATTTCGGCTACGTGGCGTTGACCATCAAATACGTAACGATACACGACGTTGGCGTGTACACCTGCCGAGCCTACAACAGAGCCGGTGAAGCTCAAACCACTGCTCAATTGAGTGTGATAAGTAAGAACGATGTGATCTATGACAGTCAGCATCCGATGGGCCTGCAGAAAATCCAGTCCCTCGAAGATTCCAGCAGGTACACGCGGCAAATCCAGGAGGAATCGCAGGTCACGCAGGCACCACGATTCTTAGGCAATCTTAAGGGCACTAATAAGATCGTGGAAGGCCAAAGAGCACACTTTGAAGCGCGCGTCGAGCCTCAGAGCGATCTTAGTATGAAGATCGAGTGGTACCACAATGGCAAGCCCATTACCGCGGCTAATAGAATCCAGACATATCATGACTTCGGCTATGTTTCCATCGATATCCTTCAGGTGCGGCCTGAAGACGCCGGCACGTACACTGTTGTAGCCAGAAATTCACGCGGAGAAGCTCGTCTGTCTGCCACTATGGTCGTAGAAAGTAAGAGCCGCTGTTTGAATTACAATTTGAGACCTTGACCGCGACTAACAGCGCAAATTTCGCGAATCACCATTCACCATTTCCTCTTTCGTATTTTAGCGCGTTCCAGCATAGACACCAGCAGCATGCATCGCGGCACTTACGAGAAGACTCAACGCTTAGAGGAATCAAAATTCATCGAACCGTACTACCATATCGAAGAGATCTCCAAGTCGAAACCTATTTTCATCCAGCCGCTGAGCGACCCTAAGCCAGTCAGCGAGGGCAAGAATATTCATTTGGAGTGTCGTTTGGAACCGATGGGCGATCCGACGATGAGAGTCGAATGGTTCCAAAACGGACGTCCTATCACGGTTGGCTCCAGATTTAGGACCTACTACGATTTCGGATTCGTCGCACTCGACATAGTGCACGTTACCGTTTACGATTCGGGCGAATATACGGTCAGAGCCACTAATCATCTGGGTACCGCGCACACTTCTGCTTGCGTCCGAGTAATCGGAAGATCCGACGTTGTCACCGAAACACAGAACGAGCAATCGCTCGAGCAGATCCAGATGTTGGAGGATTCATCGAGGTTCGTTCTCTCCCGTACGACATCTGTGTTGTGGTTTTTCAACGTTTCCACCATTATTTATCTTCATTTCTTCTTCTGTTCGCACAGATATCGCAAGACTCAACAAGAGGAGGTCACTGTGATGCAAGCGCCTCAGTTCACTCGACCCTTGCACAACATCGAGACCGTGGAACTGACCAACGTCCATCTTGAGTGTCGCCTTCAGCCAGTCGGCGACTCGACCATGAAAGTCGATTGGTTCGTCAACGGACGTCCTGTGAAGACTGGTCACCGATTCAGACCGTCTTACGAATTCGACTACGTAGCACTGGACATTCTCGGAGTCTATCCCGAAGATTCTGGCGTGTACACTTGCCAAGCGAGAAACCAACTCGGCGAGGCAGTCACTTCGTGCTCCGTGAGAGTACACGCGAAGAAGGACTTGCTTCTGGAATCGCAACATCCCGAAGGATTGGAGAGGATACAATATCTCGAGGATGCTTCGCGATACAAGAGGCACGAATTCATCGACGAAGTCGTCAATGTGAAGCCGAAATTCATCACGAAGCCAAAGAATCAAGAGAACCTCCGAGAAGGACAACACGCTCACTTTGAGTGCAAACTGGAGCCAGTGACAGATCCAAATTTGAAAGTCGAGTGGTTCAAGAACGGTCGTCCAGTAACGATAGGTAATTTATTTATCTCACTCATCATATCTCTTTTATATATATATATATATATATTTCTTCATCGTTTATATTTTTTATATATTTCTTCCAATAACATATCTCTCCCATCGTCCGATCTATTCTTTCTTCATCCTTACTGTCAACTGAAACGTTATTACTCCTGTGGACATCGAATCAGACAATTCATGCAAATTGGTTTCTCACAGGACACCGATTCCGTCCGATTCACGACTTCGGCTACGTTGCGTTAGACGTGATCGATCTGATTGCCGAGGATTCTGGTACTTACACCTGTCGCGCTGTTAATCTGATAGGCAGCGACGAGGTACTTTGTACGTTATCGTGTCGCTCGACCGCCCAAATTCTAACGGACACGCAAAACGAGATTGGGCTCGAGCAGATCCACTATCTTGAGGACAGGTCCAAGTACCAAAGACAAGAAGTTATCGAAGAGACTACTACTCAAGCTCCCATTTTCACAACTTCGCTGAATAACGTCGAGATAAAAGAGGGCCAACGGGCACACTTCGAATGCCGATTGATTCCTGTGTCCGACGCGACTATGAAAGTCGAGTGGTTCCACAACAACGTGCCGGTGAAGGCGGGCTCAAGATTCGTCGAGACCAACAGCTTTGGTTTCGTCGCACTCGACATCATGTACGCGTATCCCGAAGACTCGGGAACGTACACCTGCAGAGCCAAGAATATCATCGGCGAAGCTATCACCTCCGCGACCGCTGTTGTCCACTGTAAGTTTTCGGCTTCTCGAATAAAAAGGAGAGAGACATTTCTTGCACGATCAGTTCGATCCAGTGCTCCGATGGAGCAACGTCATCAATTAATTCCGTTTTCGTCAACAGCCAAGAAATCAATCTACACGGAGACACAGAACGAACAGACGCTTCAGCGCCTTCGCACTTTGGAGGACACGTCTCGTTATCAGCGTAAGACCACAACCGAGGAGATTGTCACGCAGGCTCCTGTCTTCACGATGCCGATCAAGGACCTCCGCGTCGCTGAGAATCAAGCGGCGCATTTCGAGGCGCGCGTCATCCCGGTTGGAGATCCAAAACTCAAAGTGGAGTGGCTGCGAAATGGAGTTCCCATTTCAGCTTGTAAGTCTACAGCTTGAAATTATATCCGTGTCATGGTTTATAAAATTTGTTCCATAATCCTTCATCGCTTCATCTTACGACAGCGAATCGCGTGACAACTATGCACGACTTTGGATACGTCGCTTTGAACATGAAGTACGTTAACCCTGAAGAATCAGGTACATACACGTGTCGTGCGACGAACGAGCTCGGAGAGGCGGTTACTTCGGCAACGTTGTTCGTCCAGTGTAAGTATGCTGTTGTGACTGTCGACGCGCTATTATTCAGGTATCGATTAATTAATGAATTATCTTCAGTCCGCAATGTAATTTATTAGATATAGAATCGCGCAATTTATCTTTAGCATTTACCTTTAGCACATCATGCAAAAGCTCCTACATTAATCAATAACTATTGCGCTCTGAAACTAAATTAAAGCGACATTTTGAAGATGGATATTTTTACCCAACCATCGATTTTATATATTTTTTCGCTGAGCCACCTAGCTGAATGTTGCTGAATTTACTCGCTGCTGCCGTTTATTATCTGCTTGTGCGATAATAATGGCTAACATTTTTTGCTGTCTTTTGTTTTTTGGTTAAAGATTTTCGCTCGTAGTTTTTTGTCGACTGTGCGTTAATATTAATGGCATTAATGTACACTCGCAATCACATTATGACGAGAAATTCTTCTGAAATGCAGCCAAGGCGGCCTTGCAATTTGAATCACAACACGAAAGCGCTTTGTCGAAACTCCAAGCCCTAGAGGATACCTCGAAATACCAGCGCCGTGAGGAGGATGAGATCGTGGTAAATGAAAAGCCATCCTTTACGGTCCAACTGAACGGGCCTACCAGCCTAGTCGAGGGTCAAAGCGCACACTATGAGTGTCGCATAGAACCCTATCCCGATCCCAATATGAAGGTGGAGTGGTTCCACAATGGCAAACCACTGTCCACCGGTCACAGGTATAGAACCACCTGCGACTTTGGATTCGCGTCGTTGGATGTGTTGACCGTATATGCCGAGGATTCGGGCACATATACTTGCCAGGCCACCAATAGATTGGGATCGGCCAAGAGCTCGATTAATCTTGACGTAAAATGTGAGTAATGAAAACCAGTTGCACCAGTCTCGTCTCTTAGATTTATACTTTGGCTTGTAGATTGTATCTTATCTTGAGTTTTCTCTCTTACCGCCCCTTATCGTGAGCTCCAAGACTTCAATGAAAATTGCTTTTCAGCGCGTGCATCGATTATTCGCGACACGCAACACGAAAGCGCGTTGAAGAAGATTCAATACCTCGAGACCGACTCGCGATATAAGCGCGTGGCCGTGGAAGACGCCGTCATCGCTGAGAAACCCGCTTTTGGCCGGCCGCTGAAGAACATCGAACACTTGCCGGAAGGCAAAAGCGCCCATCTCGAGGCTACACTGACGCCTGTAAACGATCCGACCATGGTCGTCGAATGGTTCAGAGACGGACGTCCTATCCCTCAAGGACATAAATTCAAAGCTACCTACGACTTTGGATACGTTGCTCTCGATATTCTTTACGCATATCCTGAAGACTCTGGCACCTACATGTGCAAAGCGAGAAACGCCGTGGGCGAGGCCGTTACTACTTGCGTGATCAGCGTGGACTGTAAGTGGTATTTCATATTCTTATTCGTTCATTTGTTCATAGGTAGAATATATCGTCACCTCGACGGCCACCGAATGCATGTGTGTGTCGCATAAAATTTCTGACGAAAATTTCTCGAAACAAGTGAAAGAATGCGAGACGATGAAGCGAGAAGAGGATAACTTTTCTCGTCTCTTCGTATCTCGCAAAACTGACAAGTGTTTACACTTGTCAGTTTACACATTCGTTTACGAATGTGTGAATTGATCAATTAAAACGACTTATTATTTCAACTTTGAGAAAATTAACATTCTGATTTGTGCGAACAGCGAAGCAAGGCTTGTACCTCGACACGTTGGACGCCCAACGTTTACAGAAAATCCGCGAACTGGAAACTATCGAAGTCAAGCAAGACGTCGAGAAAGAGGTTATTCATCAGAAACCTGTGTTCTTGACGCCTCTGAACAACCTGGATCACCTCAAGGAAGGCGAACACGCACATTTGGAGTGTCGCGTTGAGCCGATCAACGATCCAAACTTGAAAATCGAATGGTATATTCACGGATAGCGCGCTACCTACCTAAGCTAGCTTCAAAATTTATGTTTCACAGATAAAATAATAACGATACAATAGCAATTTTCACGTATTATCGAGTAATTCCATTGAATTTTCTCTCTTTCAATTTAATAGGTTTGTCAATGGAGTCGCAATTAAAACTGGCCATCGTTTCCGTACTACACACGACTTTGGCTATGTCGCTCTCGATATTCTTTACACCTATCCCGAAGATTCCGGCACCTATATGTGTAAAGCCACCAATCTGGCCGGTGAAGCCGTCAACACTTGCACCATCAAAGTTGGCTGTAAGTATTCGGTCTCGCGGTACACGTTTTTCTCGGAATAATCACACGATTCGATCGATTCACCGCTAATACAAGTCGTCTCGCGTAATTGTCAGCGAAAGACACCAGATATCCGGCACCCAATTTCCTACCTGTGAAAAATTTGAAAGCACCCATCGGCAACGATGATACTCATCGTAGAAGAAGACACTCGAGTGAAAAACATCGTCGTTTTGAAGAAGAGATTTGTGAAAATCTCTTAAATTCCTGCAAGCTAAAGTGAAAGACGTTAAAACTAACAAGAAAGAGTTTATTTCCCCGAGAAATGAAGCACTCGCGACTCATTCTGTAATTACAGCACGTCGAAGCATTCTCCTGGACACCCAACATCCGGACGGTCTAGAAAAGATTCGCGAATTAGAGGCTCAAGGTCGCCCCGCACGCCTAGAAATTGAGGAACCACCAGTGACACCGCCGAGATTCGTCACCGAGCTCAGGGTAAGCCATAGTAATAGCGACAACAACACTGTTATTACGGTTGTTGAAACATTTGCAGCACGAATAGAAGTGCAACAGATAGCTCCATACAACTAGAAACCTTTCTTCAGGGCACGACGGAGATATACGAGGGACAAACCGCTCACTTCGAGTGCCAAGTGGAGCCGCTGCACGACGCCAATCTGCGAATCGAGTTCTTCCACAATGGCAAGCCGTTGCCATCAGCAGCGCGTTTCCACGTAACCTTCGATTTTGGATACGTGGCCTTAGACATCGGTCATGCTGTGCCAGAGGACGCAGGGCAGTACTCTGTGCGAGCGATCAACGCGCTAGGACAATGTGTGTCATCCATCGAGCTCAAAGTGATCCCGAGAGACAGCATTATCCTGGATTCACAGCGACCGGAGGGAATGGACAAGATCAGAGAGCTCGAGGCACAGCAACCGTGGAAGAGACCGGACGTGCCGGAGCCTCAAACTCGACAGCGACCTGTCTTCACGCAACCCCTACAAAACATCGATAGCATCGCCGAAGGTCATACCGCGCACTTTGAATGCAGGCTCATACCCGTGGGCGATCCTATGCTCAAGGTGGAGTGGTTCAGAAACGAAGTGCCGCTCGAGACAAGTAAGTTAAGGACCAACTTTGACAAATATGTTTCCCGCAACTGTACAAGTTATTATATTCGCAAAACTAATGCGAAATTATTATTATGTTCCCGTTGCGATTCTCTTCTCAGGTTCTCGAATTACAAAGGTGCACGACTTTGGTTACGTCTCCTTGGATATCGCTCACGTACGCGACGAAGACGAAGGCGTTTACATGTGTCGCGCTTCTAATCCGTTGGGTGAGGCTGTTACCACGGCTTCGATGAAAATCAAGAGTGAGTGACTTCACTTTCGCATGATTTGAGCTCTCTATTGACCTAATGAGGCACAACATCTAATTCGTCATTCATACCGACGTATACAGGCAAGGCGAGTATACAACTCGACACGCAACATCCGGAAGCGCAACGCAGAATTGCTCTGCTGGAAGCCGATAAAGGAGTCGGCCGACCTGAGGAGCCGGAGAAGCTGTTTGATAAGCCGATATTCACGCAATTACTGACTGGTCCCACCGAGCTTTGGGAAGGACAGATGGCTAGATACGAATGCAGGGTCGTTCCCGTTGGCGATGCAAGCTTAAGATTCGAGTGGTATATGAACGGAATAGAATTGAAAATGGGTAAGAAACACTTGACGATGAAAACTGTAAGCCTCTCATGATATCAACAAAACGTATTACGAACACTTTTGTCACTCAGGTTCACGCTTCCGCGTAAGCCACGACTTTGGCTACGTGACGTTAGACATACTGAAGGTGATTCCCGAAGATTCCGGAGTCTACACTTGCAAAGCGATCAACAATGCGGGCGAGGCAGTTTCGTCAATCTCGCTGAAAGTGAAGGCGCGATCGGCCATCGATTCGGACAGCATACAGGCGGACGCTTGGCAGAAGATTCAACTGAAGGAAGCAGAGATGAATAAGGTGCCAGAGATGTTCGTCGATACGACCCCGCAACAAGCTCCAGTTTTCACCAAGCACTTAGACAGCTACGATAAGCTGCAGGAAGGCCAACGTGTCTACTTGGAGGCTCAGGTGGAGCCACGAGCAGACCCAAATTTGAGAGTAGAGTGGTTCAAGAACGGCATGCCTCTCCAGACTGGAACTAGACTCCGTAGCACGTTCGATTTCGGTCTGGTAACGTTGTCTATCAACGGTCTAAGAGCAGACGATTCCGCGATCTACACTTGCAAAGCAACCAATCTTCTGGGAGAAGCTGTATCAACTTGCAGCCTGAAAATTGCCGATCGTCATTGGCTCTTGGGAGACACTTTGCATCCAGACGCTTTGCCGAAAATTGATGCTCTGGAGCAGTCCCAGGTGATCTCCACCGAACAAGCGGAGCCCACTTATGAAGAACCGGTGTTCATCACTCATCTCAATAACGTGGAGTGCATAGAAGGCGAGAACGCTCACTTCGAATGCAACGTAGAACCGTCGAAGGACCCGACTATGAAAATTGAGTGGTTCCTAAACAGCAAACCTTTGCCGACCGGTGCGAGATTCAAGTCCACCTACGATTTTGGCTACGTCGCTCTGGACCTAACTCACGCTTATGAAGAAGATTCTGGAGTAGTTACCGTCAAAGCTACCAACTCGAAAGGATCCGCTCAGACGTCGGGTACTTTGAAGTGCACTAGCAAGCAAAACATCTATCTGCAAACGCAACATCCACAAGGAGAAGCCGGATTTGAGAAGGTGAAGGAAGCTGAAGATGCTTATTTGTCCAAATATAGGAGACCGGAAGACGTTCCCGAGCACGAATATCCCAAACCAATCTGGACGGTGCCTCTATTGCCAGAATTTAAACTGGGAGAGTCCGAACCGTTACATCTGGAGGGACAAGTTGAGCCGAAAGATGATCCAGATTTGAAGATTGACTGGTACTTCAACGGGAAACCCCTGGAACACGGTTCACGCTTCAAGATGACCAGCGATTTTGGATTCGTCACTTTGGATCTAACGGATGTTTACGAGCGTGATTCCGGTATTTACACTTGCAAGGCTCATAACCGTGCGGGCGAGGCCTTTACATCGACAACAGTTTATTGCTCTACGAAGGAGAATATCATCGAAAAGTCGCAGCATCCTAAAGGTAAGGAAGGTCTTGAGGCGATTCAGGACTTGGAAGAGTCTCTGAAACGGCAAGAAGGACTACCACCGGGTGAGGAAGAGGGTCAACCGCCAATGTTCACGTCGCAATTCGAGAACCTGACCAATCTATCCGAGGGAGAGATCGCTCACTTCGAAGCGTCCCTCATTCCTACCGGAGACCAAACCATGGTGGTCGAATGGTTCTATAACGGCAAACCATTGGAAGCCAGTCATCGCACGAGAACTGTTTACGCCTTCGGGATGGTTGTCCTCGAGGTTCTTGGTACTAAAATCGAGGATTCCGGCACCTATACTTGCAGAGCCACCAACAAATGGGGCAAAGCGGAGATAAGCGTACAACTGGAATGTGTCGACAAGTCCAAGGGACAGAAGCCAAAGTTCACCACCCACATTCAATCATTGGACGGCCTGAAAGACGGTCAGTCTGCTCACTTTGAATGCACCCTGATCCCGGTGGGCGATCCTCACATGAAAGTTGAATGGTTCCACAACGGCAAGCCCCTGCGACACTCCTCGCGTTTCAAGATGGTGTCCGACTTTGGATTCGTCGTTATGGACATCGCTGGAGTGATGGCTCATGATACTGGCGAATACGTTTGCAAAGCTAGCAACAAATACGGCGAGGACTTCACGAAAGCAACGATCAGGTGCTTCGGCAAGAGCGGAGTCTACTTGGACTCTTTGCAACCGGACTCGCTCGCCAGAATCCGAGAACTCGAGAGTTACACCGGAGATCAAGCGACCACTCCTACGACTCCCGTCGCTGAACCGCCGAAATTCATCACCCAGATTGCCGACATTACGAAGCTCGTGGAAGGACAGTCCGCGCACTTCGAGGCCAGACTAACTCCGGTGAACGATCCCGACTTGAAGGTCGAGTGGTATTACAACGGCAAGAAGCTCCCTCACGGCCATCGATACCGCACTTTCCACGACTTTGGCATCGTCATCTTGGACATACTCTATTGCTACGAAGAGAATTCTGGAGTTTACGAGTGCAGGGCCGTCAACAAGTACGGCGAGGATTCTACGAAAGCGACGCTCAAATGCTTCTCCAAGGCTAACCTCGTGTTGGAATCACAGCTGCCGAAAGGTATGGAAGGTGGCCTCGAGAAGATCCAAAGCCTCGAGGACGCGATGATACGTACGAGGGACGAGAAGGTCGTGGAGGAGCGTGGCAAGGCTCCGGTGTTCACTGTGCCGTTGAGCAACATCGACGGTCTTCGCGAGGGCGAAAGCGCGCATTTCGAAGCTCGATTGACACCCACGGACGATCCGAAATTAAAGGTAAGGCTTTTTTGCTTTTTTGAATTCAAATCCAATCCATCTTGCTCCGCTTTGTTCATTTTTTTTTTATATATTTCATACTTTTTATATATCTCATATACTTGGTCTGTCCCCGAAGGTCGAGTGGTTCTGGAACGGCAAACCATTGCGAACGGGATCTCGTTTCCGCACCTTCTGTGACTTTGGTTTCGTCATTCTGGAAATCTCTCCCATTTATCCCGAGGATTCTGGCGAGTACAGTTGCAGAGCAACAAACGACTACGGCGAGGCGGTGACAACATGCACAATGAAGTGCACGGGCAAACGCAGCATTATCTTGGAATCCCAGCTGCCCAAAGGCATGGAGAGCACAATCGACAAGATCGCCGAGTTGGAAGGTCTTGGTAGCGTTCCAGGTCAGGCCACTCCTGACGACGATACCGGAAGACCGCCCGAGTTCATCACAACTCCTTCGGATTTGACTTTGGCCGAAAATTCCCTCGCTCACTTCGAGTGCCGGCTACAGCCGGTCAATGACTCCAGCATGAGGGTCGAGTGGTTCCACAATGGCAAGCCTCTTCTCGCCGGAAGCAGGGTGAAGACGATTCACGACTTTGGTTTCGTCATTCTTGAAGTCGCAAATTGCTATCAACGCGATTCTGGCTTGTACACCTGCAAAGCCACCAATCGTCACGGTGAGGCGACAGTGTCGTGCAAGCTTCAAGTGCGTGGTCGTCAGGGTATCATCTTGGAGCCTCAACTACCGAGCAACTTCAGAACCGGCACGGAAAGCATTCAGAAATTGGAGGAATCTTTGTACAAGAAAGACGAGATCTTGGCTGAGGAGGAGAAACCGAACCCACCCAGATTCACCGTCGAACTTAAGGACATCGAAGTCGAGGAGGGTGGACCGACTCACTTTGACTGCAGGGTCGAGCCTGTCAGCGATTCCACTATGCGCATCGATTGGTTCCACAACGGTCGACCATTCGCGACCGGCTCTCGAGTTCATCAGATCAACGATTTTGGATTTATATCCTTGGACATGTCATACACTTACGCACGGGACAGCGGCGAGTACGTCTGCAGAGCTACCAACAAGTGGGGCTCCGCTACCACCAAAGCCACTATTACTTGCAAATGTAAGTATCCTAGATTAAAGAATTCTTATGCAAAAATATTCAGCAAGGAACTTGATTTTATCGAGGAAGACAGACAATAAAGCCGATTTTTCTTTTTATCGAATCCTACATACCCGTCTTCGCTTTAACTCGTCATGTACCGCAATCTACAACAAAAAAGATCCTTCCTCTTTTATAGCCAAGAAAACGATAGACTTCGACTCTCAATTGCCAACGGGAATGAGCGGCGAGAAATTAAAGGAACTGGAGCGGGGACCAGTCACCCAAGCTCCCGCGGAAGAAGCACCACGCCAGCCTCCTCATTTCATCACGCAAATCCAATCAGCGACTGTCGACGAATCCGAACCAATCAGGTTTGAATGCCGGGTAGAGCCCAAGGAGGATCCGAATCTGCGCATCGAATGGTACAGAAACAGCAAACTGATACCCGCGGGCCATAGATATAGAACAGTTTACGACATGGGATTCGTATCGATGGACATTCTGTACGTGTATCCCGAAGATTCGGGCGAATATGTCTGCAAAGCCATCAACGATCTTGGAGAGGACACCACTCGCGCCTCTGTTTCTTGCAAAAGTATATTTATTTTTGGATTTTGCTCTTTTAGCCATTTATACTTCAGTTATGTACGTAACTATGTCGGACCAATAAATAACTTAACCGCTTTACAGAATTGCCAAGTATCATTCTGCAGAATCAAGTGCCAAAGGGCATGAAGAAATCCGAAGCCTTGATGCAGATGGAAGCGACGATCAAGAAGTACACTTCGGAGGTTCATTTGACCGAGGACGATCTGTACGACGCGGATAAGAAGCAACCGCCTCGTTTCGTCACGCAGATTCAAGATCAGACTGATCTGGTTGAAATGAATAGCACCAAGTTCGAGTGCCAATTGGCGCCCGTGGGCGATCCAAATATGAAAGTCGAATGGTTCTTCAACGGCAAACCGTTGCCCCATAAGAATCGATTCACACCTATCTACGACTTTGGTTACGTAGCGATGAACTTTGGTTGGGTCTATCCGGAAGACAGCGGCGAGTATCTATGCAGAGCTACGAATCTTTACGGTATGGACGAGACGCGAGCCATCATCAGGACTGCCGGGAAACCAGGAATTATCTACGAATCTCAACTCCCGAAAGGCATGAAGAGTATCGAGAAAATACGAGAAATGGAAGCAGCATGGCAAATGTGAGGCTTTATTCATTCTATTTATTCGCTTTTTACTTTATGTGATTCTCATTAACGGAGGAAAAGAAATTAATAAAACATGTAGCATTCACTTTCCATATATTCGAAGAACTTTTCGTTTTCGAAAGAAAAGTTTAAATCATCTTCTAAACTTTAAATTTATTTGTCTTTATTCGAAGAAAGACTACATTGCAACGTGAAAAACGTTGCTTGATAAATCATATGGTTTTCTCGTCATAGTGTTCCGGAAGAGGAAGGCGAGGAAGAAAAGGTGCGCTCGGCACCAGTCTTTGTGAGCAAACCGGAACCAGTGACTGTCGAGGAAGGTGACTGGTCCAGGTTCTGTTGTCGTGTCACCGGACACCCAAGACCTCGAGTCATGTGGATAATCAATGGACACACAGTAGTCAACGTGAGTTGAAAAGTGCCAGTTCTGATGAGTGATGTGAAAGTTCTCGAGAAAGTACCTAATATTATTTCATCGCATTTGTTTCTTACAGGGATCTCGCTATAAACTGACGTACGACGGAATGTATCATCTGGATATTCCAAAAACCAGACAATATGATCATGGAAAGGTAGAAGTGGTCGCGCGGAGCTCTGTCGGTGAAGCGCGCACAGAAACAACATTGACGGTCAAGCAACGAAGTGACGATTACCGTGGTGTATTGAAAAATTCGCCAAGACGTAAGTTTGGACACAAACTTGAACAATCGTACACGTACACGCTCGTGGATTCCTCGCGCCACGACAGAATAAGCTGAATCTGGCTGAACGATGAGATTATATATAGTAACATAAGAATATGTTTAATTGTATTCGATTTGCTAACCACTCTCAGTATCACGAGAGAAGATTTATCGCGAGGAACCCACGCGCTGTATAACAATTTGAACGATTTACAACGGTACAAACGGTATACAAACGATTATGCAAACTTCGCCGATTACAAGTTCACGAGCATAAATCCAAAAGCGCGACTGAAACACAGTACAAAAAAAAATATATATATATATATATCGATACGGCACATACATTCTATTGAATCACAGAAAACACTCTGACCTATTCTCGCACATGATCCTTTCCTCCCATACCCTCCGTTTAATACTCCAAAGCCACGAAAAGCACCTCGAGTCCAGCAGCTTCTTCTTCTTCTTCTTCTTCTTCTTCTTCTTCTTCTTCTTCTTCTTCTCCTTCCTCGTCGTGGTTGGAAATACCGACGGGAGTATTAGAGCAAAATCTTCTTAGATCAAAGGTATCGTATACATGGGTTTTTGCATCGACATTCAGGTATGGAAAGTAACGTCGGAAAACAAAAAATGTCAGCATTATACTCCACGTTTTGTCAGTGTTTTTTTGTTTCACAATAATGCGGAGGAGAGTATTTGATGTCAGTCACAAATGTGAAGTCAGTGGCACGTTTTATACGCTTCACCTTTTCACACCTTAACCGAAAAATAACGTGGGAGAAATCTTGACGAAAATACTATCCTCCGTTTATCCTATCTCTTTTTTTTTTTTATTGCGCTCGAGAAAACGGGTTTATTGCTCATTATGCCTCAACGTTCTATTTATTTTTACTTTATTTTATATTAAGCTCGCATAATCTCGCGTCGCGTCCCATATTGGCATCCGTTTGTTTAATATTTATTTATTCATTGCATTTTTCGCATCATTGATAGTGTCACTTTCTTGCTGATAAAATAATTTACAAACGTCGAGCAGATCTCCGTATTTCTCAGTGTCGCGCAATCAACTTACATTTTACTCCCAATCTCTATTATGTGTCCAATTTGTTGTTTTTTGACATGCATCCTTGACGTTATCCACTTTTGCTTCGCGCAAAAAAAAAAATAGCCAATAATTATCAATGTCAACATGAATTCGTCGAAAAAGAAGCGAGGTTCGACGAGTTACACGAAATTACTCAGTTGATTTGACGGAGAAATTTTGCAACGGATTTTCCTTGTCCTCTTCTTTTCTTTTTTGATTTCAAAGAGAAACCTTCTCATAACACGAAGGAGAGCACGTTCGAGTAAGAGACAAGTGACCTCGTTTAACAGTGTTTTCGATGAGCACATGATACAATAAGATGAAACAAATTGGGCTATGTGTTATAACCGCGTGATATAACTGGAATTCTCCACATCCTGCTCGATCCCTGTTATTTAGGTGTCATCGATATGTGTTGCATCGTCATTTACGTACTGTGTCTTAAATATCGTCAAGTTCCCGATAGCCTTTGTTCTCTTGTCGAGAGAAGCGCAACGTTGTTTCACGAAGGTACCTTGCATCTTTCAATTAATGACTCCGTAATGCACGATCCGCTATGTATTTCAGCAAAGATGCATGCGAGCGCTAATACTTTCGCGAGTGTGCGAAGGGAACGTTGTACCTTGCAACGAAGAACGTTGTACTCTCTATGTACCAACCGATTGATATGTCCGTTCGAATTCCACGCGTTCTCATCTATAACTCGTGTGAGACTCACGAAGGTGCACCGATCTAACATAATGTTTCTTCAGCGTGGTACGATTATGGGCTAACACAGTACCAAACCGAGCGACAGAACACAGAGCTCGAGCGCGTGTTCGACGAACGTCACCAGAGCGTTTCCCAAGGCATTGAGATCGCCACGGAGCATCTCGGGCCAAAGGTGATCAAAGAACCCGAGACTGACTGGCAGAAATCCGTCAAGAGCAAGAAAAATGAAGACTACTACAGCAAGCTGATGAATCTCGAGGAAGAACAGATGCTGAAAGAGTCCAGGTTGAGAGAAGCCTCTCATCAGTTCGCCATTCCTGGCGACAAGCTCGTCTCTAATTCCTTGGCAAAGGGGATGGCCCAGAAGTACGAGGAGAGTTTGTAAGTATTTCATTTCGGACACTCCCAAGAAATACGGATGGAAGAGCGACTTTTTCAAGTTCTTCTTCTCCCGCTAACATCTCTGATGTCTCCTTATTAGGGATGAGCAACCCCAACCAACAGCGCAGGCATCACCACCACCACCACCACCACCACCAAAATACGTGAAGAAACCATTCATTACCGAGGTGGACATCGATACGGAACGCGTGAAAGCCACGGGGAAATACCCACCGGAACCGTCGGAATCCACAGTTCATGGCCGCGAAGTTCACGTAGCCAAGCAGAAGCAGACTCAGAAAGAGGTCAAGGGCGATGTGGAGATAACGAGGAAGATCACAGCCACAGAGACCACGGAGGTCGAGCACAAAGGGAAGACGCAGGAACGTGTGGTTCAGGGCCAGGTAAAACCGGCGAAACCGCCCGTGTTCACGAAGAAGATTCAGCCCTGCAGAGCATTCGAGCAGGAGCAGGCTAAATTCGAGGTCGAATTCGACGGAGATCCATTGCCGACCATCAAATGGTACCGCGAGGATTTCCCGATCCAAAATTCGGCCGACCTGCAAATCTACACCTTCAGCACGAAATCCGTGTTGATCGTCCGGCAAGTCTTTATGGAAGACTCCGGCGTCTTCTCCGTTATCGCTGAGAACAGGGGTGGAAAGGCCAAATGCAGCGCCAACTTGGTCGTGGAGGAGCGCAGAAGGCAACCTGGACGAGGAGGCGCCATACCACCCAGTTTCTTATCGACAATCCAATCTACCTCGTTAGCTACCGGTCAGCTGGCTAGATTCGACGCCAAGATCACTGGCACCAAACCCTTGGACGTTTATTGGCTCAAGGTAATTTCAACAGACTGAATCTGTTGGCTCGACTGGCATGGTTTGTCGCAGAGGAAACAAGAGCTTTGAATTTACTTGACTCCTAACCCGTCGCTTTTTCGTTGCAGAATGGCAAGAAAGTAACGGCGGATATCCGTTACAAGACTTTGGAAGAAGACAATACGTACACCCTACTGATACTGGAGACGATACCGGAGGACACCGGCAAATACGAGTGCGTCGCGATCAACAGTGCTGGTGAAGCGCGCTGCGAAGCGGAATGCACCGTTCGCGGGCCTCAATCCCCGGCGAAGACCGCAAAACCCACGACGCCGACAGCGGAGAAAGCGCCAACCGTGTTGGAGCCATTGAGGGATCAAACTATCAAGGAGGGAACTTCAGTCGCCTTTGCCTGCAGGATCGCAGGGAAGCCGGTTCCCACTGTACAATGGAAGAAGGCCGACAAGGTGAGCAGCATTAAAACTGACAAACCCAAATTCAATAAAACTGTCCAATCTCGTCCGCTTGACTGCCCTCGCCTTTGCAGGTGATCAAGCCGTCCAAGTACTTCCAAATGCAGAAGGAAGGCGACCTGTGCACTCTGAAGATCTCCGAGGCGTTCCCCGAGGACGAAGGTGTCTACAAATGTATCGCTAAGAACCCCGCCGGTGAGGTCACCACGTCCGCCAACCTCAGAGTTCTCGGTAAGAGGAGAAAGAGAAAGATGCAATTTTCATTCATCCTGTTTCTTGTCGATATATCGTCGTGCGGAAAGAAGAACTATTTATTGTTTATTGCTGAGTAGCACCCGACACGGCCGACGTGCTGCCGAAATTGACACCACTGAAGGACCAGATCGTCATGGAAGGTCAGCCGGCGCAATTCAAGACCCAAGTGAGCCCGGCGAAACCCAAACCGACGATCCAATGGTACCGCGAAGGCGCCTTGATCCCGCAATCGCCGGACTTCCAGGTAAATAATTCGCCGTAGCTTGATCTCGTTCACGAGAACGACACTCAGGGGGAAATGTATGACGTGTCGCTTTCAGATGATTCACGAAGGCAACAACGCGGTGCTACTCATAGCAACCACCTACGAGGAGGACACCGGCACCTTCACCTGCCGCGCTACAACTTCGGCCGGTACCGTAGAAACGTCCGCCAAACTCATCGTCAAAAGTAAGAATTGAATCCAAGATACAGATTCGATTGCTAACACGATACGCGATTGGACAGTCATATTCATGCGACTCCAAGAGACTGCCGGAGACGAACGTATCACTATACACTCGAGACAGTGGCATGACAAAGTTAACTCACGTATGACATTTAGCAAATTAATCTTGGTAACTAACCACGTTGAAGACATTGAAGAAAGTAACATTTAACTCCTCTTCATCCCGTTTGTACGTTCTGCGCGTTGCGTCGGCCGTTCCACTTGCAATTTATCGCGATGATATCTCCCGTACTCCCGTACTCTTCGTATACGCACACATGTGTACACAACGACACGAGAGGTGTTTCGATTCGTCCGCCAGGATCGTTTCAGCTGAACGTCGGTCAGCTGATAATCCTCAACGACGTGACGTGACACAGCGAAACGGATGCAAAGGGACGTAGACGTGTGTGAAGTCTTGACTATCGAGTTCGTGATTTCTTCTAATATATACATAGTTTATCGTTCTCTCATTAAGCGCGCCCCGTATTTAGCGCAACTGTCGCGACTAACTATCGTATTCTCGTATATCGTCTCAAGTGTCTCAACCGTCTCCGCGCAGCGCGATCGCACCATGTCTAATGTGTCTGCTGCAATATTTTTTTACTTTTTTGTGCTTTCTTCTATTTTCTCCCCTTTTTTTTATCTTTTCGTTGCCTCTATGAAACGTAACCCGTCGACCTGCAGGCTAGTGTTACTCAACCTCCGTCTCAAACACCCTCTAATCAAAAGTGTCGTACGCGTTCGGGGAGTTTGTACTAACTCGTCGTGTTTTGAGAGAATAGCCGAGCGAGTGAAACGAGGCAGTAATTAACGGCACTCAAAGTGAGAGACTGCAATCACGAAAGTATATACACTCGTATATATACCTCGGAGAAAAATTACGGTGAAAGAAGGAAAAAGAAAGGAAACACATCACACGCGGCGAGTACGCACGCAACTGTCGCGAAGGTGGTGCTGAGAGAATGACGTGCTGCTAAAGGCACGAATCGAATATCCGTGTGGAAATCGAAATCGTTTTCTAGCGCGATCGGTCGGGACGGGAGCGTAGTGCGCGGATGATTTTCAATATCAACGTAGGCGGATGTGTCCGATTGGAGCGAGACGTCGTCCTACGAGTGTCCCGCGCCGTGTTTGTACTTAATTTTTAATCTCAGGACAAAAGTGTGATTCTTCGCAACCTTTCTACGATAAACTATCTCTGCTACCAGCTCTGTAAATAGGTGCTCTGTTATCGTCAAACACAAAGTACATGCGCGACTTTAACGCGAATATCTCATCATACATTCGAAAGGAAGAGAAAAAGAAACAGAGAAAAGGAATGATTAACGGCGCTGCGATTGCGTGAAACACATAACTCGTTTACTCGTTCGCTCTAGTGTCGATGTTTACTGCAAAAGAGTATATCATAAAGTGAAAAAGTATATATATATATATATATATATATATATATATATATACATATGCATATGCATATACATACATATTTACACGTATATACATATCATCTTCTCGCTACATATATGTACGCCCACTGCTATCATAAATATTCATTTAATAGAGAAGAACAGCAGCACGCATACGCATACGGATAGGGATTATCGTCTAACGTCTTTACTAATTGACTATTTATTATTGTACAATGAAAATCCCAATAAAACCGAATGTTCGAAATACGTACAAGTCTCGTTTGTTGTCGTTTCGATAAGCCGTCGTCTAATTGTTAATAACACATACCTTCGTCGTGAAAATGACGATTTCAACGCGACACCACGACTGCCCGATATGAAGAGAACACTCGTGGCGATGGAAGATTCAATTTCCAACTTAGCGCAACACATGTACATCCGTAACACACACGCAAAAGTTGCACGATCACTAATTAAACACGCCTCTATGGGCACCAAGCGTGGATTAATCTAGATCGTCACGCTCGATACCCACGTAATGGGATAACGCGTCCGATAAAATAAGAAATACTTACCGTTCAGCCTCTTTGTAACGGAGAACGTTGCTCCGTTGAATTATCCAAAGCGTATCGCGCACGAGAAAGAGAAAATACGCGATACGCATGATACTAGAAGACGAGTCGTTTGTACAACGTACTCTCTCTCTCTCTCTCTCTCTCTCTCTCTCTCTCTCTCTCTCTCTCTCTCTCTCTCTCTCTCTCTCTCTCTCTCTCTCTAAATTCCTTTCAACGAAATTCAGCTCGAACAATAGAGTGACAACCGAGTAATACCGGGATCCCCGATTGTTGGATTAGTGAATCTGGATTGTGCGATTGGCATAACCGGCGATTAGACTCGAGTAACAAACACTTTCTCGGAGTAACCAGCTCGCGTGATTATACTTACACATGAGAATATTTTATATCGCATCTGTCACGCGGCACACGTTCCAAACGAGAAGCAGATGCAGTGCCGTGTGCACACTCAGCTAGGCCCTTTTCTCAGGCTATTTTTGAGCGCGTGATATGTATTACATTACCTGGCTATATTTGGCCGCGCCGGCTCAGAACTCCGCGAAGACTCCACGATGTCGACGACGACGGCTTGGGTCGCTCGAGCGTTCTCGCTTACACAAGCTTTCGCTTGGACGAATTATTCTGAGCTGGCGTATGACACTTGTGTCACTTTTGCGGCGTTTTTCTCTCTTATTATTATCGTGCGACGAAAGCAATCGGTTCGCCGCAGGATCGGATTCCTGCTTCTCGGACGCGAGATACGTCCAAACGAAATATTATCTTCGTGATCAAGTTGAGCCAAGTACGCGCGCGTGTTACATCGCCGAGACATATGCTGCTGGACGCGAATACGTTCGCAAATACTCGCAAATTCGATGTAAACATCCCTCAGTCTCGGAAATTGATCTTCGACAATCGGCACTCAACCCTCGAAAACGTCGGACGAGTATACTCCAAAGGACATAGCATGCTTTCTTAGCTATCGCCAAGTGTCTACCCAAAGGATAAAAAAAAATTACCGCAGCTCGTTCCTCGCGTGGTAAATATGATTCATCGATACCTAAGAGGGTGACGCTTCATCGATGACTAAGAGGGTGACGCGTGACACTCAGCGGACCTCGAGATCGACCTTGAAGATGGAACGAACTTACTCGCCCATGAGAAAAATGGACTCGCTGATTCATCAAGGAGACATTCTTTTCCGCGGGCTCATCTCTTCGTCTTCGATCCTAGACTACCACCTTCGACTTCCACGAAGTCGGCACGATGATTTCGGGAGAAGCTGGCCGAGGCAGTTGACTATTTTGGCTCCGCCTCGAGCCAGCTGCCAATGATTCAGTCATGCCAGAAATAATATGGGGAAGCGCGTGTCAGCGTACTCTGCAAAACGAGAGGAAATTATTTTTAGTAAAGCAGCGACTCGGCGGTCAAGATATACGGCAGGATATATTACAGCGATCTAACGCAGCGGCCAATTAATGACACGCCGGTGTGACCGTGCACTTCGTCCAATCGATAAGGAATGTCTCGCGAGAGGGATATGAATCAGTAATACGCCAAATTCTTCAAGCGTCGTTCTATTTCATTTCATCCTTCATTTCGTTTGATTTTAATTATGATATCCGACGATATAGATAATCAATGATTCGACAAATAATTTTCCTGATTTAAAGGGGAATTATTACTTGAAGAACAGGCACCTACTACCGCTTCATATTCCTTGTCGGTCATTCTGTGCAATTAGAGAGCAAGCAATAAAACTTTCATTTATCGTTTGAAAATATAGTGCAAGCTCGCGCTGATTGACACGAGGGCTTAATTAGTCTTCTGTATGAATTCGTTCTGCTGTGGAGAGAGAAGAAATTATGATATACTATATTTTCAAGCAATACAAATGGTCTGCCGCAATACTATTGCGTGCGTATCGGACAGTCATAAAATTGATGAGGATGAGGAACAGGATTGCGACAAGAATAAACACCAGTCCAGAATGTCGATCTCCTTGCATTTATTTTTAATTCTGTATACAATCACATCAGCGAGAAATCCGGTCTCTCGTGATTTATCGAATAAACTGTATGTCATCGTGTAGAAAATAGTAGATCACTATCCCTGTACATACACGCGGCACGTGTAAACATACTTCTTTGAGTTCCCGATAAACACCCAAGCGTAGATCAATAAATTTAGGCTTTCCGAGCGCCGAAAACCGAGGCCCGACACTCTCTCACTCGATTCTCCGAAGATCCAGCGTTATTATCACGACGTAATGAAGTAACAATCGCAGTTTGCGGAAGAGTTTCACCCGAGAAATAACTATAAAGAAGCCCGATAACAAAGGGAAGCGCTCCGTTTGTTTCGGCCGATTAAAATCGAAATGCACTTGAGACAACGAAAACTGCCGAAAGACCAGACGCGCGATATTTCCGAACGTACACGAAACGACACATCCGTCCTCGAGATACGCGAGGAGCAGTTATTGAAAGGTCCACCGTTCAAAGTACGTTCAAAATACGAATATTCGAAATGCACCACCTTCACAGCACCGCGACAGCAAACGGACTCGAGTATGTCCGATTCAAACGACGGCTGCTCGACTTCGATCGAGCCGACGTGCGACAGCTCCTTGCGAAGTGATGCTTTCGAACGAAGAACGAGATGCGTCTCTCGTCGACCACGAAGGCAACGTAAACCACGCGATATGTCTCTCTTTCACTTTCGACCTCTTCGCACTGAAAACCTTGTGAATCACTGTGACATCAACACTTCGTTCGTGTGGCAGACAGCAAAAGCCACGCTTTTCCCCCGTTCCTGTGCCTTCGACTTCCAACTGATCACTATTAGCTAGACGTAGCGAGAAGTAGGGGCGTGGGTCTCTTGGTCACGTCAAGGATCCCCACCGAGTTACTCTGTGCGGGAGGCTACTCCGAGGGAGGCTCACGAGCAACGTGAAATCCGCGAATGAACCGCTCCTCTCACGCGACCACATTTAATATTATCCATTATCGCGACTTCCCGCGCGCCTCTCCGTATCTATTAATGTTAATGATGTCGCGCGAGCGTCATCCCACCGTCATCACAACAGCACAGTGTTTTATCGTATTTTAGAGGAGAAACGCCTACGCACTCTTGAACCTACGATGACAAATCCTTATTCAGGCTATGCGAAAATAACACAAGGCGTGTGGACTCACGTGCCTCGTGTTTTTACAGCAGGCACCTGACTTGTAGTTTCAGCTTGCGTTCAGCTGGTGTCAAACTTTACTTATTGAGCAATATCTATATGTTTGTCTGTGTGTATGTGTATAGCTTGTATGTGAGAGAGTCTTAATTTTCAGCTGTCTACTGACAATGTTGAATTCAAGCGTCATTGTCAAACGAAGACAGTTAAATATATTGCCTCACTCATCATTATTAATAACTCGAATAAATCGCTTTTCCTCCGAGGTTGGTGGTTTGGCGAACTGCCTTGATTTCTGCGCCGAGCTATTAATTTGGCCAAATTCCATTCGTAGCGTTACTCGATAATTACGAAATAAATGCACTTGCAAATTTACAGTCGAACTCCAAACATTTATGCAATTAACTCTGAAATGGATCAAAGCTGAGGCGTTGACGAGTTGCGATTTTGCACCTTTTTTCCTTTTTATTGATCTAATAGCATGACGACAGGTTCGAGTGCAACATGAAAGAAGCTTCCACTCAACTCGATGTGTGTTGTGGCATGGTGTGAAATAAACAGTCGAGAATGTTCATAGTTGCTCAAAGCAGCTTCTCATGATAATTTGCAGAGAGAACAGAAGTCCGCTACGCGGTTCCCGCGGAAACTGGTGCCGACACCGAATTGGATGGGGAATTTGGTCCGAAGTTGAAAAAGGGTATCGTGTTGAAACCCTTGAGTCACGATGTAGATGGTTTACCTGTTGAAGTACAGCTTCAACCAGGCGACGAGTCACTACCTTGGCGGAAGGGACGAGTTCAGCATCGATCTCGAGTCGGCGATTCGGCACCATGGAGAAAGGTGAAACCGAAATCAAGAGATTCCTCCTTGGACAAACTCCGAGCCTTCGAGAGTCAGATAAAACCATGGACGGAGGAAGAAGTGGTTTTGAAGAAAACTCCACAGGTCGTCAAAGACGTGGCGAAAGAAAAGCTGGAAGAAGTCGAGTTGAAACCAGCAAAGATCGAGAAGAAAGAAATCCTAGCACCTGGTCTCGAAACCGTCAAGTTGAAATCCGTACCCAAAGATACGACAAAGATTGTCGAGACTGAGGAAAAGATCGTACGTGAAGATGATACCGCAACTCAACTTTACACAGAGGAATCGGATACCACTTTGTTGAAAAGATCACGTCGTGTGGATGAAACTTTGTTGAAAAAGGAAAAAGCCGAAGAAGTAAGACCATGGACGGAGGAGCAAGTAGCCTTGAAGAAAACTCCACAGGTCGTCAGAGAAGTGGCGAAAGAAAAACTGGAGGAAGTCGAGTTGAAGCCGGCAAAGATCGAAAAGAAAGAAGTCCAAGCACCTGGTCTCGAAACCGTCAAGTTGAAATCCGTACCCAAAGATACGACAAAGATTGTCGAGACCGAGGAAAAGATCATACGTGAAGATGATACCGCAACTCAACTTTACACGGAGGAATCGGATACCACTTTGTTGAAAAGATCGCGTCGTGTGGATGAAACTTTGTTGAAAAAGGAAAAAGCCGAAGAGGTAAGACCATGGACGGAGGAGCAAGTAGCCTTGAAGAAAACTCCACAGGTCGTTAGAGAAGTGGCGAAAGAAAAACTGGAGGAAGTCGAGTTGAAGCCGGCAAAGATCGAAAAGAAAGAAGTCCAAGTACCTGGTCTCGAAACCGTCAAGTTGAAATCCGTATCCAAAGATATGACAAAGATTGTCGAGACCGAGGAAAAGATCGTACGTGAAGATGATACCGCAACTCAACTTTACACGGAGGAATCGGATACCACTTTGTTGAAAAGATCGCGTCGTGTAGATGAAACTTTGTTGAAAAAAGAAAAAGCCGAAGAAGTAAGACCATGGACGGAGGAGCAAGTAGCTTTGAAGAAAACAAAACCAAAAACGACAAAAATTGCAGAAATAGATAGTATAGAAAAGACAGACTACGTCGAACAGGAAGACACTTCTCTGCTCACTATTACGAAGGACGAAGAAATGCGAAAGATAAAGAAAGAACAGTTTGTTCCAGAGAAACCAGAGCAGCCTAAACCATGGACAGAGGAGAAGATCGCCTTGAAAAAGGCGAAACCGGAGAGAAAAGAGACACCTAAGGAAACATTAGAGACTGTCTCGTTGAAACCTTCGAAGATAGTACGAAAAGACATCGCAAAGCCAACTTTGCAGAAGATAGATCTCAAACCAGTTCCGATCGAAGGACCCGAAATCATTCCAGTGGAAGAAGTTTCACGGGTTGACGTCACTACGGTCAAAGAAACGACAATGGAAAGCAAAGAGATAGACAAGATAATTATAGATCAGACGGATAAGACCAAACCGTGGACAGAGGAGAAGATTACTTTGAAGAAATCCAAGCCTGTCCGGAGAGAAGTAGAGAGAGAGATAATAGAAACGGTAGAATTAAAACCATCTAAACCAACGAAATTGGAAATCCGAAAGCCGAGTTTAGAGAGGGTAGATTTAAAACCATTCACAAAAGAAAAGAAGGATACAAGTGTTACAGAAACCACCGAGAAAGCCGATTATATTGAACAAGAAGATACCACATTACTTCAAGTTTCGAGAACTGAGAAAGAAGTAACCTTGCCAAAGGCAACGCGCGAAATCAAAGACACGGCACCGTATGCTGAAGAAGAAGACACCTCTTTGCTTAAAATTACATCCGAACGAGAAACCACGATTAAAGTCGACAAGAAACCAAAGAAGGAAGAGGAAGTTCCAGAAAAAACGCCACAGGCTAAACCATGGACGGAAGAAAAAGTGATGTTAAAGAGAACCAAACCGGAACAGAAAGAAATACATAAAGAAACTCTGGAGGAAGTTTCACTGAAGCCGATGCAGAGAGTAGAAAAGATAGTATCAAAGGAAGAAGTTGAAAAGGTAGATTTGAAACGTGTAAAAAAGACGGAAGAGATTGAAGAGAAGGAAAGTACTGTTGTAAAACGTGACGTTAAAAAGCCGCAAGAAAAAGCACCGTATCATGAAGAAGAGGATAAGGCTATTCTCGAAATAAGTAAAGATGTGGAATCTATTAAGAAAAAGACGTTGGAGAAAACTATTCGACCAAAAGATGAGAAACAACCATACACGGAAGAGGAAGATAAAACGATTCTCGCAGTCGACAGAACCGACGAAACAACTGAAAAACTTATAAAAGAGGAAGTACCTGTACCGTGGATAAGAGGAAGGAAAGCGAAAGAAAAGAAACAAGCCGAGGAAAAGCCAGAAGAGGCGCTTCCGATATTCAAGATTCCTTCTGAAGATAAACCACGGAAGATAATTGAACTGAAGGAAGAACCAATCGAAGATATACGGGCAGTAACGCTGAAACCAGTAAAACGCCCAGAACGAACTCAAGAAGTCATCGAACAGGAGAAAGTTGAATTAAAGCCGGTACCACGTGTACCAAAGGTAGAAAAAGAGAAAGAAGAGATTACACTAAAACCTATTCCGAAGCCAAAAGTTGAGGAAAGAGAAACAAAGTTGGAGCCGTCACTAGTAAGTAAACCTGGAGAGAAACCAGAAGAGGATAAGCCCTCGGAGGTTTCGGAAGCTCCTTGGCGTCGTAAATCAAAGCCTGTAAAAATCCAACAAAAAGAAGAAGCGCCAGAAGAGAAAGTTGAGGAACGAGTAGAATTACCTTGGAAACGCGGAAAGAAACCAGCTGTTGTTAAACCAGAAAAACCAGAGGAAGAAGTAAAAGAAGACATCAAGGAAATATCCGAAGTAGCATGGCGTAAACCAAAGAAAGATAAAATGATCAAAGTTGTTAAGGAAGAACCACAGGTCGAAGACATTACGTCCGTCGTGTTAAAACCGACAAAACGGCTAGAAAAGCCGGAAGAAAAGAAAACGACGGAAGAGATTATACTTAAACCAGTAAAACGATTACCTAAAGAAATAGAAGAACGCGAACAAATCACTTTAAAACCATTTACGAAGGAAAAAGAAGTAGAAACATTAAAACCTGAGAAAATCAGTGAAATTACTAATGGGGAAGTACCTAGTGAAAAAGTAGAATTACCATGGCGACGTGGTAAAAAATTAGAGCAAAAAATACTACAGGAGATTGAGAAACCTAAAGTCGAAGAAATAACACCTGAGCCGGTTAAAAAAATAGGAAAGCCAGAAAAACCGGAAGAGAAACCTGAAATAGTACAGCTGAAACCAGTGAAGAGGAGAGAGAAACCTGAAGAGCCGAAACCTGAAGAAGTAATCCTCAAACCTGTGAAGCGGCTTCCCAAAGAGGAGGAAACGAAGGAAGAAATCTCTTTGAAACCTGTGGAAAGAAAGAAACCAGAAGAGAAACCTGAGGCAGTTCAGCTGAAACCAGTGAAGAGGAGAGAAAAACCGGAAGAACCGAAACCTGAAGAAGTAATCCTCAAACCTGTGAAACGGCTTCCCAAAGAGGAAGAAACAAAGGAAGAAATCTCTTTGAAACCTGTGGAAAGAAAGAAACCAGAAGAGAAACCTGAGGCAGTTGAGTTGAAACCAGTAAAGAGGAGAGAGAAACCGGAAGAACCGAAACCTGAAGAAGTAATCCTCAAACCTGTGAAACGGCTTCCCAAAGAGGAAGAAACAAAGGAAGAAATCTCTTTGAAACCTGTGGAAAGAAAGAAACCAGAAGAGAAACCTGAGGCAGTTGAGTTGAAACCAGTAAAGAGGAGAGAGAAACCGGAAGAACCGAAACCTGAAGAAGTAATCCTCAAACCTGTGAAACGGTTTCCCAAAGAGGAAGAAACAAAGGAAGAAATTTCTTTGAAACCTGTGGAAAGAAAGAAACCAGAGGAGAAACCTGAGGCAGTTGAGTTGAAACCAGTAAAGAGGAGAGAGAAACCAGAAGAACCGAAACCTGAAGAAGTAATCCTCAAACCTGTGAAACGGCTTCCCAAAGAGGAAGAATCAAAGGAAGAAATTTCTTTGAAACCTGTGGAAAGAAAGAAACCAGAAGAGAAACCTGAGGCAGTTCAGTTGAAACCAGTGAAGAGGAGAGAGAAACCAGAAGAACCGAAACCAGAAGAAATAATCCTCAAGCCTGTGAAGCGGCTTCCCATGGAGGAAGAAACAAAGGAAGAAATTTCTTTGAAACCTGTGGAAAGAAAGAAACCAGAGGAGAAACCTGAGGCAGTTGAGCTGAAACCAGTAAAGAGGAAAGAGAAACCGGAAGAACCGAAACCTGAAGAAGTAATCCTCAAACCTGTGAAACGGCTTCCCAAAAAGGAAGAATCAAAGGAAGAAATTTCTTTGAAACCTGTGGAAAGAAAGAAACCAGAAGAGAAACCTGAGGCAGTTCAGTTGAAACCAGTGAAGAGGAGAGAGAAACCAGAAGAACCGAAACCAGAAGAAGTAATCCTCAAACCTGTGAAACGGCTTCCCAAAGAGGAAGAAACAAAGGAAGAAATCTCTTTGAAACCTGTGGAAAGAAAGAAACCAGAAGAGAAACCTGAGGCAGTTGAGTTGAAACCAGTAAAGAGGAGAGAGAAACCGGAAGAACCGAAACCTGAAGAAGTAATCCTCAAACCTGTGAAACGGCTTCCCAAAAAGGAAGAATCAAAGGAAGAAATTTCTTTGAAACCTGTGGAAAGAAAGAAACCAGAAGAGAAACCTGAAGCAGTTCAGCTGAAACCGGTGAAAATAGAAAAGCCTGAAGAAGAGAAGCCCGCGGAAATATCAGGAATGCCCTGGCGCCGTGGTAAACGAGTCAAAAAGGTTGTCGATTTCAAAGATGAAGTTACCGTAGTACCTATCGATCAAGAAGAATCGGTCACAGAAGTTTCCGAAGAGAAAGAAACAATGATAATTGCAACTAATGATATTCAGGAACAAATCGAAAAGAAAGTGGAACCTATTCAACTTCAAGAAGAAAAACGTGTAACGGAAGAAGTGGTGGAAACGACTGAAGTTTCGTGGAGGAAGAAAAAGCCAAAACCAATAAAATTAGAAGAGAAAAAAGAAACTGTTGTATTGAAGCCTGTTGAAAAAGTACAGAAATTGGAACCAAAGAAACAACCCGAAGAACATGTACCGACTGTAATTAAAGAGGAAATAGTAACCGAAGTAGTTGAAAAGGATGTAATTCAACTGAAACCGGTTCCCAAGGAAGTCGAGGAAAAAGAAGTAATAGAGGAAGTTAAATTAAAGCCGGTGATTAAAGAAGAAATTACAAAAGAAAGACCAAAGGAGGAGAAAATCGAGTTGAAACCTGTAAAATTGGAGGAACAAATAACGAAAGTGAAAGAAGATGAGATCGTTACTAAAGTAACTGAAATAAAGAAGAAGCGAGAGGAGATTGTCCCTATTATTGAAGAAAAACAAAAAATTGTCACAGAAATAGAAGAAATTAAAGAGATCGAAGACATCGAATTGCAAGTTAAAAAAGATATCGCGCAAATGGAAGATCGTAAGAGAAAACGCAGACAACGTACTCAAGTTGATATTTCCATTATGGATAAAGATAAAACTGTTGCTCCGCGATTTATACAAAAATTACAACCTGTTATCGCTGAACTAGAAAGTCCCGCCAAGTTTACGTGCACCGTCATAGGTAAACCAACCCCCGAAATTTCTTGGTATAAAAATGAACAAGAACTCCATGCGAGTGAGAAGTATACAATGACAATATATGAGACAACGGCAGCTTTGGAAATTACAAAAGTAAAAGAAGAAGACGCTGGACTATATTCTTGCAGAGCTTCCAATCCAGCTGGGGTGGCAACATCCACTGTCAATCTCGTGATATTCGGTAGTAATATTACTGAGTGTGGAATCCATTTAACCTCTTGACTTTTATTAGAATCTAGATGACATGACTTACACTTAATTGCAAATTTTTCATATTTGTATAACCTCCTTCACTCATGTCTATAGGATGGTAGTTTCATGCATCACTATAAATAATTGAATGTCTTCCATGATCTTTATATTCACCGATAAATTGAGAAATTCTTTCCCTAAAGTGCGAATTAAGTAACAATAGTTTGCGAAATGATGAACGTCGCTTGAATGTGTGATAGCGCACGGTGTGCATTGATTAGATTATTCTTAGCTTCCAATTGATCAGGTGTGTTATATCCTCGCACTTGCTTTTTCAGAAAAAGAAGAAGAAGGAGTAGCACCGCATTTCCCAACGCCAATCAAGCCGCTGGTGGTTGAAGAACACAAGCCTGCTTTATTGGAGTGCGTTGTGACCGGCACTCCGATGCCAGAAGTGAAGTGGTATCGTGGTGAGAAAGAGGTGAAACCGAACGAAAGGACCGAGCTAACATTCAACCCGACGACCGGAGAAGCCAAACTTCAGATTCTGGAACCAACTCCCGAAGACGAAACAGTCTATCGCGTTCGCGCCGTGAATAAATTCGGCCGTGCCGAGTGTAGAGCTAATCTGGTGATCAGTAATATCGTGAGAGTCAGCAAACCTGTCGTCCTCAGAGCACCGCGAATCACGCGACCTTTGCCCGCTCTCGTAGCGGAACGCGGAAAACCTCTGAAGCTGTCGGCTGACTTTGACGGTGTACCCAAGCCAGACGTCAAGTGGTTCCGCAATGGCGTTGAAATTACACCGACCGACAAGCGCAAGATAAACATCTACGAAAGCACAGCCGAGCTTCTTGTGTCGGACCTGACAAAGAAGGACGGCGGCAAGTACGAGATCAGAGTGCAGAACGAAGCCGGCGAAGCGAGAAGTTCGAGCTCCGTTACCGTAACGGAACGTGAGGATACTACGAGCGAGGTAAAAGCACCGAGATTCGTGGAACCGATTCAGCCTCAACTCGTCGCGGAAGGAGAAGTCGTCATCATGGAGACAAAAGTGGAGTCTTATCCGGCGGCTTCCTTCCAATGGTTCCACGAAAGCAAACCTCTCGAGGTAGGTATCCGAAGCTGCTTCTCTCGTATTTCCAGGTAACTAACTTATTGCATAATCGTCGAGAACGTTGATACGTTGAGTATCGTTGATACGTTCATCAAGATCACGTGAGATTAACAGAGAATATCATTTTCGTTACAGTCAACGCCACAGGTAAGGATCGTGACCCAAGAGAACAGATCGATCTTGATGGTGAAGCAAGTCACACCAGAACTCGCCGGCACCTACACCTGCCGTGCCGAGAATGTCGGCGGCTCTGTCACCTGCACGGCTAGCGTGAACATTACGGAGATCAAGTGGGAAGAAGCGGTTGAATTAGTTTCGCCGACGTTTGTCAAGAGGCTCTCGCCTGTAAGAGTTATGGACGGCGAAAGCGTGAATTTAACCTGCGTTGTCGAAGGGAAACCGACGCCCAGAGTCGAGTGGTATCACAACGACAGACCGATCAATGAAGGCAAGGAAATCACAATTATCCAAGATACGGAGGGTGTCTGCAGCCTAGCTATCACCGAGGTATTCCCGGAGGATGCTGGAGAGTACACATGCCGCGCTGTGAATCCCGTTGGCGAGGCAGTGTGCAAGTCATCGCTTGTCGTTGAAGGTACGTGTGTTATTAAACGTCGCAAGAAATGTTTTACGGTTTGTGACGGCTGTACGTTGTACGACACTCTACGACGGTCGACTTCGTTTCCAGCCTACGAGTACGTGCCAGACTCGGAGATTGCGTCATCGATAGTTGCGACATCCCTTACCACAGGCTCCGAGGAAGATCTCCTGTCACCGAAAGTACGTTCACACGAGATACAGCGAGATTACGAGATTTTAGATAAGACGACGTTTGATACTGATATTTATATCCTATCTCCTCAGGAAACCCCTATCTTTGACACTGACGTGGAAGAATTCGCACCAGAAATAACCAAAAAGCTTCCTCAGTTAGTTCCCACCAAAGACGGGGAATTAACCAGGTATGTTGAAAAGATACTCGACGAGTGCGTGACGATTAACACGGTCACACGTATATTTACATTAAGCATCAGCGTAATCTTAATAGCTGGAGACTTAATGCATGTTGTAGACACGCTTACTCATGAATTTCTCTTGTACAGATTGGAAGTGAAGGTGAAAGGTAAACCAAAACCAGAGGGAAAATGGTACAAGCAAGGCGTGGAGATTGTCTCATCGCAAGAATTCCAAATAGAGGAATTCGAAGATGGTACGTCAGTGTTGACGATCGCCGAAACTTACCCCGACGACACAGGGGAAATCGTATTCGAAGCTCACAACCCACTCGGGGTATCAACTACGACGGCATATTTATCAGTAGAAGGTAATATCTTCTTCTTGGAAATTTCTGAGAACTTTACTGATCCGTTTAAGACAAGTTGTTTTCAGCTGCATTCTTCGATTGGAGAAACGTCATCGAAGCATCCTTCCCATATAATATCCCGGTAAAAACCTTGCTGAAGCATTCCACATTCCCGACGACATCCACACTAGACACTCGGAACATCCTCGACTCTTCTATTTTATCAATCACAAATTTCACTCGAGTCCACGAATCTCTTTGGTCCCTCTTGAATTCGCCTATCTGTTTGAATGGCAAAGGGACCAAGGTGATTCACCATGGTGCGTTCTTGTTTCTGATTATCGTTCCGTCGACCAGGTATACTTGGAACGAAAGAGTATCGCAAACCACAATGGGTCACGCAGATGGAAGAAATGCAAGAAGCGCTAAGAGGTAAGAATCATGTTCACCGCCTGGACGTGACCGATCGCATGCCGAGTGACGCAGAGTGTAGCTTCTCGAGTGATAGCCTAGACGATCGCGCAATCAGAGATGAAAGCTCTCAAAGGGACAGTTCGACCGTGATCAGTGAATTTTCGTCAACCAAGACCTTAATGAACATTGGCGACGACGCCAAGTTACCTCTTGACGAAGGTGAGATTGCTTCGAAGGAATGCCTTTCGTCGAGAAGATATTCCGATCCCGTGGTAACCGAGGAAAACGCTGCTGAAATAAGATACTCTTGGCAAATTTCTCAAGAGAAACTAAATTCGACGGAATCTAACTTGGAGCTGCGGTTACAACAGAAAGAATTAATTGAACAGCATGTTGAATCTAAATACGTCTCATATACGATGCCATTAAAAAGCAGGAAGAACATACTCGCAAAGTCCAGCATGGGCAGCAAAAAGGTCAAATCCGGCTCCGCTATCGAGAAATCACACGCTACATCAGTGGTTGAATCAAAGAGAACCTCTACATCAATCTCAAGAAACATTGCAGAAATGAGACGTCAAAGACGCAAACAGAGCGTGAAATTGCCAAGCGTGCCAAAACAGCAATCTCCAACTGCGATAGAAAGCGCCGAGTATATTGCTCAAAGAAAAATTGCTGGGAAATCATTCGCGAGCGTTGAATCCTCATGCCATGAAGAGCAGAAAGCCAACGAGGCCAAAGTCTGCGAGGATTGTTCACTGCTCGGTGAAATTTCTATGAGTACGTCGATGAAGAGTAAAAGGAGGAAAATCGTCCTCGATTTCGGCGAATTTCCGCCTCCGAGGCACGAGAGAAGGACTCAAGAGCCAGAGTTCTCTCAACTAAGCGCTACAACTTCTCCGGATAATCCGAAATCGGAATTCTACCTGTCGCCAATCAAAAAAAGCGGCGAGGCGCCAAGTGACCGAAACAAGTCAGACGCAACAGGCGTCGCCGGAAAACCCATAATTAAATCGACTTATACCTATAGAAGGAAGTACCACACGTATCCGAAGTCAAGGATCCCAGTCGCGAAGTACTCGAAGGAGCGACGACTCGAGAATTACCCCGCAGACCCAAGGATGTTCCCGTTGGAACCGAGAGAAATCGATCTGGAGTCTTTTCAGCAATTGCACACGGCGGATAGCCAAGAAGAACTGCAAGAATTCTTACTGCTCGAAAGCCAATGCAGCGGAAATCTCGGCTTGGCCAGCGACATGTCTGAGGCAACTTACGACGATCACCCTAGCGAAGACGAGGGGGGATCGATGTCAGGTAGAGTCTCGCTTAAAACTAACGATAGGGGTGTGACGTTTCGAAATAATCGTGCATGAATTTTTTCTGTGTGTTTCTGCCTAATCAGATTACTGACATCAGATTTGTGCGAGCGACCTCCACGTCGGATATAGTATCAGGTAAGAGAGATTCTCGTATCGCTTGATTCGTCTCAGCATCGTGGAAAAGCGTTTACGTAGTAATGTTACAGAAAAGATATAACGATACGCGATGTTTCAGCCACGCAAGCTATCCCGCGATTTGTCCAAGAGATAACGGACGTTTACGTGAAGGAAGGAGAAACCGCTATATTTGAATGCGTCTACTCTGGTACCCCCAAACCAGGTGATTATTAGCACATAGCGCAAACGTGCTGACTGTGAAGGCGTTTAAGATTTCCTATATTTATTGCTTCTTTTTCAACTTGTAGATATTATTTGGTACAAGAACGATAAGATCCTAATGAACACGGAGAATGTGAAGATACGTATATTCGAGGAAGAGAAGAGAACCACTCTGACGATCAAACGGACTACCAGAGAAGATGACGCTACGTATGTTTGCAAAGCAACCAGCGATATCGGCATGACACTGACAAAGGCCAAACTGCGCGTTGATACTATAAGCGAAAGGGGGCCGGAGGAGGTGATCGAAGAGGAAGAGAAGGTTGAGATAAAACTGAAGAAGCAAGAGGAGAAACCGCATAGAAGGAAGAGAGCCGAAATCAAGAAAGCGAAAGAAACTAAAGAGAAAGTAAAGGTCGAACGCGTCAAGGTGGAGACGGAAGAAATTCATGAGGAGAAGCTCATACCGAAAGAACAGATAGAAGAAAAGTCAGTAATTCTGCATTTTGGTGTCAACCTGACCCTCAAACTTGTTATATTTGCGAATTTTAAATATTTGTCTTTTATATTTTTAGGAGAATCGTCGACGTCGAAGAGACGCAACTTCTGGAAACCGCTGAAATCATAAAGAAGAAAGCAGAGGAGGTACTAAATGAAAAATATGCAATTTTCTTACAATTATATTCCTTCCGTGGCACTTTGCTCAACTGCTACCATCTTTACATTTTAGGTTTCGAAAGCACGAAAAATAGTGCCGATTCAGGAACCGGTTATAACGGAAGCAACAGCTTCCCTGAAGAAAATTGACGATCGAAAGCCGCGAGAGATATCCAAGGTCGAAGAACGCGCCAAACCAATTATTGAGGAACGCGAAAGCGTAGTCGTCGTGTCGGAGATCACGAGCGAAGACACCGCTCCTGACTTCACCGTCGAGACGAAGCTCGATCGCGCTCAGGTCACCTCAGAGACCCTACAGAAGGTTTCGGTCGTTGAGACACATGTCGAGACCAGTGCGCAAGAAACAAGACGCATTGAGGTGAAACAGAAGAAAGCGAAGAAAGTGAGAACGGAGAAGGTCCAAGAGGACATCACCGTAAAGGAGATCGTGGAGCGACAGAAGGAGCATATAGCTCGGGAAGTCGACGAAATTATGGAACTGTTGGACGTGAAAGAATTCGGACCGGGAGAATCTCCTCTTCGGGAACTCGCGACGATTGGCTACTTGGTGCGACAAGGCGTTTCCGTGAATGAGATCAACGAGTGCCTTTATAGGACTGAGATCTTCCCCGCTCTGAAAACACCCGATGCTCAAAACGCTTTGGTACAGTTGGTGGAGAGAAAAGGCCATGGCCCGCTAATCAGCCAAGTGCTCACCGAGGAAACAACGACTGACGAGAGCTTCGTCGCGGCGACGGTCGGTTTCCGCGCTTTTATGAGAATGGTAGAGCTTCAACACGCTACTGTAGAAGAAGTCATCACGCACTTTGCTCCGGAAGACTTCAGACCACGTGCTTGGGAAGTTACAGAAATTTCAGAGGTATATGCAGCTTTATCTGAGTTTAGAACAAAATCACAGAGATTTTTCATTTCAAAGACAATATGCGAGAAATTAATATACTCGTTTTCTGTTCTTCCTTCTTAGGTCGAAACTGAGCAACACGCTACGGAAAGAGTGGGCATTATTCGCGAAACGAAAGTTCATTTCATGGGTAAGCCGAGATAGCAAACTGTGCAATTTTCCGACAAAAAGAACGTGCTTGAAAGTGCTTGAAGCGCACACACGACATTTCGAATTATTTGTAGCTTCCTTTTCGACGAGTTAGCCGTCTCTGTTTTAAGTGTAATCAAACGTTCGTCAGCTCTTCAAGCGATAATGCTGAATTGATCAATCTGATCTGCGTGTCGTTTCGCACACGTGTAGATATTTTCTTCGCTGTCATCCGTTTGGAATTTTCCGAAAGAGTAAGAATTTTCTGATTACAGAGAGGAGAGACGAAAGGAAAGCCACTCATGTGCAGGATATTCGAGAAATTAAAGGTTCGAAACAACGAATTTCAGTGCATGAGACAATTATAAATCGTATGATCAATATTATCGACAAATCAATGTTAGCTGTAGTAAATAGTAGTAGTAGTAGTAGTAGTAGTAGTAGTAGTAGTAGTAATAGTAGTAGTAATAGTGTAGTAAATAGTGCTTCTGCTATTATTTCGCATAATTCCGCCATTGATGCACGACGGTCGACGCCACGTTGCATTTTCGTAATTTTAATTATTTTCACTCTCGATAGACACCATAGTCTCTCTGTGATAAATCAAATTTATCTCTAATCCGGAGGCTCGTCAATTTTCTAGAGATTTAATCACATTTTGATCTCAGTAGTGAAATGTTCACATTCTCGAGATATTTTCTCGTCCACATATATGGAGATTAAGGTATATAGAATGAAAGGAAAAAATGTGCGCTATGGTCGTAAAACAAGCCGATCACTGCTATTGTAACGATCGTTATTTTATTGTGCTTTCAGATGCATGAAGCTTTACTTGATCGAATAATAGCAGTGAGATTTTTCTGCTTACGCCGCTATGCTTTCTACGCGCGACAAAAATCTCATCCCATTCATCCCGTCATACAATATTCCCCTTCGTCATATTTTAATTACCCTATGAGTTCTACTTTGCGTATCAGCTTCGGAAATCAACGCTTCGCGACTCGATGCTCGTTCGCGCTACGCCAAATCTCATTCGAAATGTAAGTGTTATATATTTTTATCGATCTCAACTCGCTCAACAGCAAATGGTATGAGGCGCATGCAAAAGTATTGTACAAGCATGGTCACAAGTAACGATGTCACATACACTACTAAATCTAAAACTAAACTACATTGATTTACACATGTCTAGAAACTCGAACGATTGCCACTTGTTTGTTTGCCAAGCACGTTCAGTGTCTTAGCCAAACACGCGCTCTTTGGTATGAGGTATGCAAGGAAGCGGATGGATCAAGGCTGTCTGATTTGAGTACTCGCTTACCGGTGCGCACCATATCCCTCTGTATGTCTTTCCTTTTGCATAAGGCAGAATGAGAGATATGCAGAAACGAGATGGTCGTTCTCGGAGTGTCTAATACGACAGCCGCGAGATCGAGAGAAAGGGGTTAGCGAGAGGTAGCGAGAGAGTGAAGATATCACGCAACACTCGCATCTGACACAAAATTCTCACATACTTTCCACAGAATACGAGGACACACGGCAGGCACACACAACACTGCGCAAACGCAAAGACAGGACACTGCGGGATCAAATCGAAGAAACCACACAAGATAGGGAAGAGGGGGTTCAGATTGTAAAAGTCGAGGAAGTCGAGGATGTTGAAAAGGAAAGAAAGAAGGAGAAGGAGGAGGAGGAAATTGAGGAAGAAATTATTGTACTAGAACGGGACTCGAAGGGCAGATTGATTCGTAAGCAACAGAAAGATGTGGAGAAACAGATCGATGTCATAGAAGAGGAAGAAACGATCGAGAAGGTCAGGAAGGCGATGGTGCCGAAGAGACCGAATATCGGTAAAGACGAGATCGAACTCGAAGAGATCGAAGAATTTGAAGTGATAAAAGACAAGTCGTTGCCATCTGTAGCATTGAACGTATCCAGCCAACTGAGCCAAGTGATACCGCTCGACCGTACGGTCGAGCAGGCTCCTGGCAAGCCCGAATCGGAGAAGGCCAAGTACACATTGGACACTGTTATCGCGTTAACCGGACAGACTACGTCGATACACGAGAAGGAAGTCGATGACGTGATCAGCATCAAGCCCGTGGAACGTCGCGCGTCGGTATCGATCTCACCGGTCGAACCGTACTCCACTACGGAAACCACGACGCACGTGTCCACCGATGAATTTTCAGGTACCTTCAAAGCCGCTTCTTACGAGGCCACATCCTCTGTAATAACGAAGGAAAGTCTCCTGATCAGCGAGACATTGTCGCACGAAGACGATCTGTCGCATTTAACGCTAACAAAACCGGAGTCAGGCCGAAAAGCGGACGTGCAAGTGACCGTGCAAGAAGCCGCAACCATCAGCGAGACCATTATCAACCAGAGCGAAGTTCCCACTGAGAATTTCGTGGCACCCTTAGCCGTGAAAGCGGAAGATACCGTATTACCGCAGATTGGATTGTCGGTTTATGAGGTTCACGAAGGTTTGAGCGAAGACAAGCTGGAGCCAACGAAAACAGTCACCACAAAACCCAGGATCAACATCAGCGCTGTCGAGCCGTTAGTAGTGGAGGAGGTCCGTCCCGAAGATAAACCGGGCAAATATTATCCGGAGCTGATAGTGCCGACCGAAGTCGCCACCGAAACAGTAATCTCGCAGAAACAACGCGTCACTGAAGAGATGAACGCACCTGAAAAGGAAGGAGCGTACATCCCGGGTAGATTGCCGCCAAGTCAAACGGCCCAAATCGGAATCTCCTACGGAAATGAAACGGCCGTGATCCACCATGACCTCGTGCAAGAGCGCGAAGGCGAATACGTTCCTGGCCGTAAAATGGATTCTTTCGAAGCCACGCCAAACGTCACCCTTCTAGAGGGCGTCACAATATCGACCATCGATACGCAACAAAAGGAGGGAGACTTGACGATCGAAGAGGACAAACGGGTGACGGCAGATTTCAATGTCGTCGAGATCGTGTCAGCTGTAACAGTGGAGACGATGACTTCCGAGAAGGAGCGAGATTACCACCCCGAGGAAAAACCTACCGGTAAAATGGCGATAACATCGATATCTTCGTTGGAGGTCGGGTCTGTAACGGACACAATTGTCCAAGAGTCCGAAGGCACATACAGCGCCGATCAGAAGCCACTTCAAGCATTGGCGGAGACATCCGTTCGACCAGAGGAACATGTCCTAATATCTCTAGTTCAGACCGCAGATTATCCGGCAGATCTCAAAGATACGTTAAAATATGTTTCGGAGAGCGGTGTCGTATCAGTTGAATTGACGGAGGCGAAAACGGTGCTCGAGACACTCGCTCATGATCGCGAGGCAATTATGGAGAAGGACACTAAACCGGAAACTCAGACGGTGGAGGCAGTGTACGATGCTGTTAGAGGCATCGAGATATCGCAAACTACTTCTATAGAGAAAGAAGCAGAATTGAAGATCTTTGAGATGCCGGAGTCGCACCGTGGCAAGACAGTGCCTACCCATCCGATGATCTCGCTCGAAGTTCAAGAAACACAACCGGAAAGTAATCTAGGTGAAGTCACGAAGGAAGCCTTGTCTACCGCCACGGCTAAAATCGAAGCGGTCAGTCTGCAAGAGACGATCGTTGGCGAGACTGTCGCAGCGGAGGATGTAGCTCCTTCGAAAGAGGATAAGGCTCCCGACACGAGGACCGCAATAGTTTCGCTGGATCAGATCGAGAGCGTACATACCACGATGGTCGTAGCGAGCGAGAAGGAAACCGAATACGTTGGTGTAACCGACATCAAGGGTACATTTGCGAGTACCGAATACACGACGCAAGTGGTGCCAGTGTGCGAGCAAGTGAGAACCGAGTCGCCGACTGAGGAGTATCTGCCCGAGGACAGACCTACAAGTGGGCAAGCGCAACCGTCTCACATTCCTATAGAAACCATCAGCGTGGCTATGCAAGAAACCGCGGAGAAGGAGGAACTTTACAGAGAGGGCGCGAGACCCGAGGGAAAAACAGCGATCATCGAACTCACAGAGACCAGGCCAGGTGCGAGCATTTTGGAAGTGATACCACACGATCTTGAGAATATCTACACACCGGATGCAGGACCGGAGTCTCACACAGTTGAATCGTCCATAACTGGTCATACTATCGCGACAACGGCAGAGATTCTGGTGGAGCAAAGCGCCGGTAAGATCAGCAGCGAAGTTCCCAAATCGAGCAAAGCGACATTCCAGCAAGAGGCTTTGGAGGAATTGGTCGTTACGGAGACGAACGTCGGCGAAGCTGAACGAGCCAGAGAAGAAGACACCCGTCCCGTGCAGCAGAGCGCAGATCTGCAAGTATGCGCCCGAACCGAGAAGTTGACCGTTACCGAAGTGACGACCGTGTTGAAAGAAGAGGAATTGTCGGTGGAGAAGTTGCCGGACAGCCGGAAAGTCATGCTGGACGTAACCGAAGGCCATGAGATAGCGGAGACGCAGGAGACGATACTCGCGAGCAACATCAGTGAACTGAAGGAGGAGAAACCAACCCAGGAGAGCGCCAGCCCATCGCAAAGCGGACTGGACGTTGTTCAGCAGACGGAAGTGTCGATATCCGAGAAAGAATCTCCCTTGGCAGCAGACGTGAAACCCGAGACTAAGAAGGTCGGTGTTACTTTCGAGGAAGGAGAAGGTCTAACGATCGCGATCACGCATCCCGAAGACAAAGAAGAAATATTTAGTGAGAAACCAACACCCAAGAGCGCTGAAGCCACGGTCGATGTGGTGACACAGGGTATAGCGTCGAAGTTCGAGATTCTAAGCAACGTCGCTCCAACCGAGCTGCCCGCTCAACCTGCTCAAGAAGTACGTCCTAAAGCGACATTATTGCCATTCGAGATAGCCGTCGCTGAAGAGATTCAAACCAGGGAGACCGAGAAGCCTTTTGACCACATACCAACGTCGGAGAGGCAAGCCAATCTTGAGTTTGTCATAGGCGAGAGTCTCGTTGTCTCGTCCGTGACAGCGGGGGACAAAGAGAGCATGCTCGCGGAAGCGGAGAAACCGGAATCAAAATCCGCTGTTTTCGAGATCCCTGCTCACATCGTGGCGCAAGCTGCCGAGGTGACTACCACCGATAACGTCGGTCGATTCAAACACGAGGAGACCATTTCCGCGACAGCCACGACCGAGCATATCACTCATCATAGTATCGTCACATCCGAAACATCAACCGGTGATTCGGAACAGCCGATGCTGGACTTCGTAAAACCAGACAAGAAGCAAGTCGACGTATCATTCTTAGAGGAAACGGGCATCACCGTGATCGAGACGATCGCGTCTGACAAGGAACGGGAATACAAAAGAAAACCAGACATCCCTGGCGAGAAGGTCACAACTAGTTTCGACGCTCACAAAGTTGCCGAACTCACGGAAGTCACAGCGGTCGCTTATCCTGGAGACCTCGACGTGAAAGCGCCGACGAGCGCAGCAGCTAAGGAGGAACGTTTGCCATTTGAGAGCATCGTCCAGAGCGAGACTGTCGTGACGGAGAGAGAAGCAGAATTCAAGGACAGACCTGCCAAGACTGACACGGCTAAGGTGGCCGTTGATGAGATAATCAGCGCCACTACGTCCACCGAAGTTCCAGCTGAGAAGGAGGACGTGCTTCGAATTCCTGAGAAGCCCACGGAGAAGAAGGCCGAAGTTCAATTCTCCGGACACATCATCGCTGAAAAGAGCGAGGTCACTTTGGATTCCAGCGCTGGAGAGTTGACGAAGACGAAACCGAGTTCCGCTTCGGCTGTAGTCTCGAGCATTCCTTTGGAGGCGTTAGTACGGACGGAAACACAAGCAACCGAAGCGGAGGATATACTTGGAAAGGATAAGGCGCCGTCCACGGCCTCGGCTGATTTCTCTGTGGTAATGGAACAGAGCCTACAGGTCTCTTCGGTGATCTCAGAAGACAAGGAGGCCGAATACAAACCCAAGGAAACTCCGGAACTGAGGACAGCGGAGAAGAGCATGATCGAGACTCGCGGAGTCGCTGAAGTGACGATGCAAATACTCGATTTCAGCACCGGCGAAGTCGCAATCGAAGCACCGCAGGGAGCAGTCGCGATTCCAGATCACGTAACATTCAATCCACTGGTGGAGTCGCAACCAGTCGTTCAGGAGAAGGAAGAGCAATATGTGCCAACGTTGATGCCGGAGAATAAGACGGTGAACGTCGACATGGAAGAAGCCAAGGCGATCGTGAGTATATCACATGTGACACCTGCGGACAAAGAATCGCCATACAAGGTCGAAGAGCAGCCGCGTACATATGCTGCTTTGTTCGGTATCGACGCCACCCATAGCATAGCTGAAACGACAGCAGTAGCGATCGAACATTCTGTGGGAGAAGTCAACATCGAGAAGCCGGACACTAAGACAATATCGACCACGCAAGAAGTCTATCAAAGCGTCCTAGTGACCGAGGGTCTCATTCAAGATACAGAGAAGCCGTTCGAAGGGAAATTCATGCCGGAACAGCACAAGATCGAATTGTCCGTCGAAGAAGGACACCACGTCATGTCCGTTACGGAGATCAGAATGGCCGACAAGGAAGCTCCCCTGGAAACGATACAGGAGGATAGATCCCATTTAGCGCAGTCGGTCATTATCCCCGGCCATGAGATAGCTGAGAAATCGGAGATCATCCCCGGCTCGAGTACGGGCGAAATGAGTGAAGAGAGAGCACCGACCATGGCGAAAGCATTGATCGGGCAGAAACCTTACGAGACGGTGCAGTTAAGCGAGCAGGTGCTGGTGGAGAGAGAAGCCGACAGGATTCAAGAAGCACCTTTGACGAAATCGAGCGCACGCGTCGTATTGGACGAGAACAGGTTTGTTGCCGTCACGGAATCGACTACTACTCAGGACGTCGAGGCAGAATTCACTGAGAAGAAACTCCATCAAGAGAAGGCGAGTCTCGCGATGGAAGGCAAGGAGGTAGCTGAACGTACGGAGATCAGTTTGCGCGAAGGACTGGGAGAACTACCTGAGGCAACGAAACCAGTCGCGTACGAGGCGCATCAGACTCAGACTACTTTGGAAAGCATCGGCGTCAGTGAGACAATCTCCCAAGAGCGCGGTGCGACGTTCGCTGATAAGTTCAAGCCCGACAAGCGAAGTGCGGAGGTCAGTTTCGTAGAAGGCAAGAGTATCACCGTGGATCAGGTCGTAACGCAGGACAAAGAGGCGACAATAAGCATTGCGAAGCACGAAGAAAGCATAGCTGAAGTCAGACTGACGCGAGTCGGTATGGACGTAGCTCAGAAGGCTCAAGTGTTCATCGAACAAAGTACCGGCTCAGTCGAGCCTTTCAAGAAGACTCAAGCGGAAGCTCACTTGAAGCAAGACACATTTGAGCCTATTGTCGTCGAAGAGGTTCCGAGTGCGGAAAGCGAAGGTACCTTCAGCAAATACCCTAAGATGGTATCGAGCACAGCCGTACCAGCGTTCGAAGAAGGTCACAGTGTATCTATCACAGAGGTAACATCCGGCGAAGCTGAAGAGTCACTGGAAGAGAAAAAACTCGAGACGTCGAGAACAGCTGTTCGTACACTGGTCACCGCAAACGACACGATAGAGACCACAATGATAGAATCACGAGTTGACGTACCTGAGCAAGTTCCTGACAAGATGGCGACACTTCAAGTGGCCATGCCGGCCCGCGACACGTTTGAAAGCATCATCGTACATGAAAATCTTGTCGAGGAAAGTGAGAAGAAGTTCGAGGGACTGTTTAAACCTGAAACGCAGAAAGCGAACATTGATATATCGAAGGTGAAGTCATTACAGATTTCTGAAACGATTACTGAGGACAAAGAAGAGACACTGAATATCGCAGCAAGACAAGCAGAGGTGACAGCCACGCGAGATATCGATGTATTCCAAACTATTGAGGGATCATTCGTCGAAAGTATACAGAGTACACGAGAATTACGTGAGGAGAAACCATTTTCCTCCCAAGCGACAATGATCCAGACTACGGTGGAAACAATAGTAAGATCTGAAACGACACCGGCCGAGAAGGAAGATATATTTGAAGACAAATTCAAACCAGAGGGACAGAAGGGCAAGCCGCAGTTCGATGGTCTTACTACTGTGATAATCAGCGAGGTGGCTCCGAATGAAATAGAGGACGTGCTGCCTGAAGCCATTGCGCCGAAACAACACCAAGCGCAGCCGAGTTTAACAGGCAGAGAAGCCGCCGAAACTCTCCAAATAGTTACAACAAATACAACTGAGGATCTTGCGAAAGATATCAAGATAGACGAACATAAAGGCAAACTAGAACTCGAAGAGTTAGCTTCCTTGACAGTTTCCGAAATTGTTTCGCATGAAGTCGAAGATGTATTAGTCAGCCAAACTACACCAAAAGATCGCAAAGCTGACTTGAGCGTTTCCGGTAGAGAAGCAGCTGAAACAACTCAAGTAACAACAATGTCAGAGACTGACGAGCTCGCCACAAAAGGACCTGAAGAACAAAGAGGCAAACGACGAGTTGAAGAATTGACGTCAATCACCGTTTCGCAAGTGATTTCGAGTGAGGCCGAAGATACGCTAGTTAGCGCTGAATTACCCACAGGAAAAACAGCGCAACCAAATCTGTTTGGAAGAGATATCGCCGAAACGACAGAAATCTTAGCAATGACCAGCACCGAGGAATATATTCCCGTGAAAGAGGCTGATAAACAAACCGGCAAACCAAGTCTCGAAGAACTTACATCTCTAATGGTATCGCAAATAGTATCACAGGAAGCCGAAGACATCCTCCCTAGTGCAGAAGCACCAACCAAGAAAATTGCGCAAACCAGTTTCTTCGGTAGAGACATAGCTGAGACTACAGAAATAACGATGGCTTCAAATGTAGGCGAATTGGTCGAAAGTCGAAAACCCGACGAGCAAAAAGGAAAACCAGATATCGAAGAATTACAATCTCTGAGTGTTACACAAACCGTATCCAATGAAGCAGAAACTGTGCTGCCTTCTCCAGAGGTGCCTGCAGGAAAAACAGCGCAAACTGATCTATTTGGCAGAGATGTGGCAGAAACCACTCAGATTGTAGCAATGATAAGCACAGAGGAACTCGCGAAACAACTAGCACCAGACGAACGTAAAGGGGAGTTTATTGTGGAAGAATTATCTTCGTTAACTGTATCTCAAGTCATATCCAACGAGGCTGAGGATACGTTGGTTAAAGACGAATTTCCTGCGGGAAAAACGGCTCAACCACATCTGTTTGGTAGGGATATCGCTGAAACAACTATGGTCTTAGCGATGTCCAGCACCGACGAGTATGTGCCTACAAAAGAAGCTGAGAAACAGAAAGGCAAACCAGGTCTTGAAGAACTTACATCTTTAACGGTCTCGCAAATAGTGTCAGAGGAAGCCGAAGATGTTCTTCCTACTGCAGAAGTTCCGACCGAGAAAATTGCGCAAACAAGTTTCTTCGGAAGAGACATAGCTGAAACTACAGAAATAACGATGGCTTCAAATGTAGGTGAATTGGTCGAAAGTCGCAAACCCGACGAACAAAAGGGAAAACCAGATATTGAGGAATTACAATCTTTGAGTGTTACACAAACTGTATCCGGCGAAGCGGAAGCCGCACTGCCTTCCCCAGAAGTACCTAAAGAGAAAACAGCACAAACCGATTTATTTGGCAGAGATGTAGCTGAAACGACTCAGATTGTAACAATGATAAGCGCGAAAGAACTTGCGAAGGAGGTAACGCCAGATAAACGTAAAGGAGAGTTTATAGTGGAAGAATTGTCTTCCTTGACTGTATCTCAAGTCGTTTCCAACGAGACAGAGGATACTTTGGCTAAAGACGAATTTCCTACGGGAAAAACGGCTCAACCAAATCTGTTTGGTAGGGATATCGCTGAAACAACTATGGTCTTAGCGATGTCCAGCACCGACGAGTATGTGCCCGCGAAAGAAGCTGAACAACAGAAGGGCAAGCCAGGTCTGGAAGAACTTACATCTTTAACAGTCTCGCAAATAGTGTCAGAGGAAGCCGAAGATGTTCTTCCTACTGCAGAAGTTCCGACCGAGAAAATTGCGCAAACAAGTTTCTTTGGAAGAGACATAGCTGAAACTACAGAAATAACGATGGCTTCAAATGTAGGTGAATTGGTCGAAAGTCGCAAACCCGACGAACAAAGAGGAAAACCAGATATTGAGGAATTACAATCTTTGAGCGTTACACAAACTGTATCCGGCGAAGCGGAAGCCGCACTGCCTTCCCCAGAAGTACCTAAAGAGAAAACAGCACAAACCGATCTATTTGGCAGAGATGTGGCGGAAACCACTCAAATTGTAACAATGATAAGCGCAGAAGAACTCGCGAAGCAACTAGCACCAGATGAACGTAAAGGGGAGTTTATTGTGGAAGAATTATCTTCGTTGACTGTATCTCAAGTCATTTCCAACGAGGCTGAGGATACGTTGGCTAAAGACGAATTTCCTACGGAAAAAACGGCTCAACCACATCTGTTTGGTAGGGATATAGCTGAAACAACTATGGTCTTAGCAATGTCCAGCACCGACGAGTATGTGCCTACGAAAGAAGCTGAGAAACAGAAGGGTAAACCAGGTCTTGAAGAACTTACATCTTTAACGATCTCGCAGATAATATCTCAAGAAGCCGAAGACGTCCTTCCTAGCCCCGAAGTACCAACTGGAAGGACTGTGGAAACCAGCTTGTTTGGTAGAGATGTAGCCGAGACTACTGAAATAACGATGGCTTCGAATGTAGGGGAATTAGTTGAGAGTCGAAAGCCCGACGTACAAAAAGGGAAACCTGATATTGAGGAGTTACAATCTCTGAATATTATACAAACTATATCTAGCGAAGCGGAAGCTGTACTGCCTTCCCCAGAAGTACCTAAAGAAAAAATAGCACAAGCCGATCTGTTTGGCCGAGATGTAGCTGAAACAACTCAAATTGTAACAATGATAAGCGCGGAAGAACTCGCAAAACAACTAGCACCGGATGAACGCAAAGGTGAATTTACAGTGGAAGAATTATCTTCGTTGACGGTCTCTCAAATTATTTCTAACGAAGCCGAGGATACGTTAGTTAAGGATGAATTTCCTGCGGCAAAAACGGCTCAACCACATCTATTCGGCAGAGATGTCGCAGAAACAACGGTGATTTTGGCGATGACCAGTACCGACGAATATGTTCCTGAGAAAGAAGCTGAAAAACAGACAGGCAAACCCGGCCTCGAAGAACTCACATCATTAACAGTCTCGCAGATAGTTTCCCAGGAAACCGAAGACATCCTCCCTAGCCCCGAAGTACCAACAGAGAGGACCGTCCAAACAAGCTTGTTCGGAAGAGACGTAGCAGAAACTACGGAAATAACGATGGCTTCAAATGTAGGTGAATTAGTTGAGAGCAGAAAGCCCGACGTTCAAAAAGGAAAACCAGATATTGAGGAATTACAATCTTTGAATGTTATGCAAACTGTATCGAATGAAGCGGAAGCTGTATTGCCTTCCTTAGAATTACCTAAAGAAAAAACAGCACAAACCGATCTATTTGGCAGAGATGTAGCTGAAACAACTCAGGTTGTAACAATGATAAGCGCGGAAGAACTCGCGAAACAACTAGCACCTGACGAACGTAAAGGAGAGTTTATTGTAGAAGAATTATCTTCGCTGACTGTATCTCAAGTCATTTCCAACGAGGCTGAGGATACATTGGCTAAAGATGAATTTCCTGTTGGAAAAACGGCTCAACCACATCTGTTTGGTAGGGATATAGCTGAAACAACTATGGTCTTAGCGATGTCCAGCACCGACGAGTATGTGCCCACGAAAGAAGCTGAACAACAGAAGGGCAAGCCAGGTCTGGAAGAACTTACATCTTTAACGATCTCGCAGATAATATCTCAAGAAGCCGAAGACGTCCTTCCTAGCCCCGAAGTACCAACTGGAAGGACTGTGGAAACGAGCTTGTTTGGTAGAGATGTAGCCGAGACTACTGAAATAACCATGGCTTCGAATGTAGGTGAATTGGTTGAGAGCCGGAAGCCCGACGTACAAAAAGGGAAACCAGATATTGAGGAGTTACAATCTCTAAGTGTTATACAAACTATATCCGGCGAAGCAGAAGCTTTACTGCCGTCTCCAGAAATATCTAAAGAAAAAACAGCACAAACCGATCTGTTTGGCCGAGATATAGCTGAAACAACTCAAATCGTAACAATGATAAGCACAGAAGAACTAGCGAAACAACTAGCACCCGACAAACGTAAAGGAGAGTTTATTGTGGAAGAATTATCTTCGCTGACTGTATCTCAAGTCATTTCGAACGAGGCTGAGGATACGTTAGTTAAAGACGAATTTCCTGCGGGGAAAACAGCCGAACCACATCTGCTTGGTAGAGATGTGGCGGAAACGACAGTGGTGTTAGCGATGGCTAGCACTGAAGATTATGTTCCCGAAAAGGAGACTGAAAAACAGAAAGGTAAACCAGGTCTCGAGGAACTTACATCTCTCACAATCTCGCAAGTAGTATCCCAAGAAACCGAGGATGTTCTTCCCACTGCAGAAGCTCCGACCGAGAAAATTGCGGAAACAAGTTTCTTCGGTAGAGACGTAGCTGAGACTACAGAAATAACGATGGCTTCAAATGTGGGTGAATTAGTTGAGGGCAAAAAGCCGGAGGTCCAAAAAGGAAAACGAGATATCGAAGAGTTGCAATCTTTGAGTGTTACACAAACTATATCCGGCGAAGCGGAAGCCGTACTACCTGCCCCCGAAATACCTCAAGAAAAAACAGCACAAACTGATCTATTTGGCAGAGATATAGCTGAAACAACTCAGATTGTAACAATGATAAGCGCGGAAGAACTCGCGAAACAATTAGCACCCGACGAACGTAAAGGTGAATTTACTGTGGAAGAGCTATCTTCGTTGACGGTCTCTCAAGTTATTTCTAACGAAGCCGAGGATATGTTAGTTAAGGATGAGTTCCCCGTGGGAAAAACGGCTGAATCATATCTGTTTGGTCGAGATATCGCAGAAACATCAATGGTATTAACGATGTCCAGCACAGATGAATTTGTCCCAACAAAGGAAGCCGAGAAACAGAAAGGTAAACCTGGTCTTGAAGAATTAATGTCATTATCAGTCTCGCAAATAGTATCTCAGGAAGCTGAAGACATTCTTCCCAGCCCCGAAGCGCCAACCGAGAAGACAGTGCAAACAAGCTTATTCGGCAGAGACGTTGCTGAAATTACAGAGATAACAATCGCTTCAAGCGTGGACGAATTAATCGAGAGTCGCAAACCAGAAGTACAAAAGGGGAAGCCAGATTTTGAGGAGTTACTATCTTTGAGTGTAACCCAAACCGTATCCACCGAAACGGAGGCAATACTGCCTTCTCCAGAAGTACCTACGGAGAAAACAGCGCAAGCTGATTTGTTTGGCCGAGACGTAGCCGAAACAGCTCAAATCGTAACAATGATGACTACGGAAGAACTTTCGGGACAATTAGCACCGGATGAACGTAAAGGCGAGTTCAAAGTCGAAGAATTATCCTCTTTGACTGTGTCTCAAATAGTCTCCAACGAAGTCGAAGAAACTTTGGTCAAAGAAGAGTTTCCTGCAGAGAAAACTGCGCAGCCCAATCTGTTCGGTAGAGATATCGCGGAAACGACGATGGTCTTAACCATGTCTAGCACCGAAGAGTATGTTCCTACGAAAGAAGCTGAGAAACAGAAAGGTAAACCCGGACTCGAAGAATTTACATCTTTAACGGTTTCACAGACAATATCTCAGGAAGCTGAAGATATTCTTCCTAGTCCTGAAGCGCCAACCGAGAGGACTGTGCAAACAAGCTTGTTCGGTAGAGATGTAGCTGAAACTACGGAAATAACAGTAGCGTCAAACGTAGATGAATTGATCGAAAGTCACAAGCCCGAGGTACAAAGGGGAAAACCAGATATTCAAGAACTATTATCCTTGAGTGTCACTCAGACAGTGTCCAGCGAAGCGGAAGCTATGCTGCCTTCTCCAGAGGTACCTACAGGGAAAACAGCGCAAACCGATTTGTTTGGCAGAGATGTAGCGGAAACCACTCAAATTGTAACAATGATAAGCACAGAAGAGTTGGCTAAACAACTAACGCCCGATGAACGTAAAGGAGAATTCAAAGTAGAGGAATTATCCTCGTTAACTGTGTCCCAGATATTGTCTCATGAAAGTGAAGAGACGTTCCAGAGTCCTGATGCACCCAGTGGGCTCACAGCGATGCCTACGATGTCCGGTAGAGAAATTGCTGAGACTTCTCAAATGCTCACTATGTCGAGCGCCGACGAATTCGCAAGATCCAAAAGTCCCGAAGAACAAAAAGGCAAGCCAAGTTTGGACGAACTTTCCCCTCTCATGGTTTCTCAAGTGATATCTACAGAAGTGGAAGAACAACTGGTGAGTCGGGAAAAGTTGGACGAAAAAACAGCCGTGTCGCGTTTCACAGGCAGAGAAGTAGCGCAAACGACTGAAATTGTAACAGTCGCGAATGTTGAACAAATAACCAAATTGGAAAAAGCAGATAGTCAGAAAGGAAAGCCCGACGTCGAAGAAATAAACGTTGTTGCCGTATCCGAAGTGATTTCTACAGAAGCTGAACAAGAATTGCCAAGTCAGGAAGCGCCGCAAAAACGTAAAGCTTTGCAAAAAGTATCCAGCGTGGAAGTCGCGGAGACTTCGGAAATTTTGACAGTGAGTAATGTTGAAGAACTTGCAAAACCACAAGTTCCCGAAAAACACAGAGGCAGACCACACCTAGAAGAATTAATGTCATTGTCAGTCTCCGAGGTAGCTTACAGTGAGGCTGAAAAGAGATTGCTGACTCCGGAAGAACCAATTAAACAAATAGCTGAACAGAGCATGTTGGGTATGCGCGTTGCTGAAAAATCTCAAATCGTTACTTCTGCAACGGCAGAAGAGATGATAGAACCCGCCAAGCCTGAAGTAAAGAAAATAGCACCGGAACAGATACCATTTCAGGGCATACAGCAGACACAAGCAGTTCCTCATGAAAGCGAACGATTGCTTATCCTCGACAAAGCGGCGCCAAGTGCAACAGCGGAAGTTGCATTCCGCGTTTCCGAAGGACTTGAAGTTATACAAGTAACAACAACGGAGAAAGAAACAAAAGAAGTCGTGAAAAGTCAGGTCGAGGAAGCGAGCGCGCAGGCCGACGTAATTAAACGAAAAGTCGCTCTGAAAACTGAAGTCCTTCCGGAAGACGTAGCGTCGGAGTTTGTAGTCTCGAAACCAGAAGGTAAAACAGCTCACGGCGTGGAAGATGAAAAACAGGGCGTGATTGTCACCGAATTACAACACGCTGCTGAAATCGAATCAAATCTGCCCGAGACCGTAGTACCTATAGCAAAATTAGCGAGCGCGTCTATCGAAGCCGACTACTTGGAACAAGTTGTGGGTGAGTATTATTATTCCAAAGGTAACGTGATTGTCACTGACAAATCAGACACGACGTTTAGAAAAACTCGACTCGGTGTGACACGATGACCAGGGTTGATGACATTTAACGTATTGAACAAGTCCGACAAATAGACAGAAAACAAAAAGATTTATCAGTAATGCGATAGTAACAGCATCATTTCGAGATATTTTGCAAATAGGCTAACGTATTTGAAATCAACTTAATTCTTTTATAAATATATAGCATCACCCAAAGGTAAGTACAATCACAATCAAATACAAAATCAAACGTGACCAACATGTCACACAAAATTCCATCATGCACAGTAAACACATTCATAACAGAAAACAATCCACTCTCTTATACTGCATTCAACTTGCAACTGATTTTGCCATGCTTGACGAGAGACAACCCTCGACATACGAGAGCGGTCAATAGTTTTAAGTAATTAAAGAAATGTTTGACATTAAAACACTGGGACTAATAGGAAGTAATGCAAACGGATTCACAAAACACATAAACAGCTTAATCATACCACACTTGTTCTCTGTACATTTCAGAAACCACAGAAGCATCAACGCAACATCACATCACAATCACACAACACACTACAGAACACGATACAATACATCAACCATCGATTGACTCTGATATTGAAGTAACTGAAGAATACACTACGAAATTTAGACGCGGCAGCAAAGACGATGAAACGGCAGCAGTTAAAACAAAGAAAACAACTTTACGAAAAAAGATGCCAAGAACTAAATCTGAGGAGGAAAAGGTTGTTGTTATAGAAGAAGAACTCGAAGATATAAAGTCGCGAATACCATCCATACCGAAAAAACAATTTATGCATATAGAAGAGGTAACTGAAATGACAGGAATAGAAGAAATAAAACCGACAAAAATTGAAGAATCCGAAGAGAAGGATACTAAACCAACTGTAACAAAACAAATTGAAACAAAAGAAGAACAGGTGACAGTAACGGAAGAACGGATCGAAGGGCAAAAACCTAAGAAGATTACTAAAAAGAAAATTATTAAACAAAAGGAACAGAAGCAGCAAGTGACTGAAGAAGTAATTGCGGAAGAGAAAAGTAAGGTATCCACCACGACTGCTACCGAAGGGCCAGAAGAGGAAGTTGTTGAAGAAACCATTTTGGCTCTGCCATTAGCAGAATTTGTAATACCAACCGATGTAGAAGAAGTACGAGAACAAGTGACGGTAATGGAAGAAAAGGTCGAGGGACAGAGACCGAAAAAGGTGACAAGAAGGAAAATTATTAAACGCAAAGGCCAGAAACAGCAAGTGACTGAAGAAGTAACTGTGGAAGAGAAAGATAAGGCACCCATTACGACCATTACTGAAGGGCCAGAAGAGGAAGTTGTTGAAGAAACTATTTTGCCACTGCCACTACCAAAGTCCGTGAAACCGACCGACGTAGAAGAAGTCCGAGAACAAGTTACAGTAACGGAAGAAAGGGTAGAGGGACAAAGACCTAAGAAAGTAATAAGAAGGAAAATTATTAAACGTAGAGGTCAGAAACAGCAAGTGACTGAAGAAGTAACGGTGGAAGAGAAAGGTAAGGCACCAATCACGACTGTAACCGAAGGGCCAGAAGAGGAGATTGTTGAAAAAACAATTTTGCCTCTACCTTTACCAGAATTCGCGAAACCAACCGACGTAGAAGAAGTTCGAGAACAAATTACAGTAACGGAAGAAAGGGTAGAGGGGCAAATACCTAAAAAAATCATTAAAAAGAAAGTTATTAAACGCAAAGGGCAAAAGCAGCAAGTGACTGAAGAAGTGACGGTGGAAGAGGAAGGTAAGGCTCCTATCACGACCGTTACAGAATGGCCAGAAGAGGAGGTTGTTGAAGAAACCATTTTGCCTCTGTCACTACCAGAGTTCGTGAAACCGATTGACATAGAAGAAGTTCGAGAACAAGTTACAGTAACGGAAGAAAGGGTTGTAGGTGAAGAACCCAAGAGAATTACTAAAAAGAAAGTTATTAAACGCAAAGGGCAAAAGCAGCAAGTGACTGAAGAAGTAACGGTGGAAGAGAAAGGTAAGGCTCCCACCACGACAGTTACAGAAGGGCCAGAAGAGGAAGTTATTGAAGAACCCGTTTTTCCTTTAACATTACCAGAATTTGTAAAACCAAACGACGTAGAAGAAGTACGAGAACAAGTTACAGTAACGGAAGAAAAGGTTGTTGGCCAAGAACCTAAGAAAATCACTAAAAAGAAAGTTATTAAACGCAAAGGGCAAAAGCAGCAGGTGACTGAAGAAGTAACTGTGGAAGAGAAAGGTAAGGCTCCTATCACGACCGTTACAGAAGGGCCAGAAGAGGAAATTGTTGAAGAAACCACTGTGCCTCTGCCACTACAAGAATTTGTAAAACCAAGCGACGTAGAAGAAGTACGAGAACAAGTAACGGTAACGGAAGAGAGGGTAGAAGGCCAGAGACCTAAGAAAGTAACAAGAAGGAAAATTATTAAACGTAAAGGCCAGAAACAACAAGTGACTGAGGAAGTAACGGTGGAAGAGAAAGGTAAGGCTCCTATCACGACCGTTACAGAAGGGCCAGAAGAGGAAATTGTTGAAGAAACCACTGTGCCTCTGCCACTACAAGAATTTGTAAAACCAACCGACGTAGAAGAAGTACGAGAACAAGTAACGGTAACGGAAGAGAGGGTAGAAGGCCAGAGACCTAAGAAAGTAACAAGAAGGAAAATTATTAAACGTAAAGGCCAGAAACAACAAGTGACTGAGGAAGTAACGGTGGAAGAGAAAGGAAAGGCACCAATCACAACTGTAACTGAAGGGCCAGAAGAGGAAATTGTTGAAAAAACAATTTTGCCTCTACCTTTACCAGAATTCGCGAAACCAACCGACGTAGAAGAAGTTCGAGAACAAGTTACGGTAACGGAAGAAAGGGTAGAAGGCCAAAGACCTAAGAAAGTAACAAGAAGGAAAATTATTAAACGTAAAGGCCACAAACAACAAGTGACTGAGGAAGTAACGGTGGAAGAGAAAGGAAAGGCACCAATCAGAACTGTAACTGAAGGGCCAGAAGAGGAAGTTCTTGAAGAAACCGTTTTGCCTGTATCGTTACCGGAATTTGTAAAACCAACCGACGTAGAGGAAGTTCGAGAACAAGTAACAGTAACGGAAGAAAGAGTCGAGGGACAGATACCTAAGAAAGTAACAAGAAGGAAAATTATTAAATGCAAAGGTCAGAAGCAGCAAGTGACTGAAGAAGTAACTGTGGAAGAGAAAGGTAAGGCACCTATCACAACCGTTTTCGTAGGTCCAGAAGAGGAGGTTGATGAAGACAGTGTTTTGCCTCTACCATTACCAGAAATAGTGAAACCCACCGACGTAGAAGAAGTCCGAGAACAAGTTACAGTAACGGAAGAACAAGTTGAAGGACAGAAGCCTAGGAAGATCATTAATAAGAAAGTTATTAAACGTAAAGGCCAGAAACAGCAAGTAATTGAAGAAGTCACTGTGGAAGAGAAAGGTAAGCCACCCATCACGACCGTTACTAAAGGGCCAGAAGAGGAGGTTGTTGAGGAAAACATTTTGCCTCTAGCACTACCAGAATTTGTAAAACCAGCCGACGTAGAAGAAATCCGAGAACAAGTGACAGTCACGGAAGAAAGGGTTGTAGGTGAAGAACCTAAGAGAATCACTAAAAAGAAAGTTATTAAACGCAAAGGGCAAAAGCAGCAAGTGACTGAAGAAGTGACGGTGGAAGAGAAAGGTAAGGCTCCCACCACGACTGTTACAGAAGGGCCAGAAGAGGAAGTTCTTGAAGAAACCGTTTTGCCTGTAACGTTACCAGAATTTGTAAAACCAGCCGACGTAGAAGAAATCCGAGAACAAGTGACAGTCACGGAAGAAAGGGTTGTAGGTGAAGAACCTAAGAGAATCACTAAAAAGAAAGTTATTAAACGCAAAGGCCAAAAGCAGCAAGTGACTGAAGAAGTGACGGTGGAAGAGAAAGGTAAGGCTCCCATCACGACCGTTACTGAAGGACCAGAAGAGGAGATTATTGAAGAAATCACTGTGCCTCTAGCGCTACCAGAATTTGTAAAACCAACCGACGTAGAAGAAGTACGAGAACAAGTAACGGTAACGGAAGAACGGGTCGAAGGTCAGGAACCTAAAAAGATCACTAAAAAGAAAATTATTAAACGTAAAGGCCAGAAACAGCAAGTGACTGCAGAAGTAACTGTGGAAGAGAAAGGAAAGGCACCAATCACGACCGTAACTGAAGGGCCAGAAGAGGAGGTTGTTGAAGAAACCACTTTGCCTCTGCCACTACCAGAGTTTGGGAAACCTACCGACGTAGAAGTCCGAGAACAAGTTACAGTAACGGAAGAGAGGGTAGAAGGCCAAAGACCTAAGAAAGTAACAAGAAGGAAAATTATTAAACGTAAAGGCCAGAAACAACAAGTGACTGAGGAAGTAACGGTGGAAGAGAAAGGAAAGACACCAATCACAACTGTAACTGAAGGGCCAGAAGAGGAAGTTCTTGAAGAAACCGTTTTGCCTGTATCGTTACCGGAATTTGTAAAACCAACCGACGTAGAAGAAGCACGAGAACAAGTGACAGTCACGGAAGAAAGGTTTGTAGGTGAAGAACCTAAGAGAATCACTAAAAGGAAAGTTATTAAACGCAAAGGGCACAGGCAGCAAGTAACTGAAGAAGTGACGGTGGAAGAGAAAGGTAAGCCTCCCACGACGACTGTTACAGAAGGGCCAGAAGAGGAAGTTCTTGAAGAAACCGTTTTGCCTGCATCGTTACCAGAATTTGTAAAACCAACCGACGTAGAAGAAATACGAGAACAAGTAACGGTGACGGAAGAAAGGACCGTGGGACAGAGACCTAAAAAGGTAACAAGAAGAAAAATTATTAAACGCAAAGGGCAGAAACAACAAGTGACTGAAGAAGTAACTGTGGAAGAGAAAGGTAAGCCTCCTATCACGACCGTTACTGAAGGACCAGAAGAGGAGGTTATTGAAGAAATCACTGTGCCTCTAGCGCTACCAGAATTTGTAAAACCAACCGATGTAGAAGAAGTACGAGAACAAGTAACGGTAACGGAAGAACGGGTCGAAGGTCAGGTACCTAAAAAGATCACTAAAAAGAAAATTATTAAACGTGAAGGCCAGAAACAGCAAGTGACTGAAGAAGTAACTGTGGAAGAGAAAGGAAAGGCACCAACCACGACTGTAACTGAAGGGCCAGAAGAGGAGGTTGTTGAAAAAACAATTTTGCCTCTACCTTTACCAGAATTCGCGAAACCAACCGACGTAGAAGAAGTTCGAGAACAAGTTACAGTAACGGAAGAAAGGGTTGCAGGTGAAGAACCCAAGAGAATCACTAAAAAGAAAGTTATTAAACGCAAAGGGCAAAAGCAGCAAGTGACTGAAGAAGTAACGGTGGAAGAGAAAGGTAAGGCTCCCACCACGACTGTTACAGAAGGGCCAGAAGAGGAAGTTGTTGAAGAAACCGTTTTTCCTTTAACATTACCAGAATTTGTAAAACCAACCGACGTAGAAGAAGTACGAGAACAAGTTACAGTAACGGAAGAAAAGGTTGTTGGCCAAGAACCTAAGAAAATTACTAAAAAGAAAGTTATTAAACGCAAAGGACAAAAGCAGCAGGTGACTGAAGAAGTAACTGTGGAAGAGAAAGGTAAGGCTCCTATCACGACCGTTACTGAAGGATCAGAAGAGGAAGTTGTTGAAGAAACCATTATGCCTCTGCCACTACCAGATTCCGTGAAACCAATTGACATAGAAGAAGTTCGGGAACAAGTGACAGTAACGGAAGAACAAGTCGAAGGTCAAGAACCTAAGAAGATCACTAAAAAGAAAGTTACTAAACGAAAAGGTCAGAAACAGCAAATAACTGAAGAAGTAACTGTGGAAGAAAAAGGTAAGGCTCCTATCACCACCGTTACTGAAGGGCCAGAAGAGGAAGTTGTTGAAGAAACCATTATGCCTCTGCCACTACCAGATTCCGTGAAACCAATTGACATAGAAGAAGTTCGGGAACAAGTGACAGTAACGGAAGAACAAGTCGAAGGTCAAGAACCTAAGAAGATCACTAAGAAGAAAGTTATTAAACGGAAAGGTCAGAAACAGCAAGTGACTGAAGAAGTAACTGTGGAAGAGAAAGGTAAGATTCCCATTACGACCGTTACCGAAGGGCCAGAAGAGGAGATTGTTGAAGAAACCACTTTGCCTCTGCCGCTGCAAGAATTCGTAAAACCAACCGACGTTGAAGAAGTACGAGAACTAGTTACAGTAACCGAAGAAAGGATAGAGGAACAGAGACCTAAAAAAGTAACAAGAAGGAAAATTATTAGACGTAAAGGGCAAAAGCAACAGGTGACTGAAGAAGTAACTGTGGAGGAGAAGGGGAAGGCACCGGTCACGACCGTTACTGAAGGGCCAGAAGAGGAGGTTGTTGAGGAAACCGTTTTGCCTCTGCCACTACTAGAGTCCGTGAAACCTACCGACATAGAAGAAATCCGAGAACAAGTGACCGTAACGGAAGAAAGGGTTGTAGGTGAAGAACCTAAGAAAATCACTAAAAAGAAAGTTATTAAACGCAAAGGGCAAAAGCAGCAAGTGACTGAAGAAGTGACGGTGGAAGAGAAAGGTAAAGCTCCCACCATGACTGTTACAGAAGGGCCAGAAGAGGAAGTTATTGAAGAAACCGTTTTACCTCTAGCACTACCAGAATTTGTAAAACCAACTGACGTAGAAGAAGTCCGAGAACAAGTGACAGTCACGGAAGAAAGGGTTGTAGGTGAAGAACCTAAGAGAATCACTAAAAAGAAAGTTATTAAACGCAAAGGGCAAAAGCAGCAAGTGACTGAAGAAGTGACGGTGGATGAGAAAGGTAAGGCTCCCACCACGACTGTTACAGAAGGGCCAGAAGAGGAAGTTCTTGATGAAACCGTTTTGCCTATATCGTTACCGGAATTTGTAAAACCAACCGACGTAGAAGAAGTACGAGAACAAGTAACGGTAACGGAAGAAATGATCGAGGGACAGAGACCGAAAAAGGTGACAAGAAGGAAAATTATTAAACGCAAAGGGCAGAAACAACAAGTGACTGAAGAAGTGACGGTGGAAGAGAAAGGTAAGGCTTCTATCACGACTGTTACTGAAGGACCAGAAGAGGAGGTTATTGAAGAAACCACTGTGCCTCCAGCACTACCAGAATTTGTAAAACCAACTGACGTAGAAGAAGTACGAGAACAAGTAACAGTAACGGAAGAACGGGTCGAAGGTCAGGAACCTAAAAAGATCACTAAAAAGAAAGTTATTAAACGTAAAGGTCAGAAACAGCAAGTAACTGAAGAAGTGACAGTGGAAGAGAAAGGTAAGGCTCCTATCACGACCGTTACTGAAGGACCAGAAGAGGAGGTTATTGAAGAAACTATTATGCCTTTGCCACTACCAGAGTTTGTGAAACCAATTGACATAGAAGAAGTTGGAGAACAAGTAACAGTAACGGAAGAACAAGTCGAAGGCCAAGGACCTGTGAAGATCACTAAAAAGAAAATTATTAAACGTAAGGGACAGAAGCAGCAAGTAACAGAAGAAGTGACCGTTGAAGAAAGAGGTAAAGCCCCTATGGCAAGCATAAAGGAGGGGCCTGTAGAGGAAATTGTTAAAGATATCGTTTTACCGTCGCCAGAAATAGAAGATATTATTGAGACTATCAATATTGTCACATTGGATTATATAGAAAACATTAACGAGGAAAAGCCTCGAAGAATAAAAAAGAAACGTATTTTATCAAAACCTGTAGATGAGGAGCCAAACGTTACGGACATAACGACAATCGAAGAGGAGGGTATTGAACCGGTGACAATTGTCGAAGAATGTGTTGATGACAGTGATAATTTGTATCCCACAATAACTGATAGTATTATGCCGCAAATAATAAAGGAAACAAAAGAAGATATAACCGTAAGCCGAGTTGTTACTGATGAAGGACGGCCAATAAAATTGCGTAAGGCGCGTGTTACAACAAAATGCGATGATGAGGAACAAGTTACCGAAAGAATAACTATTGAAGATGATACTGAAGAAAAACAGCCAACGACAACCACACTCGATCTTCATGCAGACACTATACCAGAAATACACGATAAACGCAAACACAAAAGATTGACAAAACACAAAATCGATGAGAAAATTGAAGGTAAGCTTCTTTATTGCTTATTACAACCACTGACATTTGCACCCAGTTCAATAGGATAGATTTATGCGAATTATTTATACAGACTTTTGAACATTGAACAGGACATTGGAACAGAACAGAAAGACAAGACGGTGTTAATTGTTAATGTATCACGTTAATGCACTTTAATATATTAAACTAACATTATCTATATGTTGAAAAAGTTATAATTTTATAAAGTATCTTCCTTGTAAAAAAATATAGGTAAAGTTAATTCTTCATTTTGTTTTGCAGGAACAAAGAAGAAGCCAATGTATCAGGTAAGATAATGTATAAACTAATTCTATTTAATAAGTTATGACACAATAATGTACGCTTACAGGAACAACAGGCGAAGGATGAAATTCCAGAAGAAGTTGTGAAAGAAATAGTGACAGAAGAAACGGAGAAACAACAGGCTCAACTTCTGGTAGAAACAAAATCAGAAGAATCAGTTAAAGTTACGAAAGTAGATATTAAGAAGGCACCAAAAGAAAAGAAAGAAAAGCCTGTCATTGAGGAAGAGGAGGTAATTGAAACTATTGAAACACCCACACAGAAAATTATTAAAAAGAAAAAACTGCCAAAGGAAAAGGATAAACGTGTCGAAACAATTGAAGAAGTGGAACAAGTAACCGAAATCATTGAAACGCCAACTAAAAAAGTAGTTAAGAAAAAGAAACACGTGACTGGAACTGATGATATTCTTGAAGAAGTTGTAGAGGAGATTGCAATGGAAAAACCAAAGGAAGAGAGAGCAAGAACTGTCGTGGAAGGCAAGCAGGAAACAGCGATGGTGACAGAGATAGACATACATAAAGCCCCTGTTAAGATACCAAAGGAAAAAGTAGATATAACAGAGGAAAAGGCGAAAACTCTTGATGATAATGTATCGGAGGAAATTACTGAAGAAATTGTTATAGAGAAACCAAAGAAGGAAAAAGCTGAAACTACATTTTCTCCGAGAGAAAGTATCGAAGTGACGCAGACATTAACTGAATCGCCCGTTACAAAGTTAACAGAAGAAAAACCTAAGCTAAAAGAAGCTGTAGTACGCAAAATTGAAGACGAAAGAGTTACATTGAAGAAAGTGACAAGAGAAGAAACGAGCACGATTCCTAGTCAAGAAGAAGTAACTCTGGAAGTTAGTAAGGAAATGGTAAGTGAAAAACCGAAAGAAGAGCAAGTACAATCGTCAATCATAACGAAAGAAGGGCTCAAAGTCATTGAAACAATTCCGGAAACAGTTACGGAGGGTCTTCCTGAAAAGATAAAACCAACGGAAGAAACAGCAGTACCAATCGAAGAGGTAGAGCAACAAGCTGAAGTAAAAGAGGTTACTATAAAGAAAGCGCCTAAGAAGGTTAAACCGAAACGTGCGGATGAACACGAAGTTAAAGAAGAAGTTGTCGAAGAAATTATTCCTAAGAAACCAAAGGAAGATAAAGCTAAAAAAGATATAATGTTAAAAGAAGGTGTCGAAGTTACAGAAGTGGCAGCAGAAACAGTACCGGAAGAACTTAAACCAGAACTACCCACCGTCAAGAAAGCAAAACCGGATGTCGCACCGGTAGAAAGTATTGAAATTACTGAGGTTACTACAGCTATGGCAAATGGTGAAGTATTCGAGAAAAAAGAAGTAGAAACAGTTAAAGTTGAGGTAAAAGATGAGAAAGAGAAGAAATTATCTCGTGCCAAAAAAGAAAAAATTATCCCGGAAAAGAAACCAGTTACTGTCGAAGAGAAACAAGAAGAGGGAAAAGTGGAAGAGATGTTGCCAATAAAACCTAAAACGGAAGAAATAAAAATAAGTGAAGTTCTACCAGATACAGTAAAAGCCGCAGAGATTATCCCAGAAACTAAAATTGCAGAAATTCCCGAAAAGAAACTTGAAGATAAACCACAAGAAGCAGAAATATTACCTATAGAAAAGAAGGAAGATGAAAAACCAAAAGAAGAAATTGTCTCCGTTATAGAAGAAAAACCTACCGATGAAACAACCGAAAAAATAACAGAAAAGAAGATTGTCAAAAAGAAGAAAAAGAAACCTGTAAAGAAGGATGAAATAGAAGAATGGATAGAGCCCGAATACGAAAGACCTGTATTAGAGCCGATGCCTGAGAAAATTCAGTGGGAACCAACGAAAAAGAAGAAAGAAAAGAAAGTATTACCCGAAGCTGTGCAAAAATTAGTCCCGCAAAAGATCGAAAGAAAAGAAATCAAACCTACAAAATTAAAGTATACTGAACCGGCAGAAACAGTTCAATTCGGGGCGATTAAATTAAAGAAAATAACAATTGTTAAGAAAAAAGAAATCAGTGAACCAAAATTCCCTAAAATCATGTTACGTAGCAGAATCACATTCATCGGTGATTATCCACCAGAATTACAGATACCAAAGATTACATATATCGAAGAAAATCCGATTCAAACTGGCGTTTTGTCCAGAAATGCAGAAGAAGCTTTAGAAGTTTTAAAGAAAAAGTACAAAAAGCGTAAAATGACAGAGAAAGAATTAGTTGAATTGGAGAAATTAGATAAAGAATTTGATGAATTAAAGAAAGTCCCTCTCGAGAAAATAGAAGATAAATCTATTTATGAACGGGCACCTAAAAAGCCAGAAAAGAAACCTGAAGAACCACAAAAACTCGTTATAGGAAAGGGTGAAGTAAAACAAGAACCTGAACTTGCTCCCGAAGAGGTTAAATTAAAAACAATTCCGGAAAAGAAACCAGAAGAGATAACGGAAACTAAAAAGAAACCTAAAAAGAAAGAAACAACAGAAGATGTACCACATAAAGAAAAGGAAAAACCTAAAGATAAGTTAGAATTCGAGGAATTCAAGCCATTAGAATTTGATAGACCAGAAATTGAAAAGTACGTACCCGAAGAGTTTGAAAAACCAGAGAAACCAGAACCTGAACCTGTTCCGGAATCGTATGAGAAACCTACGAGAAAGAAGCCTGATCAAGATGTAGAACAAATTCCGTTAGTAAAAGGAATACCAAAACCAATGGAACCTGAAGAAGAACCTGAAGTCAAATTCCGAATACCACCGTCAGAGAAACCGGAAGATGAGCCTGAAACAATAACTTTGAAACCCTGGAAGAAAGATAAACCCGAGGAGGAGCGCGAAATCGAATATCCAACTTTAGAAAAAGATAAAGTTCCGACGAAACCAGTAGAAGACGTAGATGAAATTACCGTAAAACAGAAAATAAAACCAAAGAAACTCAAGAAAAAGCAAATAGAGCCAGACGAAACTACGGAGGAGATTACTTTAAAAAAGACACCTGAAGAGAAACCAGAAATTCCAACAGAAGAAATTTCAGAAAAGGTATTACTAAAACCAAAAGAACCTATTGAAGAAGCCGCAGATGAAGTGACGGTCAAGAAACCGGTTGAGGAAAAAGAAGCCACTGAGGAAGTTACGTTGAAAAAGAAACCAAAGAGAAAGCCTGTCACAGAGGAAGCCGCTGACGAAGTTACTGTACAGAAACCCGTTCCAAAAGAAGAAGAAAAAGTGCCCGAAGAAGTATCTGAAAAAGTGGAATTAAAGAAACCGAAGAAGAAACCTGTAAAGGAAGAAGCTACAGATGAAGTGACGGTTAAGAAACCAATTATTGAGGAAAAGAAAGAAGAAGTGGAAGAAATTACCGAGGAAGTTATGTTGAAAAAGAAACCAAAGAAAAAGCCTGTCACAGAAGAAGCCGTTGACGAAGTCACAATACAGAAACTCGTTCCAAAAGAGGAAGAAAAGGTGCCCGAAGAAGTATCTGAAAAAGTGGAATTGAAGAAACCGAAGGAGAAACCTGTGAAGGAAGAAGCTGCAGATGAAGTGACGATTAAGAAACCAGTTATTGAGGAAAAGGAAGAAGAAGTAGAAGAAATTACCGAGGAAGTTACGTTGAAAAAGAAACCAAAGAAAAAGCCTGTCACAGAGGAAGCTGCTGCTGAAATTACTGTACAGAAACCCGTTCCAAAAGAAGAAGAAAAAGTGCCCGAAGAAGTATCTGAAAAAGTGGAATTAAAGAAACCGAAGAAGAAACCTGTAAAGGAAGAAGCTGCAGATGAAGTGACGGTTAAGAAACCAATTATTGAGGAAAAGAAAGAAGAAGTGGAAGAAATTACCGAGGAAGTTACGTTGAAAAAGAAATTAAAGAAAAAGCCTGTCACAGAGGAAGCTGCTGCTGAAATCACTGTAAAGAAACCTGTCCCGAAAGAAGAGGAGCAAGTGCCAGAGGAAGTGACAGAGAAAGTGGAATTGAAAAAACCGAAAAAGAAACCTGTGAAGGAAGAAGCTGCTGATGAAGTAACGATTAAGAAACCAGTTATTGAGGAAACGAAAGAAGAAACAGAAGAAATTACTGAGGAAGTTACATTGAAAAAGAAACCAAAGAAAAAGCCTGTCACAGAGGAAGCTGCTGCTGAAATCACTGTAAAGAAACCTGTTCCGAAAGAAGAGGAACAAGTGCCGGAAGAAGTGACAGAGAAAGTGGAATTGAAGAAACCGAAAAAGAAACCTGTGAAGGAAGAAGCTGCAGATGAAGTGACGATTAAGAAACCAGTTATTGAGGAAAAGAAAGAAGAAGTAGAAGAAATTACTGAGGAGATTACGTTGAAAAAGAAACCAAAGAAAAAGCCTGTCACAGAGGAAGCTGCTGCTGAAATTACTGTAAAGAAACCTGTCCCGAAAGAAGAAGAGCAAGTGCCAGAGGAAGTGACAGAGAAAGTGGAATTGAAAAAACCGAAAAAGAAACCTGTGAAGGAAGAAGCTGCTGATGAAGTAACGATTAAGAAACCAGTTATTGAGGAAACGAAAGAAGAAACAGAAGAAATTACTGAGGAAGTTACATTGAAAAAGAAACCAAAGAAAAAGCCTGTCACAGAGGAAGCTGCTGCTGAAATCACTGTAAAGAAACCTGTTCCGAAAGAAGAGGAACAAGTGCCGGAAGAAGTGACAGAGAAAGTGGAATTGAAGAAACCGAAAAAGAAACCTGTGAAGGAAGAAGCTGCAGATGAAGTGACGATTAAGAAACCAGTTATTGAGGAAAAGAAAGAAGAAGTAGAAGAAATTACTGAGGAGATTACGTTGAAAAAGAAACCAAAGAAAAAGCCTGTCACAGAGGAAGCTGCTGCTGAAATCACTGTAAAGAAACCTGTCCCGAAAGAAGAGGAGCAAGTGCCGGAAGAAGTGACAGAAAAAGTGGAATTGAAAAAACCGAAAAAGAAACCTGTCAAGGAAGAAGCTGCTGATGAAGTGACTATTAAGAAACCGGTTGTTGAGGAAAGAAAGGAAGAAGCAGAAGAAGTCACTGAGGAAGTTACGTTAAAAAAGAAGCCAAAGAAGAAACCTGTCACCGAGGAAGCTGCTGCCGAAGTCACTGTAAAGAAACCCGTCCCAAAAGAAAAAGTGCAAGTGCCGGAAGAAGTGACAGAAAAAGTGGAATTGAAGAAACCGAAAAAGAAACCTGTCAAGGAAGAAGCAGCTGATGAAATTACAATCAAAAAGCCTATTATAGAAAAAGAAAAGGAAGAAGAAATTATTAGCGAAGATGTTGTTCTTAAGAAGAAGCCAACCAAGAAGGCTCCTGTAGTGGAAGAAGTTGAAGAGACAGCTATAACGATAAAGAAAAAGGAACGTGTTCCGGAACAACCTAAAGAGGAAGAAGAAGTGTCTACAGATGTTTTATTAAAAAGAAAGAAACCGATGGAGAAAGTCGAAGAAGTAGCAGCAGAGGAATTGACTATCCAGAAAATTGTGGAAGTGGAAGAACCGAAAGAAGTGATCGAGGAAATCACGTTGAAGCGTAAACCACCGAAGAAGGTACCGAAACCCATCGAAGAAATTTATGAAGATGTCACATTACGTAAATTACGACCGAAAAAGAAACCTCGACCAGATATCAAAGAAGTCACCGAAGTGGAAAACGTGACATTTAGACCGCGCACTACGAAAACGAAGGAGGATGTGGAACAGGAATTTAAGATCTCATTGAATACATACGAAGAAGAAGATATTTCCATGTCCGGTAAAGTCCGTCTAAAGCCAAAGAAACGTCCGCTTACATATTCCGAGGAGACTGGCGAAGAAACGATCAAAATCATGCAAGAAATCGAGGATGATTTCGGACCAGTCGAGGAAATTATCGATGAATCAGAAGAAGAAGGTAAAGAATATAGTGTCGAGGAGCTTGATGTCGACGAAATGAGAATACCGTTAAGACGAAGAAAGAAGAAAGAGAAAGCTCCTTATACCGTGGAAGAGATTGAAGAAGACGTTAAAGTGCAATTGAAACGCGATAGGAAATATTCGTACGAGGAAACCGATGCCGAAGTTTTGGCATTGAAATTAAAAAGCAAAAGACGTGTCTCGACATATGAAGAAGGTTTGATGATGTCTATATACATGCATTCATATATAGTCGCAAATAAAATTTATTTAATATGCTCTTAGCTAATATAGCAATTAATTAATATTTTGTTAGAGTTATTTAAATTCTTTTTACGAGATAAGAACGCTCTATTCCTATGCTTTGCCTCTCTTTTCCTTTACTCAACTGATGCGTCTCCATTTAGATGAAAGCTTTCTTAGTTATCCTTAAGTTTTCAGTTCCCTGATGCGTATGAAAAGCATATCGGTAGTATACGATACATCTCATTGTCGCATTTCATAACGAAATAACGATCTTTATATAATTGTTATAAAATCATGCATCTTCAGAACAAAGTAGTATACATCCGCATAATGTAGATATCCGCAAGTAGAAAAATCCTGCTGACACAACTGCTATATGCGCCCAAAAAACTTTTCGCTACAATTGTATTAAGTCGTGCAAGCGTGCTGTGCGACCAAGATTTATTTCACATTTATGTAAAATATTGCAGAAGAAGCTTCTCTTAGCATTACTAGAGAAGAGGAGATCTCTGAAGAAGGTTGGTTACCATTTGTTCTCATAAAATTATGCCTATATATTTCTCTTTCATAAACTTATCGGTGGCTTTTAGATGTCGAATATGTTATTCATGATGGTGACACGATGTTCTCAATTTGTTCTTACGAGGCCGAAACAGACGAAGCTATTAATTTGGTCGAAGGAGAAAAAGTTTATATCATCGGTAAGACTTTTACTTCGCAATGATCAATATCGGTTTCGTAACAATTGCACAATTGTCATCCATATATGTTTACGAAATATTTCTTTTCCCACTTACATTTATTTTCCAACAGACCATACTAATCAGGATTGGTGGTTTGTGAAAAAACACTTGACCGAGGAGAAAGGCTGGGTACCAGCGCAATATCTGTTAAATGAGGTGCATTACACTGTTTATTTGCAGCGAAAACTGCACGAAAAGATCGACAGACTGCCAATCTTCGAGAGTGAGTATCTATTACGAAATGAAATTGAAGGAATAACAAAATTCATCCATTAAACCTCATTTACCGCCTTTTTTAGAGCCAGGTCCAGGAGAAAAAGCGTCGGCTCCAAGGTTTATCGAAAAATTACAACCGATTCACACGCTAGATGGATACACCGTTCAGTTCGAATGCCAAGTAGAAGGCACACCAAGACCGCAAATAACATGGTTCCGCCAGACCGCTATTATCAAACCGTCCGCCGATTTCCAAATATATTACGACGAAGACAACGTTGCAACTTTGATTATCAGAGAAGTATTCCCGGAAGACGCCGGTATGTTCACTTGCGTTGCAAAGAATGCTGCAGGCTTCGCATCCAGCACTACCGAGCTCATCGTCGAAGCACCTTTGTCGGATCATGGGTCTGACATCACTGGTCCTTCAAGAAAAAGTCTCTCGAGGTATCTTTCAAAATCTCTCGAACTTGTCACGATAAAGAAGACGACGTGGAAAAGACCTAATTATTGCTGCCATATCTATTATAACTAAAATAATAATAATTATTATAATACCTAGGGAATCATCTCTCGCTGATATATTGGAAGGCATACCACCTACATTCTCTCGAAAACCAAAGGCGAAATACGTGGATGAAGGCGACGATGTATTATTGGAATGTCGACTGGTCGCTGTGCCGGAGCCGGAGATAACGTGGTACTTCAAGGATACTCAGGTAGTCAGCCAACAAAACATCATAGTCGCGACTGAGAGCGACATGCACATGTACTGCAGCATCGTTAAGATCAGCAAAGTTCAAAAGAAGCAGGAGGGAAGGTACAAGATTGTTGCTAAGAACAGAGAGGGCGAGGCTACTATAGATATTCCTGTAAAGGTTCGTTGCCAATATTAGGTCTCATTTTTAAGAATCGTCCCTAAATGTACATGCTGTGCGTGATGTGACACATTTTTCGCACCAAATGAACAGGTGAAGACTGGAAAAAGCGAACCGCCCGAAATCTTGGAGCCATTGCAATCCTACGTAATTAAAGAAGGCGAGACTGTCGTCTTGTCCACTCAAATAGTCGGCAATCCATCGCCCAAAATAACATGGTATAAGGACGGGAAGCCGATAAAGGGCTTGCAACCAAAGCAGGACAGACACGTTAACACATTGAGCCTGATCCAACCTAAAGTGGCAGATACGGGGGAGTATTCAGTCGTTGCTGTCAATGACATAGGCAAGGCCGAAACACGAGCTACACTGACCGTCGAAAGTAAGATCAACAATCAAAAATATTCTTATTATCATGGATTTTTATTCGCATTTAGTATAACGCTTCGCATCCACATTGTCTTAATTCGCTTTCTGGAGTACCAATCGATAATTAGCGTCCGCTGTCACGCTAACCGATGGCTAATCGTATGAAATGCAAAATGAAAAAGAACTTAGCTACGTTATTTAGTTCCGTATTTATTGTCGTCAGTTAAGACATCTCCAACGTGAGACAATTTTCAAATAATGATTGTAGACAGATTTTTGATGGAAAAAACAAACGTAGTATGCGTGCCCCCAAATATAACGCTGCAAAGTGCTTCTTTACTAATGTGCTTTCAGTTGACTCCAAGTCCGCATTCGTCACGCAGTGTACGAACGACAAGCACGTCTCGTTCGTTGAGGGTATGATATGTATTTATTGTTGCCATGTTGTCACTTGTCAAATGCAATTATACGAGATCTGATCGTGGAGTATCCGATCCGAAGAAAAAGACTGGATGTTTTATCTACTAACTCACCTATATTGAATTGGAACTTTAATCCCTTTCAAAATAGTACTTTTTGATCAGACCTCATTCTTGCGCGCACGAACAAATGAATACTTCATTAGTAATGATAACTATTGTACTTCTAAAATACAGAGGTACCTAGCGGAGCGCCAGAGCCTCCGTTGTTCACCAAGCGCTTCCAAGAGGTCATCGTGCCGGAGAAGGGTACCTTCAAGTTAGTCGCCAAAGTCACTGGAAATCCCGTCCCGGAAGTGATTTGGCTGAGGAACAACAAACCGCTCGAGAAATCGCCCAACATCACGGAGAGTTACGACGGCGAGAATATCCTGCTCGAAATTAGAAACGCGGACTCCGAGACAGACGCCGGCGATTACAAATGTGTGGCCAATAATCCGGTCGGCAAAGCTTCTCATGGCGCGAAAGTCACGGTGGACGTCGCTAAGGTCTCGTTCACAAGAAAGCTGCAGAGCGAAGTCACGGTAGACGAGTATAAGACTCTGGAATTGAACTGTGAGACTTCCCATACTGTCTCCACGGTTTGGTGGCACAACGACAAAGAGATCAGCGGAATGGATCATCGTGAGGTGATTCAAGAAGGACGTGTGCACAAGTTAGTCATCAAGAAGAGCGGTCCTGCCGACGCGGGAACGTATAAATGCACCGTAAAGAATCAAGTGACGTCTAGCAACGTCACGGTCAGGGCCACTAAGCCGGAGTTCGTGAGGAAGCTGCAAGACTTCGAGGTGAAGGAGCGCGACGTAGCGATTCTCGAAGTTGAGATCACGTCGCAAACGGCCGACGTCACATGGCGAAAAGACAGCGAGACGCTGACGCCTAGCAAGGGTAAACTGGAGTTCGTGAAGGATGGTACCGTCAGGAAACTTCTAATTCGTAGTGCATCAGTTCACGATGAGGGAGAATATATCTGCGCCTTGCCGGACGAGGAATGCGCGGCGGAAGTAACAGTCGTCGAATTGCCACCGGAGATCATTGGCAAGATGCAGGACGTAATTATAGCCAGAGGCGAGAGAGCCACTTTCGAGATAGAGCTGACGAAGGGTGACGCTCTAATACGCTGGTTCAAGGACGGCCAGGAATTGCAATTCTCCGAACATGTGCGCTTGTCGATCGACGGCAAGAAGCAAAAATTGAAGATCTACGACACGGAAATGGAAGACGCGGGGATCTATTCCTGCCAAGTCGGGAACCAGACTTCTTCAGCCAGGTTGACAGTCGAAGAACCTGAGGTAGATTTTATTAAAAAATTGCCGGACGTTACCCTAGTGCCTCTCAATACCGACGCGACTTTCCTTATCGAATTATCGCGTGCCGATGTACCGGTAACGTGGCTGAGGTAAGTTGAAAGGAAACTCAACTCTAACAGTTACAAATGATCAGCAAAGAAGAAACATATATCATATGGCTTACGTGAAATTTACAGGAAAGGCGAGATCATCGATCGCACGCAAACTTCCAAATACAGCATCATCGACGAAGGCAATGTGAAGAAACTCATCGTTAAGAAATGCACAACTGAAGACATCGCCGAATATACCGCCGCAGTCGCTAATGTGAAGACTTCATCTAGATTGAAAGTCGAAAGTAAATTTACCTCACTGTCATTTTCATTCTCTTTTTCTCAATTTTTAAACCTTTATAAATTTGAATGCAATTTCGCGTTCTCTCGCGATATCGTTTTCTTCCAGTTATCGAGACACCGCCTAAGATCAATCCTGACACGCCCAGAAAATATAAAACAACAAAAGGTGACGACATTGATATCGTCGTGAAGTTCAAGGCTACTCCAACACCATCCGACGAATGGACAGTGGACGGCCGCGTTGTCAAGAAATCCAAACGAATTGCCATGTCCATCGACGAATGTTCTGCCGTCTTAACGATCAGAGACGTGCAAGAGAAAGATATCGGTGATTATAATCTGAAGCTGATCAACCCCCACGGAGAGGACAGCATAGAAATTAACGTCATCGTCGTGCGTAAGTATATATCTATCACATCGCCCATCGGATATTCGAATAACTTGCGAAGGAAAAACTCATTCCTACTAAATGGCAAAAGAAAATAAGCTAGCAATTAATATGTGATTGTTGCAGAGGTACCTGGAGCACCAGGAACTCCCGAGCCTCTTGAGATAACCGATAACAGCATCACACTTCATTGGAAGCAACCAGATTCGGACGGACACTCTCCGATTGTGGAATACATTCTCGAATACCGCGAAAAGACGGAGTCTTCGTGAGTATATTTTTAAACTTAACAAAGTTGTCGAAGAAAAGGAGAGAAACGAGATCTGAGGAACAAGATATACTCTCCAAGTTTCTCCGAATGGAATTTCACTCATTTTGAGTGAGATTCCATCTCAAGAAATTGGGAGGGTAAGTTCGCTAGACCAAACCTTCACAACCTCCTCGGTAAGAGAGACAATTACTCGATTTCAAGATGGAGCAAAGTCACAGAAACGATAAACGAGACCACGTACAAGATGACCAAGTTAACCACCAACAAAGAATATACTTTCCGCGTGACGGCTGTCAACGAAGCTGGACCAGGCGAGGCGTCACCGAATACGCCATATCTGAAGATCTCCAAATTATCGGCGTCAGAACCACCGACCATCCTCGAGGCACTCCAGAGTGTCGTCATCGGATTGGGAGAGACTGTCACACTCTCATGTGTAATCGGTGGTATACCGACACCTCACATCACATGGTATCCCTTCTTTTCACTTTTTTCTAATCGTCACAGCTAACTGAACAGGCGGTGTTTGAGTTGTACTCTGGGAACTCTATTTTTCAGGTTTAAGAACGATGTAGCCTTCGAGGACAGCAGCATCACGTATGAAAATCGCGTGACTAAGTATACTGTTCGACAAACCACAGAAACGTCTTCGGCCACGTTTACAGTCAAAGCCCATAATGACGCAGGAACAGCGGAAACGTCGTGTCAATTGAAGATTCAGGAATCTCCGAAGATCATCTGTGATGAAAACTTGACTAACCAGAGGCTACCGGTGGCCGACAAATGGAAGATCGATATTCGCTTTAGCGGTTTCCCAAAACCAGAGGTAACGTGGACGAAAAACAACAAGAAGATCACCGACAAAAACATTTCCGTGGAGACGAGAGAGGACACATCCGTCATCTTGATTCCTTCGCTCGTGAGAGACGACACCGCCAGCTATACTGCAAAAGCAACGAACGAGGCTGGTAGCTCATCGATAGAATGTCATCTCCGAGTCATAGGTGAGTATCTCATGTACATCTCTTCAATTTAGAACTCTGTTCTTTTCTCTTATCGATAATGGTAAGACTTTCTCAATAATAGTAAATCAGTCGAATCAAGAATCAATCGGAATATATCTAAAATTATATTTGCCAACACGTTGCAGACAAGCCGAGCAAACCTCAAGGACCAGTTATCGCGAAAGAGATCAGACAAGATCGCGTCACTATTGAATGGCGGCCGCCGGTCGATGACGGTGGTGTAGAATTAGAAAGATATACCATCGAGAAATGCGAAGTGGACAAACAAGTCTGGACAAAAGTGGGTGACGTCGACAAGGAAGTCGAGAGTTTCTGCGCACAAAAATTGCAGCAGAATGTCGATTATGTGTTCAGAATAGTCGCGAGGAACATTGTTGGACCATCGGATCCTTTGGAATCCGAACCAATTAGAACTAGGACTTCATTCGGTAAAGATAGAACAACAGATGCCACTAAAACTACCAAATAAAAAAACCATTAAATACAATTCGGAGGAGTAATCGAGTTTTGTTCAACAGAACCCCCGGGCCCGCCGAGAGGACCTCTCGAAGTATCCGGAATGACGAAGACGTCGTTCACAATCAAATGGGAGCCTCCGGAGAACGACGGCGGTACTCCCATCACAGATTACATCGTCGAGATAAAAGAGACATCGAAGAAAGCCTGGCGACGAGTTAGTGCAATTTTTTATGCAAGAAATTAACACGGATCTGCTAGAAGAGATCTGGATTACGAGCTTTCACTTCGAAACATTTTACTTTGCTTGGAATTGTACTCCATTTAGAAAATTAAAGAAAAAAAAGCACTCGTACGAAGTTTCTATTGCAATGTTCTTTCAGATCGCCGAAACAAAAGGAGATGTTACCAACACCGTTGTGTCCGATTTGAAAACGGACGCATCGTACAACTTCCGGATAACAGCTAAGAACAGCGTCGGAACCGGTCCTCCGTATACAGCGGAAGAAGCGATTACGGTGGGGAAACGACCTAGTAAGTTGGCGCGTAATATTTTTATTACTCCTAGGTTATTTCCATCTATTTCTAACTCTTACCGATTACTCGCCATGACATCGCTTAAGCACACTAACGCTTTCGCTTTTGCTCAGTGATCATAAAGCTTACAGAAAGCAGCATGTACGCGCTACTAGGCATATTTCCACCGACAAAAATGGTCGTTGTCAAGAGTAAGTCTCGTATGGTTTATAAACAGCACTTTGAGCTTTCCGAGATAATTTCAAAAAATAATTGATAATCGTGATAAAAAGAATGAGCACATTACAAATTACTATTTAAATTTTCCTCAGCACCACCTTCGTGTCCACTAAATGTGCGAGCGACAAATGTCACGAGCAAAAGCGTCACTCTTAGTTGGTCGCCACCTGCTAGCACAGGAGGATCGGAATTGATAGGTGAGTACAGGCAATACATGATTGATATAAAGTTTTTCAGCATTCGTCGTCGCAGCAATTATTTTGATTTCGATTTTCTCGCCCTTGACGTAGGCTACGTGATTGAAAAAAGGCCATTAATTGGAAAAGGCGCCAGATGGACGAAAATTGTGACTTTAGACGCGACAACGCATCAATATTGCGTAGAGAATCTGAAGGAGAGCGAATTTCTCTTCAGAATTTTCGCGGAGAATAGCGTAGGACTCAGCACACCGACCAATAGCGAACCGATTACGCTGAAGACTCACGCTAGTGAGTTCAATTTTAGATGGAAATAATGAAAGTAAATAGCTACGCAATCTTGAACAAATTACTAATTGTATCGTTTCTTTTTAGACGTCCCATCGCCACCTACCGCCCCATTAGAGATGAGGCAAATCGCGGCGAATACAATGGTCATCGAATGGGGCAGACCCGAATCGGATGGCGGCGCGCCCTTGGAAGGTTACAAAATTGCTATCAGAGACGCGAGAAAGACCATGTGGATGGAAGTAGGAAGAGTGGGCGCAGACGTTCAAAAACTGATGATTAGAGACTTGCAAGAAAATCACGAATACCTCGTGAGAATCTTCGCACGAAACGAGATCGGATTCAGCGATCATTTGGAATCAGAAGAGCCCTTTAAGATCGTGCCGACCTCAGGTACGCGACCTATTGTTTTTATTTCTATTAATTAAGACGATGAAGTTCTCTGAGCAATTCAGAGATTATTTTGTTCTCAGCAAAATTACTCTAAAACTCAGATAGTCGCGAAATGTGAAATTCTTTACACATATATATCACATAATATTATCACTATTATATATAATAGATATACATGTATGTACACACACATGTACACACATATAACACCAACACATATAATATAATAATCTTTATCGCGTGTATGCGTTTATCATCTAATTATATTTATCAATTATATAGAATTGTCGATTGTGGAGCCAGTCGCAGAAGCTATGGACAAAGGCGAGACCCCGTCGATCAGCTTCAGCACGGAAAATACAAGCTCATGGTTGCGGGAGCATAATATGGATGCCGATATACATTCGTATGCGAGAGCGAGATTACTCCGAAAAGACGAGTATTTCTTCCGCATTTGGCATTACGCTAAACAGCTGTTCGAATAAGCATTTGTACACACGTGTAAATCTCTCTCTTTTTCTCTGAGCATTCGTATCGCAGTGTGCTACTAAGCGAGTACAAATAATCCCTTCCGCATTTTTCCGCAATTTTGACTTTCCTTATCAAACAATCTCTATCACGAATCTATGCACGCCTGACTGTTAGCACAATATCGAAAGCACCATTGATGGTTTTTCCCCCCCCTAGAACTCCAAAGTAGCAATTGTTAGATGCGTCAAAACTGAGAATTACGAGACTGGACAAATGCTTGTCGAGTGCTAATCTAGTCAGGTCATCACAGAGTGATCAGAGTGATCTTTCTCTCTTTGCCGCCAAACCGGATAACTTACCGGTATGTCTGTCATACGAGCGACGTCACCTCTTATTCCAGTTTCGTTGCTCGAATATTATTTTACCGTTACTACTCGTGCAGTTCCAGAGATTGTTCGTAGCTAAAGTCCGATTCGCATTATTCGCGACTAGTGGCGAACAACGAAGCGTTAGATATCCCCTGTAATCAGAATGTAATCAAAACCATGTGGCATTCTACAACTACTAACGATGTATTTATAATTGCGCGACTACGTTACGTTCGTTTCTACTTGTAAGGCAAAGCTGAAGCTTGCGATGGTTACTTTAGTATTTATTCTCCACGCATATAATGTATATTGACTGTTTCTCGCGTTATTACTGTTACACTTAGCTGTTAATTCTTACGTGTAATAATTAATTAATTAATATCATCGATAAGATCGATACACACTAATGGATAACGAAGCGAAGAAATACTGCGCGTATTTGGTGAACGAGACGTAAAATATAGGTGCAACAACATCATTTTAATCAAACCAACGACGCGTCGTATACTTCGCATTACCCATATTGTAAAATATTTTATCAAATAAATTATTGCAAATCATACGTATTTCTTAATCTAAATAACATAGATACGTTCGACAGTATCGCTCATTTTTCTCTTCTTCAAAATCGCTCTTTACACCCGGAAACCAATGCTTTGTATTATAAATACAGTTCAATGTTTGTCATTGATTAGATTTTTCATCTTCGCAATATGAAAATAAATATAGCGTACCGGCGTAGCGGTATTCGGCTAATGGCCCGTTCGTCAAGACCGTTCTGACATCTATCGTCAATACCGCGACTTATATGGTTATACACAACATAAATTCAAAAGATATCTCTTTAGGGTGCGTTCCTGCATTTATCTATGCTATGTCACATCCTTATTCTACACTTGCAATAATTGAATGTCTTAACTAATCAAAACACGAAAAACACATTTTGTTTATCTACTTTAATAATAACTCAATGATATTCTCAATTATTATGCACACGAATATTTGTATATTCAAACCCACATACTGGTTGTGTTCCGATATTCACTGTCAGTACTGAAAATACATAGTATGCGTCACGTATATTATAGATTCTCAGTGCTGACAGTGAATATCGGAACGCAGCCACTGTATACCCTTTGATTATTACATTATAATATTGTATATCTTATATGAAAAATTTTTGTCGATTTATGCAACTTGTAGAATGCATATCCTTTGATTCTTGCTGCGACTGACAACTGCGACACCGACAAGGTAATACATTGCAACTTGCTTGCAGGTTAATATGTTTCAAATGAATGTAACGGTGTAAGCAGATGAAAGAAAATATCTACATAACAATAAGATAACGTGTAATATGTGTAATACTTAACGATATAATTGACGATGAAGGGATGATCCACTTATTAATTGTCGATTTTTTTAAATATTCGTTGAATAACGTTGATGCACTGCATCAAGACCGACTTAACCGGCACCGCTAAAAAGGAATGTGTATAACTGAGAAGAACCCAACTGAATATGGCGCAATTGAACACAACCAATCGATGCAAAGCTTTGTCTGGTGAATTACTAGATCCAACCAATTAGATCCCTTCATATTATAAAATTCCTTATCAACTTTGGTTACATTCCGAAATATGCTAACAGCATTAAAAATTTGTTTATCATATGTAAATATAATATGGATTTTCACATATTGTCAGTATGATTATAGATTTCTATCTAGAAACGTTGAAAGTGTTATTCTCAATGAGAGATTTCTCCCAAGCTTTGGATATCGAAAAGGAACAATCGATAAAACGTTGATTCGATTCTTGCAAGTCAATAATTATCGATACGATTACGTGTGGAAACGACTCATCGTAGGGAGCGCTGAGCAAGCAAAATGGCATCCTACTAAAGAGAAATCGTGTATCCGTACATACATTCATTGCAAGTAGTCAAACATTGTCATCATTGTGATTGTTAGAACCGCTAAGTGTAGTGGTTTTGTGTTACATTTATTAATTATTTACCGAACTTTATCATGGGGTAAGTACATCGTACGATCGTACGAGAACCAATGAATTAATAATATGACATCAACAGAGGAGGCCCATCATACCTTGATTTTATTGAGAGTTCAGAACAAGACGATCTTATACTTTCTTCTTTATCACGGAAAATTATCTCTCAAAAATGTTTATTTTGATATTGAGTAAAATGTGTATATTAAATATATTAGATTACGGCCACCCAATCTTCATTTCATATGTTTCTATTCTCCAAGACTGTATATTCAGGGATTACATGTCGAATATTACCTTATGCATTAAATTTTAGAAAAACCTATCATAAAAAATCTTATATTGATATAAATTAACTGGAGCTCTTTCTATTCCCGTTGCATCTTTATAAATGTATAAATTGTGTTGATATTTCTGTGCTGTATAAGTAAATAAACAATATGTTACAAAAGATGGCGCTTTCTACTTAAAAAGATTTGACAGCTTATTGAATACAATAGTATGAAAATTAAATAATTTATGAACTTTAATTGCAATTTTGCAAACTATATTTAATTTAACTTTAGTAAATTATCATATTCTTTGTTATAATTTTGATAGGTATTTATATTTTTATTGTAAATATATAATATATAATTTATATATTGTATCATATATATCTTAGAACATCAGATTTGGAAGGTCCTGAATTTAAAGGAGAACACTTAGGATTAGACTCGGATACAGATGGATTAATTGATCAAAAAAAGAAAAAGAAAAGGAAACATAAGCATCATAAGCATAAAAAAGATAAATTAATTGAGCGGGAAGATGAACGAAGAGAAGACAGACAGGAAAGGTATAGTTTCATATAGTAAATAAATACTTATAATTAATTAATATATTAATTAATTTTGTAAAGTAAATTAATATTTATAATTAATTAAAAATCTATATTAATATACTTATTTTGTATGTAGAAGAAAACACAAGAAACATAAGAGACAAAAAAGAGAACGAGAAATAGAAAATGGTACAGTAGATGAGAAATTAGTCTCCAACGTAGTACATAAAGAAGTTGGTGTGAATGGAAAAGCAAAAAATTCTATATTGGAAGTTCTTTCGACAGAAGAAAGTGAAGATGAAAAATTAGTTGATTTAGATTCAGATGAAGTAGACTGTACAATCATAGAAGATGATATTGATCTTGAGGAGTTAATGAAACAGAAGGTATATGTATTTATAATTAATTGAAATAACATGTACACATTATAATACTATGTCATAACATATTTATATGACATATTTATATGATGCATTATGTGAATTTAGTTTGTCATAATCCTGTTGTGTGTGTAGGAACGATTGCAAGCGTGTTTAGCAAATGTACAATATCTGTCGGATGAATCAGAGAAGGCAGATGATAAGGTTTCATTGCGAGAAGAAGAAGAGACGAAAACGGCGATAGAGACACCTGATGTGATACTGGTAGAAGATGATAGCGACACCAATGATGCACCACCGAAGAAACGAGCTAGAAGCAAATCGGGCAGTAGAGAACGTAAGAAAGTGATAAAGGCCGAAAGACGTGTTGTAGTTGATATGACTAGAGACAGAAAAATTCGCGAACAACATAAAGATAAGAGAAGAGATTTTGATAGGAAAAAAGACGAGAAAGTCCGTCCTACTAGGGAGGAAGGAAAAAGAGAAGAGATACGAAAGGATGATAGATCTTCACGGAGGACTAACGAGAGGCAGAAAGAAGACGCAAGAAAGGATGAATCTAGTAGGAAACCAGACGAAGATCAACAGAAACGTAAAGATATTGCAAAAAGGGATGAGACGCGTAAGAAGGAATCCGATAGACGGTAAGTGATGAAATTTAATTCGTTATTGCTATTTGTCACGATTGGTCAAAGTGCGATTATTATTGAATTAATTATTTATGTATATAGCGAAGAGAGCCGAAGGCGAGAACCTGTTCGTCACAGTTCAAAAACTCGTAACAATGAAGCAAAAAGTTCAGACAATAAAAGTCGTGATAGGTTGGAGAGTCGTGAGCGTCAAGACAGTCGAGATCGGCACATTAGTCACGATCGACGTAGTCGCGACAGACCGTCAAGCAGAGAACCTCGTAGACATGCCAGTCGCGATAAAAGAGATAGCAGAAGTAAAGATCGGCATGGGAATTGGGAGAGACACGACAGTAGTCGCGATCGACGAGACAACCGTTATCACGACCACCGAATCGGCGATCGCTCCCGTAGCACTGCAAGGAGATCTCGCAGTCTTACTCGAATAAGATCAGAAAGAGAAAGAAACGATCGGTACAGAAGATCAAGATCGCTTTCTCGAAGTCGTAGAGATAGAGATAAGCAGCAAATCAGGGACCATGGTAGGGATCGCGAAAGAGATAGAGAAAGGAATAACAAAAGAGAACGCAATGATAAATATAAGGATTCGTTATCAGAGGGTCTCAAGATAGAACACTCAGAGAGCTCGAGCGAGGAGGATATCAAGGATATCAATATAGAGGAAGAAGAAGATGAAGAGGCAATTATAGAACGTCGACGGAAACAAAGAGAAGAATTGCTCAAGGTAGAATTCGTTTCATATTATGTTATAAATGTATATTATATCGTTATGATCAGAATGATGAAATGTCTTATATATTTTTTTCTCTTCTACAGAGACTGAGTGGACCAAACGAAGATTCCAATATGTCTACCGATGTAAACGTTGTCACTGGTTCTCCGGAAAGTCAATCTAATATATCGCAAAAGTCTGTAGAGATTCCATCCAATAATAATGAATCTGTTTTGGAGAGTCACACCCCACCACTGCCTACAGAAAAGCTGGAATCTCCACAATCATCGATTATAAAACGAAAATCTAGATTCGAAGATGCCCCATCTAACGAACCTGACAAGGCCGTGAACAAGACGTCTGAGAGACTTAAACAGGAAGAGAAGCAGAACTCAAGGAAATCCAACGAATGGGACATGTTTGCAGAAGCGGATAATATAGGCGATTTTAATGTACGTTCTATTTACATGATATCTTTACATTATATCTAGTTTCATTTAGTATATATCTCATCTGTCTAGCTGATTTATTTATCTTTGTTTAATTTTTGTCATTACATAGAGTCCAACACTCGAAGGAAAACGACAAGGAGGTCCAGACAATCCTAGCTTAACAGATAACTGGGATGACGCCGAAGGATATTATCGGTTGGCTATATATACTAATTTTCTTTTCGTCGTCGTTTTAGTTTTCGAGCTAATAATACTGCTTTTGTTTTCTAGTGTGCGCGTTGGCGAAACGCTCGATACGCGGTACGTAGTCTACGGATATACTGGACAAGGAGTATTCAGCAACGTCGTAAGAGCGAGAGACAGCGCTAGAGGAAACCTTGACGTAGCTGTAAAAATCATCAGGAACAATGAAATAATGTAAGCACAAATATTTAAACTTCCGAATAACCACGAAATTAATACGATCGTTTTTGCATTTTTACATAGGCATAGAACTGGTCTGAAGGAGTTGGAAATTCTTAGGAAATTGAACGACGCAGATCCAGAGGACAGATTTCATTGCCTGCGTCTTTTTAGGCATTTTTTTCATAAGAATCACTTGTGCATGGTTTTTGAACCTTTAGCAATGAACTTAAGAGAAGTATGTATCTCTATGAAATATATTATAGCACAGTGCGATTATAAAGAGTTTTTTTTTTCCTTTTTTTTTTTACAATGGACCTGTATCACATAATAATATCGCATGTTTTGCTCCAGGTGTTAAAAAAATATGGCAAAGACGTTGGTTTACACGTTAAAGCGGTAAGGTCGTATACGCAGCAACTTTTTCTAGCACTAAAGTTATTAAAACGTGCAAATATTCTGCATGCTGACATCAAACCGGATAATATTCTAGTCAGTGAAAGCAAGCTAGTGCTGAAACTCTGTGATTTCGGTTCCGCATCACACGCCCACGAAAATGAGATAACACCATACTTAGTCTCGAGATTTTATCGGGCTCCTGAAATCAGTAAGTATTCACTTTTCATGAGTCATAGTCCCTTATATTGGGCGAAAATTCGCTTTCTACTCTATGCATAGCCCCCTTAACAGATATATAACTTCTGGTTAATTTTTCTTTTGTACGTTCGGGAACGTACGTCACGTATTGTCATATTAACGTTCTCAATCATTGTAAATAAATGCTCGACACCAATTGTGTTGCGCATGCATTATGTTCGCATTACGTCTGTTCTCTGTTGACCTATATGTTCGATATATGTGCGATATATATCTGACAGGCGTTTCTAGCGAACCACATATACAACGATTTTGCGAGCATTAGTTCTCCAGCGCCTCCGTTTCGCGGCAAACTTAAAACAAAAATAGGTAGTTACTATTGTAATAATATGCCTGTGCGCGCTCAACTACAGCGAATTTGTTGTCTCATAACAGACATGATTAATCGAACACTAAATACGCACACATATGTATAGATATACAGATGTGTGTGTGTATGTATATATATATATATATATATATATATATATGTATGTATGTGTACACACACTTGTTACAAAATGCAGCAATGTGTGCGTTAGTGGAAAGTAATTCTATTGCGTCGTGCGCTTAAACGAGTCGACTCGAATGTTTCCGACGTTGAAAAGATGGTAGATCAATTGTACGTAGAATGTCTCGAGCCGAAAATAACGTCGTTATTTTCTAGTTCTTGGTATACCGTATGATTTTGGCATTGACATGTGGTCCGTGGGGTGCACCATATATGAACTGTACACGGGAAAAATAATGTTTTCGGGGAAAACGAACAACCAAATGTTAAAGTACTTCATGGACCTAAAGGGCAAAATGCCGAACAAGCTAATTAGGAAAGGCACGTTCAAGGATCAACATTTTGACACTAACTGCAATTTCCTGTATCACGAAGTTGATAAAGTTACGGAACGGGTAAGTGGTTACTTTACAATTTTATTGTCGTGATCTTGTCCTGCACCGTACCGCGTAAGTAACGCCGTTCTTTACGCGTCAGGCGTGCTGCAAGCGCGTTATTTCATGATCGATAACAGCATTCTGAAACGTTTTTTTTTTCATTGACTTGTTTCTTATTACTCTTGTCGCTTGCCAAGAATAAATTGCCTGGAATTTTTCTCATACGGGATGATGTATGTATTTTTAGGAAAAAGTCGTCGTGATGTCGACGTTGCCAGCGACTCGCGATCTTAATGCGGAACTTGGTGGAAACTCCCTACCGCCGGAACAAAGCCGCAAAGTCGGACAGTTGAAGGATCTGTTGGAACGCACGCTAATGCTAGACGCGGGGAAGAGAATCACTGTGAATCACGCTCTGGCGCATCCCTTTATACAAGAAAAGATATAGGTAACCCTGCCTGGGGTCCTTTAACATCGAAGAATTCACATTGACGTAACTCTGTAAAGTGACGACGTTATTAATCTTGATTAAGTTCTTATAAACGTTCCAGATTACTTGGTAGGAGCGTGGTTATCTCTTTATCTCTCTATCTCTTTGTTTCACTCTCATTCCTAGCTGCCCACTTCCCTTGCCTAAGTACTTTCATTTCTACATAGGATACCCCTATGTTCATTTTCGCAGGAAGAGGCGGTGCAAAATCACAAAATGGTTCCGTGCGATGAGAAGTGTATAATAAGAAAGATTATAGTTCTAAATATAATCGCACACAAGATGTATTACGTAACGTATAATTTAATTGCTCGAAACGTTGTACTCCATCCGATCTGGAAACGTCGCTTACTCGTGACTACTGTCAGATTAACAGAGTGTAATATTTTTATACTCGTATAACAATTACAAATATAAATATATAGTGAATATAACAAACATAAAAAAAAATTAATTATACAAATGATGTCTCTATATAGATTAGTCTGTTACTATCGTGGTTATTTCGTTGTTATTAATCATTCTTTCTCGATATAGAGTATAACGATTCGATCTACGGATATGTATCTTCCCGTTTAAAGCAGTGATTTTAAACGGAAGTCGAGTTGTATCGATTTCACCTTGGTTACATTGCATTTTCGTAAGCAAAACGAGGATAAAATGATAAAATCGCAACAACCGCCTCTTTCAGCATGAACTGGCATTGAATGTTGGAAAGCTTAGTATAACGATGGTATGTAGTGGTTTCCTTTTCTCGGTTCATTTTCGATTTGGAGAGCACAACGTCCTTACAAAAATATTATCCTTCATGAAATGATTATAGATTACGCGCTCATGAAATTGTACGTTACGAAGAAAAGGTTTGATACCTATAAAGAACTGTATAAGGCCCTTCGGATCACACACTGCTCGATCCGTTTTAGAGTATCATCGGCGACACACATGCACACACATTAGAAGCCTTAGCGGCAAGGAGACTTGTTCTAATTGGGATATAAGCAAATTGTATAGCGAACAGGTCAGCTACTGAAATAAAATCACACATGCTTAACACAATGAGAAAAAAGTCCTGCATTTTGTCTTTTCAGTCTTTGAATCATGAGTGATTGTCGGAATGTATTTCTTAAAGACATATTTTTCTCTCTTTTTCTCTTTGTCTTTTTTTCATTCTTTCTCTCTCTCTCTCTCTCTCTCTCTCTCTCTCTTTTTTGAAATTTAAGAAGGCTTTTCCAGAGATAGACGCGTGTATGGTATCCCATTCTATAGCGATAATATAATATCACAAATATATAATATATATGCATACATATATATATATAGAGCGTGCATATGTTTTACGGCCGATACACAACATGTTTTAATATCTATTAATAATATATCTATATATATATATATATTGTGAACACGCGCAGTCGTATATGCGATGATCGAAAAAAACGTTTATCCAACGTTTCGATTATTATATATGTAATAATACGTATTTGAATACTAAATAGAGATAAAAGTGTATATATACATATTTGCACTGCGACACAAAGTTTTAAAATAAAAACAATGTTAAGGTGCAAGATAATAAGAAAATATCGAAAAATAGTATAGTAGAGCAATTTTGCTTTGAGTGAGAATCATCGTCATTACAGGTGTGACATTGCAATTATTGATAGCGCCCATTTCTTATGCCCGTTATGGTCATTGAAATCAAATTTTAAACTGAAGAGTTTTATAATTTGATATTTGAATCGAATATATGTCGGTGCTATTGTGAATGGTTCACGACACGAACGTTAAACGTGACAAGATTGTACGAGACTGCTTATGTTTCAGATGAGTCTTCGATTCAAATCATCGTTAATCATGCGGCCGGACCTTTCGAGGGCCCTTAGCGCCGATCCCGTTACAAGGTATTCATGGGGGATTGCCTTATGGGATACTTAGCACATCCGCTTCTCAGTACATTACTTATTTAGTATAGTTTAATGACGAGATGTTAAGCGTACGATAATAATCCGAGTCCGAAAATGCTCTGTGTAACTTATGTGTAGAAAAATAAGAGTGAACTATATTTGCTAAAAGTTTTATGTTTGAGAAACAAAATAGAATAGAATTTTCACTCGAGTTCTCGACAATTCTGACAATATTTGAGTATTTGGAAGACTGTTTTCGTAAAGGCAATTTAAAATTGGAACATGGAAAATAGACAATAGACAGCGCTATTACGCGGTATCAAGCGTTTTAGTATTTTTCTTCGACGCAAGGGAGAACATAACAAGATATTGATAAGATAAAGTTGACGTGAACAGGGAAAATATATATGTCTCTCGGGAATTTCAATACAGAAGTAAAAGTATATTATGAAATTACGATTAATATGTGCTTTTCTAATTGGCAATTTGGTAATGTTTCACTTGTAGCCCTCCCTGTGAGGAGGGGAGGCAATGGAAGAGATGATGAAAACAATTGATGAGGAGGGAAGGAAAATGTGCGATAGACTTGCGCCTACATCATGTCTACTGCATAAATATACATGCACTGTCGCTAAACAGTACAGCAAGGTTTATACGACGATTTAACTGTATTTATATCCGCGCGCTAAGATTTGTCTTAAAGTTGCTTGAGATCGCAGTCGAGGACTCGTAAGTATGTAAAGCAGGTAAAGTACATGATTATAAAAATTTCAAACACCACCATAACAAGAATAATTAACATTTGTATCTCTATTTTTTTTTTTAAGTTTTTTTACATAGAAACTAAGTATTTAGACAAATTAGAAATATTAAGCTATGTAATACTAATATTTACGGTTTTGAGTTTTCAGATTTTTAAAGACTACGGTCTATCAAAGCGAAAAGCAGATGCGAAAATACTATTATTCTCGAAAATACTACTTCTCTCTATCACTTTCTTTTCATTTTTCTCTTGTCTCTTTCTTTCAGAACAACTTTTAGAAAATATGTAGGAATATTTAATGTAAATATAACGTAAATAAAATTTATTAAAGTCATAAAAAATCTATATATATATATATATATATATGTACACACACACACACATATCTTTTCTTTATGTAGAAATAATTGTTTCTCGACTTGAAAGAGAAGTATGTCTTGGGTAAAATATAATCTGAAATATAAGAGGTACAAAGTATAGCGATTTATTAAAAGTACATAAAGTAAGACACATTCAGAGTAAACATCAGTTTACGTCCTTAAACTTTTTCATAAAAAAAATTTTTTTGATTCTTATAGTTACGTGCAATATAATAATTATATGCACAATACAGTTAAATGACGATAAATGCGAAGCCGTTGTAAATCTCATTGATGTTAATACATTACTTTCATATAACTGATAAACAATTCAATTTTGTAAATATATAATTACATTTAACTAGCTGCTTACACGAATAAATACACGGATTCACACGATACAAGAGGATACTAATGTACAACACTAGTTTTAAATATAAATAGATAATTTTGTTTTTTTACTTTATTCCTTTTTCTCATGTTTTACAAGACTCAAATGCTTCAAAGATAATGCTTCTGAAATTTCAATTAATAATTTCCAAAAATTCGATAAGATTGTATATGATTTAATGTTTCTTACCGTAATATGATTTTGATGCAAATTGCTTACTTTTAAGTTAGTATTACTTGCGATATATTCAGTTATCTAATTTGACACTCATGCAAAACGTAAGTTTTCATCTTCTGCACAAAACTTTCAGGCCTCTCAGTCTCGCGTCGGATAATATTGAATTAATATTTGGGAAAGTTTCTGGGCTAATTCTATCGATGATGCGCACAGAATTCTTCTGCTCATCACATCGAACGCACCTCCTGTCGGATGTAAGAATATAGCATATTAATTTTCTCTGCCTCAATTCATTATTCGACTGTGATTTATGCGTAATGTCTTGCAATTATTTACCAGCTGGATCTATTGACACACCACCGGCTTCACGCACGATAAGGTCTCCAGCTGCAATGTCCCATGCATGTATACCAAATTCAAAGTATACGTCGGCACCGCCAAGGGCCACCATGCACATGTTCAAAGCCGCCGAACCGAGCGATCGTATTCTGTGTGCGACAAGTAGATTGATTTCTTCATTAAATCATCCGTTGCGAAAATATAACTCATAAAATAAGACCTACCCGTGAATACGTGAAGTAAGAAGCGTTATATTTTCCAAGACTACTTTCATCTTCTCCGGATCTCTGCTTGTTCCCATCTCTATCATTAACAGTGCCTTGTGCAATTCTAGAGTAATGATATCATAAATGATAAATCGATGATAAAGAGGAAGAATAATCGATTGAATAATCAATATGGAAATTTTAATTAACACTTTGATGACTGTCGCGGAAAAATGTTTGCTCGCCACCAATAAGTTTTGAGAGTTCGCTTAGATTATATCCGAAGAGACAAACATTCTTCTCTTATACATAAATTCGTAAGTCTACTTTTATACTATTCTTTTTAATATTACAGTTATAAACTGTTCGCGTCGACAGATATTTCTGTACATGTGATAACTGCTGACAGGATAAAGTCATGCATATGTGAAAGCAGTTGTCAAAGCGTTAAGATAACAGTGTGTAGCCGTTATCAGTATTTTCATACTTATAAATAATATTTATATACTTGTCAATATTTCATTAAAGATAAAAAAGAGAAAGAAGAGAGAGGGCAAAAATTACCTTTTTCGCCGGATACACTAATCGGAGCACCATTGAAAAAAGCACCTTGACCTTTACGGGCTGTAAAAAGCTGCTCCAAGATTGGATTATATACTATTCCTATCTCGGTTGTTTTATCGATGAGCAATGCGACTGATATGCATGTATGAGGAAGACCATGAACGAAATTCATCGTTCCATCGATTGGATCAATTATCCATGTTGGTGCATTCGTTAACGTAATCTTCTGACTTGAAGCAGTGGACTCTTCACCGATAAATCTGTAATATATATATTTTTTTCTCAATATAAATCTCTTAAAACACTATATATTGAACAGAGGAAGAAAGGGATTTTTCGATCGATTCAAATAGTGAGAACGAAAGAAAATGTAGACCCATCGCGAATATTGTGTGTGAATAACGATTAAACAATCTTTAATTTGACAATTAAATATAATTAAATATAATTGACTTACTTATGCTCAGGATATTTTACCGTTATTCCATCGATCAAAAGTCTTTCTACCTCTTGATCCCATTTTGTAACTAAGTCAATGTCACACGATTTGATGAGCACATCCTTGCGTTGATTGATCTTTTCCCTGACAATCTACAAACCACAAGCGTATCAAAAGTACAATTATTTATTATTACTGAAATTTTCTTACAGGTAGAGAACGATAAGGCGTTAAACGCTTCGATAATAAAGCGTATAGACATATATCAAGAAAAGGAACGCAGCAAACAGCGACTTGAACATATTCGGATTATATACGAATTACGCGCGCAGTCGCAGTTTTCCACCAACAGACAACACAGTTGAGACGATCGTGCGATGTGTCTTATAGGGATATTAAAATTAAAGATATAATCATGAGTATAATTATTCATGATTTATCATGGACAATTAGCAACTGTCCGCTCGCATTAGACAAGCCATGAAGTTTGTATAGTGACGCACGATTAGAAAATGTATATGCGGCAATACGTAAAATCAATGAAGTCTGTCGACACAGGCGCATCGCGCTCACGAAGGGGAAAGGAAGAAAAAATTAATTGTTCGGATGGATTCGATCACCGAGCCAGCCTGTTTTACGAGCCGCAGAATTTCGACGTAACACTCGTCGACGTTCAACATGATTGATCAAGTGACGAAGTCGCTTCCTCGTCGAACGAGCGGTGGGTTCGTCGTATGCACGCTCGACGATACACACGTGATCACGCTCGCGCGCACAACTGGCTCTCTCCCTTCCGTGGATTCGCTCACATCGTCATTCGACGGCGCGTAAGTGCTCCGCGCTGACGCTGACGTAACATCGCGTCAAGCTCTGTGGTTTTTAAACGGCTTCGATAGCATGTCACGTAATGCGTAATCGCGAGGCGCGTTCACCAATCACTGATATCGCACGTGATATTCTGCCTGTTTTTCTTCTCGTCACACTCGAATCGATTATTGCGTGCAATACATCCTGCCGCGTGAAAAAAAAATGGAGCAACAAATTTTCTAAAAATATCGATTATCTCCACGCTGATGGAGAGAGGGATGGAGAGGGCACAGAGAGAAGGCAAAGACGGAAGAAACAATAATACACTTTTGAACGTTTAACAGAACGATCGTGATTGTAACATACTCTTAACATATATACATATGTGTCTAAAATTATAGCCATATCTACTGCTTACGTTTCGTTTGCTTTTATATCTACATACATGTACACATATTATATCACACCTAAAATTGTTTTGTTCCGCGAGGAATGATATGTATGTTACGTGCCCCGTCGAGGAGACACGAGGCGACTTTCATTTATAAGTACGTACACCTCGGCCGGGTATTTTCTTTCAGTCACATGTTCTTCAAACAGAAGGGATGACTTGTTATCTTAAAATTGTTATAAGATACGTGACTAAAAGGAAACACAATAGGCGGCGGTGAACACCCTGTGTGTATGTACGTAAATAATGTCTCTTTATCTTATTTATCGAAATTGCAGAGAGCAAAATATTTCGTTTTCTTTACGATATCCGCAGATAATAACATATATCATATAGTCATGTGTCACTTGTTTCTTAAATAACGATTATAAATAATTGTGCAATCAGCATACTTTGTTTATCCTTTGCGCTACTTATAACGGTCATCTATATGGAGCGTTATTTATCTTTGCAATTAATTTAAAACGTGTGATTTACAACAAAAGAAAGATAACGCTTATGCTACTTGTCAGCATATCGTAAGATATATATCGCAGCCACAACTTGAGAAGTGCGATCAATAACTTAATCGATTAACTCTATTTCAATAACTCCACAAATCTGTAAAGCTATACTTTCAATATTGTGTCTCTTTCATCTCTTTCGTGATTCTTCTTGAGGAGGAAGAACGATATCAATTCTACTCACTCTGAAATATCTCTCTCTTCCCCCCTCCTCTCTCTTTCTCTTAGTGACAATGCCAGAATTGATTAATTGGTTGGAAATAATAACTTTATCTCGCGCTTATATACCTTGTACATTCGTCAAATATGACTGGACGTATGATAAAACCTTGGAATTTAATCGCGTCCTCAATGTTGTGCGAGTATGTGAAACAATTCAGTTCAACATGTAACTTGTGACTTTTACCCTTAATATTTTGACGGCCGGACTCACGTATACTTGAGATCACTGAACCAACAGTTATCGGCCAACTTCACATATACGTGAGTTGATTTAGTTTAAAAATTCAAAAACTTCATTTATAAACTTAAAAAAAATACTCTTAAAAATGTATGAAAATGAATATATATACTCAAATTTGAGTGTATATATCTATATTTGAGAGTATCTATATTTGAGAGTAAATTTGAATAATTAAGTATAGATATTCAATATTTGAGTATTTTTTTTTTTCTGTAAGAGACAACAGGGTGTATGCTGATAACCTATCAAATGTTAGTGATCAGGTATCAGATAACACTGATGAAGAATGAGACGGTGGAAGTGAAATTATAGTCAGAAAGATGGCAAATCTATTACTGAAATAATAACGCCTTTTTACTTACTAACTACTAATTATGTCTGAGTTCGCAACATCGTGTCAACAGCATGCCTTCAATTTGTAACAAAGCTTAAAAAAGGTACTGGCGGCAGCCAGTAGTTTTCGACATTATACGCCGGCGGCAAGAGCAAATTTTTTCGTGAAATGTGCGGCCGTCAAAGTGTTAAGATATTATTCAGAAATCGTGCGATACATTTTCTATATATTCACTGAACGAATGATGCGAAAAATGAGAAAAAATTTTTCTTTCTAAAATCTCGTTCTCTCTCTAAAATAGAAGCGCGAGATGCTTATCTTAAACACACGACCTTAAGTCGAAAAGAAGCTGGATGACACTCTCGTCAGCTAACGTTGAGGTGTCTCCGATGTTCCTGTCGCCCGCTGCGATCTTTCTTAACATACGTCTCATGATCTTGCCGGATCTTGTCTTCGGTAGGGCTGGAGCATGCTGAATGACGTCCGGTTGGGCGAACGGACCGATCCTTTCGCGCACTGTTCCAATAATGTTCTTAGTAAAGCGAGAATATATATGTTAGACTTTCATTAAATAAAATAATCGATGATTAATTCAGGTTGCGAAGTTGCTAAGTTGAAGATAAAGCACATTTTATTGTTAAAATGAGTGAGAGAATTCTATTTTTTTTCTCGATATTTATAATTATTATCAGTTAAGTATCGAGATTGCTCTACTTTGCTCAACATACACAGCATTATTAATTTCTGGTTACCGTTGAACAACAAATTACATAGCTAGAAGTAATTGCTCTTAGTAATTCTATCGCTTAATTATCGATTATTTTTAATTACAGTTTGCTGAAAGTCACTTTAAATCAACGAAACCCACCTTTCTTTTTAAGCTCGATTTGCAATTTCTCGTCGAACGTTCTTCCCGCCGTAGGCGTTACAAAACAGTAAAGGCATTGACCTTTCACAAGATGTGATTTGCTGACTACCGCGGCTTCAGCTACTGAAGAATGTTCCGCCAACACACTCTCTACTTCGGCCGTTGACATTAAGTGACCAGAAACATTCAGCATATCGTCGATACGACCTGTCACCCACAAATATCCGTCCGCGTCGCGCCTCGCACCTGAAACGCAAACGAAAAAAGAAATGAAAAATAGATTTGGAACTGTTTGTGCCACTAGAGCAGGACTATAAAACACAACGCAACTGCAGATCGTTTCGCCTGAATTTATTTGATTAAACGCTCAGACATTCCGCTGTCTCGCTGTCGGTCTTGAATGTCAAATGAGATTCTTATCAAAATTGTCGGTTAATGTAGTCACCGTTGACGCGATCTATGTATCCGCAACATTGAGCAACTGTACAACCCGATTCAATGAAAATCGTGCTAGAATTTTAAAGTCCTACAAAATGTCGTTGAAGAAGATCAAGGCCCGTCAGATATTCGACTGCAGAGGCGAGCCTACTCTGGAAGTCGACGTGATTACCGACGTGGGTTTGCTCCGATCATCGGTACCCTCCACTGTATCAATCAACCCTAATCAGGCAGTGGAGATTAGAGACGGGAACATGGCAGCTTACCACGGTCGTTCGGTGTTCAAAGCCATCGATATCGTTAACAACGTGATCGCGCCCCAACTGTTGAAATCGCGCCTGGATGTCTGTCAACAGACTGAGATAGATGCGCTGCTCAACAAGCTGGATGGCACGGATAATAAGTCGAGACTCGGCGCGAACGCTATTCTCGGGGTCTCTGTAGCCTGCTGCAAGGCTGGAGCGGCAAAGAAGGGTCTGCCAGTCTACAGGTTATCGTTTATTATCTAGTTGATTTCTCTTCATTTCGTCTTTACGGTTGTATCTTGGTCACTTCTTATCCCTGTCGATGTCTTGTTTAAAGTTTTGCTTTCCCGTGCTGCAGATACATCGCCGAATTAGCCGAGAACGGACAATTGCGCGTGCCCGTGCCAAGTTTCAGCATTATCAGCGGCGGCAAGTACGCCAGCAACAATTTAACGTGTCAGGAATTCGCCATTCTACCTATAGGTGCGCTCAACGACCGACTATCGCTTTCCATCCTTTATCTTCACGCCATTGAATATCTTCTCATTACGTAACTCGCATGCTTGATGCAGGTGCTGAAAGCTTCGCCGACGCCATGAAGATGGGCACCGAGGTGTATCGCGTGGCGGAAAGAAAAATCATCGAGACACAAGAAATACAAGGCCCACCGGCCGTCAGCGATAAGGGAGCCTTCGTGCCCACAATGGAAGGCGATAAGGATGCCTTGACTCTCTTAAACGATTCCATTAAGGATGCAGGCTACGAAGGCAAAATTAAGATCGCGCTGGACATGGCAGCGAGTGCCTTTTATAAAGAAGGTCGTTCGGCAGTTCAGAGCGGAAAATTCAACTTTTACGAATGAAAGATCGCTCGAAGTCGAGTGGGATTTCATTCGTCGACATTTAGAAAGAAAAAGTAACGAGAACGGTGCTTGTACTCACGCAGGGGGATACGATTTAGCCTTCAAGTCAGAAGAATCCGACCCTGCCGATTATTTGGAAGCCGAGGCTCTACGCGACCAATATTTGGAATATATCTCGGAATTTCCAGCTATAGTCTCGATCGAAGATCCTTTTGATCAAGAGGATTGGGAAGGCTGGCTTACTATCGCCGGCCAAGATGTTCAAGTGGTTAGCGATGCTCTCACGGCGATGAATGCCGAGAGGATCTCGGAAGCAATGGATAAGAAAATGGCAAATTGTCTCGTGCTGAGGATATCGCAGATTGGCACCGTAACCGAGCTCATTAATTGCGCAAAAATGGCCAAGATCAACGACTGGAGCTACGCTGTGAGCGCGAGTCGCGCCGAAACGGAAGATAATTTTATCGCCGATCTGGCGGTCGGTCTGTCCGCCGGGCAGTTCAAGGCAGGCGCACCTTGCAGGTAACGTGAAGCATATAATTTGCATTTAAACTGCATTGAAAGCTCGATTGAACTTTACTTCCACATTTTTTAATCAAGCTCATATTTTAATCAAGCTTCTATTCAAGCGTTTTTTCCAATTGCAGAGGCGAAAGAATGGCCAAGTATAATCAAGTATTGAGAATCGAAGAGGAGCTCAGCAAGGATGCCAAATACGCTGGGCTGAAATATAAGGATCCACCAGGGAAATAAGAATACGATATAAATGCGTATTATCAACTTAAGCACAATTCTCGAGATCGATCATGAAGAAAGCAACGACGCTTACCATCACCCGTGCAGTAAAAACCGTTGAATCGATCGAAGTACGTGTTTTGGAAACGTTGATGATTGCCATAGAGGGTCCGCATCATGCCCGGCCACGGCCGACTGAAGACAAGGTATCCTTCTCCTTCGCCCTCGATCACGCGACCGTCTTCATCGAGAAGTTCTGGCAGAACTCCGAAGAAGGGAAACGTCTGTTCGCATACATCATGGTATGTTAGGAATTCATTATGAGTGTATTCGGGGAGAAGCTATTAGCGCTATCAACGCAAACGTTATCAATGCACTACTACTTTGGAAGGAAGCCTATAACGTTAAATAGTGCTAATAACATTTCGCCGAATATATCCTATACGAGGAGAATTGTTGATGACAAAGGAAAATCACTAACCGCAGAACCTGGCTTCATAGGCGTGGCACCAGGTAACGGTGTGATTACGTGACCGCCGGTTTCTGTTTGCCAAAAAGTATCCGATATGCTGCACTTCCTGTGGCCAATGAGATTGTAAAACCAGAGCCAAGCTTCGCTGTTGATCGGCTCACCCACTGAGCCGAGCACCTGAAACACATGTATCAGCTTGTACGTGACTTGAATTAAACATATCATGAGACTCACCTTAAGTGTGGATAGGCTGTGTTTCTTTACGTGCTCGTCACCGAACTTCATGAGTGACCTGATAGCCGTTGGCGCCGTATAAAATTGCGTGACCTTATACTTGTCGACGATTGACCAGTATCGATCGTTGTCCGGATAGAAGGGCGTACCTTCGAACTGTCAACAAATGCGAATTACGAGAGTAAAGAGGAATACAGAATATGAGAGTAAAAGAGAGAGAGAGAGAGAGTAAAAATGTGGAACGATGAACGATCAATTTAGATCGATAGAACATAGAAGGTGTATACGTACTATGACGGACGTTGCGCCGTTTGCCAATGGACCGTAAACAACGTAAGTATGTCCCGTAATCCAGCCAATGTCGGCGGTACACCAATAGATATCACTCGGGTGGTAGTCGAACACATACTTGAAAGTCGTAGCTGCGTAGATCAAGTATCCCGCGGTGGTGTGAAGAACGCCTTTCGGCTTTCCGGTAGATCCGCTACAAAAAGAACAGTGTCTCAATGAGATGAACTAAAAGAGATATGCGTGTTGAAGAAAAAAGGGAAACTAATCGTTACTCTCTAAATTTTTTTCAATTTTTTTCAGTTAATTCCAGTTGAAAAGTGAAATGAAAGCCGAGTCATTCTCAAAGAATCTAGAAAGAACACTGTTTCTATTATCTTTTATATTTATTAATTAAATATCTATTATCTTTTATATTTATTAATGAAATATCTATTATCTTTTATATTTATTAATTAAATTATCGTTCATAGCTCACATAAGAATGCATATAAGAAGGCTCATACCTCGTATAAAGGATAAAGAGCGGATCCTCGGCGGCCATCCAGACCGGATAACAGCTCGCTTCCGCGTCTTCCATCTCATCGTGCCACCAAGCGTCTCGATCGTCGTCCCAAGAGACATTGGTCTCCATAGCACCGCCCCCGTTGCTGGTACCATTCACTACGTTCATCTTACCCTGGGGACAACTGAGTCTCCTCAGATGTGCGACGACGATACAACTTTCGAGCTGGTGACCTTGTTTTTTGGCTTTGTCCAAAGCTTCGTCACAGATATTTTTCAACAGAAGTAACTTCTCGCCTCGCCACACGCCATCCGTAGTGATCAGAACTTTGGCTTTCGAGTCGAGTATACGTTCCGCCAATGAGTCGGAAGAGTAACCTGCGAACTATAATCGCGTACATCGTCTTTTTTTCTGCTGAAATTCGTTTTCATCCTGTCATCCTCCTCGCCCGTTCCTCTTTACTCACCACCACACTGTGAATCGCTCCTATCCTCGTGCAAGCTAACATCGCGATTGGAAGTTCTAAGATCATCGGCATGTAAATCACCACTCGGTCGCCCTTGGAGATTCCTTTCGACTTGAGAACGTTTGCGAACCTGCATGTTTCCTCGAGCAATTTTCTATAAGTCAGTCGTGAATAATCATCCGGGTCGTTTCCTTCCCTGGAAGTAACGATTCAAAGATTTAAATACCGATGAAAATTCAAGGTCAAAGAACCGTAGCGCGCTACGACACGTCTCGGCCGGCTTACGCACGATATTTGCGTTGTAAAACGCAAATCCCACAGCAAAAATACGTCTACAACTGTAAATGTAGATTAAAATCTTGATCTACGTATCTGACGTATCAATGTTCCACATGTGGACGTAAAACTCGAAGGTTAATACTTTCAAATAATCTTGAACACTACCTTGGGGACGAAGGAGAAACCAAGGTTGGGAATGTGCTTACAGCGTATAACACGATATGTACAGAAAAGTATGTCTAAAAAAATATACTTTGATAAATATAATTCGCTGATGTACTGAAACATTATCGCAAAGCAAATTATAACATTATGTAAGACCTGATCTTATGCATCACATGACATCGTAAGTCATAAAGAATTACGTGAGGATTATATAAATTGATTTGTAGGAGAAAGAATATTTGGTGAAAGATATATTAGATATAACTGTATGATGTAAATTAGATTATGTTTGAATTTTTCACGTCAAATTGTTCATCAAATTATCATCAACTCCTTAACGCACGAGACGCAAGGATAAATGACAAATTATAAATGCAAATAAAATTTATTGAAAAAAACTCATAGTTGAAATCTAACTTGAAAAGTTAAAGCGAGATACACATTACTTGTAGACTTATAGACTTATAGACAATTTGTATCTTTGTTTCTGCCGTATTCCATATGTAATATGCTTTGCATTCCATACATAACGATAACAATCATTAGCATATAAACTCAACTTTTACAGATATCTTTTCTTTTCAAATTCATTTTATTCATTGAAATAAAATATACATCACGTTAACGGTTTGAAAATAATCTTTGTCAGTCTATCTTCCTCTCTTCATTCAAATTCAAGGTTGAACGGTAATCTATTTGCATGCAATTTACATTTTATTTTATTACGTTATTGACATACATTTTGCAAATACCGAATTTTCTCTTTATTCTCGCATGCATTTCAAACTAGTTCATTCATACTTTTGCTTTCGCACTTTTTCATTATTTGCTACTCATTGCAAAAAGAAAAACGTAAAATATTGTTCTTCACAGTCTCGTTGCGTTAGATTATTATACTCGACTTCGACAAATAAAAATATATCTTTGGCATCTAAGACGGATAAGAAAGGAATATTCAGTCTAAAAATTTCATGCAAATCGCATGATGTTACGTCAGCGTTACGTGTGCGCTTGCACACGAGGAAGCTAACATGATAGCTGACGCGGTCGCGCACGATATGTCGTCGGCCAATAAAGGAGCAGGTGTGGACAGTACGTTAAGTTTTCGACGAATAGGCGGACACTACACCGATCGCACGATCATGCAATCAAATTCAGTTATGATACCACATGAAAGTCGAAATTTCGAGCGGTTGTTTACAACTAAATAAATTGTATTCGTTACATAACTCTCGAATTCCACGGGAAACATTACAATACGATACTATATGTATTCACATGTTTGCATGATATTATCAATGTTAATCGACAGACGATAATACAGTGCAAGCCGGATATAAAATATGTATGAAGCGTGATATCGCAAAAATTACGTAGGCTTCGCGTTTTTACAAGTCTTCTTACATAGTTATATGAATGTGTATACCACGTGTGTTTGCCAAACGGTTTTTATCGTTCGTTGTACACTTTCAACATTTCCTCCGCTCTTAGAGACCGACCAAAGCGCTTAAAAATAAAAATAGCGTATACTCAATGCTGTAACAATAGCAAAGCAAAACTTAAAAAAATGTATTTATCGTAACGAAAGTTCTACATGGTTAGAATGACTTGCTGAATATCTACAAAGCGAGGTGTACTTTGCATAAATAGAAAACATAAATGGAAATGAGCCATCCAACGGCAGTCAAAAAGTCAGTTTGATTATTACTTTGGATTTGACCGTCGCCGAATTCGAGCCACATTGTCCTTCATACAAATTAGACTAGATATATTCTCCGTTATGCCTTACCAATAAAATGCAATTTTATCACCGTTACCGCTCTTCACATTCTTATCCAGTAAGTTGAAGCTTATATTCGTCGATGCTCCCTCCATCCATTTTATAAAAATATCACCTTTACTCAGCTCGAAATTGTACGAGAAGAACTTCTCCTCGATCGCCGGCGTTTCCCAGTAAAATTGCTTGGCGATCTCGCCCCAAAATTTCACCGGATCTTTAATCGATCTGAATAAATGAACAAAAGAAGAGCAGACATTTTTTTTCGTATCAGTACTGTGGATAATTTTATTTCGTTAGTATAAATTAAAATAATCGGCGTATTTATAATGATTCTTAACTGACATGTAAGCATTATTAAAAGTTAGATAATACAATACAATATAATAGAAGCTGATACTTTAATATTTATGATTAATCGATTTAACTCTCTTTTCTTACGCGACAATTTTCCGTCCTACTTTATTCACAAATTTATGTGCATTTGACGGCCAGAGATTGCCGTCGTGAAGAAGTCGTGATTTACATTATTACTTTTTCATTAACTTTATCGGATGACAAGTGAATAATCGAACGAAAAAAAAACAAATGTGTTTTGGAACTACGTTGAAGCTATAAAGATCTAACGATTTCTCTGTGATTTATCTTCCTTTTTATCTTCGTTTTTATTCCGCTCTCGCAAGAATCTATGCAGCATGTTCGAAGATTAATCGAATCCGCCTGAGGCGACAGAATAATACGTTTAAAAGAAAAATAAAACAGGCAATAAATCATACACAATATCAGTAACGTTTCTTTTTCCTTCTGATCAATCTCCAGCTGTTCGCGGGTAACATTAGGACATTCTTAAACGGGAATTTCGTCCCACCCCACAGAATCGATATCGCGTTTCGATTTGTACTTGTTATAGAACGTGTAACGTCCGAATCCGTACCGAGATCAATTTCAACGACCGGAGCATTATCTAACTTGTTCATCGTGCAATTAAGCTCTACGACATTGCAGAAGATGCGATATTTCTTTTTCTGTTAATAACCGCCCTTGCTATCGCGTTCATCCCCTTTAAGCGGCGCCATCCTTGCCATTTAGGTTGTACTTTTTCTTCCTTATCATTGATAAATTGATAAACCGCGACTAATTAATTTCTGAACAAAATACGCATTACTATCTTACGTTACAACCAATGTTTTTATCATTTTTGCTTTTCGCAACATTTTCATAATGTCTTCGACGCATACGGAGTTTATCGTCCCGAAGCTCGATTCGACATGCCGATTCTGATACATTTTTCTCACGACAGGCATTGCATTGAAATTTTGTGAATTCTGACTCACCTCTCGTGCATTTGCTTATATTGCTCCATACTACTGCAATGGGCTGTCTTCGCGAGTTCCGGATTGGGGTAGTATATTTTATCCGCCATGTTTCACCCTTGCCTTTATCTGTGATAAGTTTTCGGACAACTGACAGCGGCGGTCTACGTGAAGTCAAGAGAAAAGGATATTACTGATAATACCCTCGGTATTACTCTACTTTCCGATTGTATGACACGCCAAGATCCGTGACACGTCCTGGCGTTCTGCTGAGGTGGCTGAGGAGCGTCCAAATTGCGATCAGGTTCGCACGGTCCTACCGCTTTACTGGCTTGGCTGATAAAGCGCGACTGTTCCACTGTGCGGTAAGCGCGCACAACACGACCCTCTACGAAATGACGAAAGAGCGATCGCGGAAAGAGCGACAGATAGCACGTTCGATTGTGTGTGGTGCGTTACATATAGGTCGATATTATACGTTCATGATAACGGCTTACCTGGTCGAATAAATAACCTTAGCAATTGACCGTGTTAATTGCTTCCAACGGACAAAGAACTTTGTAATTATTGATATACTAATTAATAAACTGAGCTAAATGAATATCGTAACACAATGGGAAAACAATGATTTTGTTCTTATTTATCCAGCTTAAATTAACTGACGCTGAAGGTGCTTTCATATGGAAATCCGTTAACAAAATGTAAATGAGATAGATATTTCAATTGGTAATTTAAATGATTTAATATTCACCAATGAATAGTTGAGTTGATTCGAACGCTGTGATCGATATAACTGTATCGATAGGACCGGTGCGAGTAGAAAACTTGAAGAGTGAACGTTTGAGAGTATGGGCCAGAGCACAGACTTCTGCATAACCCATAAGAGAATCAACCAATCAGAGTTCTTCTATCCTGAGGAGGGATGTATTATGTGTTATACAAAAGCCTGTGCTCTGGCCGCCTATGAGCAAAAGCACAGGCTCTTGCATAACACATAATACATAACGCATGAGAGAATAAACCAATTAGTTTTCTTCATTTCCCTCCTCAAGATAGAAATGAAGAACTTTGATTGGTTGATTCTCTTATGCGTTGTATATTATGCGTTATGCAGAAATCTGTGCTCTGGCCCTAACAAATAGGGTTGCATCTCTTGGATATCTCTCTCTCTCTCTCTCTCTCTCTCTCTCTCTCTCTCTCTCTCTCTCTCTCTCTCTCTCTCTCTCTCTCTCTCTCTCTCAAAGCGATACGCAAAACCATGTTATCCAAAAACATTATAATTTAGGCGAAATAAAGGGTAATCTAATAATTTTGCAATCTCTAATTAACCCGTTATAATAAAGGCCAGAGCACAGACTTCTGCATAACGCATAATACACAACGTATAAGAGAATCAACAGAGTTCTTCATTTCTGTCCTGAGGACAGAGGAGGGAAATGAAGAAAATTAATTGGTTTATTCTCTTATGCGTTATGTACTATGTGTTATGCAAAAGCCTGTGCTCTTGCTCTAACAGGTCTAATAAATAACATTAAATCCCTTGTGAGGTCGATCACATAAATCAGCTGATCAATTATGGAACGTATTTAAATTAGTTCAAGGCCTACCAACCTTGTAACTAATACCAAAATTTCCAAAACCGATTTCGGAAGACGCCTATCGCTGTAAAACTAAATAGCCTTTATTTTGGAGCATTTTCAAATGCAATTTTAAAGATTTACAAAAAGCATCTCAAAAACGTTATAATTTTTCATAGGGTCGAAAACTAATCAAAACCGTTGGTCTTGCAGGATCTTGAGCGCTAACGCCCTCTTGGGAATATCGTGGCTGGAATATGAAGCTGTAACTCGAAATAAGCATAAATGGTAAAGAAAAAAATTTTATTATCGTGGATGTCAGCCTTAAGAAACGAGTTATCCTATTGGATATCCTACATCGCTTGTATTGGACACAGATGATGTGTAAATTCGTCAGCAATCTGAAAATCCACGAACATTCACGAAGGTCTGCGCCGGTGTCGCGAAAGATTGCGAAAGATTCGTGATACGCGCAGGTATGCGCGCGATCTTGACCGTTAGAAAATTGCGCCATTTTTTAGTTGCCGTGTGCAATTGAATTGTTTAGCGGAACGTAGTTGCATACGGTGGACGTGCTGAGGGCGATTCAGGTTATCTGTTCCGCGGTGTTGCTGAACTTGGTAAGTAAAACCTCCGTCTATGGCCGGCCACCGACAACAACAATAAGCCATCCACGTGTGTGACTCCGTGACGATAGGAGCGTCAACGGAGGGCAAACGGGATTGATCATCGATCGAAATAACGAGTAGCGTGGAGGCTCGACCACGTTATAGCCCGTGCTACGAGGCACTGTGACGGTATAAACCGGATTGTTGCAGTCGGAATCACCAATCGCCTGACCGAACAAAATGTCGGTGGACACGCTGACCGACTCCGAGTTACGGACCAAACTGATGGAATACGGCTACCCGGTGGGGCCGGTGACACAGACGACTCGTAAGATACTCGCGAAGAAACTCAAGAACCTCATCGAGACCCGCGGCGGCGTCGGCTCCCGGCATTCGCTGGCCGCGAGGTGAGAGGATCACTCTTTTTCAGCTACGCTGTATTAAATATGTTTTTCGTGTCCGAAAAATTCAAGTCCACGCTCGGCGCTTGGAATGGAAAGTGGAAAAGTTTTACGTGCTGCTCGAAATCGTCGTGATATGATCGAGTGCAGAATCAAATGCTTAAGCTCGCGATAATAATCGCCGCATTTATTCGCGAAGAAATGATTGCCAGAATTAGAGCTTTAATGTCTGTAGCTGTAACGTCGATTTAACAATTGACGAAAAGCTCTCCCTTTACTCATGTCGAAAACTGGACTCAATTGTTCTAGTTTTGATCTCCAATAAAAATCTTGGTATAGAAAATGCGATCACGGAGAAATATCCTGAGATAGAATTATTTTAGTCTCAACATTCAGTATTAATTTTAGTTGAATTTATTATTTTTAGTTTGTTATATGATGCCAAGACTATCATCTAGAAAGTGATAGAGCATCACAAAGCCACGCTTAACCACTATTGTTTTACAAAAATTAAACTTTATTTTTTGTGAGATAGGTTCCTGACTGACCTTGTATAAATAATTAAGGATACCTTGAGACACATATGCATTATACATGTATCTTTATTCGATGTTTCCTTTTTTTTTTTTTCTTAATTTCTGCATTAGATACAGCAGTGATGACACGGATGATGATACCAACACAAGTGCTGTCAAGAAAAAGAAAGGTTCATCAAATTTACGCCGGCAAACACTGGCAAATCCTATGCCACCACCTTCTCCGATAACCTCTGATACTATAAATACAACGAAGAATTTGGTCAAAGAAAATCTATCACCCCCACCTCACTCGGAATTTAAGGATCCAGCACCAGCAGGAGTGATTGCAAGTTTTGAATGTAGTCCAGTTGTTTCTACAACACGCACGACTTCAAAAACTATTCAAAATAGATTTGTCAAGACACAAAAGGCATCCAATATATCTGATGGTTTGGATACTGGGTCGGATTCAGATGTTATGGAAGATACGGCAAGCTCATTTGCTACACGCTCCAAGTATCTATCTAACACCAACAGATTGTACGATTCTCATAGAATACTTGATCGTGGACCAACATATGAACTTGATCAAATGTCAAAAGCAAAACCAATTCATATGACGACGAAAGACATCAAGTATAACGTAAATATCATGAAACCTAGCATGTCCACAATGCAATCTCTGCAGGATGACATAAGCGGTAGGGACAGTGCAAATCAAAGAGATCTTCTTGCTAATTACGAGACTCCATTTCTATCAGAATTTACGAGGAGACTCAGCTCACGATCATTAATAAATACATCGCCAACACCATTGTCGAGCTTAAAGAGTGAGTATGCCTCTTATAGACATTCTAAAGTCTGTTTTTTACAGTAACATTATTGTATGATTGTATTTCTCAACTAGTAATATATCCTTTCTCGATTGAATGTTGGTACTCGATACACATGTTTATTTTACTCCGAGTACAAGCAACCCAGTATAGCTGTAAAGAACAGGCTTTTAATATCCTTATGTAGGATAAAGAAGACTTGTATTGCAAGCTATATTTGCTTTTGTATTTTCTCTTAATGTAGATCCTCTTTTTTTTTTTTTTAATTTTGCACTTAGGTCCTACATTACGTCATACTCTGCCCGGCTTACCAGAAGTGAAAGAGAAGGATTCAAATGGGTTTTCTTCTTTGAGAACAACATACTCAACATCCCAGAGTCCCAGGTACGCATGAATTATGCATTAACATTAGTAGCAGTAATTACACGTTACAAATATAGACAAATATTGTTTAGCACAAGGCACAATGCATCATCGTCCGTTGACAGAGTTCGAGATATCATAAGTAGATCGACTTACAAACCGTCTACGACGAACAACAGAGAGGACGTACGAAACAATCAGAATATCGTGTCGATGATCCTCGTGGCAGTGCTCGCTCTATTCTTTGGCGTTCTCGCGATAATATATCTGGGTCTTGGTGGGAAAACTGATACGCTACCGTCACTCTCAACGGGTAGGTATGCAGACATATAATTACTCGGAAGACAGATTCCTCGAGAGATACAGTTTAATACTAATTACAATTTGTAACAAAGCGCAAAGTGCGTAATATAGCTCGAGTTAGCTCACAATGGAGCCAAGTTGTACATCTGTCGCTAATCACTAACTAACGCTCAAATCTCATATCGCTATTTTTACGAAGTTAAAGTAATCAGGGTGAAACCAAGTTAAGTTGAATGTGCAAGAGTAAAACTTTAAATATGTGTGTATTTTCTTTTCTCTATATTCATGTATAATAAATGTCAAGTATCTCTTGAATCTCTAGTTTGGATATTTTATTTCCTTTTCCCATTCTCTCTTTGTGTGTGATATGCATATATACATGTGTATATCTATGTATATGTATATGTGTATATACTTATACGTATCATTTCTCCAATGTTTTAACTCGATGATTGCGGACACGCGCTTTGTACAATTTAGTTTAATACATAATATGCATGTTTACGCGTGTATACGAGATGCGATTTATCAAGAGCTCATATAATTAAATCGAGTAAGTCGATCGAGATCTTTCATACAAGCAAAAAAAAGCAAAAATTATCTACGAGCGTTTGTATCGAATACTGTTCTGTTCTTTTACCTGCGCTATACAACACACTGTGTATCGATAAATTTCATTTATAGCGTCATACGCCTATATTTATAGATAACAACATACCGCAGTGTTTCTCCGATGGAGCTCCCGATCTTAGAACACCTAGAGTAAATTGTGTAATGAAGAAAAATTTAGAGTCCGTGTTGCAACTGTTAAGGCGTCTACAGCCCTTATTAACGAGAAAAGCGGTATCTAAGATATGCGAAAATTCAAACGAGAAAGCGTATTTGACCGATGCGGAAATTGTGGAAACGTTCACGAGCGAGAAAGTGGTGGGTTCTAAATTGACGGTAAATTTCTTTTAACGTAATAAGCACTACGGTAATCGTAATTTTTCTATTTAACCGTATCCAGTCGAGCCTCGAGGTGAAGGAGGATCTGCACAACGCGCAATTGTTAATCATTAAGAATCCCAAATGGGGTATCTCGCTGATAAATATAAACGACGATAACGAAGCGACCGTCGAAGTGTTAGATACTCTGGTAAATATATCTATATATGTATCGTTAATTTGTATTGTTCTCTAAATGTCATAAAGCATGCTAATGTCTCTAAATGACATAAGCACGCATTTCTTGTCGAACTAAAACGAATGTTTGTGATCGTTACAGGATAAATTATTTTCCGCTCGTCCGGATGGAAAAATCGGGATGATAATCCTAAATCCCGAGCTGCCGATGCAATGCCTTGTTAAGAACAAGCTCTTTACCATATTTTCTTCTCTCCTTATAGTGGCATTTGGTAAAGTTTTAACAGACTGCTTATTGGAGAAAACTTGTTAATTTTTAATCATGAGATTCTTAAGTGTGCATATTTTAATATTAATAATGCGAGACATGTTGCTAACGATCTTACGATTTGCTGACACATAACACATGTATGCTATATATTTCAGTAAATTAGTTACATTTTAAAGCAATGTTATTCTTTGCGATATAATATACTGTATTTATACTATTTTATACAATAATACGTATATGCAGAGTGTGATCGAACATTAATTAATTTGGAATCGAATAACAAATTAATCTTTGACAAAACGTTTTACTAGACGATACATCTGGATAATTTCAATCTGAGTACATTTAAACGTTTCGATGGCAACATCATTATGTACGTCCAAGTCTTGTGTATTCAATTTACCATTGGCTTTCTGAAATGCTATGTTTGAGCATAATTTAGTTCGATAATAATGAATTTTATTGCTAAGGGACTTGAATTTTCTATTTGATTTCAAGTTGCAATGTCTTTCCGTTTGATTATACTCTGCCTGATAAATAAACAGTATATGTGATAACACACTTCTAATGATAGCTATATATTCTCAGGTGTATTAGCGGTTATTGGGATTCAAAAATTAGGCCTTTGGTATGTAAAATACAAGAAATCCACTGAAAGAGAGGTGTTTAAACTTGTTAGTGAAATTTTAAACATTGTCGAAACACATCATCAAAATGCGTCCGTTCAGCCAGGCACACAGGATAGTTTTCTCGCTATAAATCACGTGCGAGACAATCTTATTTTGCCGAAAGACCGTAAGAGAATGTCCGGTCTCTGGGAAAAAGCGGTAAAATTTTTAGATGAAAATGAATCGAGGTAAGAATTTTTCGGCGTGAGGTTTATTTATTACATCTGAGTGTACAATGTACATATATGTACAAGTGTAGATAGCGACATAATAATGTAATTTTCATCTTCAGGATTCGAAAAGAAGTGCAACAAGTGGCGGGAGAAGAATTCTGTGTGTGGAGATGGTTGCCGAATAACAGTTTAAATAAATCTTCCGTGCAAAGCACGACTTTGTCGAGTAAGAAACCGAAAGTTTGGCAAGGACAAGCATTCGAGACGATGGAAGGATCTGTCAACAGTTTAACATGTTCGCCGACACCTTGCCTAAAAATCAGGCATATGTTTGATCCAGAAATGTAAGTTGCACGTTAATGTATATACTCGAGTGTGTTGATTATCGTTGCGGTATGCTTCTTATGCATATACGAAGTGTAACACAAAAAAGAGGGTTTAAAATGAAGTTAAGACAGAATCTTTAAGATGTATTCCTTGTAATTTTAAGTATGATTATTTTACTTTTTATTTTCTTCCCGTGTTGTACAGTGAGACTGAAGATGATTGGGAGACGAAAGTACAAGACGCTATTTTAGAGAAATGCGGGGAAAGCGTAAAGATTCTCCACATTCGAGTAGACATCGCTAGCCGTGAGGGTTGTGTCTATATGAAATGCCTGTCACAGGAAGACGCCGGTAAAGCTTACAGAGCATTACACGGATGTTGGTTCGATGGTACGTTGTAATTCTTATCTTATTGGTCTGATGTAGTAGCCACCTTTTTTTATTTCCTTTCGATATTTCTACTATTTGTAATTAGATCTACTTTATTGGATACGAACAGCATTTTCTTCACACAGAAGCTTCCCTTTTCAGGTAACTTAGTGACTGTGAAGTACCTGAGATTAGAGCGTTATCACGAGCGATTTCCTGATGCCGCCCGTTGCGTAACGCCTCTCAAGCCAAGCAACAATCAACGATTATCTATGCAGGCGCATTATTGGCAGAGTCCTGCGGAATCGAATTAACAGTGCACATTTCTGTTCAGGGATTCAGCAAAACATGCTGTTCTCGCACACACAATTGTCTGCCGACCGACACTTACGAAATCCATTTTTTTGTTTCAAGATAAAATACTTTTGTGCTGCAGCGCATATATATTAGAAGTGCAGATTATAACAGTGTGATAACATCCAAGGATTGAAGAGACTTTTTTATATGCATTTTTTTAATTCGCTAACTGTATCATATTTTATTCTATCTTTCAAGAAGAACGATGGGGGGATATGTGTGTTTTTAATATAGTTGAATAATATAATAATAAAACATTAATATTAACAATAATATAATAATAATAAAATAACAGTAATATACTTTTAAAAAGTTGTAAAAATAATTCAATCTGTGTTTTATTTTAACCCGGGTTTTATAATATTTTCAAGTAGCAATATATATGTGCGCGTGAGTATAATATTGTATTATCTATAAGATTATCTAGCTATATATGTATATATATATATATATAAATCTGTACAGAAAAGTATAATTGCATAGAGCATATGAGTACATGTGTGTATATACATATATATATATTTCTTTTTTAATTTTTATAATATGAATATTTGAATCTCCATTAAAAATAATAGCACGGTATGTTATCAGTTTAAAATCCAGAAATCTCCAAAGACAAATTTAATCAACAATATTTACATAAAGAAAAAGGTTATACGTTTTTAGGAGATTCAAATTTTATAGATGTTCCAAGCGTTTTTTGTCCGTTTCACATATTCCAGCTGTTTCAGCTATTTCAGCTGATGTTTCAGATGTTTCAGACGTAAATATATTTATGACTATAGGCGTTTCAGACTTTTTACATGTTACAGACGCTTCACATCTTTCAGATATACGTTTTAGTAGTTGAATTATTTTAGAATTTTCAGATGTTGCAGGCAATTGAAGCGTTTCAGATGTTGCAATCGATCCAAGTGTTTTAGATATTTCAGGCTTTCCAAATACTTTAGACGTTTTCAATGGAAGTAACGTTTCAGATGTTTCAGGCACTGTAAATGTTATAGGCATTTCAGACTTTTTAGATATTACATACACTTCACACTTTTCAGATATACGTTTTAGTAATTGAAATACTTCAGACTTTTCAGATGTTGTAGGCAACTGAAGCGTTTCAAATGTTGCAATCGATCCAAGCGTTTTAGATGTTTCAGGCTTTCGAAATACTTCAGACGTTTCCAATGGAGGTAACATTTCAGATGTTTCAGACGTTGTAAATGTTATAGGCGTTTCAGACTTTTTAGTTATAGACACTCCACACCTTTTAAATATATGTTTTAGTAGTTGAAATTCTTCAGGCTTTTCAGATGTTGCAGGCAATTGAAACATTTCAGATGTTGCAATCGATTCAAGCGTTTTAGATATTTTAGGTTTTCTAAATACTTCAGACGTTTCCAACGGAGGTAACTTTTCAACTAATAAATCTATATAGGATTTAGTTTCTAGATCATCACTTGTTATACCGAGTGCTTGCATTAAGTCATTAATTATTTTTTTTGAGGTTTCCATATCTTTATCTATTACCTGTACAACATTACCGATTATTAGAAATGAATTTATCGATAAAGATTTGTAATACAATACAAAATGAGTCACGAACTTTTATCTCTATAAATTCACCCAATAATTCGTAAAAGTCAATATTTATTAGAGCATCCTTAGTGTAATATGCTTGTCTGTGTTTTTTCATAGAGCCTCTAATACCGTTTGTTCCTTCCAATATAGTTGAAAGCATTGGAATTTTATGACATAGAAGCGAACCATAGGATTTACATATTTGCACACCGTCTTCATTAAATCGTATATAAGAGATTAACGATGCATATCCATGCTATATAATAAAAGAGGATATCTTATGCAAGTTATAGCATATAATATTATAGATATGCAATATAACTGCAATTCAGCCAGAAATAATTCGTCGAAAATGACGACCGCCATTTCAAGATCGTTAATATCGAAAAGTTCGATTCGAAATTTCGACATTAATTTTGAATAAACAAACAATCGATGAATTATTTCCGGCTTGAAAATTTTTCTATTCAAAATGTGTAGATATGAACAGGTATGTTAACATGTTACATTGTGTTTGATGTGAATTTAAAAAAAGAAACGCTATTAGTCGACCATTCTATTTTGTATACCTAAGAATTATACATCTTATTAATTACAAACGCATTGACATAAAATTGTTAAAAACGGTTAACACAGTGAATATGTTCATTAAAAAATTAATAATTATTTTCACTTACTTCTTCAAATATCCGTAACATCAAATTTCCATTCATTGTATTATAATAATGATCCGTTGTTTTAATTGGATACGTAGAAAATAACAACGTATAAAGTTTCGTTATTAAATCCTTATAATTCTGAATTTTTGCTTTTATCTCAACGGTTAACATTTTTATTTGCAATTTTTAAAAATTAAAAAAATTCCTGAAATATGCTAATAATTTAAAATATATATATTCGTCTGATTTACTTTTCTAGTAAACTTGAAGAAACTGTGAAGGTTGCTATGTACAATCACACATATTTATATAGGATTTCAGGGAAAGGACAAATATGAGATGATTCATAGCATTCATAGCATTCATAGCAAATTCAAAGCATAATACAGCTTGTATACAAAGTTAGCATCTTGCTAACATATTTATAACTGTCATATTATAATCAACAACAAAAGACAAAAAGCATGAGATAAACACGTGATCTGTTTTCTCCACAATCCAATCTTCGATGTTACATGAGCCGTTATTTACTAATCGGGGTTGATCGAAATATTCCATTCTGAAGAGAAATATCGAAACGAAGTGGTGACGTAGCCACGTGCATTGGTTATATACTATTCAAGACCCATAGCCTGGGTAAAATTTCTTCACTATCAAATCACGCCATCTAAAAGAAAAGAATGGAAGAGTGTTTCATTGGATGCATTCAGCAGAACGAGCAGAAGACAACGTTTAATAAGTGGGTGCGTTCACGACACTCAACAGTTCCGCAATTGTTGAGTAATTTGTCAATGTTATTGGTCTGAATGTAAGGATCTAACAGTAAGGACCAATAGTCACTAATCGCTCACTGAGCGGTTTTCTCCGCTGAACGCACCCATGCTTAGGCCCAGTTGCACCAACATTATTTTGGTTTTAAGTGAGACTTAAACATAAGTCTATCTTTATCTTTCTTACTAATTAAATAAAGACAGAGATATATTTAAGTCTCAATTAAAACTAAAATAATGTTGGTACAACTGGACCTTAGTGATTATTATTTGCTGCACCGACGAGATATTCTATTCCATATTGAATGAATTTTGGAGCACGGCCTATAAAGACTGTTGGGGTCTATTCTTTATAGCTGCACTGCTGAACTAGTGCAATAAGTTAGAGTGAGAAAAAATATAGTTGTCTCATTTTAACTTATTGCATTGCAGTTCAGCGGTGCAGCTAAAAAGAACAGATGTCAGGTGTGTTTAATTTGAACTTAATATGTTAATGTATTCGAAGATTTAATATTTAATACGTACTTTTATTTTTCCTGCTCCCCCTGACCCTGGCGCTCTTTTTAGACCTCTGTGTAAAGTCTGACATAGAGGTGGCAACTGTAGGTTCTAGCACGAACATAAACCGCCTGAAAGTGAATGTAGCATGGACTTCCACCAAAAACAGATTTTACCACCGAAACCTGATAGTGGATGTAGCATCGTAGTTTCCCTCTCAAAATGGATGCAGATGGCGTCCTTTCCCAATGCGGAAAGTCGGAGTCGCAGAAAATGCCGTGTTGACCGTTCTCTGATTTCTCTCCCTGATATTACCAGAGAGGAACGTGAGAGCGGCCAACACGGTGTTTTCGACGACACCGATTTTCCGCACTGGGAAAGGGCGCCATCTGCATCCATTTTGAGAGGGGAACTACGATGCTACATCCACATTCAGGTTTCGGCGGTAAAACCTGTATGTGGTGGCAGTCCGTGCTACATCCATTTTTAGGCGGTTTATGTCCGTGTTACAACGATAATAGCGTACTTGACAAGCACGGTTTCGCACATTGTTACGCGTTTATAACATGAATTAACATGTTAACATGTGCAAAAAAAAAGAATTGACATTGTGTATGATTAATATCATGAAGATCATACGAAGTGTCCGGTAATTAGCTGCCAACCCGAAGTGTGAGGGTAGATTGGGTTGAGACAAACATAAAAGTCCCATACCATTTTGCGAGATTCGCAATAATTATCGAGTTATTAATGACAGAAATCTGAGGAGTAAAAGCGCGCCGACATAGATGATTCGAAAAGCGTTGCAGCTGCTTGGGGCAGCGATCATGAATCTTTTCCCTAGCGTGAACTAATAAAAAGTGAAAGACTTCTGTGAATCAGTGAAAAATGAAAAATTTTATATGAATTTGTGACAATCGAAACATTTCACACGACAATTGAGTCGTTCAACATGGCAGTTGCGCGTTCTGGATAATTCAATGAATACCAAAGAAATCAAAATGATCAAAATAATAATGTCCGTGTAGTCCGAAGGATATTACGTGACACGCAAAATCCGTTTGATATAATATCCAAAGAAAATGTTTCAAAATATTTATGTATAGGTAATATAAACCTTATGCACCGACGAGATATACTACAAAGACTGATAACCTTACGGGATTTAGCGTACCAGAGAAATTTCCCTGGTGAGGCACTCGGGTGAAATAGACCGTCTCGCATTTAGCGCAGTAAAATTTAATGGAAACTAATACTTTTCAATCCTCTTCTTCGGATCAAAAAGATTCAGAATTCAGACATATTCAAAATGTCAATACTTTTTAATACGTTTCAATTCGATATTTTATACAGAGAAGTAGGACGAAGGGAATGGGATGCGGGCAACAACGATACATCATGCGTCTCCAGACGTGTCAAATCGTTTATTATAGAGGAGACTTTGATACGGCAACATGTATTCAAATATTTAATCATCCCATGGATCATTTATATATAATATTGCAATAAAAAAAAATTAACGCGGATGAATGAACGATTCGTATCAATTTTTCCTTTTCTTATAGAGCAATGAAAGAGTAAATCAGTATCGAAAATCGAATACCGATTAATACCATAAATCAATGTCAGAAAATTGTCCAATGACAATTTGTTCTCATTTTTCAGGTAGTTACCGCTATAATTTACACAACAAATTAACTCGGTTAAACGAACGATTCGTATCAATTTTTCTTCTCTTAAAGAAATGAGAAAATAAATTAGTACCGAAAATCGAAGGTAGATCAATACCTAATTTATTCATCAAATTAACGCGGATTAATGGACTATTCGTATTAATTTTCTGTTTTCTTATAGAGAAATGAAAGAGTAAATCAGTACCGAAAATCGAATATCGATTAATACCATAAATCAGTGTCAAAAAATTGCACACGTGCATTGACAATTTGTTCTTATTTTTCAGGTACATGCCCCTCTAATCTTATTCAACAAATTAACTCAGATAAACGAATGATTCGTATCAATTTTTCTTGTCTTATAATAAAATGATAAAATAAATCAGTATCGAAAATCGAAGACCGTTCAATATCTAATTTTTTCATCAAATTAACGCGGATAAATGAACAATTCGTCTGAATTTTTTCTTTTCTTATAGAAAAATGAAAGGAGAAATCACTACCGAAAATCGAATACCGATCAATATCGAATTTATTCATCAAATTAACGTGGATAAACAAACGATATGTATCAATCTTTTTTTCATTTATAGAGAAATCAAAGACTAAATCAATACCGAAAACCGGATATTGATCAATACTATAAATCAGCGTTAGAAAGTTGTCTAAGTGCAATGACAAGTTGTTTTCATCTTGCAGGTACTTACCCCACTAATTTACTCAACAAATTAAGTCGGATAAAAGAAAGATTCGTATCAATTTTTAATCTCTTATAAAGAAATTAGAAAATTAGTCAGTACCGAAAATTGAAGACCGATCAATATTTAATTTATTCATCAAATTAGTGGATAAATGAACGTTTCGTCTGATTTTTTTTTCTTATAGAGAAATGAAAGAGTAAATCAGTAACGAAAATCGAATATCGATCAATACCGTAAATCAATGTCAGAAAATTGTCCAAGTACAATGACAATTTGTTCTCATTTTTCAGGTATTTATCCCTCTAATTTACTCAACAAATTAACTCGAATAAACGGATGATTCGTATCAATTCTTCTTGTCTTATAAAGAAATGAGAGAATAAATCAGTACCGAAAATTGAAGACCGATCAATATTTAATTTATTCATCAAATTAACGCGGATAAATGGACGAGTCGTATAAATTTTTTTTTCTTATAGAGGAATGAAAGAATAAATCAGTACCGAAAATCGAATATCGATTAATACCATAAATCAGTGTCAGAAAATTGTCCAAGTGCAATGACAATTTGTTCTCATTTTTCAGGTACTTACCCCTCTAATCTTATTCAACAAATTAACTTGGATAAACGAATGATTCATATCAATTTTCTTTGTCTTTTAAAAAAATGAGAAAATAAATCAGTACCGAAAACCGAATATCGATTAATACCATAAATCAGTGTCAGAAAATTGTTCAAGTGCAATGACAATTTGTTCTCATTTTTCAGGTACTTACCCCTCTAATTTACTCAACAAATTAACTCGGTTAAACGAACGATCCGTATCAATTTTTCTTGTCTTATAAAGAAATGAGAGAATAAATCAGTACCGAAAACCGAACACCGATTAATACCTAATTTTTTCATCAAATTAACGCGGATTAATGAACGATTCGTATTAATTTTCTATTTTCTTATAGAGAAATGAAAAAGTAAATTAGTATCGAAAATCGAATATCGATTAATATCATAAATCAGTGTCAAAAAATTGCCCACGTGCAATGACAATTTGTTTTTATTTTTCAGGTACTTACCCCTCTAATCTTATTCAACAAATTAACTCGGATAAACGACCGATTCGTATCAACTTTTTTTGTCTTATAAAAAAATGAGAAAATAAATCAGTACTGAAAACCGAAGACTGATCAATACCATAAATCGATGTCAAGAAAATTGTCCAAGTGCAATGACAAGTTGTTTTCATCTTGCAGGTACTTATCTCACTAATTTACTCAACAAATTAAGTCGGATAAAAGAACGATTCGTATTCAATTTTTATTCTGTTATAAAGAAATTAAAGAATCAGTCCGTATCGAAAATCGAAGACCGTTCAATATCTAATTTTTTTCATCAAATTAACGTGGATAAATGAACAATTTGTATCAATCTTTTTTTCTTTTATAGAGAAATCAAAGACTAAATCAGTTTCGAAAACCGGATATTGATTAATACTATAAATCAGCGTCAGAAAATTGTCTAAGTGCAATGACAAGTTGTTTTCATCTTGCAGGTACTTACCCCACTAATTTACTCAACAAATTAAATCGGATAAAAGAACGATTCGTATCAATTTCTATTCTCTTATAAAAAAATTAGAGAATCAGTCAGTACCGAAAATTGGAGACCGATCAATATTGAATTTATTCATCAATTAACCGATCAATATTGAATTTATTCATCAATTAACGCGGATAAATGAACGATTCGTATGAATTTTTTTTTCTTATAGAGAAATGAAAGAGTAATAGTACCGAAAATCGAATATCGATTAATACCATAAATCAGTGTCAAAAAATTATCCAAGTGCAATGACAATTTGTTCTCATTTTTCAGGTATTTATTCCTCTAATTTACTCAATAAATTAACTCGAATAAACGAATGATTCATATCAATTTTTCTTGTCTTATAAAAAAATGAGAGAATAAATCAGTACCGAAAATTGAAGACCGATCAATATTTAATTTATTCATCAAATTAACGCGGATAAATGGACGAGTCGTATAAATTTTTTTTCTTATAGAGGAATGAAAGAATAAATCAGTACCGAAAATCGAATATCGATCAATACCAGAAATCAGTGTCAGAAAATTGTCCAAGTGCAATGACAATTCGTTTTCATTCCCGAGTCTTTCCCGAGTCGAAATATTAATTCTACATTGATCCTGCAAATTGCATCCAATTTGAAAAATCAATGTAGAATATCTAGGTGCGCAATAGTGAACAAGCTTTGTCCTACCTGAACGTTATATCTGGCTACTCTTGCAGTCTCGCCCATGATGAGTCTTCGACAGCGACGTATTCCGCAGTTATTTAATCTCTCGTTTATTTCGATAATGTATATGTACTTAATCCTTATATTCTTAATTTAAATGAACAATTTTTGTTGATTTTGATTATATATTCGCTTAACAGCGCAAGAAAGAGAACAAAGATAAAAACGTAAATAGGACTGCCTTTGTTAGAACTGCGCGTGAGATAAATATATAAGGATTAAATAATTATATAAGAATTAGAGGAAATGGGAGATGAAAAACACTTTTTATTCTCATCATTCTTAAAGTTCTTTTTTCCTTTTTTCTTCTCTTTTTTTTTTCTTTTCTTTTTTCTAATGAGAATAATGAGAATTGTAGCTCTCAAAAGAGCTGAAGCTGCAAAGGTAAAGACAACGGTTATGTCTAATAATGCTGTTTCACTAATAGAGATTTTAATTCAGATTCGGTACAATAAGAAAGATAAACAATAATGAGAAACGGACATTCTAGCAGATTCTAAACGAAAACAGCAATCTGAGCATTATTAGACGAATAAAAATCAACACTTGTAAAATTTATATCAGATTCTAAGATCATTATTCATAGTTTTCTAAATTATGTGCAACTTTTTATTGAAAACATAATTAAAAATTTGTATTCATAAACCTTAGCTTGCCTCAGCAACCTTGCTTGAATAGACATTCATATTTTACGAGAAAAGAAAAGTAGAACTCATGTTACGTGAAATTAGTTTAACGAATAATCAAATCTCAAGCTATTTTATCATTTTTCAGATGATAACTATGAATGCTGATCTAATTTCGACTCGGGTATGTCCTTACTTCGAGTAAGGTCCGTTGAAATTAGAAAAATCCTGCGTAATAATAATAACTCGAGGTACCTCGAATACCATACATGATGTATCGCTGTCCTCGGTTACGTCTCTCGGCGCGCTCCAAGTCCTCTCTCTCCATCCTGACTTCTCGATCCGACGACCTCCTTCTGGTTGCTCCGTCGCAGCACCCCCGGATACTCCATCGTAGCACTGGCGACGACACTGACTCTAGCTCTAACACTCGCGCAAGTAAGATTCGGGGACAAAGAAACGCGTATTAACCGACACTCGTACTATTCTGCGTCGCGGTATGCGCGTCGTTCGTCGGCCCGAGGCGCAATGTCCTTTCCGCAATCACGGAGTCATATATAAGCGTACGAAAACAAACAATCGGGAAGGCACGGTTACCCCCCACCTTGCCGATCAATGTTAATGCCTGCGTCGTCCGTTAGCTGAAAATGAAAACAACTCGTGTTTTCAAAGCATGCCTGAGAGAGAGTCGCTTCAAACTTCACAATAATTATTTACGTCTGTTCCAAGAATCATATTACGCTAATTCAAATTGTCTCTATTTTGACATGACATACACGAGATCTGCGATCGCATCATTGATCTTTCTTTGGACAAGAAAATCCTGAGAGGAACGCTGTTCGAGAATATCACATTTTATGTTTCAGGTGCCTTGCAGATTATCGAATCCAATGTAACAGATCAGGGAAAGTATGAATGCGTCGCTATGAATAACATACGTGGGCACGGAGTACTCCAAGTCAATCACGTTATACGTGAAACGTACGTGTATTTAATATTATATAAAATTTACCTTTTTAGGTAAAAAAGGTAGAAAAAGGCGCCAAGTACAAGCGCAACACGTATTGTGTTATTTTTAGAAGTATCAAACTCAAATTATTCTTTTTATTGTATATATGTGTACATAAGTTTTTACAAGTAAAACTTATAACTATAATAAAACTCTGCAACACTTTTCTACTGTACAAAAGAAGTGATATATTAGAACAGTAGCGCCAACTGAGAAATTCCGACTTCTTATTCCCGGAAAATTCGTCAAACGTCAAACGAAGGGCAAAAAGTGTCGTCGCTCGCGAGCCGATCAACACAATCGGCGCGATGTAAACATTACGGGCCTCGGCGGCGGTTGAAGCAAGAGAGACTTGCCCTTGGGCATCTTTTCTTTTCTCGAAGGTTCCGGGACAATGAGGAGAATGCAAGGAGGCCTTTCAACTGTACGCGACATTGATTTACTACTTATTGATTACTCAAAATAAAGAAAATTATTCTGTCGAAGCATCGGATATTTTTTAGCTTTATGTTGATTAAAGAGGAATGTGTACGATTAGAAAATATGTTAGCAACTAATTGTACAGAATGTCAAAGTTATTGTAACGCCGTTTTCGGAGAATAATTAAAGGTCATGGTAGCGTTAAAGAGTGGAATTTCATCTCATGCGAATTTTGTCTCGTTCTTATTAAATGTTAGATTATCCGCTGCGGACAATAATTCTTCTACTTTTCATCTAATATTCAATGATAATAAATAACATTTAATTGCATTCGTTTGGCTTTTTTTATTTCGAAAATAAAAAAATATATACCAGGGTGAGATTTCACCCATGACAACGTGATCAACGTGATTTTCTTTGATGCTTTTTTTAAAAGTTCAAATATTTCGTCGACTCGCGGGATATTTATAATCGGAGTCTCGTCGCGTTAATTAACATGTGCCCCTCCGAGCGGATCGAATGCTCACCGACGGCCACTGTCAGTGTCACGAGCGAATGTCCGGAGCGGACGGGATGCTGAATTGAGAAGCAGGATGAAGGGAACGGGACGCGAGCAACGATACATCATGCATCTCCAGACGTATCAAATCGTTTATTATATAGGAGACTTTGATAGGGCAACATGTATGTAGAGGATTTAATATTTAATATGTACTTTTATTTTTCCTGCTCTCGCCCCCCGCTCTTTTTAGACTTTCGGGTATAGTCTGGCATAGAGATAATAACTATGGTTGCAGCACGAACATAAACCGCCTGATAGTGGATTTAGCACGGACTTCCACCACATGCAGATTTTACTACCAAGACCTAAAAGTGGATGTAGCATCGTAGTTCTCCTCTCAAAATGGATGCAGATGGCGCCCATTTCCAGTGCGAAAAATCGGTGTCGCCGAAAACGCCGTGTTGGCCGCTCTCAGCTTCCTCTCTGATATTAATTTTTCGGTGGCGCCACTAAACTGATCAATCAAAATACATAGAAGTTGAGAAATATGACGTAAATATAACCTCAAGTTACCGCAAATGACAGCAAACGTATGATAACTGTGCTTGTTGTGTGTTAAGCCTGATTATAATTCCATATAAGTGTTGAACGCGTTAGCGAATATAGGATAAATTATGATTTATTTATGTACCTATTATGCTTTACATCTTATTCTACGTTTAAATCTTAAAATCTACTGTTTATCGCATATCTAGTGTATTGTGTTGTATCCTATACCTCACAATTCGTTATCGGAATACATTTTTGTTGATCTTGTTTTAACTTCTTCAAAATGTGAATATCTTTACATTTTACATTTTTCCTTTTGCATATTTTTACGATGACATGTGTTGTTTCAGCAAATAAACTGACAGAAACTTTTTTTATATAAAAAAATCAGAAAATGAAATATTCTACTTCACCGCCAACGAGTCGATGTCACTCGCCTGTCCCAACAGAATTCTCATCTTCATTGCCAATGCCAATTGTTTACAGGTATATTATATTGTATGAATTGCTTTATGTTTCATGAATCTAGTTTCAGGAATCTAGTTGAATAACTCAAGAAAGCATATTACAGGCACAACTGTATGGGTGCTGCAACAAAATGTTACAAATATCTAAGAAAACTACTAAAGTTTGAACAAATGGACTTTGAGTTTGCTCTTTGGCAGATCATATTTTTATTTGTAGCTCCACAAAAAGTTTATAGAAATTTCAAAAACAGGAAACGTACGTTGTATCTATCAATGTATATAATATAAAGTTATATTCTGAACAATACTCTATTCTCATTTTTAATATAGTGATTAAATTAATACAGAAACATTTTTACTGTGTATATATTTGCAGAAACAAAGTCACAATTTGCAAGAGATGATCCTGCATTTTTTGTACTGCTTACATGCTGTTATTCATTATCAACCGTTGGTTTTGCTATTGTATTGGGTTTAGAACTTGTCCAATACATAAAATTATTATTTTACATGATGTTTGTCGAATATTTGGGTGTTGGATTTTTAATAGCTACAATATTTTGGTAAGAGCATATTGAATATAATTTATATTTTTCTTCAAACTGCATTGGGATTGCTTTTTTTTTTAGATGCTATTCATAATAAATACATAATATACTCTATGATAGAAATATAGAAATTTGTTTTTTATGTTCTGTTTTATGTACTCAAACAATTAAAATTCTCTTCAATTTTATAGTTTAATATTATATTTCATTATTCCTTTCAATTTCTTTCCATTTTGTACGAATCTATTCTACTTATACAGAATTCAATCTACATATCTATTATGCTACTATTTTACTATTATTTTATTTCACTATTATGCACTTATAATTCTATTTGTATATCTTTATTTTATTCATATATTGTAATTTACACAGGTTTATAACTAATAGATATCTGAGGATAGACAAAACACAAGATGTTGAATGGGGCTATGCATTTGATATCCACATGAATGCAGTATTCCCTCCTTTAATTATACTTCATATTCTTCAATTATTTTTATATAATGGTGAGATTTTGTGTACATCTCATTTTATTTATAGTTAAGTGATTTTGAGCTAATATATGGTCTTGTTATACAGCTTTGATCAATAATGATACATTCTCAGCGCGATTCTTTGGGAATACTCTTTGGTTAATAGCTATTATATATTACATTTATATCACCTTTCTTGGCTATGCAAGTAAGTACATCAATTGCTGAAATGTTCATACTACTTATGACAATATAATTTTCCTATCAATTTAATGAATATATTTTATAATTAGTAGCCACACATACACACACATTAATATTTTTTTCTGTTTTAGGTGTAGAGATACTTCATAAAACACATCTAATATTATCCACTTTACCGATAATTCTGCTGACGTATATTACTACATTATGCGCTGGTATCAATGTCAGTTATTTAGTTATGGAATTTTACTTTTATCGAGCTATATAAAAAGATTACAATGTATTGTATTTTCATCAAATCATCATGTATATTAACTTTGGAATAACAATCTGGCTCCATTGAAATGCGGTAGAATTTTTTGACATTTTGACATTAAAGATATTTGCAATCATTAAATATTACTTTATAAATAATTTCGAAGGCTCCTTCTATTAAATCTTCCGGCAAAAAAGATATCAATAGTTTTGATGAGCCCAAACTCGATTCCTTTTTGTCGTCTTTTAGAATATTATGCTTCTCAGCATTATGTACTAAGGTCTGTAATAAGAAAGTGGTATAAGGAAAATTGACATGTATTTCATGTTTATTATTTTGTACATAGTTATCTTTTATTACCTGGCTGTAATGAAAGAAGCAGCCAATGACTTTAGCTCTGGGAAAAATCGTTTGTAATGCCTTTCGCTCAGCTTTTTCAAAATCTGATATAATTTCTGATGCTAATTTAATTACGTGGATAACTTTTTGTAAAACATTTAAATAATCATCAAAAGTGCGTCCTTCCATTATAGTATAAACAATTGGAAATGTCTGAAATTTAAGAACAATTTAATTTACTCATTTATTTACATAGAATGATTTTGCAGGTAAATCAACTAATTATTAAATGAAACTAATTAATTGTTTGCTTACCTTATTATCATATCTAATTATAATTGTCTACAATTGACAATTATTTTCTTGAATTTGAGGAACTGTCGTAAATGTTCCATCCACAAATGTGGTTAATTTGTCATTAATTATTGACATAACTGCCTGTGCTAAAACCTTATCAATGAAAATAATCGTTTTGGTATCTTTTCCTTTCATTACAAAATCAACAATAAAAGGATCAGTTGTTTTTATTTTTAATAATTCTTTCCAATTTTCTTTATTTAAACAATATGTTAAATCATTTAAATTTTTTGGAATATTTCGAATACATTTTTTTTATGTCTTTCAATTGATTTTTCTATATTACCAATTTTTGTTAAATCTAATAAATGGTCGTATCTAGATATAAATAAACAAATTACAATTACAATTACAAATATAAAAATTACAATTATAAATAGTAGGTACTCATCTCCATTAATACCATTTATTTATTGTTTTCTATTTTATTGTTTTATACTCACTTCGAAATAATTCTTTTCTTTATTAATCTAGGTGATTCGAATGCATATGATGTTTCGATTTCTTTACTAATCTCACATAATTGAAATATTGGTTTTTCATGCTCGTATTTTCCACTAACAATATAATTGCCACTTATAATTTTTAATTTTGCTTTACATTGCACTTTATTTTTACGAAAACTACATTCATAATATATCTATGTCTAATGAATATCTATGAAAAAATCATTCATAATTAAATACATCAAATACATGAAATAAATCTAATACATAAATACATCAAATTATTCATAACTAAATACATCAAGTATTGATACGTTTCTATGCTGATTACGTAAATTAATAAAAAATTATCTTCTGAATAATTTTTACAAAACTATATGATGAATTAAATAAAAATTTAGAAAGATTCTCAAAAATTAATAACTGATTCAAAAGAAGATAGTATATACAATTAAACAATTATTAAATTATAAGCTGTTTTTCTATTCATAAATCAGATTTTTTGTCATAATAATTTAATGAATTAATTTTATTCTGCTTAAGAAATCTGCTTACATCGTATCCCTATAGCATTTATTATAATGGAAATGATGCCCCTCGTATTCTAATTTTGGATATTGTATTCTTTTATTGCACTCAGTATTGCACTTCTTTTTTTCTGTCATCTCGAAATACAATATAATATAATAACAGTACAATGAACAATACCACTCGCCATAATGTCGCTGTAAGAGTGCAAAAAGACAATCGGAAAAAGTGACAATCGCGGGAAAAACAAAATCATAATGAAGCGCAATATTTGATTTCGAAAAAGTTGAAAAATATTACAGACTTCTTCACCGCATCACAGAAATTTAAAATAAGAATCATAAAAGAGAGAAATAGTTTTATAGAAACGATTAATAAGAAACGATGAAAAAAAAATATGATGAAAACAACCTACTATTTATAATTTGTAATATAATTTATAATATATATATATATATATATATATATATATATATTATAATATATATATAATAATTTATAATATATAATATAATTTATAATTTGTAATTAGCATATTTACACATAAACACAAATATTTACTGGACTTGACAAGTATTCTAATACTGAACAATCTATTAAACGTTAATGTTCGAAAATGTAAAGAACGACATTCATTCGCATTGCCGCACCATGCATTATTATAGTCGTCAAGTCGGGGCTGCGTGGCGGACGGCCTGACTCCTGTCGGTTTCTCGCAGGCGAGCTACCGGCACCCCGCGTGCAGCGACTAGTGCAAATTGTGACCGCTACGCAACGCGCTCATCGATCCCGCTGCTCGCAGCTAAAATTCGGCCACCCGGATGATATAACCGAGCGCGATAGCGCGCCGCGCGCCCTCGCATGGCCCAACGCCGATTGTGGCAATCTCTGGTGTCAGGTCGTGCGACTTGTGTAGCACACCCATCTTTTACCGACCTCTGCTTCTAGGCTTTCCTAGTGCAATTTTGGCGTGTAATATAGATTCGAACCACCGCAATTTAATACACTCTGCTGAGTTAAAAGCGGGTGCCGATATATCCTGTGCTGGGTTGAGGCTTTATGGTTAGAATCGACTGCGCTCAGATTTGAGTTCTCTGCGTTGCGATGCTTCAGGAGTGGGCTTTTGGTCGCCTTCGTGTGGAACGGGTGAACTCTCTCTTTCCAAGCGTCCGTCAAGGATCTTGGCTATCAGAAGCGGCGTGGCTGTCTCCTTTGGAGTTTGCGAACTCTCTCTTTCCAAGTATCCGTCAAGGATCTTGGCGATTTGAAAAAAAACGACTTTAAGAAAGATTTTCAAAGTAAAGGTCGGTCCGACTGTTAAAAAGAAATACATTTTTCCACTGCCCACAAATGCGTCCATCTACCAAACAAGTCTGTACAAGTCTGTAAATACATATATTTTCATAGAGGCTGCCCTACAGTTGTACGATAGTTTAACAATATATCCTAAAATTCAATTAAAAGTCGAGGATTCTAATACAGAAATGCGAGGTGTAAATGGTTTTTAAAAGTTATAAGCTATTATAGTTTGTTGCCGCGCCAGATTGCTTAGAGGCAGTGACGCAGGGATGCCAGAACACCCTTATCAGAAGGATCGGAGTTAGAGAGATGGTAGTAGACTCGGATCTCGTGCGGTCTCTTCGGGTCGTAAATCCGAACCGAGAAACCCATGCAACACTCGTAATAAATATGTCTACGAGCGCGAATGTGAAACGACCACTGTCGTTTCGGAAGGCCTGCCCTTCCGGACTCAACGGCCAGCAATCTGCCTCGGTCCTGAGAACCGTAGAGATGCACACGATTGGAAATATGGAAAAGACGATTAGAAATATGGAAAAGACGAATAGAAATATGGAAATACGGAATAGAAATATGGAAATAGAAATATGGAAGATGAATAAGGAAAATAAGGGAAAGGATCATATCCTTTATATTGTATACGTGGGAGAATTAGCCGAAAGCGTCAAGTTATTTATTCGACTGAAGATCTTAGATAATACAAAGGATAATAAAGAAATTACTTCGCTGGTTCAATTACAATTAAAATGGTTGAAAAAGGAAGTAAATTTTTGACAGAGAATGAGATTAAAAAATGGAGAGATTTTCGGAATAAACTTGAATGCGGAAAAATCCAAGTGGACCAGTTAAACGATGCTTTAAAGATGGCATCGCAATGGCGAAATTCATTGGCACATCCCAAACATTTGCCAGTGAAATTACCGACTTGGAGTAAATCATGTAAAATGGATTAGGATGGAACTTTGAGTGAAATGCAGAAAATGTTTAACTATTCTGAACGATTCGGAATGATTCGGTTTAGTTGTTAGTTTTATTTTATTACTTCATTTTATGTCATTGTATGCTGACTTTAAGATATCGTGATAAACATCGCTAAATCTGATTTAATTATGGACTATAGTTACATACTTATGAAGTAATGTTCGAAATTATTTCGTAGCCTTATGGCAATTATAATCTTTTTTTAAGTTTTAATTTTCAACATTATATGATAACCCTTTGTGAAAACACAATTTTTCACATGTTTAAATAAAAAAATCGATTAATTTTTTTCATAAAAATGTGATATAGCGGTTTCATGTGGACAATACCGATGCCCACTTCGAGATACGCTCGAAATGCAATGCTCTTTTTGAAAGCATTTAAAATTGTGAAATTAGTAGAGAATTAAAAGGTTTTTATCTAATTTTTACTCATTTTACTTGTAAAAATTATGCCCTCCACAAGAATTGCGCTCGGAAATTTTCATGATGGTTTGAGTGTTGTGGGAGACTTGAAATTCGCTTAGAAAAGTTTTGAGAATTCAGTAAAAGTTCATTTTTTCTAGTCCTTTTATGAGTTTTTTAATGATTTTTGTGTGTTTTTTGATCTTCCAATTTTGGGTGCGCTCGGTGCAACATTTTATACTCTATCAATTGATATTATCATGTTATAATAATTTATTTAAACATTTATACATCTATATAATGTGTTCCACAGTCTTGAAAGCAGTTGCGAGTTTACTTATACATATAAGTTATGTATATATATGAAAAAAATATACATAATTTATATGTATGTACAGGATGTTTGGGAATAGACGCATTTATTGCGATACATATCCCTTGTCGAAACACGCGATTATTTATCTCTAATAAATGGGGAAAACCCAAGGTTAAAATCTATTTTAAAAAAAGCATGTTTCTTCAAAAGAATTTTTCAGGAAATACAATTTAAGAGTACAAATAAAGGGGAAAATATATCGAGTTTCGTCAAAATTTAGACGTACTTATTTTTAATACAGAATCTTGACTCGCGGGGCATAATCCACAATTGTAAAGATATTTATTTAATGTCGTTGTTTGAAAAATTGTGTTAAAAACAATTTTAAGAAACTTTAAGAAAGATTTTCAAAATAAAGGTCGGTCGTCCGACTGTCAAAAAGAAATACATCTTTTCACTGTCCACAAATGCGTCCATCTACCGAACATTCTGTATAATTCTGTAAATACATATATTTTTATACAGGCTGCCCTACAGTTGTACGATAGTTTAACAATATATCCTAAAACTCAATTAAGAGTAGAGAATTCTAGTACAGAAATGCGAGGTGAAAATGGTTTTTAAAAATTATAAGCTATTATAGTTATCTAATAGTATCGCATAAATTTTGTACGCTCATATATGTATGCATATTGATTTATCGTCTGTTGTTGATTTTCACTGATTAGTTGATTTTATCTTTTGTTTCCTTACGAGATACGATCTGTATCAAGACTTTCGACTCTATCTTAAGCTTCAGAATATGCTGTTAATGTATCGTTAGTTTTGAGACACCCGTACATATATATTTATATATTTATTCATCTATTTTTATATATACACACACACACACACAACACACACACACGCGCGCACACACACACACATACACACACACACACACACACACACACATATATATATGTATATATATATATATATATAAGTTAATTAATTTGTTATTGGCTAGGTAAAGCATTTTGTAACTTAGACATTAAAAGTGTGATAGATATATTCTGCTTGTTGTGAGATTCGATATCTCTCATAGAAACGTAGTCCCGCGAGTTCGTACGCCTTATTATAATTGCTTTACGCGTTCCGACGTATGCGTCGGATGCGCGTTTTTAATCGTGGCACGCAATTTGAGTTCCAACTCGCAGCGTACTCCCAGCCACGGGCACAGACACGAACGTACCTAGCCTTAGGCTAGGAGAAGACACGTGGATTTTTCATTATCACCTATTATCTATGTGTCACGCGCTGGTCGGCGCGCGGTCAGCGACCATTAGACCGATTTTAGCCGCGATACAGATGCACTTCGCGCGGTTACTTCGCGCAGCATACTGTTTTCCAACGAGAGCGACTTTCGTTATTGGGAATGAAAATTGAGAGATATTCAATCAAATTTCACAGCTTCATAAAACTGCGCTGTGAAATTTAGAATGATCAGGGAAACTCGGGGATAAGATTGTCGGGAGACTCGCGTATGCGTATGTGTTGATCGATATTCACTTCGTTGTGTCCGATCATTTAAAGAATAACAGTAGCGATAAATCCGATGATACATCCGATGGATGTATGTAACATGGTTACATCCTAGTTTATATTTTATCGTCGATTTCACGATTCATCGTCGGCTAGCCGACTTAAATTAGACTTTCATTCCCAATAGATTCTCTCTACATTCGCATCGTAGGATCGATCGAAGCTATCGCTTGATATCGTGCGCAAGTAGAGCACGAAATACCATTCGTAAAACTAAAATAAATTAAGTACAAATATTACACGAATACTATCGACGTCAGGACGGAAGCATTTAGACGACCGATGACGTCCAAGTCGACGAAAATGAAGTCTTCTGCGGGGTATAGACGAAAGTAAAGCAAGTTATGAACTTCTCCTAGTTTCAAGGCAGACCATTGACGTTTCTCACATGATCACATCTAGATCTTTACAAATGCCTTTTCTGGAATTCCAATTTCAAATTTATCGAGCCCCGAATGCGCCACATATCCGACAGCGCGTCCGAGCACCATTTAATCGTTGCTATTTCAAATGAATTGAAAACAACACTCGCGAATCGCTCGAAATGATCGAAATTAATTGATCTGCTACGATATCGCCGAATGGTTTTACTATCACTATCATTATTAATTTATTACATTACAATATAATATATTAGTTATATTAATTTATTACTATTATATATTTGTTTCCTGACCGCGACATTCTTTCGACAAACCGACCGAGACCACCACATCGCACATAACATAATCATCTTCGATCGTCCATTCGCCATGTCAACGACCCTTCGTCGCGCGAAGTCGGTTAATAAATACTGACTTACGTTACAAATTATTCGTCTATCTAATGCGCTACTTTTGGGAGACATCGTCGTGTGCTACGCGCTAATCTTACCGTGAATTACATTACATTATCCCGAACGTCGCGTGATACGATGCAACCGAATATGCCGAGTCGAACGTAAACAGCTATCGTTCTCTCCCAGTCAGAAGTCCCATCTATAATATATCGATACCGACTTGATCGTATTCATGCGAAAGAATATTATCGATGTGCGTCTCTTGGAACATCTCGAAGGACGCGTCGTTTAACAGTTGCAGCAGATGAAAGGTTGCACATAGTCTCTCGCCGATATATTTGCACCGATCGTGATGAAATCACATTTGAACGAATCTGACGACAAACGCCGTGAGAAAAGAAATCTTTGCCGCACAATCAAGTTGTTTCGCGCTTTTCGGAAAAGAAAGGAGTGACACGAGATATCTTTCGCACATCTTTTCGATTACACATCTGCTTCAGTTACATCACAGTATTGCGGTCGGTATTATACGTTTTTTTCTTTTACGAGTTATCGCGTGTCTCGCCGAAATATCGAAGTATTTGTTGGATCGTGACATTTATCATTGGCATACACACAGTAATATATTTCGTAGAATATGTTAATCGCTAATAGGATTAAATTTCTTGATGATTTTAAGATATTACTCTCTCGCCACAGCGAGAATCCCACTGGCCACTGACTTGTTGCATTAAATTTCCTGGAATCTTTAATCGGAAGATATAGTAAATCTGACAGTGAATCTGATAGGTAACAAAAAAAATTAAAATTTATCCTCTACCTATATTCCCGGGTGCAAATTTTTCCAGAGAGTCGGTTTTCAACACCAGCTCAATATTTCGCGAAGAGCCCACCCGGTTGAAATTCTCACTGAGGAAGGCTCGACTATGAAAATCATCAATAAAACACATTTTCATCATCGATTTCACGATCTGCATCTTCTATGCATCCACATGAAACGTGTATGTGCGTGGTGTATGTGTGCGCGTGTTTATGCATATTTGCTCAGTAACAATTTTAGCATCGTTACCCGCTAATAATACATGTGAGAGTATGTATAATGCAAAAGTTTGGAATTCTTTTCCAGGATCATCGCGAATTACGAGTACCTCTCTTACGAATATTATCACACGCGTTTTTTTTTTTTATGGTCGCTCATATTACTTTTTTCGTTCTATACAACCTCTCTGTTACATTACGAGACTATACGATATATGTTAGGAGTCACATATATATGTATATTCGTTAGCTCGAAAGACTCGAGGTCTGCGTCAATCAACGGAAGAGCAGAGAGTCGAATCGGTAAGGACGACTCGATATCGGATCGTAATTTCACGAGGTCGCGATCGTTCGCGCGCGCGAGATCTTTTTTGTTCGTTTGCACCGTTATTTCTTTCGTCGATGAGAGATCAGTAACGCGCATCGCAGCACGGGAGAGAGAGAGAGAGAGAGAGTATGTGTGTGTGTGTGTGTGTATGAATGAGTAAATAAGAGAGTGTGTGAGTAAATTTGGTAGCCAGAGTAGATAACTTTCATCACGTGAAATAATTCCTAACCCATCTTCTTGCCCTTCTTGCCCTTTCACCTGCAATTCTTCCGCGAACGCTGAACAAGATATGTTTCCGCCTTGAAGCGTGTTTTGATATAAATTTTCTCCTCTCTCTTTTCCTTCGGAGGAAAAGCGACTAAGAAGACGCGATGTTCCTTCACACTTGGCTAGACTTCGTTCTCTGTTTCAAGTCGCGACCCGCGTGGTGCGCGCGCGGGAGATAAGAAGGAGAAGGATCTCCTCCTTCTTCTAGTCTACCTGTTAGAGACCGAGGAACAGCGGACGCATCGCGTATCGATGTCGATCTTCAAGCTCACACGCTTCGCCATTCCTCGATTCCACCTTCCTTCTCCTCGGTGAGGTGAGCACCAGTCAGATTTCCAGACTGTAGGATCGTTGCCGCGATCTGCCGCTGTAACACGTGTCGTCGTACTCTTACGAGGAGCGCAGATGCTGGAGCTACGACAACGCCAAGGAGTGCAGTCCGTACGGGGATTTGGCGCGATCATCGTCCGCCTTCGTGTCCTCGTCCGCCAGATCAACCCCGTAGTTGCTCGAGGTGTTGTCGTCCTCTGCAACGAACGTACAGCAAGCTATCTTTAATACACTCGCGGTCGATAGTCACAACGAAAGCGCGCGCGCACATTCGTCGCTCTCCGTCCGCGTGCACGCAAGTTCGCGCGGCGAATCTCGCGAACGATGATCGTAAGCGCCGTAAAGCGAATAATTCGCGCAAAATGCGAGGATAAAAGCAGACTGGTAACAAAAAAACCTGCTTCTTCCTGTTTCCACACACAATGTGTGCAACAGGTTTCTGCGTGTACGCAATGTACACAGCAGAGCCGTGCCGCACGAAGAAGGGATGGATGGAGGGTTTTGGTGTTACAACGTTGCCTGTACAAGCGTGCGCCAGCTGTAATTACCCGCGCGTTTAACGCGATTATACATTGTTGCTTCGACTATTTTCGTTACTCTACCGACGCATCTACCGACGAAGCGAGAAACGAGGAAAAAGACGGAGGGAGGAGGAGAGTCGACGCGACTTCCGCGCCCTAGATCAACAATGCCTCCTTTGTTTGATAACTGTTAACTCACCGATATAAAGAGGGGCCGTGTCGTAAGCGTTGCAGGGGCCCGCATGCCGCGTTTCGAGAACGAAGCCGGTGACGCAGGCGTCCTTGATAATGTGACACCAGCTGGGATAGGTGATGTTGTTCGTCGCGCATAACATGGTCGTCGATGGGTCCCGATCGCGATCTCTGTCACGGTGCGTTCGATTCCGGACGCGCTCCCGCTTCCGAGGGCAACGGTAGGTGCAGGTCACGCAACGCGGTCGTCCAGACTTCATCTCGGACAAGCAAGTCTGGCCTTCTCGACAGCGTATCGTGGTGCAGTCCGCGCTCTCTGTCCAAATCAAATTACGAGAGAGAGAGAGACATTACTTGGACATTCGTGTTCTGCACAGGCGCGTTTGTTTATTCATAATGTCGCGAAAACCGATCGTTCTCCCTCCCCCCCCGCCTGCCCCCCACCTCCCCACCTGCAACACTCTCTTCGCCTTCTCCTCTGTGATTACGCTGAAAGAAAAAGAATCGGCTAGGAATCGTTGTTCCGCGATCGATGGTACATGCGATGAAAATGAGAGAGGGAGAGGGAGAGAGAGAGAGAGAGAGAGAGAGAGAGAGAGAGAGAGAGGAGAGGCTAGACCAATCGTCAAATTAAACCCACTCTATCTCTGTCACTTGGCAATTTCGTACGTTGACTCGTTCGCAGACGCGAACGATTATCCGCGCGATAACATGTTGTTACGTCTACTTGAGTCAATGGCCTACTTCTCACGGCGGGGGGAGGGGACGGGTATAATGTATTAGTCATTTTTCTTCTTCGACCGCGACGCGAGTGTCACACGGTGACGGAAAAGTCAGCGGGAGTTCATCATCCAAACGCGGACGATGCGTTGTATTCTTCATCGCGCTTTCGTCTCGACTCGAAAGTCTCGGAAAACCTTTGCAAAAAAACCTAGGTTTTTTCTCCTTTTAACATCGAGCGATTTCGACACCTCGAACACCGATCCTCCTCGGTGTGTTGCGCCAATGGCTCGAGTCTAATCGAGCATAAACTAGCGAAAATGTCTCTTCTTGATATCTCGCGTGATTCGCGTCATCTGCTTCGAGCGCAAATATGTTACACAGGAGGAGAAGAAAAATTGGCGTTTTTCTCCCGTAATTTACCTGTAACAATTATCGAGGAATAATTTGCATGCTCGATGCACGCTGGAAAGTATACGTCGGCATTGCGGCGCAAATTCGTTGTCCAACTGTATTGGATTGCTATTAAGCGATTCACAGCTGTGTGTAACGCGATCCTCATTGTCAGACATAGCGCTAATGCTAGACATCGTATAGAATTCCGCTTGATTGTGATACAAGCGCGGAGGAAGAAGGTGAGAGACGGCGGTATCGTGACGTTAAAGTACGACGTGTCGTTATTCAATGGCAGGGCCGCCGCATTCGCGCCGATATTCCGCGGGACGATGAAAAATTTCGCCGCGCGGCGATATGGCTGTTTTATTGCCGATTGATTCGCGAGGATTCGCGGCGGTGGAGAGGCGCAACGGTGACATGCTGCAATCACATATAACAGTTTAACATCCGATAAGAAGATGCGGGAAGTAACGCGACGCGGCGTGCGCGGTTACGCAATGCTATATAGCATACGAGGGGGTCATTGGTCATTCAACCTAACGTGGCATTGACATAACGTCGTCAACGCTTATTGAACCTCGACAATTTAAATGATCCGTCATTAGGTTACGCATCGTGCGCGCAACAGCACGCAGTGGCGCACGAAGTGGCGATGTTACTTTGGGAATCGTCTCTCCGTCCCTCATCCGTTCTAAATTATATCGAATTAGGTGGACATATTACAACGTTAGACAGCGATATGTCTGCGCGCGCGCGCGCGCGCGCAACGGACGACGGGATGTTCGTTTCGATAATAAAGGGCTTAAATACGTTGAACGATCTGTTTACTGTAGCGTCACCCCCTTAATCGCCACGTCACGTTAAACGCAAACGAGCGGATCCACGAACGATTGATCGTGACGTCGGCGTCGTTACGATTTACGAAACGAGCGTGACATTTCTCCACGCAGCGCGCGTTAGGGGGAGACCGGGTCAAGTTGGCCCAAGCAAGGGTCACGTAGGCCATGTGTTTCGCTCGCGAGTTTTGTTGTGTGAGAAACTGTGGAAAAGGAATCGCAAGATGTGTCGTTGTTCGCCTTTGAGATGCAGGAGAAGGAACGTTTCCCGATACCCGTTAATTCTTGTTAATCGAAACAATTGTTAGCTTTTATGCGAACGACTTGTCTAATTCCTCGCGATGAGGACACACACACACACACACACACAAGCTCGGGTACGAGAAGCCCGCTTTATCTGGCAATACGTCAAACGTGTCTCACGATCGCCGACGCGACTGCCACATATAACGGCAGTATCACGACGAGATATTTATCCTTCCCGATAAAAATGTTGTCCTTCTATGCCATTATCTACTTCCGTCTTCGTCGGCAAGCATAATTTGCCATGCGACAACCGGATAATTCTCGTCGCACCGCCTCATCCGCACGACGCACGGTGTAAAAACCACCGCGCGCGCCAAGTATTGACGGATGAGAAAACGGTGTCAATATATGTATGTGCGAGCCCATTGGCGAGACGAAAAAAATAAGCAAATTACTTAACGCCTTTGCGACGTCGGCGGCGGCGGCGGCGGCGGTGGCGGTGGTGGTGGTGGTGGTGGTGATGATGGTGGTGGCGCTGGTGGTGGTAAGAATAAACGCTCGCGTCGCGGAGATCTTGGAGAGTACAAGATATTCCGGACCGGTCGGTCGGTCGGTCGGTTGGTTGAGGAGAACAGAAGAAGGGAGGAAAGGAGGATAAGGATGAAGATGAGATGGAGGAAGAGGAGGAAGAGAAGGAGGAGGTGGCGAGAAGACCGCGAGACGACGAGGACCGAGAAAAGCTCATATACGTTCCGTGCACATACTATGCCGTATGCATATTTACAGACGCGTGCACTTTCGCGCCTCGGATCCTCGAATCGGAGAAAGACGATTATTTGCATCGCGACACCTCGTCGCTAAACCGGCTGGTTTATTTACTTATTTACTTCTCCGTCGCGTCGCGTCGCGTCGCGTCGCGTCACGCGCGCGCGCGCGCGCGCGCCTCTCCTCAGCTTCCCTCTTTACCTTTTCTCATTCGCGCGAGAACGTTTTCGCACAGACTTAAGAGAAACTGCCAATATGCGGCGGGGGAGAAGGAGGCAGAAAGGAAAAGAAAAGAAAAAAGGGTTTAGATTTCGAGTGCGATAGGTCCGAGGGTCGAAGGGTCGCGCGAATCGATCGGTGGGCTGAAAACGTCGCTATAACGCTGATATTGTTTGCGACGATTTCCATTCGTTACACAAGAGCTTTGCGCGAAACGAACGATAAAGAATAGCGTTGTGTAAACAATGGACGCGCGAACCCGGCTTACACCCCGGCGTGTATATCAACGTGCATGATTGCGTGGTATTGGGACTTTTCTCACATAAGAAAAATGAAGGCGCGATTTACTCGTACCGCGTTTCCGCGGTCGTTTGCGCCACGTGAAACTGAAACTGATTTTCCTCTCATTGAGATCCCCAATTATTTACTTACAACGTATACTCGCACGTAAAAAGCGCGTAATGACTGGAGTGCCGCGTGTGAGGACAGGTATCGTGCACCTTCTTCGCGTCCTCGTCTGCCATTGCGCGTCATCGAGGGACAGGACGCGCGCGCGCGGCACAACAACACGGAAGAAAGTAATTACGAGTAAATTTTCGCCCGATTGATACGGCTGACGATATTTAACGAGTCGTCTAACGACTCGGTAAACGGTGACGGCTGTGTCATTAGCTAAGACAGCAAGAAATCGACGCTGCAGACGACACGCATGCGACCGTAAAGCGTAAGTCGAACGATCGCCGGTGCGTTGAACCGTCACATTTTTATGTGTCGTCGGACACGCTAGCGCATTATCGCGCTCGCATCAACGCGATGCATCCATCTTATTTTGGACACACATTGGATACACGTGCCTCGGTCTAGCACGAGTGTTAAGGCTCCGGCTCTCCGTCAGCTCTTGACCAGCTGATCCGGGGATGCGGGATGTGTAGATGGGACGCTGTAAAAGGGAGAAGATAACGATACTCGCAGTCGGCCTCGTTTCGCGAAACAGTCACGCGTAATGTTGCGTCTCCGCTCGATGTCACGCATTTTTCTTCGCGAAAGAGAAATATATCGCGATATCGTGCAACCCGAGGCACGGATGCGCTCGTGGAAGTTCGGGAAACGTGGCGATGTTGACGCTCCGCACGACCGAGCATCGTTCGCGGAGAGTCGTCGGAGTCTCCAAGTCGTTTTGCTCGCCGCGACGATATGTAAAGTGCAGTCACGGAGTGCGCGGCATACGGTTTGCATACGCGGGCAGAGGTTCCTTTCGCGGATTGTTTACAGTATCGAGCATCACGACTATTACTACGACGACGACGACGACGCCGACGACACAGCGAACGATACGAGGATGGACGGGGATAGATCGAGAAGGGAGGGGGGAGGGAATCCAAAGTGGCGCGTGATGGTGAGGAAGGTAACGACGAGCGGCGCGAGAGGGAAGTTAAGAAGAGGGATATGGGTATCCTGGTGGAGTACCAGCGAGAGAGCCAACGAGTAGGATATTCAACTGGGAGCATGCAGTCGGTGAATGTCGATGTCGGGACGCGGACGCGGACGCGCACACACGGACGTTGATATGGTTGCAGGGGAACTCGAGCTAGGTGGAGTCTCGAGGCCCAGGAAAAGGGAGGGAAACGAGACGAGGAGACGTCGGGCCCATCGACGACGACGACGACGACGAGCAAAGCGCGGGAGGGAGGGAGAAAGAGGGAAAGAGAGGAGGAGAAAGGTGGAGAGAAAGAAAGGAAGACGGTAGGATCTTGCGCCAGAGTCCAGTGAAAAAAGACGAGCTTGGCACGGACGCCGTGCCGTGCCGTGCCGTGCCGAGCCGCGCCACGCCGCGCCACGCCGCGCCGCGCCGCGCCGCACCGCGCCACGCCGCGCCAGTTGGCAGTGGCCAGACGCCACGCCAGGCTGAGCCTCACCGAGCGCATGGTGTTACTGAATGCTGTTACTGGGGTCCGTGCCCGGGCCCCGTGGAGTCTCTCTCTCCCGTGTGCAAAGTCTTGTACAAACCTTCTTTCTCGCCCCGCCCTATCCATCGTTCTCTCGCTCCTTCTTTCTCTTCTGATGTTTGTCCGTCTCACTTTCTCCCTCTCCTCCTTCTCCATCACTATCACCTCCTTTTTCTCCAACGTCACCT